GATTTTTATTTATTAGACATTGAATTGTCACCTCAAGCCCTCCATAGTTTGCCTGACTTCAGCTAACCTGATGAATATTCATGATTGTTCCTAAGCTTTAAAAATTTTGAAAAAAAAAAAAAACATTTTTGCTCTTGTATATAAATACTTGTTACAAAATTAAATCCCTTTATTTGCCTTAATAAAGAGGTCAAAATGTGTTGGCTAAAATAAGTTTTCCTTTTGTGTTTATTCATATTGTCCTTTTACAAATATACTCTATCTGTAATATTCACACACACACACACTATAACTCTACAAAGGTTTTTAATTTTATAAAGTATTATAATAAATTAAATATTTTTTTAAGTAACCCAGAAAAGTTCTAAAAAGCAAAACTTGAGTGTGCAGTGTGTTGAACATCATGCTGAATACATGTGAATGAAATGATTTGTACTCAAAACTTGGTGTATCCCCCTCCCATTTAAAATAAATAAATAAATAAATCTCCTATTCTAAAGTGTCCTCAAATAATTTTTATATTAAAATTTTGTCTATACTCATTTAGCTTAACTTTAAGTATCTGTTAGTCTCTGGAGACTGGAATTGTGTTCTGAATGATGTTTCTAGTGTCTCCACTATTGTGACTTGACAGTCTTATTCATTTTGCACAGTTGAAGTTTGATGCTGGTTTCTCTGTCAGACTTTTGGCCTTATTTCTTTGCCATTTCACCATTGACTGTTGGGCAAATGTCACTTTGAACTTGTAGAGTTTTTTCTTTGCTGCTTGCCTCCAGGATGATTGTTCAGTGGCTACAGTTTCCCACCTGTCTGGGTTGATAGGATCCTCAGGTCTCATTTAGTTGGGGTCTACCCATGGGTTGTTTCCCCATGCCAGCTCTCTGCAGGAGGTTTATTTACATGACTGTCCAAGCCAAGGCTAGCATCTCTGCGTAGTAGCATGTACATGCCAAGAGTTCCAGCTCTCTCAAGGACAGTATTGTTGGGCATCTTTACCTTGCCAAAAGATGTTCCAAGGTGCATCTGGAAGGTGCTGATCTTCCCTTCCTGTCCAGTGCACACTGTCAGTTTAACTGTTGTACAAGGATGTGCTCATGGTGTACTACTTTGTAGGCCAGGAGCCTGATGTGTTCTCTCAGCTTGCTCTTGTTTTATACTCTCTTTGTCAGTTTGGGCAGAGTGGTAGCAACCTTGCCAATATACTTGTTTAGTTCAGTCTCAAGAGATAGCAATCCCGGGATAGTTGAGTACATAGACAACTTCCAGATCATGATCAAAGATTCTAATATTTAATGGAGTCTCTATCACCTGTTTTCTTGAAACTTGCCAAAGTGGTCCATTGAAGGTCTTTGGGTGGTTGGTAAGTGTGATTATAGATGCATATAATAAAATTTACTTTCATGTAAGTTTATTTATTTTGACTCTGGTATTGGTTTCCTGAAGAAATTTTATTCATACGTAAAGTAAAACAATTATTTGCATAGTATTTACCTTGTAATAGGTCTTCTAAGTAATCCAAAGATAGTTTTAAAACAGGTAGGCAATTGTTTTGGCTCGAGGGCCACACCTTCTAAAACATATTCCTTAGTTAACATTACATTTCATTTAATGCATAGTGTAAATTACATAATAATAATAATAAATTAAACTAAAACAATATTGGTACACAGAAAAAGTTTCATTAATTTTATTTATGTGTGAATGCACATCGGCCAGCATAAGTAATTTAATGAGATAAATGTAAGCACTCACACTTTTTTTTACAATTCTTTTGAAATCTGAAGTGAGGTTGCTTGTTAAAGATCTTCATCACTGCCTGCAAGTTTATGGCAGTAACAGAGGATCTATTTTTATTCTTGTTGATTTTTATGCAAGAAAAACTTTTCAAAAATAGAAAATGTTTTCCCAGTGAAAATTTGTCAGTAGATAGAATTATAGATAAAATTCTATCAATGTCACAGAATTAAGCATTTCTTTCAGTGTCTGATTTGTGTGCATGTCAATCAGTTCAAGCTGCACCTCCTCAGGTACTGTAGCAATATCAGCAGTGAAAGGATAAGATAAATTGAATTCTGGCTCAATTTTCTTGAAGTTCTGAAATCTTCTTGTAACATCATCCTCCAAACTCAGCAAATGATCCCTAATCTTGGAAGAAACACTTGTAGGTACTGTTTTCCTAAAAAAAGGGAAATGATAAAACTCACCTTCATCTGCTTACCTTGCAAATAGACTTAGTTTTGTTTTGAATGAGCTCACATGCTTCAACATTTTATGTGCAAACAGCCTCTTTCCATGCAATGTCATATTCATTTAATTTCTCAAACATATTGGCTGCAAGCATCATCTCGTATCTCCATTCCTCACATACCATTTTGGTCACAAAATCACATGAAATCCCCTTTGTGTCCAGAAAGAGAAAGATTTCATTCTGTAACTCCCAAACTCATTTTAGGACTTTGCCCAGGCTCAACCACCAAACACTGTTGTGGTAAATCCTATCTCTATACCCTGCCTCCATGTCCTCAAGCAGAGTTTTGAATTGTCAATGGTTGAGTGCTCTTGCTCTGATTGTGTTCACCACACTCATTACAGGATTTACCACATGCTTTAGTTCCAGTGCAGCTTTACAAAGGCTTTCCTGATGCAAAATACAATGAAAAGACAAGATATCACAGAGTGTTCTACTTTTAACTTGTTCTCTAAAAGTTTAATCATACCTAGATTTTTCCAGTAAATGCTCTGGGCCCCCATCTGTTTGTAATGCTTGCCATTCTATTCCATGACAAGGTACTTTTCTCTGCACAATCCACAACATACTCAAACAAGTCCTGACCAGAATTTGTATTTTTCATTGATTCCAAACCAAGTAGTTGCTCTGTGATTATGTAATTTTTATCAGTTCCACAAATAAAGATAAGTAGTGTCTTGATTATTGGTGCTAAAGAAAGCCAAACAAAATCTTTGCTTGCAGAGTTTAGCTGTTCATCACTGATTAAGTCTATGCACTGCACTATAGTCCTTCTTGATAATGAAATGATTTGAATTTGTTTCTGATATAAGGGCACAGGACATTTGTGTAATCTACCAAGAACTGCTTAACAAACTCACCATCAGAAAATGACTTGTTGCTTTTAGCGAGGTAGTATGCTACCATTGAGCTTGCCTCTGTAGCACTATCTTGAAGAGTTGATTGCTTCATAAATATAGTCTGTTGCTTTTTCAGTTTCATAACACACTCTGCAGCTTTTTTCCTGTATTCTTCCTGGGACATTTTGTTACCAAACTCAGCATGTTATGTTTGGTGTCGTTTTAAATTGTATTCCTTGAATACAGCAACTGTCTTGTGATACCGTAAACACACTACCTTATTGCTTGAATTACTGGAGAAATATTTGTGTGTCTAGTCTTCATTAAATGCACAGCATTCTTTTTTTATTTTGCCCTTTTTTGGAGGGCCCATGGTTCACTCTGGTTGGAATGTTACAGATCTTACCATTGCAAAGGCAAAACTGAAATAACTGCCAGCAATGTGGGTATCAACATTGACTGCATGTGCGTATGAACTGGTGCATGCACAGTAGGTATCTGGCTATTAAAAGGTAATTTTCTTTGACACAAGGGAAGCAAGTCTCAGTTCAAGTTAGCCTTGACACTCACAATTCACCATGATCAGTTTAGGAAAATCTTTGATCCCCCCCTCCCCTGCTTTCATGGGCTGCAGAAAACTCTGTCGCTGTTAATTGCCCACCCCTGTTTTAAAGTATGCTGGAGGACATGCAGGGTGCGATGGATAAATTGTCATCTGAATTATGCAAAAAAATGAAAATAACACGGACATCTCATTGTAAAAGATATATTTACCAAAATTACGGAAAAATATCTTGAAATACTAAAGAGTAAATTTATTCAATAAGATTGCCATTGACTTCAACCATAGCCTCCAGACAACTTCGGAATCTCTTGTGATTCTTTTGTGGTGAATGCTGACATAATGCTTGCGTTTGCTACATCTTTGGTGTTACAAAAATTCTTGTTGGTCTCTTGCTCAACTGCATCCTACAGATAATAATCAAGGTTGTTGCAGTCTGGGGAATTGGGTGGCCATATGTAAGGAGTGATGTGGTCGCAGACATTGACAATTCTGACTGAGTTCTGCTTGTGTGGCATAGTGCAGAATCCTGCTGCCAGACAAAGGGTCTTCCATCAGCCACCAGGACAGCACTACCTCCTCAAGGCACTTTATGTAGGCCTCTGCTTGAGGCCCTTCACTAACAGATTTGGGAGTTCTTTTCTTATCAGTTTTTTTTTTTTTTTTTTTTTTAGCTGCTGTACCTTCATAATCATCCTTAGACTCATTCAACTCTTTCCGAATCCTGTGCACTGTCCTCAGATTGACACCCAAACACTCTGAAATGTTCGTATTGCAGCTTCTGGCATGAATACCAAGCAGTACAGCATGCCATTTCCGAATTTCTGGCAGAGTGAATTGCATCATGGTGCTCTTTTTCTCACAGATGGCACCCTACTATACTGTACAGTTGACAAAATCAAAAACGAACAATGCGCATGCGTGAAATTAAAAATATGAAATAGTTACAATTTACCCATCACACCTTGTACTGAAAAAAATATACAGTTGATAGTTACACACACACACACACACACAGCTTATTCACTGAAAACTTGTTTTAGTTTGCATGCACCTATTGCTATTACAAAAGATATAATTTTTCAGTTATTTTTCTTTCAGCACATTTCAAGCATAAAGAATTGTCTCCCATTGGCAAATGCCGAAAAGGGTTAAAACATCACGGACTGAAGACAAAAATCCCAACTAACAAACGGTGCCCAATCCTCAAAAACTAGCACACACTGCACATCTGAGGATTGTCTGTAGAGTCTCCAATACACGAAGGAAGGCTTCTACAGGATAGAATAACAGAACTACCGACTTCTATCTGTCCTTACTTGAAAGAATCAACATCAGCTATAGCAAAACAATGTCTAACTCAAGGAAAACAACGAGTCCTCAGTGGAAAGTGAGTATTTATTGTAATTATTTTTCATTTAGTTTGTCATGCTACAGTTGCTGGCATCTTTTTGTTTTGTGGCATAATTTAAAAATTAGAATTGGCAGTTTAGGAAGTAAAAATTTGAATTTTGGTGTAAGGTATAACGTTTTAAAAAATAAAATGTATTTCTCTGTTGGGATTGTATTATAAAAGAAAAAGACTGAGATTTTGTAATTAAATTTAATTCATAATTTATGTGGAAATATTTAATGACTAGGTAGATTTTTTTATGTGTGTATACTATCATTTAATAGTTATTTTATAAGACTTCAGTTTGAGACAATTTTTGTGGAATCATCTTTAGAAGTATAATTTTATGTACTAAATCTAAATGAAATGAAGAATTAAATTTATATAGTTATTTAAAATTCTAGAAGTTTAAAATTCATAATGATTTGCTACTTCATATAAGAACTATTGTAAGGAATATTGACTATTGTATAGTAGTCATTTAAGAGACAATGATTAAGGAGTATAGGTGAGGTATAAGCATTTCGTAATTTTTTTTCCTCATTATGGAAGATAATAAGCATAACATCGTTTTTTTTTTTTTTTTTTTTTTTAAGTGTGTGTGTTTTTATCTTATTTTATTTATTTTTATTGCTTTCCACACCAGAGACTCTTACCTGGATGATTAATAAAATTTACATTTCATCTTCTGTTCAGTGGATGATGAAATCAGTGCCCCAACAAGTACTTTTCTTCTAAGTGGCAAAGAAAACCCTAAATTCCTTGCAATGTATGCTGATAAAGTTAAAAACTGTGAAGGGAATACACATTATAGCAATATAACTCTTAATGGAATTTTAAATGTTATTATCAAAGAAAAGATGACTTCATTTTTACCTAGGGATGTGCTTTCTTTTTTTTTAATGTAATGCATTAATTGAAGCTTTTTTTTTTTTTTTTTTTTTTTTTTATAATTTCCAGCCGCCAGCTCAGAATCCCTCCATCCTTTATAGCCAGCGAACTCCATCTACAAACAATTCTATTGCCACTTCACCTAATGGCACTAGCAATGGAGTTCGACAAACTGGCTTTGTGGAAAAATTACTGGTAAGTTTTATTTCAGGTTTTTTTGTTTTTTTTTTTTTTTTTGTTGTTTTTTTTTAATTAAAACTTTATATTTAAAAAGCATGATAATATTTTATAAATAGGTGTTCCTGATTTTAAGGATTTTTAAGTTTAAATATCTTGTTAAAAGGACTTTTTTTGGCTGTTTCAGCATTCCTATGGTTTTATTCAGTGTAACGAAAGAGAGGCAAGAGTGTTCTTTCACTTCAGTGAATACAGTGGAAATGCGGAAGATATGAAAATTGGAGGTAAGTTATTTTAATGATGCCTTTTAATAGATTCTCTTAATGCTTTTGCACATGTTGCATACTTTCTTGTAATTCTCTGATGTCTACTTTCACACACCAGGTGGAGGAATATTATACTGGACTGGCTCAATAAAGTCTGTTATTTGATTATTTGACGTATTTATTACAATTCCTATTGTGTGTGTTTTTTTTTTTGTTTTTTTTTTTAATATATACAATTCTTGATAGCTACTATTCAGTGCAATGAAGTTATAAAAAAATAGAGAAGATGCTATAGATTTTGTATACAGAGGTTAAATTGATGAGTGAATGGGGAAAATTAGTACAAAACAATTCTGTGTCTATGCTGACGGCACAACTATTTACTCCTGTCTTAAACGTCCGATCAGTTCAATAAAGTCAAATTGGCAGCTGATCTCAAAAATGACCTACAATCTGTTGTTAAATGGACCACGGAGTGGCTTCTCAATTTTAACACCTCAAAAATGAAACTGCTTTTTTTTTAATCATCTGAGTGAGAGAACCCCTTTTTTACTGTCCATCAGCATGGCTGATGTGAACCTCCAGGAGAGTGACTCATTTCACCTTCTTGGGCTGACATGAAGTAGAAAGAGTATGTTGAATCACTTGCTAAGTCTGCAGCTAAGAAAGTTAGTTCACTATGTCATGCTAGATGATTTTTCTTGGCAGAACCTGTCTTGCATATTTGAGTCTACCATTTGACCTTGCTTTGAATATTGCTGCCACATCTGGTTTGGTGCTTCTGCTATATATTTAGAGATTCTTGATAAAATCCAAATAAGATTTGGCAATGTTATTGGTCCTGACCTGGCATCTTGGTTTTAGTCACTTTCTCACAGCTGTAAGATAGCTTCCTTGTGTCTTTTCTATAAATAATTTCATGGTAATTGTTCTGACAAACTTTCCTCTATGGTAGCTAGACTTTATAAATTTAAGCACAGTACTAGATTGATGGCAAGGTCTCATCAATTGATAGTTGAAATGGTTATATGTAACTGTATGTTCTATGCTAACAGTTTCTTCTCTTGCACTTCTCACTTGCAGAACTCTTTTCTGACTTCTTGCTTCCAGTCAATGTTGATGTTCAAAAATTTAAATGCAATGTCAATCATTATCTTCTGTTTTAATTTTTATACTTTTATTGTCCTCTTTCCTTAATAGTAGTTTTTCTCATATTCTCTAACAGTAATCTCTTGTGTCCTAGTGGTTTTTATTGCCTTACTTGGAGTGAAATGATAAAAAACAAATTGTGGGGAAGGTATCTGAAGTCTTGGTTTGACACATCAATACCAACCACTGATGCTGGTGATAAGTATACAATTACTACAACCACCCTGGGCTATTGGTATTATCTTGAAATTTGAGTAAAATAAATGCAAAATTTATTTTGATGTTTTTAATTAGGCTTATTTCAAAAATGTCAACATTGTATTAAAACCAATGACTTAATTTTAGCCGACATAAAAAAGGCCCCAAATAAATAGTAAAATTTTATCTTTTTTGGAAAATAGTCAGCAATAAAATTTGAAAAGTTGATTTAAAATATTAATAAGAGAAATGTCACCTATATCATTTTGGGAAGTATTTTTCTTTTATAATGTATGGTCTGGTTTTGTCATGTTCTTGTACTATGTTCCTCTATTGATTTTTACTTTCAAAAGCTTTTTTGAATTGAAAAAGGTAGGCACTAACTTAATTTTAATGTATATAAAATTCAATCTTGCATTTTAGGCCATGACGAAAAAAAAGCTGTTTTTGCCTGTCTTCTATAAACAAACTGAGAAAAAAAATGGAGGGTGAAAATACTGAAAAGAAATTTTGAAGCTACAATGTTGTTAATGTCCTCATTTTTCTTGTCTTTATTTCAGATCCTGTTGAATTTCAGTTGTCTTGTGATCGGCGATCTGGAAAACGGATCGCAATTTCTGTGATAAAAGTTGACCCTAGCGTCTCCTCCCAAGAAATTTTTAGCGAGGAGCGTTTTCAAGGCTCTATAGTTCAAGAAGCAAAACCAGTTAAAACAAAAAATGTAAGGCTTTATTTTTGTTTTGAATTAATCTGAATTTGTTTCTATTGAGAATCATGACTTCTTTTCCCTCAAGATTTTTCTTGGAAATCTTCGAAATTTGCCACATTTATTTAACACCAAAGATAAAGATTTTAGTATTCTTTTTATAAAACAATCCTGCATATGTATCTTGCTAAGTTTAATTTTAAATAAATTTAGCACAAATAGCTTAAAGTAATTTTTGTCAATACTTACTCAACTAAAGGAATTACAGAAATTAATGTTATAACATTCCTTAATATGAATAGTTTTTATTTCTTTTTAATATAAAAATTTTCTTCTGAATGCAGTGTACAGTGTAATTGGTTTACTATGCATGTTACTCTAATGAAAGACTTTGTGGAATGTCAGTTTCTAATCCTAAATAATCTAACGCTTGTTTCGTATGACGGGAACTTAATGAACTATTCTTTTGTAGTTAATGAAAAGAAATGGGAAAACTTTTTTCTTTTCTCTCAACATTTAGCAACAAGAAAAGCCCCATCTTATTGAATTACAAGCTGAATAAACTTGCCATATTCACTTGAAATGGAATGCCTCAGAGCTTTGTATGTTATTAGATTTAATCAAAAACAATTTTTGGCATGATGAAATCTTTGAAAATATTGGTAGCAGTTTCTTAAATTTAAATTCCTCCGAGACTCTCAAAATTTAAAATGTTGCATTACATTTACATTTTTGTGATCACAATGTAATTCATGAAAGCTGAATTGGAAAAATCTCTCTCAATTGGTCACACTGGACTTGGACTGGTCAATGATTTGGGATACATTTACTAATGGAGACTCAAAATTGCATGAGTTAATTCATCAATGTAAAATAGTTGCAAAGCAAGTACTTAAGGCTGTCAAGAGAATTTTTTAACATACTTTAATCTAGTTAACTAAAAAAAACTTTGCATTTTACTTTTACATTAACTTGTTTTGCAAAGTGCTGTATCTTGTAGTCATTTTAAAAGTTTGACTATATTTCTACAATGCTGTGTACATTACTCAGTAGAATGCAAGTGTTTTCATTGCATTTACTTCCAATTTTTATTGCAACAAATACTATATTTTAAATTGTACCTTTTTGAAATATTTCTGTCATAATGACTTTGTTATAAAATCACTTTTAACTAATAAGAGGAGTGTATTCTGTAAGATCAGATTTGTGTCAGTTAATCAGTAAAAATCATTAAATTTGCATTTTATAAAAATATTTTTCACTTGTTACTAATATAGAAAGGAAAGTTAAGTGCTAAAAGCCAAGAGATTTTTATATCAGCTGCATCTTTGGTAGTTACAGTTTTAAAAATAAAACTATAGAACCTACAAAGAGGAAATTGACATAGGATGTAAATAAAGGAAAAACGGTTATGGGTTTTATCTATTGTAAAAGCCCATGAAATTTGTATATGATGTTCAGAGTAGTTTCCTTTTACATTTTAACTTAAGTTTTTTTTTTTTTTTTTTTTTTTTTTTTCTGTCAACTTCGAAATGCAATATTTGTGATTATTTTCTTGTTTTTATCATTTTCCTATTGCAAATCCTTTAATTTAAATCCCAAAATGTGATAGGTGCAAATAAGTCTCTCTTACAGCTTAATTGTTCATTTTTTTTTTTTTTTTTTTTTTTTTATGAAATGCTTGTCATTAATGTTTTTGTAGGGAACAGTACCAGGTAATCAAGATGGACTTGGCAGAGTCACGTATGTGCACAATGGGGAATGTTTTTTCATCCCTTATGGTTTAGAAGATGTGAAGTCAGATGATGGCTCTTTGAAATTAAAAGCTGGAGATCAGGTCAAATTTTACATTGCTTCTGATAAAAGGTGGGTACTTAATAAATTCATTTTATATGAATAATTATGGCTTTTTATTCAGTTTTCATTTTAATGAACTTAAAAATCTGGTTATTTGTTGACCCTTTTCTCCCTTTTCTATTTTTCTCTTGCTAAAACAATAACAAAAGCATTAAACTGAGATTTTAATACATGTTTTTGATTTTCTTTTTCCATAAACTGACTCTTCTCTCAAAATGAGAGTACGAAATTGTAATTTTTCATATAAAATTGTAAAGAATATATCCCCACCCCCCAACTTTTCATATGTTAAACACATGTTTTATTGGTTCCTCTCTTTGCATTATTTTTACTCTCTCTTTCTCTCACTCTCAGAAATGGTACTCTTAGGGCACGGAAGGTGGAAGAAGTGGGGCTTCCTGAGCCAGAAAAATATCAAGGTGTTGTCTGCTCAATGAAAGAAAATTTTGGTTTTATTGAACGATCGGATGTAGTGAAGGAAATTTTCTTTCACTATAGTGAATATAAAGGGGACATAAATGAACTGCTTCTTGGGGATGATGTAGAATTCCAAATTCAGTCAAGAACTGTAAGTATATTTTTATTTTTCTCCTCTCACTTATTACCATCTTTTCAAAAGGTTGGGTGTAAAGATCTTCAAGCATTGTAAATGCTTGCATTTCTTGGGACTTTCGACAAGTTTCAAAGTAAGCTTGAAATGACCAAATACTTTAAGTTTATTGTATATTATTTTTTATACACATTCTTCAACATTTTAAATGTTTCAAAAGCAGATATTGGACATTACTTGTTTAATTAAACTAAATCTGATTTGATCCACTTTAGAATCTAAATAACTTCTAAAATCTTAGTAAAATTTAGATAAGGTTTCAGGCTTATTTTACATAAAGTAGACTTTTAAAATTCTTTTTCTGATGCCTACAAAACTACTACTGTGTGAGCTGATATTTGAACTTTGAGTGGTTGAAAAAAATGTGGAAGGAACCACAATAAAAAAAACAAAAAAAAACAAACTATATTTAATTTCTTATTGAGGAAAGTTTTTGATTTATTGTTTTTAAATTCTCTAAATCAAATGAAATTAGTTTGTAGAATTGCTTGCTATTTTTGTATGAGTCTTTTTACTTCTCAGACTTAATGTTTGCTGATATCTGCAGGATATGTGAATAGTTTTAATACATTTTCTCCACCTTTTCTGGTGGCTCGTTATAATTTCAATATTTTTTGCAGACTGTAGCCCATGATCAGAAGTCGCAATGTCAGGGATCTGTAGTCACAAAATCAGAGGTCAGCACTACTTTTTGCTCAAGAGTGAGATGCTGAGCAATGTTTTGTATGCGCAATCACCAAAGCTTTGCTTTTTATTGATAAATGATTCTAGGTGGAAAAATCAGCTGCCACAATTGCTTGCATAATTGGACAAGGAACAAATATTGATGCTTATAATAAAATTAAAACCTTTTAACTTGAGGGGAAAATTTAATATTTTAATTTGTTTAGAAATACAAATAATTTATAATTTTAAAATGATACTTTTTGCTATGTTTTAATTTTTATTATGGTTAGATTTAGGTTATAAAAAAAATTATAGAATATGGGGTTGTTATTTTGTGCTTCATGCATTTCTGACTGGAAGATATTTTATGATACATTTGATTAGAAAACCTCTAAGCTTTAAAACTAGAATCTTTTAATCCTATTGTGTCAAATATTTGTTGAAACACAAGTGCTTGTAAGTACACTTGAAATGTTTTTTTTTTCTCCTTTTTGTCCCCCCCACCTTCCTTTTTTTTTTTTTTTTTCTTTTTTTTTTTTCTACAAAATTTTCCCTTATACACATTACTTAACCTCTTACTCTTAATATTGGATTATTGTGTTAAAATAGCTTTATGGTTGCAATATTGTTGATGTAAAATAAGCCTATTTTTCTTTTTTTTTTCACCCTTAACCATTTCACTACCTAATTTTTCACCAGCAAATATCTGCCATTCCTAATTTACTACCACTCTGCCGTGAATTGTGATGTCTGCAATACTAATATAAAATTCTTTAAGTTTACATGATATTTATTTCTAAAGGTTTGTTTTATATTTATCTATATTAAAATTATTCTCTTGCCATTGTTTAGTATTTCACTAATGAGATGTAGATTTTTATGAAAACTCCGTTTCTGCCTTCCAAGAAATTTTCACTTTTAGACATTTGCTTATGTTAAAATAGTTTTGCCTTTAAATAATCAGATGCAAGTTGTCCTTTTGTTACAAACTAAATTTGTGATAAATGATCTTGACTATTTTGTCAGGTTTGCTTTTCTCTAACTGTAAATATTTACAATGATTTTTATTTCTGAAAATTCTTTTGAATGTTTTATAGGATTTTTTTTTCTTTTTAATCCTTAATTATTTCTTTTGTAGAATTTTTTTTTAGTTTGGTTTTGCTTCAAGGTGCAAGGATAAGTCAGTTATTAGAATTAATTCTGCTTTATACAAACATACGCATAAGTTTCTTTACATATACATTTCTTGATAGTGATAAGTTTTTTATAGATTTGGAGATGTAATTAAGGATGTTTGTCTTCCTAGGATTTCATTTTTCAAGCTAAGATTTAAACCAATCCAAATAGTGAATCAATTAGTAACTTAACAGTTCATTAAAAACTGAAGTGTAAATATATAAAAACTATTATTAGAAATATTTTTTATAATCTTTGCTCTTTTGAATCAAAGCTTTTTGCTTTTTATTGCTTCTCTTTGATTCAAGATTTTACCAAATTCTACTTAATGGGTCAAACTTTCTTTTTTAAACGCATTCTAATATAGCTGTGATTAATTTCTCTATAGGTCATTACTATACAGCACTTGCAAACTATTTAGCAATTTCCTGTAATTGAAAGTATTTATATTAAATAGATTTAAGTTTTTGTAATGAAAAAATTAAAAACACCACCAAAAACTGTACCTATAGAAGGTGTGTGTTGTTTTTTCTTTGTTAACTGATCCTTCTGTGTAGTTATTTCCTTAAAATGTTTTGTTGCATTGAAAGGAAAATGAACGTTGAATATATGACATAACCAAAAAAGTCCTCGTCATTTTTACATCTTGTGGGAAGTAATCACTGATACACATGAGTGCATCACATTCTTGGAAAGCAGTAGGGTGGGGGTTGTTGTATTGCTCTTGACAAATGCAGGTGCAGTGAAGGAATGTGACACTGTCAAAGCAGTTTTTCGGGCTTCTTTGCTTTAAAGTGGGCTTGTCTGCAGCTGTAGGAAATTGCCGAATACCTAAAGTCTTTGGGGATAATGCTGTGAGTGAACACACCACCAAGCATTGTTTCTAGAAATTCATGTTGGACGATCTGTTCCTTTGTGATGATGAGGCACTGAAGGCGGCCATAGAGGACAACAGCCAAACCCAGGATGAGGTTGCCAAATGTTTCCAGGTTTCTGATGAAACAGCCAGACTTCACCTGTGTACAAGTTGCGCAAGTGGGTACTTCTCACACTGTCAGAATGAATGAGAACCTGTTATTCGCTGCTTTGTTGACACCACAACATACCCATATTTGATAGTGCACACCAATGATGGAAAGTGTTTTGTATGACGTTCATAAGTGTGCCAGACATTAATGTCACACCACAAGACCACCTCTATACTCATGCAGGGTCAGGCTCTGTATCTGGTGGACTAGTCTACAAGTGGTGCACTATGAACAGTTACCAATGGGCTAAACCATTACTGCAGACCTGTACTTGCAGCAGTTGGAACATATGCAACAGGCACAAGAGGAGAGACAGCATTGGTTAATCACAAGAGTGTACTGTTCCTCCATGACAATGCCAGATCTCATGTCATGTGTGTGCCTAGGGATACCATGCTGTGGCTTGGCTGGGAGACATTGTGCCATCCACCTTACTCCCCAGACCTTGCACCAACAAATTATTGCCACTTCCTTTCCCTGAACAACCACCTCCGTGGGAAATCCTTTTCAAATGAGGCAGATTTGTAGAAGGCACTCAGGCTTCTTTGCATCCAAGAAACCTGGTTTTTACCGCCAGGGCATTGCGCAGTTGCTGGCATGTTGGCAAAAGATGCTGATGGAGATAACTTTCAAACTATCAATATGCCAAACTTGCAGTATGTTTTTTGGTTTTTTTTTTTTTTAAAGAATCTTTTTGGCTACCTTGTATTAGACATACAAACTAAATTTGGGTTTCACATGTTTATTTTGCAGCAGTTCCGCTTTGCTTTATCATTTTTAAAAATATTTCTGACAAATATGTTAATATTTTTATTAACTAAATCCATCTGGATTTTGTCTTATAAAATTAAAATAACTATTTCATTGAGATAACAAGCAATTGCTATTTTTTTATATTTCTTCTAAATCATGAAGGCAGTATTTTAGTATTTTCTCTCTGAAGATAGTATTTTAATATTTAAGGATAGAATTATTGCATTTTTAAGTTGTCTTTAATTTCTCAAAATCTAACAAAACTAAGAATTCTGAAATGATCTATTTTAGTTGTTAGATAAACATTATTTTTAATCATACTTTGAACTTTGTGGTCAGATCTCATGTGGTGTATGTGACTCCATTATCGTCTTCTTTTTTAGGGTAGGGAAGTTGCTGTAAATATTTCACGATTACCTGAAGGAACTGTGATATTTGAGGATGTTGCAAGTGAACGTATAAAAGGGAAAATTCTAAAGCCCTTGAAAACTTCTAATAAAGGTCGTCAAGGGGACCCTCTTTGTGGCAGGATAGTCTATGAAGATGATGGCCAGTATGTATTGACACTTCTTTTGCTTTTCTTCTGTATTTGCTTTAGGCTTAACCATGACACTGCAAGCCAAGCAAAACTGCATTAAAAAAAAAAAAAAAATACTATTTTCTTGAGCTTTGTTCCATACTAAACTTAGTAAAAAAAAAAAAGAAAATTCATAAGCTGTTTTTAAAATAGTTGATACTTTATCCCTATCCTCCTTGTGTCCATTTAAACTGACACCTTTTTCATATGTTGACAATTTTGCTTAAAGATTGTATTTTCTTGGTTTCAGATAAAACATGAATTTTTCCCAACTTTCTTCCAAAATTATATTTTTACACAAGTGTGTGTGTGTGTGTGTGTGTGTGTGTGTGTAAACTGATGCTAGGAGGATATGTATTAGGTCTAACAAAATCACATGAGTTGCAAATTTTTTTTTTTTTTTTTTTTTTTTTTTTTTTTACAGTTTTGAAAATGGCATTAAAAGCATTTAGCTTTTACTCAACATGATCACTTATTATACCAGATGTTGCATCAGTGCATTTTAAATATTTGCCAAAAATTAAAATATTTTATTTTGATTTTAGCATTGTAAGTGGGAAGATGAGCATTTTCACTTTGTGTCTTATTTGAAGAAAGATGAAAATGTGATTCTGTCATAGAAAAGTTTTGTGTTCTAATTTAAAGAAGGTACTATGAATTATCGTATCTGTCAAAAATTGTTTTTGGAAATTAATTATGATACAGAAAGTATGTGAACATGATTAAAATATGCCAGTAAGCATTAAAAATCATTTGCACTATTTGAGTTATGTTACTTTTAAGTGAGGCTTCTACTGCAATTTGATACTTAACAAAAATAATCATATTTTTCTAAGAAATTGTGTTAAATGATTTTGTAATAATGTGGAAGGCAACTGAAATAAACTTTCACTAATCCTGTTAAATCCTGCCAGAGTAAGAAACTGTCCAAATAAATACTGGCCCCTCCACAAACTCATTAGACCAATTAAAGTCAGGAATAGAAGAAGCCTCTCAAAGAGAAATAGCATAAAATTCTAACAGGATAATATTAACTTGCATGTTCTTATGGTTACCAGGTAAAAATTGGAGCATTTTTTATATATATATATATATATATATATATATATATATATATATATGTGTGTGTGTGTACATGTGTATTTCAGCAGCAATAATTCTTTCAAACATGTTTGGTTAAATAACATCAAGTTTTTTTGGGGTTTTTTTTTTTTTTAATTTGTTATCAGTAAATTTGCCAAAGTTTACTTTTTTCTTCACTTTATTTTTTTATTTTTTCGAGTATTTTCGAATGTTGCTACATTAGTTTTCAAGGATTGTTCCGTGTCTATTTATGCAAATGTTTTTTTGATTCTGGCGTTATCATGTTTGATAGAACTAATTTCAAGTCACTCAAGGTGATATCATATAAACAGTCAAACTGAAAGTTTTTTTTTTTTTTTTTTAGGATAGAATTATGAATTGACATAAATTGCTGGCCAGTAAAGTTACCTGCAAAATGTATGTATGTGTATATATATATATATATATATATATATATATATATATATACACACACACACACACACACACAATGTTTAATGTTATATTCAAAATATCAACTTTTTGTAAGCTTTTCATAAATTTATTCCTATTTTTGAAGTTGAAAAGGCTTACCTTGTCTAAATAGTAGTAGAATTTAATTGAAGATGAATATGTTCTTCCTGTTACTTTGAGACTTTTAAGGAAAAACATTGATGCATTTATTTAGTGACCATTTCATTTTGAAGACATGAATATCACTTTTTATTTTTTTTATTTGAGCAATTAGCATTTCTGTTTTAGGGCTATAACATGTAGTTCACTTCAAAATTGCAAACTGGAGTTAGTTCTGATTTCTAGATAGAACTCTATGCAGTTGTCATTTCTGCTCATTTGGTCATCCTTTTTTGAAAAAATGTCTATTTGAACATTTCTCTTTTATTTTTACTCCTATTTTTTTTTTTTGTTTTTTTTTATAAAAAACAAAGTATATGTTTGAAATTGCTTCCTTATTACAGCCAGATTGAAATTCCATTTGGTGACAAGGACCAAAAGGGAGACTTCACATTACAACTTGATGATCTTGTTGAATTTAGTATTGCCACTGATCGAAGAGATGGCCTGCAGAGAGCTACACAGATAGAGCTTCTTGAAAGTTCATTTGAAAAAAGCAAAGAAATAAGGGAGGTGGTAAGTGCTACATTTATCTAACCTGATTTTTAATTACTGTGTTGAAATTTTGGGATGCTTTGCAATGAAGTGTATGATTCTTATCTAATTTCTGTTATCATTGCTTGTTGTTTTCTACTAACCCTTTAACTTGGCATTCACAAACTTTTAGAATAACATTATCAACATTTTACATCCAAGCAAAAATTGTTAAACCAATAATATTTGAGTTACAAGTTATTAACTGTGGTGATTTAATTTTATAAAAGTTCATTCACAATTCTCAAAATCTTTTCATAAAATAAATTTTTTTGTTATCTCTAAAAATTAATTAAGAATATTGTAATGTGCCAAAATTTTTTTTGTTTGTTTGTTTGTTTTTTTTTTTTGTGTGTGTGTGTTTAACTTCTACTTATTATTTTGAAAGAATATATCAAGTGCATTAGAACTGGAAAAGTATACTTGTATGCTAAAAGGATTTAAATTTGTCTTATATTGATATTAAAATCTTAATTTAAGTTTGTCTGTACGTTTTGTTTTTTATGTCACAAGTGGAACATTGGTTTATATTGGATTTAAGATGTAACAATTTCTTTTCACTTTTGATAGTAACAAAAAAAAATAAATTTTTTCCTAGTCTTAACATTTCAGAATTTTCTAGTGCATTTTATATATTTTTGAAAATTGAGATATTCTTTAGTTGTGGCTTTTTTATCTTTGTTTACAGCCAGTGAAATTCTTCATCTTTTGCTATTTTTGCAAGGCTTGTTCAGAATGAGTCTATTATTCACATTTTATTTCATTATTATTTATGATCTTCCTCCTGTTGCGGAAATGTTGGAAAGCTTCAATTTTCTACTGCTTGATTGCAGGGCATCGTTGCCACTCTGAAAGATGGTTATGGTTTCATACAATGTGCGGACCGCGACCTTAGAGTTTTCTTCCATTTCAGTGAAGCTCTAGATCCAACTCATGAGCTAAAACCTCAGGATGAAGTTGAATTTACAGTTGTTCAGGTATGTGCACAAAAGCCAAAAGCCCTTTGACTGTGACCATCACTGGAATCCATGGAGCATTCTACCAGTTTACAAATGGCCTTATTTTTTTTTTCTCTTTTCCTAAGATATCACAAGTGGAATTAGATCCTTATGATTGTTATTTTGTCTCCATCAGAAGACTCAAATGTTTTGATGCCAATCTTTTCAAATAGATCTTTGTTGCTAATTTCAATGAAATGCATGTCTGGTTTAGTTAACAACCTCGCTCTTTGAATAACAATTAGAATGCTTTTCTTGATTCAGTAAGCTTGTATAACATGTTAATTACTTTACTAACATTATTTAGATTAGTGCTTATTGTGTGTGTATGAGGTTTTGGGAAGGATGTATTGAAACAGGCTTGATTCTACAAATTCTTGAATTAAGTATTCTAAACAGCCACTGAGTGGACTACCAATAAATAGCCCAAATTTTTGTTTGTAATAATTGTTGAATTTGAAATAAACAGATTGATTCTCATAATCTACACATATTGATAATCAATGGATATGGCTATATTTATTTTTAATAGATATTCTAATAAATATGTCAATTTACTAATGGTACATAGATTTAATTTCTTACCTAGCCAAGTTATTTTTCACATCTATATCTTTAATTTTATTTAATAAGTCACCAGAATTCTTTAGATGTGTTGAATGTGGTAGTTCCAAGTTAGTGCAACCAATTCCAGATTATTGGTCACACTGGAATTTTATGCATAATATATTTATGTAGTTATTATAATAATATAATTAATTTTATGTGTTTTTAGTAGACCATACATTGTGGGGTGATATTCTATGTAGCATGACCATATTTTATTGTTTTTAATTTACATTTTATAGGATTTTGCATGTGAATTTTTAATAAATATTCTGCACAACTGAATTTTTAGGAAAAGGTGGTATTTTTCTTTTTTCCCCTTTTATTGTCATAGGATCCTTCATCACCAAACAAACAAATAGCAGTACGAATCAAAGCGCTTCCGAAACGGACACTATCCCTCACTATATCCAGTGAAAAATATATTGGTACTATTGACAGAGAACCTGCCACTCACAAGAGTCCTGGTAAGAAAGTTTTTATCTCCTTCTCTCCCTTTTTTTTTGGGGGGGGGAGTGCATCCCATAATGGATCCCCTTGAATTTCCTTGGATTGTTTCTCTTTTCAAAGAATGCATTGAGAATGTGTTTTCTTTATTGTTACAAAAACATGTCCTGTGAAATCTTTATAAATTTTTTTTCTTCCTCTTTTTTCTTTATTTTTTTTTCTTTATTTTTTTTTCTTCTTTTATTTTTTTTTCTTCTTTTATTTATTTTTTTTTCTTCTTTTATTTATTTTTTTTTTTTTTTTTTTTTTTTATTTATTTTTTTTTTCTTTTATTTTTTTTTTTTCTTTTTTATTTATTTTTTTTTCTTCTTTTATTTATTTTTTTTTTCTTCTTTTATTTATTTTTTTTTTTCTTTTATTTATTTTTTTTTCTTCTTTTATTTATTTTTTTTTCTTCTTCTTTTATTTATTTTTTTTTTCTTCTTTTATTTATTTTTCTTTTCTTACTCCAATTTCATTTTCAAGTGCTGAAGTGCTGTTATGGAATCTTAGATCATTTTTAATCAAACCTAGAAATGATTGTTTCAGTTTAGTAAGAAGTTACCTTTTTTTTTTATTTTTTTTTTTTTCCTACAGGCAAAAATAAAGAAGGAGAATCTGGAAATATCATTTATGATTATGAAGGGACAATACAGCAAATTCCTTATTATCTGAAAGATTTAATTGAACCTAAGAATCCTCCAAGATATGGTGACAAGGTAAATTATCTGTGCTGTTCAGTTTGTATGTATGTATGATTGTTGAGGATCAGTGTAGTACCTCTTCTTTCTATGCCTATTTCTGGGCAAGAAACTTCAAAAAGAGAGGGAGGAAAGGTTAGCAGTAAGAAATCTAGAGAAACACAAAATAGAACTGAGGAAATATATAGAGAAGAGGAAGGCATGAAGATAGGAGAGGCTTGCTAGCTAGATATCAAGAGACAATAATGAAAAATGAAAGGTTATAAAAAAATGGAGAGATAGAGCAAAAGAAAGATGAAAGGATGTTTTTTCTTTTTTTTGTATGGAACTATTTAATATTGGAAGGGATAAGGCATAAAATGGTAAAATACAAACAAAGATAACCTTGAGCACTCCCTTCACTCATTGTGTGCTCATTACTGGCTGTATCAGTCATTTCTGGAACTACATTAAAACCTTTTAGGCCATCTTCATTTGCAGAGGATATCATTGATGTTCTACAGTGGGGGTTGATTGAAATTGAAGAGGATTTGAACATCTTATGATGTAGAATTCTATCCACTTCAACAGATTGTGGGCCAATCTAATCCAAATTCTGACATGAACTACTCTCTCCCACCTTATATACATTAGGTCTCAGCAAAAGTAGTGAGTCAGTGCCTTTTGAGTGAACAGATGTGTAGATCTCCTCAGCAGGTGTATGGAACATTGCTTCCTGGAAGCAGTTCTTTGGATAATCCTCTCTCTTTACTATTTCATTTGTTTACAAAATCTTTAAAATTCTTCCTGCGTAATCCACTGTCATGATCTATGATCAGCTGAGCTGGCAAGTTCCTTTCATAGGGTACAGACTAGAATATGACATTTTGGAGTCCTGCCAAACTGAGGTGTGCCAGACTACAGTCTGTTAAGTTTCAAATAATACCCATCAGCATATGTCCTCAGCCTACCCAGATTCACTTCAGATTTTCCTCTTTGCCAATGCAATTGGCATCTTAACCTCTGACTGAACAGCTATTCTTGATACAAAAGAGAAAATTCACTTAATATAGTACAATGTTTGTTTCATTCTGAAATGTCCACTGTGCTAAAGAATGTCTATTATTTGACAAGGACTCCATGCCTGCACAACAGTGGAACACACAGGTGTTAGAAGCTCAGTTTCTCTATTCACCCCAATAAACCACCTCTGTGGCTATCAAGTGAATTCATCTGTTGTTTGGACCAGGCCATTATCAACAAAAAGATTACTTTACCACTGTATTAAACATTAAGCTGTCATTTTATTGAGGGGATTGGTCCGGAGATGCAACACCTCACTTACCATTGAAGAACAAGTTATCTCTCTCTGTGTCGCTAATATGGTATCAATTTTGACAATATTTTGCACATTATTCACTGGACACAGTCAGCATGTCTCCTCATTCATTAGCTTCCAAGACTCCAATTGTCATAAATCTTGCACTGATCTACATATGTATTTCTTTTCAATATATATATATTTATATGCCACACTTGTGATGGTTTCCCGGATTAAAATTTTAAACAGATTATGATTGTTATTTCAGTGACAGTTTTATTAATACTGTTATAGGGCTACTTGCACACTTAGGAAGAGCCTCTCAAGTTTCCTCAAATATAGAAAAAACACTTCATAGTGATGACATGCCCACTCTACCCGACAAGACTTTCAAATTAAGAACTTTCATATCGCCTTACAGTGGCTTTTGTGTCTTTACTAATTAATTCAAAACTTAGCAACTGCTTTTTGACACTTGTAGCTCTTTATTAACAAATATATCATCGATGTAGCCATTTAAATGGATTTGTGACAGCACTTTACTCAGCACAGACCTCATAATTTGGTGCTACATTGAGACCAAATCTCAATTTTTTTTTTTTTTTTTTTTTTTTAAAGTAATCATTGTGTCATGTTCTTTCAGAATGTGGGCAATAAGTTTTTTTTTTTGCTGTATATCTTGCCTTTTCCTCCAACCTCTTTTTGGTTGCTTGTTATTTTTTCCTGGTTATGTCCCACAGTCGTCTATGGGATTTTTTTTTTTCTCTCTCACATATATCAGTTTCTTTGTAGTTGCTATTTTCCTTAAAGCTTCCTTGTTTCTCATATACTCTGTCCATGGTATTCACAAACTTTATTGGTAGAACCACATCTCTCTTCAAGATTTTTTCATTTGTGTCATTTGTATAACATTGTCATAATCTATGAAAGAACTTTGAACACTGTGTATAAAGTTTCTTTTATCATTTTATTTTTTACTAGCAGGCTTTGCTCAGTGTGATATATTCACTACTTGAAATATTTTAAACAAAAATTTTAAATGTACATTTCATTCATAAATTGGTTTGTTATAGTTAAGGAAAGTTTTAAAAATAGATGCCAACTTGTTGAAGGCCAAATAAAATGCAAATTTCAAACACTTTTCTGCACTTTTAGGCGATATTCCTAAATAGAACTATTTTTGATATGAAGATCAAAACAATCCTTGAATAGAAGAACACTAATGGAGGACAGTTAATTCATGAAATATACTTTTTTTTTAAAATCAATATGCAAATTAGTTAAACCTAAAGAGTAATATCACCTAGAAGTAGATAATATACAATACAGAGAGAGCTTTTAGTGTATAAATTAATATACTGTAATTTGTGCACATTATTTATCATCTCTCAGTTGGACAGAGTGCGCTCAGGAGCTTCTCTGTCAAAGGCCAGCGCAACTGTTGGTTGCGAGGGCTGTGGGAAATTTTTGACCCCGCTCAGGTCCCCACTTGTCACATCTCATCCTCATAGGGGAACAAGTAAACACTGTATAAATTACTAAACACTGTATAAATTACTATAAAGTAATTTTACATCTCTCAATTGTGTCTCTGTCCTTGGACAGAGGGGCAACTGAGAAAATTATACTGAAGAGGTGCCCAGTCCGGGGGAACAGCTGCCTGAGGCCACGCCCTCCCATTGCACCAGAGGGAGAGATCAGTGCTCGCACCAAGACCAGCGCAACTGACGGTTGCGGTGGCTTGGGGAATTTTTGTTCCTTGCCCGGGTGCTCGAGCTCCCCACATTAAAGAAACCTTGTGTCACAACCTGACTTTGTTGGGGGTTGAGTAAATATCTACTATAAAGTAATTTGTACGCATTGTCAAAGGACAGAGGGGCAACTGAGAAAATTGTACTGAGGTGTCCATCCCTGAGGAACAGCTGCCTGAGGCTGTGCCCTCCCATTGCACCAGAGGGAGGGATTACTATAAAGTAGAGTTGGGGCTTTTTTTTAACCTCCAATTTCATATTTTATTCATATATATCCCCTAATACTGGTTTTACTTAATTAGTTATGTTTCTCTAACGCTTCAAATGTTGAATGTATAAGTAATTCTATTTTCCTATCTTTACACTATATTAATTTTATTTTATAAATTATCCTCTGTTCTGTCACCCATGAAATAAAAATGATTGTTTGTATGGGAAATAAGGATCTATGTACATCAAATTGTCTTTAAATTAAGTGGCAACAGGAGAATTAATATATATTTTTAACCCCACATAATCTGGCAAATCTGTACTCAACGAAAATCGTTTCCTGCACCTAACTTTTCTAAGGCTTTTGAATGATCTATGAATCTTTGAAATCAAACCAGTGGAAGCAGAGGAGTTGTTTGGACACACACTTACACACACATACACTGTACCTTATATATAAGATTTATCTGCCCCACTCAGTTGTTGCTACACATCAGATGTTCAACAGATAAATGGAGTGATTTCCTCAATTTTCTCTGTCCAACAGATTAATCACCAACTAAACTTTTTTCATTTGTTCAGCTATGGGCTGGGTTGCATTATAATGCCTCCAAACTCTGGTATCAATTTATGGTCAAAGAAACTAAACTTTCAGCAGTTGCCAATGATTTGGGTTTAAGGAGCGTTTATTATGAGGTGGCAGGCATGTGGTACAGTTGTACTAGCACAATTAGAATATAACTAATGTTAACCCAAGGAAATAAATGCCAGTGAATGGCAAAACCTCTTGTTTTTTTAGCTCTGCTAGAGAAAAATAAACATTTCAAGTTATTACTTCATTTCTTACTTGCCAAAGTAGTAGTGGAGTGGCTCTAATATTTTGCTCTCGCCCATTATTTTCAGATTGAATTTAGCATTGGAGAATCATCTAGAAATTCTCAAAAGCGAGCTGTCAATGTCAAGGTTGTTCTTCGCAATGTTGCTGGTAAATGTCAAGGATTCATTGCTACATTAAAGGATAATTATGGCTTCATTGAGAATGCAGACCATGAAAAAGAGGTATTCTTTCATTTTAGGTGAGCATATTTTCATTTTCAATTATCTTTTAATTATTGAGTTACATTTAAGCTATCTGCTGTATTCTTTTTTTCATTTTCTTTTTTATTCATTTAAACTTTGTTTTGATTAGCTTTGTAATTTGTTCTCTTATCTTACTTGATTGAGACCAAACATAATATTTAGAATTCATATGAAAAGTCAAACTACATATACCTCCAAATACTTACATGTGTCGGTACATGCATATAAAATCAATTTCCCAAAAAGTTATAAATCTTTGTGATATGGAAACCAATTCCACCTCTTGACATTGAAATTCTGCCACTTGTGTTCATTTTTGTCCTTATACATGGTTATAACTTACACATACTTTCCATTGATGTTGTTTATTGGCCTGCATGTGCATTAGCCGGGAAGGGGTGGGGGGAACTAGTACTTTACGGATTGATGTGGCACCCTTAGCTATATACTGATCTTGAAAGATCATTAGTTAAAATCAACAAGACTTGTATGGATTCACATTTTATTTACTTGACTCTTAATTATTGTTCCTTTTTATTTTGCAGTTCAGTTGAAAATGTTCCCATGGAGTTCAACTTAGGCGATGAAGTGGAATATACACTTGCGAAGAAGGGTGCAAAACTAAGTGCTGAAAATATAAAGAAACTTCCAAAAGGAACTGTTTCTCCTGAAGTAAGACCTTAGCTGGAATTTGTTTTATACAACTGATAGTGTGATTTGTTTTATTAAGCTTTGTCAGAGCAATTACTAATTTGACAGAGCTGTACTAGCGAGATAAGTTCCCTCTTGCTCTAAAATACCAATTTTACTCTTAGTTGTGAGAAAAACAAATTTAAATCAGACTAACATTTGCTAAAACAAAATTCTGGGAGTCTTGAACTCTTATCCCCTGTTTCTGGATGCTTATCTAACATATTTAAAGTTCAATAATTAAGAATGTAGCTATATGTCTAAATTTGAATAAGGTTAGCTGATTTAGTTTACATAGTCTAATTTGTAAGCCATTGCCAGTTGTGCTCTCAAGCATAAAGGTTTGGAAAATGAATGGTAATGTTTCAACCAAGAAATTTGAGCAGCAGCAGTAAGTTGTTAATTAGAAAAATGCTCTCACTTCTTCATTGCTTCTGACCAAGTAACATAACCTACAATTTTACTTAATTGATAAGGTGTTATGCTTGTGAAAAAAATTATGATAGTTGGTTTATCTTTGAATTAATAACTACACTATTGACTTTTTTTTTTCTCCAGGAAATTCTTTGGGACAAAGGTACTTTACAGGGTAAAATAGTGCGTCCTCTGCGTATTGTCAATCCTGACCAAGATGACTACAGTGGTCTAGTTCAGGTTGGATTGGATGGTAAGTCAGTCTACTTTGAGTTCACTTAGAAAAATAAATGCCTTTATTACTAAATATAATAGTTGTCATCGGCTGGTTTTATATTTTTCTATACCAAATATTTGCAACTTGATTTTTAAAAATCATGGAATGATACACTACTGAAAAGCAACCACCTTTTGTTAGTCATTAATTTCTTACTTTCAGACATAATTTTAGTTTAAATTTCAAGGAAAAGATTTTTTTACAGTAATTTATGAAAATTTCATTTCTTGTCTATTTTGTAGAAGATGAAGAAGAAGTGTATCCCTATGGCATCACCAGTTTAGCTGACAAACGGGATTTTCTTCAAAAAGGAGATGTTGTCAAATTCCAGATTGCCACTGTGAAAAGCACTGGAAAGAAACGTGCTGTTTGTGTGGCTGCTATGCGCAGCTATGTTCGGGCTAAAGTCGATTCTGTAAAAGGCTTGGTAAGTTACCTCCCCACCATATTTGGGTGTAGGTGTGATCAGTACCTTCAGATATTGTAGCTTTACAAAAGGCAGGTTTTATAGATTACATAAAAGCATTTAACAAGGTACGGCATAAAGATCTGTTTGAACTATGAGGAGAAAACTAGATCTATTTGGAAAATGTTACAATATTCCTGAAAATATGATAGAAATAAACCGATTCATACAGATAGAAAATGAATCGAGTACATACACAAAAATAGAAATGTGCTTAGGACAAGGGTGTGTCTAGATTTGTTTGACCTCTACAGCTAGGTTATTATTTATCTGGGAAGTGTATTGACAGAAGATGGGACAGCAAAATCTAATCACATATTAGCAAAAGATGCATTCCAAAACCTAAACAAAAAAAGAGTGCTGAATTGCTATGATATCAATCTCTCCACAGATGAACTGAAAACTGGAGCCAACAAAAATGATGGTTCAACTGAGAATTCTATGCACTGAGCAAGTAAGCAAGGAGAAAGTCTTAAAGAAAATAGTAACAAAAAGAACTCTTATATTCAGAATAAAAAAGAAACAGCTCATATTTCTTGGGCACATAATTAGGAAGGAGGGTTTGGAAAACTTAACCATCACAGGGCAAATCAAAGGCAAGAAAGATAGTGGAAGACAATGGGCCACTGACCTGATTAGCTTGTGTGAATGGATGGTGGGATGTTATGCTTTATAAAAGGAGAAACACTAGGGAGCCACAAGGGATAGAATGTTGTGGAGACCCATGATTGCCAGCATCCTGAAGAGACACTGCACATAGAATTTGCACTAAACTCTACTCTCAAATGTTTATACTTGTAAAAGACCATTTCTTAGATTTATCACAAGTTCTCTGAAATTTCTCTCTCTCACTTTTTTTTTTTTTTTTTTTTTTTTTTTAAATAAAGTTTATGCTCATAGGCATTATTCAGGTGTCTGTTGATCAGAGTAACCTTTTGCAGATTTTGAACTAATTCCTTTATTTAATATATAGGGTTAGATTGTTATTCTGCTGTCTGGGATATCTCATCACATTTAGGGATATATATTTTTTTAAAATCTTTGACTTGGACAGTGGAATGAGTACAATCTACCCTTGTGGATGAATGGGTTCAATTTGAAACTTCTTGATGGTTACCCAGAACAACAAATACCTGAAGAAGGTCAGAAAGTACAACAGCAGAAACAGGATAGTAAAAATCAAAAATGAGGACAGTGGTTCAACTATAAATAATAACCCCTAATCTGAGAAACTGACAAAAGCTACAGCTTCTATTTATTTAATTTTTTTTTTTGACAAAGTATATTTATATAAGAAATAACCTGAAAGAACTTGAGGACATTTTAACATTTTATTTTTGGTCTTAAAAGTTGATGCTATTTATCTTTTTGCTTTCAGTATGGTTTTCTGAATTATGAAGTGGAAGATGGCAAAAAATTATTTTTTCATATGACTGAAGTCCATGACAGTATTGAGCTGCAACCTGGAGATGAAGTGGAATTTGTGGTTGTTCAAAACCAGCGCAATGCTAAGTACTCGGCTTGCAGTCTACGCAAAATCACGTATGTAAACAATTTACTAATTCCTGTCTCTGATGTGCATGTGCTTTTGTTCTTTGCCTTCAAAATTTTGACTTTTTGCTCTGCAGTTTAAGATGTTAGCTAACTTTGCTTTTGACTTCATGCATTGATGATTGTTTTTGTTTAAGGAAATTAATTTTGAAGTTAATGTGCACTTGGAAGTTTTTCATTAAATAAAGTTTGCAATCTGTATCTGTTAATAGACCAATGACTAATGTATTGGGTTGTCTGGAAAGTTCATGCCGATTTTTAAAGGAAATTGAAACCTGAAACAAAATTATGCCATTAAATATTTATTCAACTAAATATGAACCATTTTGTTGCACAACCTTTCTCCATTTTTCCTTCAATTTAAAGATTCCATTTTTGTCAGAATTTCCGTGGTTTTCTCGCTCATTAAGGTGGATTTTTATGTCATTCAGATTACTAAAATTTTTACCATTGAGATTATTTTGCAAGGATCTGAATAAATGAAAATCCAAAGGCGCAATGTCTACTGAATATGGCTGGTGAGGTAACACATCCCAACCAAGCTGCAATGATTTTTGCTGGGTTGCCAAAGAAACGTGAGGTCTGGCATTATCCCAATGGAAAACACCTTTTCTGTTTGTCAAATCAGGGCACTTTCTTTAATCACTGCCATTGATTTGTCCACTTGCAAGCAGTACTTTTCAGAATCAATTGACTATTGACAGAAGCTTGTAGTATAGCATTCCTTTCCAATCCCATCAGATGCACAGCATGTCTGTCTTAGGATGAAGACGTACTTTTGAGGCAGCTAAAGTTGGTGGCTCATGTCACTTACCCCATGATCTTTTTCTCTGAACATTGTTTCTCGTCACCCATCACAATTTGTTTCAAAAAGGGTACATTTTAATTGCATTTATACAGCAAATCACAGATGAAATGTGATCCAAAAGATTCTTTTCACTTGGATCATGTGGTACTCAAACATTGTAGTAGTACCCAAGGATGATAGATTTTTGATAAAATTTAGTGTTTCTGCCACTTCTGTACAGTTCTGTCAGCTAAAGCACCTTCAAAATGTATAGCACATTTTTTTTTTTTTTTTTTTTTTTTTGTTGCATTTTTGCCTTTACAGTGCTTTTTTTTTTTTTAAGCATAAAGTATCTAAAATGCACTTTGTAAACTTCCATTTTCATAGGGAAGCAAAATTGACACTAATTAAGCAATTTTAAACTTTCTTTCTCAAGAGATAGTTTGAAGTGTGCTCTAATTAGAAATGTAAGCATATTATTATGCATTGATAAATTTGTGTTCTAACATGTTGGAACATGGATAACTAAAAATTGGCATGAAATTTCCAGACAATCCAATAGTTTTTGATATTCAGAATTTCTGCAAGAATAAATTTGTGTAAGAAAATGCATTTCTCTTATTTTTGCTGATAAAATTTGATTATAGCTTGTCTTTCAATTAATCTTTTGAATATGTGAAAAAATAAGTGGCAAACTTAAGTTAGAAATTATTTTAAACCCTTATCAGCTTGGCAGAATAATTACAAACCTTGTTTTTTCCCCTACTTTCAGTGATACTCGTCGCCCAGAACGCCTTTTGAGCCGCTTAAAAAGTTTTACTGAAGAGACTGGTCCTCGAGTGATTCTCATCAGACCGCCACAAGGTCCTGATGGTACAAAAGGTTTCACCCATATCCGTACTCCCATTAAAGCAGCAGAATAGTCCCATGAATTTCCCAGCCCTTCTCCATCATCTTTTTACAGTCCTGTCTTCAACAGAGGAATTCAAAAAGAACACTGGAAACTCTTGGAGAGAGAACAAAAAACAAAAAAAAAATAAATGAAAAAATAAAAGAAAAAAAATATGCACACATACATTTAAATTTTTTTTTTTTTAAGCAGAAAAATATATTTAAAAACAAAAAAAAAAACGTAAGTCCTACTTGCCCACACTGGAGATCTAGCTTGATAAAGAATTTAATTTGCACTTTTTGTTACCTAAGTCGACTGAACATTGTTTTTGAAGATTTACTGCTACTAGTGTGGTTTTGGAAATGAATGTATTTCTTTGCAAAGAATCTATTGAATTTGAACCTCTATCTGCTAAGATGTTATTTTTCAGAAGGGATTCTAAGCAATCCAAGTCTAGCTTTAATTTTTTTTTTTTTTTTTTTTTAATTCCTTCCTGAAGTTTAGCCAACAAATTTTGATGCTTTGAAAATCTTTAATTCCTCTTCTGCTTAATTTCAGATTCAGTGGATTCTTTGCTTGGTCAAGATTACAGAAATCTTTGTTTTCAATCCTGTGTGATGGGTGGGGGATTTTTTTTATTTTTACTCTGTTTTTTACTTTTTTTTTTTTTTTTTTTTTATTTGTGACAAGATTTTTCTCAGAATTTGGTCTTCCTGAAAACTTACAATTTGTAGCGTAATCACTACTATTATTATTATTACTACTACTACTACTACTATTATTATTACTATGAATTTTTAAAAAATTTTCCAAAATCAAAAATAAAAAATGAAATGGGTGGGGAAGAAAAAAACATTTAAAAAATTTACAAAAAATGAAAAAAAAAAATTTTCCTTTTTAAATTTAAAAAAATGAAAATTGCAAAAAAAAATGTGAAAATTACAAAAAAAAAAAAAAAAAAAGGATTAATCTTTAAAAGACAGAACAAAAGAAAAATCAAGGAATTTCCATAGTTTTCCTTGATAATTTTTCTTACTGCTTTCCAAAGTAAATTTTAACACCTGATTAATGTCCTAATCTAATGGAATGTTCAGTGTCTTCTAGTGCTGCATCTCTCAAGGTTTGTCACAAGTACAATTTATTTGTATCTGCTTTTATGTGGGAACAAGGACTAAAACAAAGATTAGCCTAACCTGCTTCATCTTATGCTCATTGTAAAGGACTTAACTAATAATAATCTAATCATTTTTTTTATTTTTTAAACATTTATTGAAAAGTAACAAATTTTGAATGAATTCTCAACTTCCCTACTTTCTTCAAACAAAAATATATCTAAAGTGTACTTTTGGTTTCTTAAAGGATGACTAGGTTAGAACTTCATTGATTCATTCACTATTATTACTACTATACTCTCATTGCTATATATATATATATATATATATATATATAATTTCAAATTTCAGTAATTTGAAAGGAAAAAATGATTATAAACACAGACTTAACTGCTGACTTTGAGCAGGAAATATTCTGGAAATTCTACATCCTGCCCACTTGACTGCTTTCATGATTTACCCTACACAAGTTACACCCCTCTTCCTACCACCTTCCACTCCCACAAGCAATTTCTCTTTCTTCAAGCTTGACTCTCTCCCCTGTTATTCTTCTTTCCCCCCTCTCTCTCTCTCTCTCTCTCAAACCCAACCTCCAGGCACCTGGATGACATCAGGACTTGTATGACTTGTATACTTTTTGCTTGAGATCTGCTAGATTGTCCCACCTGCTTGCATATCATTTATGTCTATCCCCCCTGAAGTAGGGGTTCTTTTTTTCTTTTCTTTTTTCAAGATTTGGTTGACTTATTTCCATTGGTATGAAATGCAGAAAGAGCTATTATTGTTCAATCCAGAGACATTTTATCTCATTTAACATTCAATCTCTGCCTTTGGCTTTTGGCTCTCTTGGTAATCAGTTGGTCTTTCATTGGATGACCAACTGCATGTTTGAGCAAAACTTCCATTTTGGAAATGGATTTTTGAGGAAAACAGGCAAACTCTTCAGCTTTCAACTTTTTAAAACAATTTTGGAATTTTTTTTTTTTTTTTTTAGTCTTAAGATTTGTCATGTCTTGAAAATATTAATTTCTTTTCCATTCTGTCTTTATTTTATGGCTAGCCATAGTGTTTGCTGGTAAAGCAATGTGGAAATAAATGCTTGCATGGCTAATTGAATGAGGTTTTACCAATGCAATACTTCATATATAACACTTGCTGACCTTTGTTCATTTTTAGTTAAACTGAATATTTTGTCAGTTCTGTTTCTATTTGAGATTTGCTTGTTTCTCTCTCTTATTGTGCATAATTGTCTGATGATTATTCATCTGTACAATATTATAACCACTCTCACATGCCAAGACTCCATACATCGTGTGTGTTATATCTCTCTTCTCACTTGCCTTTTCCTAATCTTTTGTCTCAATTTTTTCCCTTTATATTTTACTTGTATCTCATTTGGAACCTACTCTCATTTGATCCTGGTGCAATATTGAAGAAAAATTTGACAAAACTCATTTGTGAAGTTGATTTGATAACAATTTTAGACTGAACTAAAGAATTGATTAAATTTAATTGTTCAAATCAACTGTTTGCTTTTGCTTGCTGCTGATCAATGAGTTGTTGTCTGTTCCTCCCTCCCCCACCTGCCACCAGCTCTCCCCACCTTCTTTCTTTCTTTGCTATTACTCCTCTTCCTCACAATTCTTCAATCCCATTGTGTGCATTGCTGGACTTGGCCTGTCTGCATCAGAAAGGAAGAAGAAAAAAAAAAAAGAGAAAAGAATGTGTCACCCATCAACAACTGGGATTCCATCTGGAAACTGCTACTTTGACTGGCTGACTGCCCAATCAATCAAGGGAACAACTTGCAACAGGTGCTAATTTGTCAAGCTAAAATTACAGATCAAATAAATTTTTTTTTTTTTTTTTTTTTTTTTTTTTTTTTCCTTTGGAAAAACAGCAATTCAAAAAAAATTTAATTTTTGACTCTGTGTTACTTTATTTGATTTGTGTTATTAAACTGATTTTTTTTTTTTTTTTTTTTCTTTCAGTTTTCATTCCAATTAGTGGATTAAAATTTGATATTCAGAAGATTGGCTTTCATAATTGCTACACATTGTGAAAATTGAATCTTACTTGAATTTAATATTTTCTGCATACACATGAATTCAATTCCCCCCCCCTTATTTTATATATGTGTGTATTTTTATATATATATGTGTGTGTGCGCGTACACATGAAAACTATTATCATTGTGAATACAGTGAACTTATTCCTTGTTTGCGGTGGGGGAAGCAAAATATTGAAAATTCAATTTCAAACTACACTGTCGTTCATAACTTAAAAGTAGATTAATTACTCTTGTTTATTTTACCCCAAAATGAGTGATTAGCAGTATTCTTTTCTCAGCCTATTTTATCATCGTTGAGGCTCAGAAAACAAGTTACTGCATTTTCATTAATGGTGATGCTGACAAAAGTCCTCGTGAAAATTTCATCTTTCATCTGTTAAGGAATTCTTTTTCTTTTGCTAAGTGAGATTTTTTTTTTTTTTTTTTTTTTTACAGAAAGTACAAAATGTCAAAGTATGGAGTTAATAATTAGTTCTGCTGCCTTTGGCTCAAATATTTGATGTCATATTGAATTGAAAACTGTCCAGATTTTTTTTTGAGCTTTTATTTTCCCCATTCTTCTTGTTTGTAATCCTAAAGCTCTTGGACATTGTGTGTTTTTTGTCAGAGCACATGTTTCTTCAGTTCCCACCACAATCATTCAATTATATTGATATTAGGACGGTCTTCCAAAAGTTGAACCAGTTCATTCACAAGAAACCTTTTTGTTGCACATTATGCTAAGGAATGTTTCCATTTGTAGTTTAGCAGAAAGTTTCCATCAACTTTTACCAATTTTGTTCTTCCGTTGATTTTGATGCAACCCCACACCATTACATGCCTGCCACTAAATTTTGGTGTGTGTTTTGCATTGTTTCTTTCTCCTGCTGGCTTTCTTACATTTAGAATGTAACTCTATTTTGCATTCATTACTAAAATTACTTTTTGTCACTTTCCAGCATCCCATGTGATATGTTCTTTTGATCACTTCAATCTTCTATTCCAATGTTTTTTGGTTAAGGAGTTTAAAATATTCTGCATACTCTATCAATTGAAATCTCACTGTTAAGACTGCATTCAATATTTTCCTGACTGTTAATATTAGATTGCTTACTTTCACAATCTTTCATCTCACTTGTCAAACTTTTGTAGATTTTGGTTTTCTTTGCATTTAGAACATTTCCAGTAGCAGAAAATGTCTCCTGGCTTTTTAATTTGTCCTCTTTTTTTTTTTTTTGTTTCAGATGACATTTTAGCCAATAATTTTAGTGTGAATTTTTTTTTTTTCTTTCAACCTAATGACTTGCCAAGGCAACATGCATTCATCTTAATAAGATAGAACATTACCTACTTAGAAATTTGAATATTATGATTTCATCATCTCGGATCTTTCATTGGACCAATAGTCTTGCACAACCTTTTCTTTCTGCTTAAAGCAGTGTATCTTCTGTTCCATGGCACCTCTGAAAACTCGACAATTTATTTTCCAATCCTCAGGGTTCCGACACTAATGAAGAAAGCATACTGCTGATGTTGAAATGATTATACACCTTTATTTTATTATGCAGTTGATGCAAAACGTTTGCAGGCCAGTGTACATTAATATTGCCACAGGATTTCAAGAATCAAAAGTCTGTCACAGAATGTAATGAAATGTATGCGTGCATGCATAGGCGTATATACATAAAGGTCCAGTCCATAATAAATTTATTTTTGTGTATTTAAACATATTCATCTCATCAGACTAACTACATTTTGTATAAAAAAAAAAAATTAATTATAATCTTGTCCCCATCCCTCTTTTTTCAAATGAAATTCTTATATTTTTAAGGTTTTTTTTTTTTACATAAAATACCAAAATGTAATTGGTTTTTTTATTTTATATATATATAAAGTGCGGTATCCTCCCTGTGCATAGAGAACAATTCTTACCTGACCAAGTATGGGCTCTCCAAGATCATTAGTTTTTGTCTGAGATCTTGTATGTGGATGTTAATGACTTTTTTTTTTTCTTTAACTGCTGGAAGTTATTTGGAGATTTTGTAGAGTGAATTTGCTCTAACATGTTTGAAAGAACTCAATAGAATTGGTGATAGGGTAGCCATGCTAATCAATTTCTGACTTGCTGCTATACAGCCTTTTACAACACTGCTTTCTTTTTAGTAAAACACTTTGCAAATAACTTCTCTGTTGGCTTCTACTGGGTGGGTATGCCTTTGTTCATTTGGTAGCTAAACTTTGAATTTAAGTGTATGACAGATTGGTAGCAATGTCTCATCTTACACTTGATATGACTAGATGTAACTAAGTTCTATGCTAACAGTTTCTTCTCTCACATTTCTCAATTATAGAATCCACTTCTTGCTGTCCAGTCAACTTTTGCATTTAAATTTTTGAACATCAATGCCATCATTAATTCTTTTGTTCTCTCGCCTTAATAATGGTTTCTTTTTCTCATTCTCTCACTCAATAATGCCTCGAAATCTTAGTGGCGTTATTGCCTTTGGAGTGAAATAATAATAATAATAATAAAATGCTTACTATCTTTGATCTTCACATGCACATTGTTACAAGACAGCAGTTATCCCTTTTGTCACGTGTTGATATTTTTTTCATTGTAAAAATCTGGAAAGCTTTAATGACTTGAGAAGCTCGGATAAACCCGAGATAAATGTCAGTAGTAAGAGCAAATGTTTAAACAGGAGCCTTTATTAACAATCTAAATAAATAAGAATGTTTTATTATACAAATTAAATTCAAGAAGTGAACCATATTTTCATCAAATCCCCTATCTGCCTAGGCAACTAATGCAGGTTTGATAAGGAGCAAATTGAAATTTATGAAATTCTATGAAATTTTAAATTTTATGGCAAGGAGGATGTACTGAAAAGTACAAGATGTTGAGTCCTAAATCAAATGACAAAATGTGAAATCCTTTAAACGAAATAGGTGAACAGAATTCATGAAGATCAAATTTTAACTTCTTTTCATTGAAATATCTGCTACCTTCTATGAATCGTATGGTATAGTATGGTAGCTACTGGCAGAAACTGCTCTTACAGTTTAAGATGTCAGCAAAGCGCTGGATTATGGGTGAGTTTCAGATAGTGTGACAAGGACAGTTAAGACGTTTTTTTTTTTTTTTTGTGGAGGTGGGGGGCATATGGAGCCATATTTGAAGTCGAACCCTTTCAGAAAGACAATTCTCATGTCCAAAAATGCTGCATAACATTCGACGAAAATCAACGGATATTTGAATAAAATGTTTTAAGGACTAGTTTAAAGTAGTAGGTTGATTTGTCTGAGGTTAATCTAATTAAAACCTGAGGAGGAACGTTTACATTGATAGACTCGATTTATCGCAAGATGAGCTTTGGTATTCTATTTTTGATGCTATGTAGTTTATTTTACATGAAATACTAAAATTACTTTCAGCATGTGAAGCATATTACATTGATATCTTTAAATGTATATGTCCTCATTACAATGACAGTTTTCAATTTTCGGATCATTTTTGTTAACTGCGTATGTTTCATAATTTTTAATTGCAACAATGTTTATTGGAATTTCAATAACTCTTATTAATGTGAAACTTGCAAAATCTGATCAAATTAATGAAACTATTGCCACAGCATATGAGTGACATGTAGTCTACTACAATTTGTAGCATAAATTATAATTTCTAAAGAAATAATGATTTTTTTTATTTATTTATTCAACAGATGTTATCACTTGAAATGTTATTTTGGTGGATACTCGTATTTCAGTAGATGCTCTGTTCATTTATCCACTAAAATAATGTTTAAAGTGATAAATTATTGGATAAATCCTCTAAGTTAACACGAATATTTAATGAATTCTTTCATTAATCTTCTAAAACTGGCCACTTATGTGACATGCACTGTACATGTGATATATAAGAAGTGTTTCTAAAAATGAAAGAAATTATAGCCATGACGAGAAATAAAAAAAGAAGCAAATTCTGTTTGTAACATATTTGGTTATTTATTCAAAAATTGCCACTGTTGAATAGGTAGGTGACACTTGGGACAACTTCAACCAGCTTTTCCCTTTGATCAGCGAGGACTCAAGATTATCTCATCTCTGTCCATATCTAACCACGAGCGGCTCGCAACTCATAGATGGTTCGAATGTACTTTCTACGCGGTGACTGCTTCTATAAGCCTGCAAGTAGAACCTCCGGCTAAGTCAGGTCCCATTGTGTCGCAACTATATTAATCCATTAACTGCAAATGACGGAAATTTCTATCAGTGCATCTTTATGGCTTGATGAATAACACTTTTCTACCGCAGCGAATGGATGAAACTAGCCGAAAATCGTCTATACACTTTGTAGGAAGCTCTGTGTGTGTGTGTGTTTTTCCTATTTGGGTATATTTTAAGACAACTTTGGCAACCATCTACGTCAAGTAACTTTCATATTTTACAAATTCGGCATATGCACATTTGTTGACAACAAAAAAAAAAATGGTATCGCTATCGGAATTAGCAGATTTAAATGAAAATTTAGTATATTAATGAATGATTTTATGTTCTATAGGTTATTATTTGAAATTTGGTAGTTATATGAAATTCAGTCATAAAAAAATTTGCAATATTCACTAAGACTCGAAAATATTTTTGAGTTCATATTTGCATAATTTAATGAAACATTTTTCAGATTTGACAGGAAGAAATCTATATTCAATATTCATTTTAAAAACAATTCTAATTTTTTTCAGTGAGATTTTGAAATTTACCAAAGGTTTTTTTTTTTTCCTAATCTCAGAAACTCTGCCGCCAATTAGTGGTGACTGATACTTTCTTGGGTGCATATATTTTCGTATTTTCCAATTGATCGAGATATATAAAAATGTGTTATTCTTTTAACATTTAGATGATTTGTGATAAAACATTATTATGTACGATAAATGTCATTCAAATTTATTTTATAGTTACAGTTTTGTCACCAGTTATCGGACAAAATTCTGCAAATATTAATATGGTTGAATCAAATTTTTTCCTTGAGTTTTGTTTTTTTTATACCTATTATACATTTATAAAACATTCGAGCAAAAGTTAAGAGAAGCGGAGTGCCAGGTGCATTTTCCCAAAATTTCACAGGAAATACATAGTGTCTCCAACATTTGGCAAAACAAACTAAAATGAAAATTTAACCGTCATCAGTGTGTGAAGGCACTGCATAACCTGAAATGCTATGTCACCAATATATGATGACATAGCAGTCAACGTGTTAATAAAATATCGAAAATTTGTTAAAAAAAAATTGGATTTCTTGAGATTAAAGTATTTTGTCGGAAAAAGATGTTAAATTTTGAATGAAAAGAATTTCTCTTTTAAAATCTAAAAAAACAAAAAATCCTTATAAAAATAGTTCATGTGACTTCTGACTGAAATGGAGTCAATGACAGTTCATCAACGTATAATGGCAGTGTGTTCAAACATTACAGTATAACACTTAAATATTGTTTCAAAGGAGTTATTTTACTGTCACTTGATAGGTTTAAGAGCTGTTTGTGTGTTGCGGGGGATGCTTAATAATACATTTTTTAGGAGAGCTTGACTCATGAAACCTGAATTGTGGACTAAAAATACCTTCTCTTTGTTATTACTACATTTCAATCGATTCATTCTTTAAGGAAAATTGTTCACTTCAAAAGATGGGAAGACATGATGAAATCAGATTATAGATAGTTATGTCTGTGTGCTAGTTGTGGTTAGCTAATTCCTGTTGAAGACACCTACTCAAGCACATCTTGTGTTTGTTTGGCATCCATAAAGCCAGCCTAAGCTTTATACTTAAATTATGCTGAGCCGACCTTAGTTTCTAGGAGAGAAGTGCGTAATCTGGTGTGATCAACAGTTTGAACGAGGCATGTACATTCAAACCTTCAGCCACAACCTTATTCAACCTCCACTTAAACCGTCATCCCAAGGTCAATATTATCAAGAAGTCACCTCCTTCGAATCCGGGTCCCATGGTCGGAATGTTTTAACGGCCCGGCCACGCGACCACATACGGACTGCGTGGTCCCTACGTGGCCTAGAACAATATTTTATCAACCTTTTTTTTTTTTTTTATCCTCCGGCACATTTGAAACTTCCGCAGCCTACTTAATAAAACATTTTTTATGATTTATTTATAAACACAAACAGAACCATCATCAAACCATATAATAATTACCAATGTGTATTTATTTATATATTTTCTGTCAAATCTGTAGTGAGAAGTGGGTAAATAACTCAATAACTCAGATTTACTTAGTCGTTTTAATAATCTATACAAATAAAATATCTGAATTTAGACAAAATTAGTTCCCGAGCAAAATGAAGCGTTTAATCAGTTCGTTTTTTCTTAGATTGCAGTCATATTTGTTGAAGCCTTTCATGTGAAACACTCAGATAACTTTCAGCTTGGTCTCGAAATAGGCTTTGTTGTTCTGTTGCTAATATTTTTCTTACGAGAGAGATTTCCATTTCAATGTTATATTAAACAAATTTTTTTCCACGAAATGTTTGAACAAAAAGCGATTTATATAATACCAGGTGTTATCAATGAATCATAGAAACCATTGAACGTCTAAAACGTATAAAGGGAACAAATTAATTAAAAGGTTCATTTGCCTCTTATTTTAGTTGTGAATTCTTTATCTCCGTTTTATTGTTTCATTGCATTTCACTATTAAAACTTTCTAATAATTGCTGTCATTTTTGACAGCACGGGTACACTATTATAATTTCTAATATAAAGATAATAATTAAAATTCTTAAATTTATTCCTTTATTTTTCTGTTTATCAAAATTTAACATTTAACCAGATATCTGAGATTGAGGCTATTTTAGAACATCTTTTTTTGCAAGGTCGAATTTTGGACAGGCATATTCTTAAATCCTCTTCCAAGGATTCTAGCCGTGATCAGTTTTTTGTTTTTAATACTGTCTTTATTACAGAAAAGCTTGCTTCGGACAATCTTTGAAAATAATGAACTCTAAATTTTTTACGCGCAGACTATCTTCTCACAGCATGCCGGTCGAAAATCACTGGTCGGGAATAGCGCTTCTCAAACTACGCTATGTCCAACCTCACCCCCACTCTTTTTTTTTTATAAAGATATGTCCTATTTCAGGGTTATTTTGAGACTGTGCTAAACATGAGAACATGATGATGTCTTATTTATTTTAAGAACAGTCATTATTGACGTAACAAGTCTTCCAAGTGTGTCAAGGACCGGTACCATATTTGTGCCATATAATTACGTAATAACGATCCAATAAAATATTATTTGAACATACCAGAAAATATAATGAATATAATAAAAGTTGCATGGTTTTATTTTATTTTATATTGATTTTGTAAACAAGTAATTGTAAAAACAAATATGAAAATGTTGAAATAAAAAAAAAATCTAGTTTGATATTCCGACAGTCTCCCGTGGCGTGGAATGTAACTACTATTTGTTTTTTTCTTGAAAACTCCCCACGTGCCGGCAGACAATGGCGTCTAGAGGATTGAATGAATCGAGTGAAACATTGACAACAACTAAGAAAATAAGATGAATAGTCCGAATTTCTGAAAAAAAAAGTCTTCGATCCGACATTTTTTTTTAAAATTTCTGGATGAATAAAACTTAATAAGAATGATAAAGAATGTGCCGAATCAAGGTGGGGACTGAAAAAAATAAAACATGGATGAGTGGGACAGGGGAAAGGAATTAATGGAACGAAGACTTTTTTCTCAGTCGTGTCGTTTGTCAAATGTAATCATAACTTAACAGTAACACTGTTTAATGTTGTCTTCAGTGAAGAATTTAGGTAATACGGCGTGATTGGTCTCCTTAAACCGTTGTCTGAGTAACGCAGAGGTGTGTTGCTATAACGATATTCATCGTATGTAGTTGTATCACTTTGTATTTCTGATGATTCTCTCAAAGAATCTGAAATATAAAGGAATTAATATGAATTTTGTATTATTACAACATGGGAAAAATGTACGCCAAAAATTTCTTGCCCGCCAAAAATCGGTGTTTCAAAAGGATTGTTCTTCCATTGACACCGCTTTTATTTTAACTATGTTCACTCCCTCATAAATGTTTATTTAAAGATTAGAAAATATTATCTTATATAGAGATTTATTTACCACTTTATAAAGAAATAAATGTGAAAAGAAATCTTTTTATTAAAAAATATAAAAAAAAACTTACAAAATTATCAATGTGTTTTCGCATCTTTATAAAATGGTAAATAATAAATCATAATTTTTTTTTTATAATCCGATGAAGTGAACATAGTTAAAATAATAGCGGTGTCAATGGAAGAACCGTCCTTTTGAAACACCGTTTTTTTTTCTTTTCTTTTTTGCAGGTCATAGGGTCCATATTTGCCTAATTTTTTTATAAAACCAAAAACATTTCTGGTGTGGGGGAAACTATGATAATGTGGAAAAAGTTTTCATGTGACGTGCTTCGTTCTTTAGGACTTTATCGGACCAAAGTGGAGTTTGAGTTAATGCGATTACGCATGCGCACGAAGGAGAGGGGACGCTGGGAATTTTAAATTTTAAAAAGTTAAATTTAAAGTTAATTTGTCTTTTTTCTTTCCGAAAGAAAAGAAAAAAAATGAGAAACGAGCTTGCGTCCATAACAAGTTCGGACGTTTAGCTCGAGCTGGTACAATAGGAAGATGCGTTAGAAAGCATCTACGTTTTGTCGTATTTAATATTGAAAGTGTAGAAGATACAGCCACTACTCTCTCTCTCTCTCTCTCTCTCTCTCTCTACGCCAAGTTAGTTTTGAACGTGAGCAATCAACAGCTTCCTAATTTTTGCTCTTAACCTCGCCTTTATGACCCTTTTTTTTCTTCTTTGTGGTACCTGCATTTTTCCCTAAAATTATCAGGTAGGCTATTCCCTGCGTCTCCCAGGTATGGCATGGTCTGCATACAATGATGTGCACAAGATCTGGACTGAAAACTCAAGATCAAAATATTCAGAGCCGCTTTTGAGCCGATTCCACTCTATGGCTCAGAGACATGAACACTCTCTAAAGGCATGGAGAAACATCTGGATGATAACTCAAAACTTCTCTTGGAAACGCCATCCGACCATCCACCAAATCTACTGTAGTTTTCCCCGTGCTTTCTCTCTCATATGAGCTTGTCGAGCACAGTTTGCTGGCCACTGCCACCATGCCAAAAATGAGATTGTCTCCTCTCACCTACACTGGAAGCCTGAGTCAAACCTGACCAGGAGCAGTAAACTATCATTCCCTGGCGTTATCTCAATGGATGCAGATCTTGGGCACCGCAATGAAGGACCGGAAGGACCGGAATATAATATAATATGTTGGGGAATGGTAGTCAAATCATATAAGAAACCTTCAGATAAGATGATTTTTAATGTCCTAAAGAATCGGCTAGTCAAAATGATTGTGAAGAAAATTAACTTACCATCACTGAAATAACTTTTGTTCTTTGAATTGCTGAGCTGAAAAATAAAGCAAACACCCGTCAGTCATTTTCACGTGTTTTTAAATCAAGTATAAGAAAAAGCAGAGAAAAAAAAAAACCTCTAAGGCTTCAGTTTCATAATCAAAGGGTAGGTTGATGGTCATCTCTTTTTGAACGTTTTAGTGGAGAAAGTTAATTCTGGTGTTGTTACTAGTGTTTACCGGAAATTTATTTTTTTCTGAACAATATTTACATTGGAACTTTTTTTGTCCATCACATAAGAAAATCAGTCTTAGTTCATCGTACCTTAATGATCTATTCCCACTGTAAACTTTCTTCTGAACTGAAATAATCCGGTATGTTCTTGCGAATAATGGCTACCCGTCAGATTTGGTGGAAAAATGAATTAGACAGAAAGTTGCCCCTTTTTCCATTTAATGTTGTAAACGCGCCTATGGCAGTACGAGAGAACAAACGAAACAAATACTGTCGATGAGGCGAAAAAGAAAAGACAATTGTTAGGATAAAATTATTTACCGTTACAGAGGAAAAAGGCGGATTGTCTCTTTGTAGGCGAGAGAAGCGACTTGGAGGAAGGGGATTGTCTGTAGAGCCCAGAGTTGATGCGTGTGTCGGGTCAGTTCACAGAGACTGTCTACAGTGTCGTGAGCGGCGTTCTTAAAAGCCGATGGGGTGGATCATGACTCACTGTTTTTATAATGTTTTTGCTTTAGCAGCAATCTTTGTGTTTGGTTCCTTTTATATTGTATTTTATATTTTTTTGGAGAGTATTTATTTTAAGAGCCGGATGTGATGATCGTAGCCCCTGAACAGAGTGCCACTTTTTTTTAATTTATTTTTGATTTTGCTGTTTTAGTGTTCATATCCGGCCAGCAGGTTTTGATGTAGAATGAATCGAAGAGAGATCTAGTTTGGAGTAGCGTATAACACTAACAAAAAGTTAATCTAAAATGACCTTGGTTGGGTAAAATCAGCATTAGGTTTACTGCATTAAGTTTGCGCCAAGTATCTTACCCTAGAAAGGCTTTTTCGTCCATCAGCAATGATCGTGTTCCTTTCTTCCAGAAAATTCTCTCGTTTACTTATTTACATGTCAGCGTGAATCTGTTTACATTGGATGCGCTTCATAAAGAATGCAGGATCAAGCAACATGCCTCACTTGGCATTAGAAACGCACATTCACGTATTTGTAGTCTTTTGGATTCAGCGATTGGCTCATACTTTATTGATAATCCTGTCTGTTCCAACCTTATCTCATTTGATAGCTTCAATATTCTAAACGTGACGCGTTCGCTTTTTCACTTACGGATTTCGGAATCTCTTTTTGTTTCTAGACGTCAACCGCATCTCTGCAAGCAGAAAGACTTCCTATACTCCTTGAATTTACCCTTTACGCAGTATAACATGTTTAACAGGCTTACTATTGGACACTTATGTTTTTTTTTCTGTGAGATGATAGATAAAGTCTTCTAAAAAAATTTGCCTCATTTTTTATAAGCAATTTTGTTTTATGGTTTAACATTTTAAACGCATCAACAAGTGGAAAAACTATACTGAATCCATTGCTATGACAGCTGCTAAGGAAATGGGTTCACTGTGACGTGCGAGACAATTTTTCTCTCCAGAATCTACCTTACATATCTATAGATCTACCATTCGTCCATGCTTTGAATATTGCTGCCACATATAGTCCGGTGCCCCTGTTATATAATTGCTCCTTTATAAAATCCAAAGAAGAATCAGCAATATTATTGGTCCTGATCTGGCGGCTCGGCTTCAGTCACTTTCACACCGCCCTGAGGTTGCATCTTTATGTCTTTTCTTTAAATACTTTCATGGTAATTGTTCGGATGAGCTCTTTGCTATGGTACCTAAAATTTAGGAATTTAAGCGCAGTACCAGACTGGCGTCAAGGTCTCATCAATTTACAGATGAGCTGGCTAGATGTAGCCGTAAGTTGTATGCTAACAGTTTCTTTTCATGCACTTCTCGTTCTGGAACTCTGTTCTGGCTCCATGACTTGCTGTCAATTTTAATCTGCAAAAATTTAAATGCAATGTCAATCGCTATCTACTGTCCTCCCGATTACTTTTTCTCTTCTCGCTTACTATTAATGTTTTTGTTCCTAATTCTTCCACACCCTGTAAACCGCTTGTGCCTTAGTAGCTTTGCTACCTTGCATAAGGTTATACCCATAAAAAAATCCACTTTAACCGAAAAGCTGACCACTTAAGAGGAATTATTCCACCTGTTTTTTCTTTGCTTTTTTTTTGTTTTTTTTTTATAGTTGCTGTTAACATCATCGGTTCTTCAATGAATGTCACACTGTTAAAGAGATAGTAGGTTTAGAAACCAAATATCTATTTCATTTAACTTTTTTCTTTAAATTTTTCTAATTTATTACCAGTTTTGCATACTTGTTTCTGCAACATGTGTTAACCTCTTATTGTACATTACAAGATCTCCAGTAAGGGATATACAGTATGCATAAGCTGAAAACTAGATGTAGAGAGTTTGAAATGCTTAGCTTTTTTGGATTGTTGAGAGAAAATTCTTTGAAGCGCAGAGTGCTGTTCAGAGGCCGATAATATAACTGGCGAATAATTTTACATTGGTGAGGACTTCAACGCTGGTCGTGAGGAACTGAAATGAAACCCTTCACATGACTTCAGACAATCTTCTCCGATTAATTTAATTCATCTACTCATTTTTTATTAAAAAAAAATAGTATCGCGTAGGGTCGCTACTTTCTTCTCTTCTTCTTCTCGACTGACAGGTAATTTCTGTGAAGGTAAGGTTTTTATTGGTTTAAAAAACAATTTCACATAAGCCCACGGATTCTTTTCCTTCTTCTTCCTCAGTATGAAGGGGGTGGGTGAAAGGAGTTATTATTTCGCACTCACTACATCAGAACGAATATTTTATGCGTCACATGACTTTTATTACAGTTTATTGTTATAATTATTATATTTTATTAAGAGTTATTGTTGTTAATGCCTTATTGTGTCTAATAAGATATACGATAAGAACGAATATTCTATCCGTCACGTAACTTTTATTACAGTAAATTGTTAGAATTGTTCTATTATCAATTGTAGCTGTTAAACTCTTTCTATGTCTAATTTACAAATTAAACCATAGATAGGTAATATCGAAAAAAACCATATATATATATATATATATATATATATATATATATCAAGTATGCGGTGCAGTTCAATTTACATTACATGAATCACTCATACATAAAACAGATATAAAAGTTAATGATTTAAATGCTGAAAATACATCTTCGCAAACAAATTTAATAAAGTACATTAACCCCGAACCTGTATATGAATGTTATGATCCCTGTTTATAAATTCCAGTTGCATAAGGTCTTTTTTAGTTTTTTACAAGCTTTTGTCTGTTCCCCTATGACATCTTCAGGTATGGAAATAGATTTGTTTTTGTTTTTTACTTCTCGGTAATAACAAGACAGCGAAAATATAGAGGTAATCCGAAAAATGTTTTTAGAAATGTTATTGTTAATTGTAAGACATTTTTTGGGAGCGTGCGGTAGCAACGCTGAGGTTGAATTTTTAAATTTTAAGATTGTGCGTTTTTGTACTAATATGGTAATAGGAGAATTCTTTTGTACTGATAGGTTTTTCAGTCAATGTGGCATGAACTAAATTGTTCAATAAATACAGGAATGTCACAGTTATTATCCGAAATTTGCAGGTCGGATCAGTTATTTTAATATCAACTATGCGATGCAGTTCAATTTACATTACATAAATCATTCATACAAAAAACAGAAAGCCACACTGATGAGTTGTGAAACAGCGAAACAGTCTGTCTGTGGATGACGATATTAGCTCGCGAAAAATAATTAATTCGGTCGAGCACTGTGGGGGAAAAAGCGCAGATTTCTAAACAGTCACTATTACTGCAGATAATGCAAGACTCTCCAAACTGGATTGAGTTCTCTAGGTCACAGTTGCGTTTTTGAGGAAAAATAAATATGCAAAACTTCGCATTTCTTTTCGCCGGGTGTCGATAGCCTAGAGGTTAGAATTTCCGTTTGATGCCAAATCGGTCGGGTCTCGGTCCCGGCTTAAAGCGATCGGATGTCTAGCCACACTGATGAGCTGTGAAACGGCGAAACAGTCTGTCTGTGGATGACTATATATATATATATATATATATATATATATATATATATGGCGTTCCCAAATGTGAAAATAAAATATAAAAAGTAAAAAAGGTATTTGCCTTTCTTAAAAATCTTTCTCTCTCAAGTAATGAGAAGGCAACTCATATAAAAAGAGGACAAAAGAAAAACCTGAATGAAATGGAATTTCTCTAGTTCAGAGTTTAGTTTAGTGTGACTAGAAATTGATCACAACAAGAGAGGCTCCACGCATAACTTCTGCTATAAAAAGAAAAAGAAAGGAACACCGGAAAATAAAATAATTTTAGCTAAACAAAAGAAAAAGGAAACTTTTGATTTTAGCCGAATATAACTTCGCACCAAGTTGTCTGCAGCCTTCCAAAATTCTATATAAAGGACCAGGAAAAAGACAGCTGGAGAGACAGCCAGAAATCACGACCGGACGTGTCGCATGAAGAACTAAGTGATAGACTGTAAAGTCATTTTATCGCGCTTTTGAGGGTCGAAATAATCAACAGATTTGTACTGCAAAATGTCTCTAAATTAACCACATTACTTCAAAATTGAACACTTTCATTTGAAGATGGATGAATCCTTGTACATCTAATGTTTCGACTGCGATAAAAAAAAAAAATAAAAAAAAAAACTCCGATAAAAGTTTCCAATAATTATTTCTAAAACACTCTGGCCTTTCTCATATATATATATATATATATATATATATATATAATTTCCATATTATCCATGACTTCAGTCATACGCTGAACGTGTAGATAAAAATGGAGGTTAATCTGCTGACGTCACATCACATCATGTCGGATAAGTCAACAGTTAATGTCTGTGCTATACGGGAAAAGAATATTCCTCCGTTAGCATTTCTTTACGAGCATTATTATATCTATGATATAATAACACCATAATATACAGACGGAAAGGAATAGCTGAAAAAAAAAAAAAGAATGACGAACATATATAGATCCCAGAAAGAGTTTTATGCTGCTAAATCATACACCAAAATTATATACACATATTTACAAGTGTGGCACACAGAGAAACTGTAACACGTGCATACTGCAACAAGTAATGCGAAAATAGCGAAGAGAAATTCAGTTTTTCTTATAATAATTCCCAACGGAAGATTATTCAGTGTTTCTGGAGAAACTGTGTTTATATTTCCCAGTGGGGATTTGAGCGGTTTGAATTTATCTTCTATGTCATTAGCGAAGACATTTCTCAAAAAAGAAACGGGTTTTTCCTAAGATGAACTGCGAGCCGGAGATAGTTTCTATATCTGGTGAGGATATATTTCTGAAGAAAAACGGTGACCTTTGTTTGTGAGCTGACCCTTTGACAGCTCGCTCGTGCAAGGTAGATTTAGTCTCGGTCCTTATTAAAAAAAAGTTTGAGCCTTGGAAGCTAACTGACAGACTAACCACTTTTGTCACTGTGTGAAGTGACGTCACTAAGCGGCCGTCCCACGTAACTTCATCTCAACCACAGGCAGATAATGGCCTTTTGCATCCCTACAGTACATATGCTCCACAGATAAGGAAACTACAACATATTTCTTCCCTAAAAGGACGATTCCTTTTAGGGAAGAAATATATTATTTTTTTTTGGTTTGGAGACAAGACAATGCTGAGGATAATCATACTTGACAATGAACCTTAAACCATTATTCGCAAATATTTCGGTTTTTATTCGTCTTGGCTTTTGGCCTTTCAACCTATACACAAGAAAAGGGCTGAATGATAGATCGAAAATATCCAATAGAATTATAAGACTAATTGTGAATCTTAGACTCGTTTCTTTATTCTCTCAGGATACGACTAAGGTCTAAGGTTTGTGGTATAAACTTGAATACAGGTGAGACTTTGTTTTCTTTTTATACTCTATTGTAGGAACCATTAACAGATTTACAATATCAAGTGTTCAAAAGTTTATAACAGGATTTTGAGTGGTCCTGGAGATGTTTATAAAAGGGGAAAAATCAAAACAAATCTGAAGATGGATGAAGAGCGTATCGACCGAAAAGTTTTGATAAAAACAAAAAAAGAACAAAAATAAAGAATCATTATATAACAGTTACCTCACTTAGTTTTGTACCACTTGTGCTCTGAGTCGACGGTTTCAGTGTAGCTTGAGATGTTGGCTTCCTTCTCTTCCAGAAACCTCTTTGGATCTATCAATTTGAAACAATTATGCTAATTGACGTTACTATGAAAATAAATAAATATGTCATAACAAGTAAAAGAAAAACAAGAACACTCCCCCCAAAATAAAAACAAAACAGCCTCCCACCAAAAAAAAAAAAAAAGAAAGAAAGAAAGAAAGAAAGAAAAAAGCGCTCTCTCGATTCCCATGTAAATAACTTCTTTTTTTTATTATTATATTTACGTCCCGAATTTGTTGGTTCAGAAACGGTAGCGGCAAAATCCGTGCTACATTCTCCTTGATGACTTTCGTTTCACTTTGTCCATAATATTTTTTCGAATAGGCATTTACGCCTATTTTACAAAAGCATGGACAAAATGCAATGAAAGTGTTCAGGGATAATGTAGTACGGATTTTGCCGCTGCCCTTTCTGAAGAGTCAGGTTATGTAATTCTTTTCTTTGTCGTGGTCAAATGTTCTGAAGTTTTGCGTAGAATTTCGAATTTGGAAAATGCTCAATATGTATCTATATCTGTAATTCTCAAAATGTGTGTGTTTGTATGTATGTGTGTATATGTGATTGGATGTTTATGTGTTTCCACAGTTTTCATCTGATTTCGGTGAATTTTTTTTGTTTTTTTTTGTTTGATAGATAATTCTTCAGTGCCGGTTTTGAGTTCAAATTGTTGGCGACAATGGCTCTTCACTACTTCCTGTCCATTATAACTCTCAGCAACATTTTATTATTTACTATCTGTTTTTGGATATATATCTTTCATAAAAACTTTAATAAAAATAAATAGTTCAAATTATTACAATAATATTATCTATACCTATAATTCTCAAAATGTGTGTGTGAGAGAGAGAGAGAGAGAGAGAGAGAGAGAGAGAGAGAGAGAGAGAGAGAGAAACCGGGTGTTGTTTATGTGTATCCACAATTTTCATCCGAACGCTTCTACGCGCGAGGCTGATAATAATGATCAAAGGACTCAACGGCTGAGGAGAAACGCCTCTTCAACTGCTGCTGCGCGTGAGGCTGAAACAAGATTGAGAACGCAAAAACGGCCCTTTTTCGGGGCCACCCCGCCATTCAGATTGTTAAACCATTTATGGGATGTGCCTCAGTTGTGCCCAGTTGTTGTTACTAATATTGATTTTCGGGTGGGCAGACTTTGAACTTAAACTGTTCCATCTGAACGGTACAAATTCCCAGTAATGAAAGACCCGGTCAAAACTGGCTAATACTGCTAGTTACATATGTAATAGTATTCATTTTTGATTATCATCATATTCATCTTATTTCCGCTGCTTTTTATGACTAGCAGTATTGAAATTTCTCAGATAAAGCATGGTCAGTTGTCAATATTTGATTATAGTTTAATTCTAATTTGGTTGCTTTTTATCACAACTTACGGATTAGCTTTAAAATGAAGTCATCCTGGGTATGACGATAAACTACATCCGGCAGTAAGGCCTCTCATCGGGAGCTTTTGAGGGGCATGGAAACACCTCTTAATTGCTGCTGTTCCCAGGTCTACCCTGACCCGGTGTGATAGCACCTATTAGGCTCCTTGCTATAGGGAAATAGTTAATCGCCCGAACTGGCGTCAAAACACTATGAAAGTATAAAGATAGACTTTTATAGTAAAAATACCAGCAATAAAGTTTTGGAAAAAAAAAAAAAAAACAACAAATTACTAGCAATACATTTTTGAAAAAATATGTTAATGAAACTTGATTTACAAACCGATTTCTTACAAGGAATGCATTTTCTATTCATACGAACCTGTCCTAAAAATCTTGTGGGCATTAATAATTCATTGAGGTTGATATGCTGTGAAATAAACTCTAAGCCATAAAGTACAATTTAGAAGGATTTTCTCACAGTTAACTGATTAAAAAAAAATAAAAAAAATAAAGCTGATTTCATAGATTTTCTTTATATCTCTGATTTACATGCAACCGAAACAATTTTAGCTTGCTTTCCGCTATCTTAAAAATTATTAAGTAACTTATTAAGCCGAATTTTGTGAATTAATAACAGAACATTGGCCATTTTGTTCCCAACAGTCACTTTGTTATGTTATTTTTGCTTTTGAAAAGTGTAAATTTGCTGTTAAAGTGCATATAGACAGTAGACTTGAATCACCTAATTTTAACTCTTGAATAGTCAATGAAACGAACAAGGAGTTTGTTTTTATGAGAAATAAACGAAGAAAAAGGTACCGAGTATTTAAGCATTCGGTGAAAGAAAATAACATCTCTGAGAAAATAGTGTATGTATGTGGTCGTCTTATGTATGTAGTAATGTGCGTTATAAAGTTCTTTTGAAAGTGGTTTGAATTAGTCATTTTCCGTCTTGGCTTTCGTGTAAAAGCGTTGGTAAACTTTTGAATTTGAGAGGTCTGGCTCCAAGTGAGCCCTGAGTAGAAAAGATTTTTCTTACAGTTCCCTAAAAATCGAGTTTGGTACCATCAAGCTTTATTGGTCGACCAGTGTCATGTAAGAAAAAGTTGCCTTGATTTTTATCACTAAGTCACTTCAGTCTGATGCCAGAACGTACGTGGTGAATCTGTTATTTGGGGATATGAGAAAATGTTGGTTTAGATACTTTCGGCCGTAGTAATATTAATAGTGCAATAGATAATAAAATCAAGTTTTCTTTATGGAGATGTCGTTTTGTACATGTTTTGTTTTGTTAAAGACGGGCATTCGTCCAGAGAATGGCGATAAACTATATCCCGCAGCAAGGCCTCTGATCGGGATGTTTTGAGGAGCGTGAAACCAACTCTTAATTGCTGTTGTTCCCAGGTCTACCCTTGTCTTGATGTGTTAGCAACTATTAGGGACCCAGCTATGGGCAAAACACTGTGAAATTAAAAATAGATTTTTATAGTAAAAATACCAGTAATACATTTAAAAAAAAAATATTACCAGCAATACATTTGACTCTCGACAAAAGCCCTCTTTACATAAATGCGTCAATGAAACCTGATTTACAAACTGATTTCTTACAAAGAATACATATTCTATTCATACGAATCTATCCTAAAAATCTTGTCGGCATTAATATAATCCATTGAGGTTGATATGCCGGAAAACAAAATAAACCAAACTTAACCAAAGATGGGTATTAAAATATTCTTAAGAAATTTAGTTATTAAAACAGACTGATTTTGTTTATTTGATAGCCATTAAGATTACAACGCTAACATCAATCATTTGTAGTGGTAGAAACAAATAAATCACTAAATAATCTCTAACCCTTAGTATTAGACTAGTTAGGAGTATGAAACCAAAATAATTAGTAATAAAAATAAAATTCAGAGTTAAGTAATAAAATTACTTATATAGATAAGAATTATATTTAACAATAAAGAAAGAAAAGTTGAGATTATAAAAAAAATAGTTTCATAAATATGAAGACTCCCATCATGCACCTGAACAGGCGTTTTGGCCTCGAAATTAACCAGAAATAAAATTTTCTCTCTTTGCACCTTCGACGGTCAAACGAAGCACATATCCGGGGGACAGCGCTCTGACAGACCATGTGGATCCTACCAGATGAGCAAAAACTTATTTTTTTAAAATCTCTGTATGCATATGTACTTTGAAATATACAAATATTTCTCTGAAATGTATACGAAAGCTTTTATGGTTTTTGTTTACGCTTATTGTGTTGTATCTTGTATAATAATTGTTTGTAATTTATATATATCCGTTGTGGGGACTGTGATGTCTTTTTAACCCTAAACAAAATTACACACTATTAAGGAGAGAGAACAATAAAAGAGCAAGAATTAAGAAGACAGAAGCTAAGGATTGATATTGAATTTAAAGTTTTCAAAATCAAAGTTGAATGGAAAGCAAAAAGCCGGTAGAGAGTTCCACAAGCGAAAAGTGCGATAGAAGAAGCTGTTAGCATAGAACTTACGGTTACATGTAGCAATTTTCAACTGTAAAAGGATGAGACCTTGCCGCCAATCTAATAGTACGCTTAAATTCATACAGTTTAGGTTCCATAGAAGAAAGCTCATCAGAAAAATTACCATGTAAGTATTTATAGAAAAGACACAGAGAAGCTAAGTTACAGCAGTGAGAAAGCGTCCGAAGCCGAATAATTAATAATAATACATAATTATATATACAATAATTATAATACAGGAAAAATTTCAGACGAAATACTTGCCTGATTATTAAACACACAATAAGTGATGAAGATAAAAAGTCCCTGTAGAGGAAAAATATTAAAATATATTAATTAAAATTTAGTAAAATATATGAAAAAATTATAAAATATTATTATTATTATTGAGTATTTTTTCTTATAGTTTTTGAAAAGAACAAGTATTCAAAATGGCGGCTACTTCATTATTTTAACCATGGTGAATTTTTTTTTTATTCCATTACGCTAAACTTAAAAAAATTAAACTGTCTATTCTATCCAGTTCTTAATGAAATAAAGTCGTTACACCAAATTCAGGAATATATACTTTAAACGTCAGCTCCAGGAGAAATGTCATGAACAACATATACCATTATACATCGCCTTCATCAGTCTTTCAAAGGCGTTCGACATTGTTAACAGAAAAGGTCTGTTTCAGTTACTAATGAAACTTGGTTTTTCCCCCACAGTTACTGAGCATCATCATTTCCTTTCACGAGAACATACAAGGTGTAGTCTATTATGGTGAAATGTGAATACCCTTCACTATTCAGAGTGGCGCAAAACAAGGATGCGTTTTAACACTAATTTTGTTTGGCATCTTCTTTTTCCCATCTTATTGAGTTTTGCGTTCAGACAAGCCGAAGAAGGTGTATACTTATGCATAAGAAACAACGGCAAATTATACAACTCGGCCCGCTTGAAGGCAAAGACCAAGGTGCCTAAAGTACTCATCAGAAAAATGTAGTTTGCTGATGATGCAGCTTTGACTACGCACACCGAACACAATCTTCAAAAAACTGATTTGTCAATACAACCATACCTGTAAGGAATTTGGACTGACTATTAATATATGAAACAAACATCATGGCTCAAGATGTTTTTGCATCTTCAATATTCAGCATCGATGACGTCATAGATCAATTCACATATTTGGACTCTACTATCACCAGCAACCTATCACTTGACATGGAAATTGACAAAGGCATCGCCAAAGCAGCAGCAGCAGTGGTGGCCAAAATGAGCAAGAGTGTATTGAACAACAGTCAGTTGACCTTGCACAACAAACTAAAGTTATTCCAGGCATGTCTCCTTTGTATTCTGTTTTACGACAGCAAAACCTGAACAACTTGCATCAGGCATGAAAAAAGCCCGGAAAACTTCTATCTCCTCTAACCTATGATGTATCCTCGGTATCAAATAGAAAGACAAAGTTACCAACACTTTTGTATTGGAGCAAGCAAACTCCTGGGACACGTATCTTCTCTTTTCTCAAAGTCGTCTCCCGTGTCTAGGTCACGTACATCGTATGAATGACGAACGTATACCAAAATACAATTTTTCCAACAATATTTCTCCATATTTTTTGTACAAATAATACAAAGATTTTGATAATAAATTTCGCTTTAAGACAAATTTATTTATTTTTGTTTCAAATACGTACAGAAAATTTCGGTTATAACTAAAACGACGCCATTAGCCAATTCAAGAACTCTTTTTTACCTGAATCTGGACAATAAGACTAAAACAACTAGTCTCAAACTAACAGCTTTATCACTAGTAATATGTTTCTTAACATGAGCTTTTTTTTAGATAAAGCATTGTTACATTATTACTTTTTGACTCATATTTCTTTCATCTTGTTGCATCAAGTTTGGCTCGATACCATAGCGAGTATCCCCAACAAGAAAACAAAAAATAATGTGAATGAGACATGAAACACAGGTTTATATAAAGAAACATTTATTTAATACCGCCAATAAAATGTTAAGAATAAACAATATAGACAAAATGATACAAACTGAATTTACTTACAATCATGATACTGCTGCATTAGTTTTTTCTTAGGTATTCTTAATGTAATCGTAGACATTTATAGCGGCGTGAGCTTAGAGGTTAAAATGAACATTTGATTTATCCACGCCAAGAATATTGATGAAGAATGGTAATGACGGGGAAAGACACGAATAATTTTAATACGCATACATTTTAACAAAACTAGATAAGGAATTTATTTACGAATTTACACACTTGAGGTTGTGTCAGTAGCTCTTTTCAGGAAAATAAATCAGAAATTTTTAAAGTCTATAGTTTTAACGGATAGTGATGAAAAAGAAATGTTCATACGACAGATTAAATGATCTGGCACAAAATTATATTCAGAAAGAGAAGTTAAGAGAGTTCGATGTTCACAGAAGGTATATATAGTCGCATACTTTCAAAAGTATACTAAGAGAGATAGTTTTAAATACTTAGCTTTCTTGGATTGTGGAAGGAAAATTCTTTGAAGTGTCTCATGCTTGGTAAAAAGCCGATAATATAATTGGCGAGTAACTTGACACAGTCGAAAATTTCAAGCTGGACGCGTCAACAGAAACGAAACCTTTCACATCACTTCAGACGCTCTTCTCTCGTTAATTTAATTTTTTTCCTTATTTTATATCAAGAAGGAATTCACATAGGTTTGCTATTTTCTTTTTTCTAGGCACAACGACTAATTTCTGTAAAAACAAGGTTTTCATTGATTCAAAGAAAATTTCACATAGGCTCGCGAATTTGTTTTCGTCTTTTTCCTCAGCTCACCCGAATTTGAAGTGAGTGGGTGGCCTGAGCTGCTGCTGATGATATTTTTGAGCGCTTACAATTTTTATTTTTTAATCCCTTTCCATCGCAAATACTTAAAACCACCAATCTACGGCCTACTAATGACAGTAGTATGATTGAAAAATAAACAGCAAACTTTCCGCGTGACAAATTCTGATTTCTGGCAACTTTGATATCTAGTAGTTAAAACGATGAAGAAATGTTGTAGTCTTTCAAAATAAAAGGAATTCGACTTTCGATTGGTGGTTATTCTTAGGTCCGATCCAAGCTCTTAAATAATGACAGTAGACTGACGGAAATACGAATTTAAACTAACGTATTTTATTTTATTTTTTTTAGAAATCATGAGCATTTTTTCAGCTAGTATTTGTAGTATTTTTGTCACTCTTTCAAATGAGTCATGAATATATATATATATATATATATATATATATATATATATAGATAGATAGATAGATAGATATGGCAAAGTGGAAGAAGTTTTCTTGTAAAGCGTTTCGTCCTTTAGGATTTTATCGTATTAAATTTGTTTACGTTGATTCCACTATACATGCGCATGAATGAGGGATGCTGGGAATTTTTAATTTATTTTTTTTTTTTAATCCAGTCGATTTCATTTAGATTCTTTTTCTTTCCATCACTTTTGGTAGTAGATACCCTACACGTTGATAATAGAAGTTCTGCCAGGAATGGTGAAATGTTGTCATAGCCCGGCGCATATTTATTGTAGATGACCCTGCGACCAAAGCATTCTATAGGCATTTTTGGTTTAGTGAGTTGTTTTTTCCTTTGCTCAAAGTAGAATTTTTATGTCAAATATTATTTTATTATAATATACTTTTATTAAAGCTTCGGTAGATAGCAAGATATTGTTGTGCCTCTTACATTTTCCTACTCAAACCGGATGTTGACCGCTCGGTAACCCAAAGCTGACTGCGAAAATACGTTTTCTGCGCATAGGAGCCACGCATACATAAACTTTAACCAAAATAAAATGAACCAGAGCCATTACCATTCAAAAAACCATAATTTGGAGCCGATAGACGGCTATATATTCTTAAATTCAAACAGATCTTAAACAGACGAGGGTTTGATATCAAAACCGGTACGCCGAGAGACGTGACACAGACTAGTGCTTGATGTCAACACCTACGCGCTGAGAGAGAAAAGCCATAGACAACGACAGCTATGACCAATTCGTAACTTCTAATTTCACTATACTCTTTCCCTGTTGTCTTAGCAACAGCAACAGGTAGAAGTTACTAGTTTTGTATATATATAAATAAATTATACTCATACATAATGACTTTCTTTACTTGGGTTTACGTTTCCCAAGGCGGAGAAAGAATTAACCTCCACAACAGTAACAACAAAAATAAGGTTCTGTCCTCCAGGTTACCCATTTTCGCCTCCGGAATAATATATATATATATATATATATATATATATATATATATATATATATATATAAAAGAATAGTAAAGCAAATTACCTGTAATGAACTTGCCACAGTAAATAGATATTCGAAAACCTTCAAATTTTCATTGACTGCAAGTACACCAAAGATCCAAGTAAAGCCCAATAATGGCGTTAAAATTCCAATGGCACGAGCACCAGTTCTTGTAAGAAAAAGAAAAGAGAAATGTAATTTAACAAAGCTTGTTTGTTGATCGTAAAAATCAGAAATAAACTAAAAAAACATTCATTATAAGAATTTGAAAAGGATAGCACAGGGAGATAAACCATTACCATTCAAAGGTCAAAGTTGAAAACCCTAGTAATCCGGGACTCTGACTGGCTAACTGTTGTCCAATCAAAATCCCTTCTTGGGGACCACACGGTAAACTCGATCCTGAAAGCTTCCTCTTTTGCATAAATGACCACACGTTTATTGGAGCCGTCCTTTCCGACGTTAATGGAATATAACGAAGCCTACTTGGTCTTTGGATACTCTTCTAATAGTTAAGTCCGCAAATATAAAATATTTCATTTTTTTAACTATTGTGCATACACCCTTTCTGTACATTAAACCCGTCAAATTTAATGCAGTCATTGTGTTACTTCTCTTCTGTTTGTCTTTGATTTTGTGGAGCTTAACTGTAACCGGAAGATCTGTATATCATATGTAAAAATTAAATATATTAAGTATTAAGATAATGAATAGCAAAAGCCTAGTGTATGTTTGATTTTTATCTGAAATAAGGAATTATTATACTTTGATTTATTCGAAGTTTTTTTTCTGAAATGGGTTGTTATTTCGGCCGTTGTACGCCTCAACCTTCTTCAGGTATGTAACGTATTCAGAAACTTTCACTTCTTCACTCGGTCTCCTTTCAATCTACAGGTTAATTTTATCTGCAGAAATGAGCAGCATTAACCACTTGTTAACCAATTGATTGGTGCTTTAAATTTCCTAATCACAAAATAGTGAAAACTGTTTTATGACTCATACGTCGGTACTCGTCATTCCAGTAGAAACTTTCGAACCTTTATTGTTTAAGCCAGTTTTGAAAAAGCTTTGAATTTCGCTAAACATGCTAGGGGAGATAACTCGTACCAGTTAACTTTTTAATTCGTTCATGTGATACCAAGTGCGTTATTTGCTATTGAACTAGAGAATCGTCGTTTTGACTCGTCATTAACATCATTCTTTACGCTTTTTTTTTAATTATTGGACAAATAATTTTGATCGCACTGAATTGATCTCTTTTTTAAGCATTATACAATCATTAACACTTCAGCTACCTAATATATGGGCACATGGTTAGAACCGTTTCCGACTATGAGAGCCGGGTTCGAATCACACCATGATCGGGTTGTAAGAAAGGTGACTTCTTGATATTATCGACCTGGGAGCCCAAAATATAAAAATAACATGAAAATAAAATTAAAAATAATTCAAATTAGAAAAAAACATTTGCTTTCCTTAAAAACTTATGCCGCTTTTTCTCGCTTTCTCTCTCTTTCTCTTTAAATTTCTCTCTCTATATATACTTCTCTCTCGCTTAATGAGAAGATAACTCTCATATAAAAAGAGGAAGAAGAAAAAACTGAACAACTACTGCGAAACGGAAATTCGCTGCTCCAGCGTCTCGTTATTATGACTAGAAATCTATCAAAATAAGAGAGGCTCCACGCATGACTTCTGCTATAAAAAAAAGAAAAACACAGGTAAACTATAAAATAAATAAAATTATTTGGGCCAATTAAAAGAACAAAGAGATATTTTTATATTAACTTCGCGCCAAGTAGTCTAGAGCCTTTCTTAAGTGTATATAAACTTACGGACGACAGACAGCAGAAAAGATGAGTCAGCCAGAGAAACCAACCAAGTGTATCGCGTGAAGAAACTAAGCGGTCATCTGCTTAAAAAATTTTTCTTCCATTTTGAGGACCAAGAAAACAACATTTGGCGTCCGTAACATGTTTCCAAAGTAACTACACTCCCAACTACTACCAAATTAGACTATCAACTACCCAGCCGAACGAACTTTCGCTAAACCGAATTAGAAAGGACTCGCCCCAATCAAAAATAGATATTATTTGTTTATACCTTTGATTCTGTTCGTTTATTGCGAAGTTTCCGAGAAATATTGCGAACACTTCGGTGCTCCTCTACAAAAATGCCTGACTCAAGCACTGTGAGTGAAATTGTGTAGACAGAACTAATTTGGGAGACATCGATGATTGTGCTAGCACAGTATTCCCCAACGGTGCGGTGGGCCTCATTGGTGCGGCCGAAGAGGGTAGCAGGTGAGACGGAATGATTGAAAGAAAATCAAAGATTTAGAAGTCTTTAAAAAAAAAATTCATATGCCAAATATAAATATGGTTTCAAAATTTAAAATATTATTATGGATTACTTGTAATTGCATGCATGAGTCCTAGTATAAATAGTTATAAATAATTGTTGACCGTTTTTATCGTTGTGATATTTTTGCATCATATCGAGTATTAAGAATATAGCATCGAGTGTGTGCAAATTGAAGGAGAGGGTTATCAATGATAATGTTCCGATTTCGAATTCGCAGTTATCTCCCTTTAATCCTCTCTCTATTTTTATTTTTAAATGTCCTTTTTGCCGCATAAAATTTGGTGAGGTGCGACAAAAATTTTATTTCGAAAATGCGGCTCAGAGAAAAATGTTTGAGAACCACTGTGCTAATACGAAGTCATTGCGACTGAGGGTTTGAACGTATTGACCTTGTTTAGATAATGTACTCTCTCCCAGAAACTGTAACTAAGGTCCGCTCAGTAGAGTTACAGTATAAGTGGATTTTGAGGATGTTGAGCAAACATTACAATAGGGCGATTGATTTGCTTGATTTATAAATTAAATTTTATCATAGCTCGATATATATATATATATATGGTAAAAAAAATGTCGTATACACTTAAGTACTATCCACGCTTCCAATCATCGGCGAGAATCTTCAAACATTTTATCGTATTTAATTATGTGCTTTGGTATTATTAAGTATTGAAGTATTTTTAAAAAAATGTTCTTGCAGAACACACATCGTAAAGAACATTTTATCTCCCCATGAAGACATGACGTTTCTTGCAAAGTAGCTTGTTTGTGTCATTTTATTTGAATTTGTAGGATTGCAGACGATACAACATGTAATATGTACTAACCTTAGACGTTGTTTGATGCTTTGACGAAGCATGCAGTAGGCAGACAGAAGGCTCTTTACAATTAACGCAACACATATAATATTGATCTGAAAGATAGCAATAGCATTTAATTTTAAAGCATTATTAGCAATTAATGAGTTGGCAAAGACAGACATGCACGAACGAAAAGTAAATGTTTGTTGGGAAAGATTCCATGAGTCAACGTTTCTTGAATAAGAAAAATGAGAGAAAAGCTTGCTGCGTGTTCAAATAAAATGACATTATTTATTTAACGAAAAATACACAATTTTTTTTACTGTAACTACTATCACTAAATAAAAGTTTGTATTTAGAAAGTTTTTCATATGTACTGATCAATAAGAGATGTGGCCTCAACCTCTCAGTCAGTTATGCGCCATGCGTCATACACGCTTAGGCGATCATGTATCCTGCAGTAGGTTGCCATTACTTTCTGCAGTAGACCAGTTGCCATCCAAGGCTAGAGAACCCGGTCTGTCCTGCTATTTACCCATAGCCGGGGGGTGAATAAGAGGATTCATACTTTTCCCAAGGGTATTAGCACGTAAGTGAAGGATTCGACTGGAATTCGAATTGGGCTCTCCGATTCCTCAATCCGAGCTGCTATCCATTACTCCACTGTGCCTCCTTCCATTACTTCCACACATCCTTAAGTGATAAATAGATAAATTATTTTAATTATCTGAAATTCTTGGGAAATTCGTGTCCAGTCCATCTTTGAGTCAAGAGTTTTTTCAGGATTTCTGTCTCCAGCCGCTTTTGAATTGGCAAACATAAACTTTCATTAATGATTTAGGATAATCATAAAAGTATTCTTTTGAAGAAGATGACCACCCCAAAAGCCGAATGGGTGGTCTCTTGTTCAGGAACACATAGGGGTGGATAGGGGTGGTTGGACCCCAGCCATCACATAATCAGAGAGAAGTAGGCAGTAAGTAGGTAGGTTTTCAGCATTAAGCGAGTAAGTGACCATCGACCAGTGAGGAAGGGGCCGGCAGTCAGAGAAGAGGAAAGAACTAACGAGCATTGAGAAATTAGCAGTCGCCTAGATGGTCAGTAAATGTAAGGGTCTACTTCCCATGACCGGAAGTTAGGGAGATAGCAGTTCAGCTGAAGGAAAACATAGACGGCTAAGTAAGAATTCTTATTGTTGCTATTTCCCAACCAGAGAGTCTTAAAAAGCATTTGTCGTTATTTTTTTTTGTTGAATACGATCACGGCTAAAGAGACAAATCTGTGAACATATCGTCGAGTGTATATGTAGACACAATCAACTTTGGATGTCATCACAGGTGCAATGAACGACGGGTGAGTGGAGTAGGTCGTTACAGGTAAGTATTTTGTTATAAACAATTTTGTGTTTATCGAATATATCTTTGTTAGAAGAGTGCTTGTTGATACGGCGTTCAACGGATGATAGGATATGCTTAATAATTGGCGCTGGGTGATTGGAATTAGGATTTATATAAATGGGGTTAGCGTTATTTTTCAAAAAGGGTTGGAAATTATTTAGGGCTAAGTTTAAGGTTACATCTAAGAACTCTACTTGTTTTATGTTAGAATTAATTTTAACCTTGAGGTGTAAAGATTTAAACAGTTTATGAATCAATTTCCTCAACTTGTCAACCTTGCTTCCTGTAGAATCATTTATTACTATCAAGCCATCGTCCCTATAAATTCCTATACTGTTTAAACTAATTTAATTATGTGCAATGAGATTGTATAAAATAAATAGTCCGACCAAGTCCGATGACTTAGCAGAATCCAGTGATTCCATCGATACATCAAAGTTTTCGCCTGATTTTTTTTATCCATTGTTCATTGTGTGTCCTTGCAAGCGCTTCCGGAGAGCAACCCTGAGGCTACACCATGCTGCAGTCTGTGCCAACTTCCAGTCGGCTCATAATGCCTTTGACGGCCGGAAGCTACTATTATTCGTGGGATCTTCAACCATAAAACTATATCATGACCAAAACGATTAAACAAAATAAAACTAAACCAATTTGAAAAAACAAAAACAAAAAACAAAAACAAAAAGCCCCTCAACCGTTTTTCCTCCAAAATAAAGGTGACTCCGACAACGTAATCTTTCTACCCAACAGTTTAGTCGATTTGGCCGTTCGATTTATTATTAAAAGGTAATCATAATATAGAAAACAAAGAAAAATTACATAAGAATATAGAATAAAAAGAAAATATTTGATTACAAACCACAATGATGATCAAAGCAGGTACGATAAAAGCCCAGATAACATTGTCCTCTGGTGTCAACCAGCAGCTGTTAAAAACAAATTAAAGTATATATCAATAGAAATAGTCAAACAAACATGGAAGCATAGAGTTGGTTAAACATGTGTTGCTTTCATGTAGTGGTCGTATGTTCAATCTCTGAATCAATTAGTTCATTGGTTCAGCAGGAACGAACATGAACTGGCATTATAGGGACAAAGTAACACAGTAATCAACAGATATCCTACACCAGCCAAACGATAGGCACCTGATGATGAGCAGTGGGTATTTGGTAGAAACGTTGTATCAATACTATAATAATCAAACTATAATAATAATAATAATAATAATAATCACACACAATAATGGTAATTAGCTTTTTCCTTATAAGAAAACATTTGGCTTCCACTGACCGAGCGGTCAATGCAATTCGTAATTGAAATATATAACATCTTTCTCTTTCTTTTTTTTTTTTTTTTAAATCAGGTTCACCCCAAACAAGACAGTAAAGCCACAGAGATGCAAGGGGTTACTGGGTGTGGAAGAGTTAGAAACAGGTATATTACTAAAGAGTGAGAACAGGGTAAAAGTAATCAGGAGGACAGCAGATAGCAATTGACATTACATTTAAATTTTTTAAGATTAAAATTGGCTTTATATGGATCCGGAAGGGAGAACCACAAGTAAGATGTGCGAGAAAAGAAACTGTTAGCTTAGAGTTTATGGTTACATCTAGCTATTTCTGGAATCTTGTTATTGCATCGACAAAGATTTTTTTTTCGACAGTAAGGACACCGAAGATGACAGTGTAATTTTCCTCTATAAAACATATCCACGGAATATAGATTGATTGAGAAAGGAACTGATAAAATACACACACACATGTAAGAACATACAGATACAGGTGCATGCATACACACATATTGTTTTTTAATCAAGTTCACCCCAAGTAAGACACTAAAGCAACAGAGACACAAGGAGTTACTGTATGGAAATAGAACTTACAGTCGGGTATATTGTTCAAGTATTCTTTATTTGAGCCTTGTAAAGTAATTAAAGAACCAGAACGAAAGCTTTTAAAGATTTTACATCTTGATGAAAACAAAATGAAAAAATTCAAAAAACACTTATAAGAACATATATATTCCTCACTGATCCCAATAAAAAATAAAACTAATTGTACTAAATTTAATACAACCAAATTAAAAATTCGCAATAACTTCTTCTCCGTCAACTAATGTTTTGCAAAAGATTAACATTGTATATCAATTTAAATGTTCTTTAAGAGATTGTATATTTGGCAAAAAAGTAAACACTTTTGTTTCAACACTTCTGGTGTCTTCACAAATGATGGTGTTGAATGTAAGTGTTGAAACAAAATGGTTATTTTTGTAGTGATGTTATAATATGTTGATGTTATAATTTTTGAATATATATATATATATATATATATAACGTTTTGACATTGATAACACGAAGAGGGTTGATATAACATAAACTTCACTAGACCAATTCACCGCAATGCCAAAATATTTTATGATAGAATCCCTTAAGAACTGACTAACGTTTGTCGATGACGATAAAATATTGTAACTAGTATCCTGCAACATAAGTTGAAATGTTCGTAATTTCCACTCTCTAGAATCCGAATTGACTATATAAGCACATGACTGTTACTCCTACTTTCTTTTTAAGGTAGGCCTTTAAACTATACAATTGTGTTAAAACGTAAAAATAAAAGTCTCAAATTTGTGAGAGATAGAATTGACCATATAACAACACATGGATGAACTTGTAACATTACAAACGGAATTTACTTGGTACTTTTCACAACTAGTGAGATTCTCTGCAAACGCCTCGGTTGAAAAGTGTTCTAGACAATAGGCATGAGAGGCAATAATCGTAAGTATATGGGAGACTACCCGTAAAAAGCATGCGTAGACTAACTGTGAGTTAGACTATTTTTCATTAATTAAATTCTTTGAAGATTTGGATAGCATTTTATACATTTCTAAAAACGTTTCCGTGTCATCAAACCAAGATCAATGAAGTAATGAAAAATCAAAGAAATTACTTACAAAACGTCGTTGCCGAATCCTTTGGTCTGAGTGCTTATTAGACTGATGCCCACAATTATGGCTGGTCCGACTGCAAGAGAAAGAAGTTATTTTAAAATAGTATTGAAACTCAAAATTGGAGAATAGATGATAACTCATTTTTAAAGGAAAATTATTTGAAGAATTTAACAACTTAATTTTACCACATTTATTCTTAGCATTATCTTCGCCTTTTTGTTGATTCCGGCTGATTTAGTTTTTTGTATTCAAAATGCAGGGATTCAAATAAACAGGCTTCGGATAAGAGTCATTTAATGGCATCATTTAACAAAGCCGATCTTATTCTCTGACAAAATTGCTGACGAGACAGTTTTGATCTTCTATAAATATGCGTGTTCATAATCCTTCCAAAATCTGTTCGGGCTATAAATCTCTCATTGTCCTTACGTTTCGGTCGATTCATTCTGTGTATTGCTGCAGGAGTTTGACGTAATAGATTGTCAAGATCAGTATATTTGCAATATTATTAGAAGAGACTAACTGGGAAAAAGAGATCACATTCTTGTCCTCCAGTGATTAGATGCTTGAACAAATATTCACTACTATTTCTGTAGTATTGACGTCTTCGGTGTTAGGATTTGTGGCATTTAGCAGCGCGCCTACGTCGCAACCGGATGTGACACAAGGTCGAGGTTAAAAGTAGGTTTAACGGTCATACCACGCAAAAAAATTCCCAAGGCCCCTCGACACTTCCCCTTTTGAAGGACGCCTCAGGTACCGGGAAATAAACTCAGCCCCCCCCCGTTGATTCATCTTTATTATCATATTCACGACGTTTCGGTCGTTGTACACTCCGGCCTTCTTAAGGTGATATACGTTGGAACTGCGAACTGTGCCCTTTATTTCGTCCACTGGAGTAGATTGTTCTAGTTCCACTTGCCATGCCTTTTCTGGATATCGCAGTTTCAGTTATTTCCCTTTAGTAACTCAACCTTTTAAGATTTTGAACTCACAACTCTTTGAGTTAAGTCACTGGATTACTTTAACCAACGCTTTTATCTACTGAGCCAACGTATTTCAATTTGTTTTTATTGCTGTTTTTCTCTAACATTCTGTATTAGTGGTTCCCGTATCGTATTCATGTCTATGCTTGACCGGCTTAGGAGATTTTTGTGGCCTAGCATATGCGCTGATTCCTTAAGCTTTCGTATTTTCCAGTGATGCTCTCTGTCTATTATTATGTATATCATCTGAAGAAGTCCGGAGAGTACAACAGTCGAAACGTCGTGAATATGACAATAAAGATGAGAACAGCAGTCCAAACAATGTAAATAATGTAAATCCTTAATCTCAGAAATATAGACAAACATTTGAAATCTTTAACAAAGGAACAAAAATATCTTACGCCAACTGGATAGAAGTAACCATGGTAGTCTGGAAAATTTTGCTGCGAAGACCACAGTCAAAGCGATGGCCATATCTATTCCTTCAGCCAACATGGTAAAGAAAACCACAAGAAAGAAATACTGGAGAAGTGCGGCAATTGCTATACAAGCATTCTGAAATAAATAATTTTTATATCTTACATAAACTGTTGGTTTCATTCGTTATGTCACATGTAGGATTTATGAAAGAAAAGACACCAAAACTTTCACTCAAATATTTATACAGCCAATTCTGCCATTAGTCGGCTGGGAAAATGTGCAATGAAACATATCGGTCAGGTTTCAGCGCGGAATGTGGTCGACATATGGAGGTTAGTTTTCGAATTTAGTTATTGCTACCCACTGACTCTACAGATACTCTACCACTTCGCCTTCGTCTTTTCCTGCACTGGCAAACGAAATATTTTCGTTTGAATTTGGAAATATTCGACCTAAAACAGTTTCCTGTGTTAGATCTGTATGTTGAAAATAAAGAAAATGTGGATTATCCGTTGTAAGTAATCAGCATTATTGCTAGGCTATGACAAATATGCTTCTGTATTTTATATGCATGCATCTATTGTTAAAGTTCCACTCGAGCAGCCTCTTCTCACGAACCGCTGAGTTGTAGAACTGACTCCCAAGGGGATGCTTCCTTGATCACCAGAATCTTATCCTGTTCAAGTCTAGGGTTAACATAATCTTCCCCATATATCCCCATAAAATGTGCTTCTTATTCTGTAACCCTCTACCTCGAGTGGCTCTAGGGCCTTATACAGAGTGAACATCATTGTAAAAAAAATCAAAGAAAAATAAATTCTTTAGCACGTTCATCACCGACCAATTTAATCTTAGAGACACGGCTGCCATATTGGGTTACTTTTGAAATTCTTACGCTACTAAATTTCACCATTTGTGATTTTGTGGGCTACTATTGAAAAAGTAAATTTTGAATTTGTCTTCTTTTGAGGCTACTTTTGAAATAACCAGGGATAAGTAGGGCCAAAAATTGAAAAAAAAATGTTAATAGTTTCCTAATTTAACACCTGCCTCGGCGTAGATACGTTTTTACCGAAAGTGTCCTTTTCAGACACAAATAAATAAATACGTCCAAATCATAACGTTGTTTCTCTCTCTCTTCTCTCTCTCTCCTTGAAACAAATCCTTTTAGTTATTCTTATTTTGTTGTGTTCAAATATTCAGATGATCACGAAATTCGCAAAATTTGAAAATAGAGTATTGTGGCCTGACTGAAAGGCGGTAATGGCCGAAATAATTGTAGTGAAATGAAATCTTTAGAGGCTACTAAACCTACAGAGTTGCCGGTGAGCATAGAGTTGCAACATCATCACATAAAGTCCATTGTCGAGGTTTCAGTTGCAAGTAAATTTTACAAGGGCGAGTTGATTAGGCTCACCTTCAATCGGTTTGAACTTGAAGTTGTCCTTTGAGACGAGTAATTATAGCTGTTGCGGCTGGTTATGGTATGGAAAGGGAAGAGACAGATTCATGCCTTTCTCGAGAGCATTAATATAAAGTGAAGAGAAACGGTTTACAGTTGCAATTTGAACGTGTCTCGCCAATTTCTATGTCGTTAGGCATTACGTCAAGAGTACCTCCAAATATAATTACAACTTAATTAACAATAATACAAAGAAGTGCTGAAAAATTAGTAATACGAAGGGGTGCTGAAAAAATAAGGCTGTTGAAATATTCTCGGCTTTATTTACTAACCAATATCTGACCAGATATGGATCATTTTGAACTTTTCTTAGTTCTGCCAAGAACTTTATAGCACCCCACAAATATACTGTTAATTCTTGGTATATATAGAACTGTTCTCATCTGTGGCTTAAATAGATTAGGGAACTCGAGCTTTGGGAAGCAGCCAGTCAAAGAGAAAGATAACACTGAACCGTGGATAAGACAATTAGAACTCACTGTCTATGAGTTAAATAGCAGGGTAGACTGGACTCTTTAGCATTGAGTAGTAACCACTCAAGAAGAACAACTCTGAATTCAAAACCGTAAAGAAGACAGCAATAAATATACTCCACTTATCTTCCCAAAGAAATCATGGCAATTCGGAGATATTAGAGAGAGGGGAGTTGTGGAGAGCCGTGACATTTAAAAATGTATAGGAATTAATGAATAGCATTCGAAACTTTACCTTTTCCCGGGGACCTTCGACCAAAGTCAAGAAAATTAAATAGGCAATGATGAGAGACACACACAGATTCATAAGAAGTACGCTTTGTGATTTGGTAACATCTTGGGATGTGACATACCTGCAAAATGATATATATATATATATATATATAATTAACAGTGTCGTCTTTTCGCTTTTTTAAGTCTGTAACAGAAAACTTGACTGTTATCAAGTAAAAGTTAGTAATCTGATATCGGGTTAATCATAACTGTTAATTGTTAATAATAATAAGTTTACTACGGCTTAATTTTTAAGCTTACATCATTTAGCTGCAAGGTCATAATAATGGATAACCCTGTGAGAATTGAACGCACGAATACTAGCTTGTAGAGCTGGATTATCTTTTAGGCTAGTATAGGTTGTAGCCTCGGGCTGGATTATCCCTTAGAATAATATAGGCTGTAGCCTAGGTTCTCTCAAGCTTTTATAAAGCAATGATTTGAATATGACTGCAAGGCCTGCGGAGGTTTAAAATGAGGGTAATTCCTCCATCTAGATAGATTGCCTTTCCTGAGCAGTCGAGCTCTATCTATCCCAAACAGCTAGTTATGAGCCTAAATAAAACCGTAATTATAATAGTTTTGTAAAATGAAATGATATCAATATGACAAACTTATATTTGAAGAAAGCAAACAAAGAAAAGAAAGTGGGTTTGACGCGATCCCCTCTACTAGTTCCCGATACAATGTCCTCCTAGGCTGTGAAAGGTGACTGGACCGAGGAGTAGAACGTAAGGCATTTCAACATTCGGTGAAGAAGTGATGGTAAGGTTAGGGAAGGCGTCTCTAAAACTGCGCTGCCCACCGCGAATATTCTGTTAAGGCGCGGCGTAGGAAAACCAAACTCGAGGCGTGTCTGAGACATCAAGTGTAGCATTTCCAGTCCCCGTGACAAAGACGCTGGGCACCGTGGCCTGCCCACCCACTCCACCAGAAGAAGAGCAGGCGCTCGATCACCTTCCAACGGCAGTTGCCGAGAGGGAGTACCGATTTTTGTTAAAAGATGAGAAGAAATGTACACCGAGCACACCTGAGTCCTACCTTTTAAAGACAACCACTTTCAGAGCCAAGTCCAGAACGACGCTCCTATAATTGCCAGTACCTCTGACTGATTTTTCTTCAGCTGGAGATCCGGTTCGAACCCCACTCCAAGCTCATAATCTTGACCCTGTGATCTAGTTCCTTCTGTACCACTTCAATGTCACTACAGCACGACACGAAAATGGATATGTCATCGGCGTACGCGGAAACCCTGGCACGAACTTCACCAATTACACCGATTCCGCGTAAGACTGGACGGCACCACTTTTCCCTCAGCCGGCGCAGGAGATGCTCCAACGCCCAAAGCGTAAAGTAGGGGTGACAGCGGACAACACTGACGAACCGGCCGTGAGAGTGCAAAAATGTTCGATCGCTTCTTGTTCACCTGTATCACCGCACGGGTTTGAATCCGGCGGCTTACAAGACAGCCTCCAGGAACTGATCTTGGATCTGTCTTACTAAGCCTATCTCTAGGGGACACCCCCATCGGCTTCTTAGATTATATTTAAGTGCCTTCGCCTTGTTAGCCTTATATAGGGCGAGTTGTTGGCTAAATTCGGTGGTGAAAGACCTAATCCTATCCTTAAACTTCTCCCACTACTTATTCCCAATAACCACACCCACTAACCTCTGCTAATCTAGTTTATTTAGAGAATTTGCAATGTTTAATTCAGGCTATGTAAATGTCGCTAAAATATATGTCAGGAATTACCGACCATTGATTTAAGTTATTTTCATATATGCCATCAAATACAGTAGACACACTTATTTAATTCCAGTAAAAATGTTTAATGCTTGTTAACTATAGAGACATCAAAAGATAATAAGAAAAATAACTTACTTCCAAGAAATTGCATAAATAATAATTGTCAGGATGAGAGCGACAATTGAAATACTGCAACCAACTTTTGTGATGATTCCGAGGACTTTATTGCTGCTATGAGACTGAAAAATAAACAATACACGTATATAAATCTAGTACCCCCAAAGATTCTCTAAAAAATAAAGCATACACGATGAAAAATACAAGATTTTATCGTCAAAATCTTTATATTATTAGTAAGAGGGAAGATCAAAGGAATTTTTATTATTAAATTATATTTTTGAATCCTTTTTAGTAGGTATCTCCATAATTCCCCCCCCAAAAAAAAAGAAAAAGAAAGAAAAAAGAAAAAGAGCATACCACGATGAAAAAATGCTTCGAACTTGATAAAAACAAATTTTTATCCTTAAAATCTTTATGTTATTAAGAGGAAAGACCAAAGGATTTTTTTTATTATTTAATTATATTTTTAATCCTTTTTAGAAGGTTCGAAATTTTGGTTAAAAATATTTTTTGCGCCATCGGAGGACCAAAAATTAGTATAAGAAATTTTAACGTCATTTTTGCATTTTTAAATTCATTTGGAAATTCTGGCAGATTATCAGATTTTTATGAAACTTTCAGGAAACTTATTCATAAATGAATGAAATTATTTCTTTTTTAGGAAATCTTGGTAAAAATATTTTTTACAACTGTTAGCCGCCCTCCCCACACTTATTTAATCTTAAGGAATTTCGAGAAATTAATTTTGTTTCCCTTAATATATTAGTTAAAAGTAGAAATCTTTGGAGAATTTGAATCAAGATTTTTTGTTAAACAGAAACACCGCTCATCAAAAATTTTCCCTGAATTGTAAAATAAAAATGAAATAAAACAAGACAAAAAAACTTTTAATTGCTTTAATTAATAATATATATCATGAGCACTCAATAGTCAGAATTGCGTGGGAAAAAGTATTTTTTCAATAAATAATGAAATTTGACAAGAATTGTTTTTATCTAAAAAAAAATTAATTACAATAATTTATAAAGTGTTAAATCTTTAAAAATTCTGTATTAATTTGTAGCTGTTAGATGATATTGCTGTTAAATAAAAATTATACTTATTAATCATAAATGGAAATCTTTATTACAATTCAGCGATTCCCAGTATTTAAAAAAAGAATTTTGATTTTTTTGTATGTATAAACGTTCAGATTTTTGTAAATACGGACGTCCATACACATCATTATCAGAAAATAAGAGCGGTAACTATAGTAAATTGGTAATATTCTAACATTTCCTTAACAAGCGTCTTGGCAAATAAGACTATAAAGCCAAAATACCAAAAAATTCAATAAAATATTAAACTGTTTAAAATATTTTACATTTTGAAGAATACTGGATAGGTAAATGTGATCTAAAAAAGGCATTAACATTGTATTCGTCATGTAATATTACTGCATGTAGTTCTCCCTTACATAAATCTCGCAAAAGTCAGGTTATCAATGGAGGTGTCAACACCTCATAAAAACACCCAACTTTGTGTTAAAAATGCTTTTTAGCGATATTTTAAACCAGTAATATTTGTTTTAATTCAGATTAAGCTTTAAATCAGTTAATCTTCCTCAAATAAAGTTTCAAAAAAATATATTTTATTTTTAAATGATTTGTTAATAAAGAGAATTAAGTTGTGTTGACAGAATTGTCAATAAGGCCGATTTTAACGATTAAAAAAATAACATTCCAATAAATTTAAATTCGGTTTAAAATACAGAAAAGTATTTTGCCTATTGGAAATATTAAATTTCATCTATTAGCTTGGAATTGAAAGTAAAAAAAACTTCAAGAAATATTTCTAATTTTTAAAATGCTTTTTAAATTTTTTAGGTATCACATTTTTGGAGGTACCTATATAAACATAATACGATCTAATTTTTTATGAAAAAAGATTATTTCCCTGGAATTTCAGCGATGATGTAAAAGTTAGATCGAAATAAGGCCTCAAAGCAACGCCCTGAATCAATTAATTCTTCTGAATTGGTGATCATCTGTCGACACCTAAAAACTTCAAATCATTTAGAGTCACAACACTGTGCTGATCGTGAAAACATCTCACCAGCAAAATGAATGCTTCATCGTTTTTAAAGTAATGAAGCAATAGCAGAAGTACCTCCCATACAACAAAGCATATCGGATAATAATCACCATTGTCACCATTTTGAACGGCAAATAATGTATTTCTGTATCAAGCAGGTTTGAAACCTGCTCTGGCGACTGCCAAGTTGTTTCTTTTATTTCTTCTGTTAGAGTTATCTTCTCTTAGCTGAACTGCTTTACAGGTTAAATGAATGTAACTCGCTTGCTATTTACCCCTAGAGCTGATGACAGAAGCGAACTCATCCTTTTCCCTTAAGGAATTAAAAAGATTTAAATTAAAACATTTTTTTGCAATTTAATTGAATAATGATAAATATTTTTCATCAAATCATTTTCGTCTGACAATCACTTTTTCATAATTTTTTATTTTTTTAAAACTGCCATATCCTTTCGGGACATAGGCGTTCATGACTCTCCACAGATTTATTTCTTTATTATCTGTGAATTGTCATGCATTCTTAGGAAAGATAGTGGAGTTGTTCTCTATTGCCTTCTCATTGGTTTCAAATTCAGTTTTCCTTCTTGTAAACTGTTTGCCATCTAAGCTCAGTATATCCAGCTATTTATCCATAGACGAAGTAAGAAAAAAGGTTCATGTCTTTTCCGAACAGCATTTATGTGAAAGTGAACGCAACAGACGAACCCAGAATTTAAATTCGGCCCGTCGACTCCACCTCCCAAACGGGTGTCCGTTTTTAATTACAACTTTTTTAAAATCGAAGATTGAGGTCTTGCCGACAAATATAAACAAATATTGGACATTAGAATAATAAAATTTTACATTAGAATCGTTAATATATGTTTTATTTAAAAAAAAAATATTATAAACCATTTTCTTTCCAGAAAAAAATATAGAATTTTTTTTTATTAAATTAAAAATTTTAATGACTTTTTTTTAAAGATAGGAAGCCAAAACTTCGTTTACGCAACTATATTTTCTCATTGTAATATAGAAATAAATAATTCTTTTCTATAGAAACAAAAATTAAACTCATTAATCAGTTTGGGGAGCTTTCAAAAAATAAAATAAAAAGTAAAATAAACAGTACCGTTACAAAACTTATTTACCTGTTTTTTACTCAGTTATAGTTTATGTGCATGTGAAACTGTATGAAATGCGTCATATGAAAGATTCGTTAGAGGCGCCATATGTAAATCAGATTTTTTCTAGACCATTTCTTTCACCATTCTTGGCCTAGCAAAATTACGCACATGTCAACTACCAATTAAGACCTAAATGCAATTCTCTTTTCAATATATATCTGGTTTGGTATTTGAACAGACTATTGTCGCATTTAAATTCTGTAAATATGTAGATGAAGTGTTTTCGTTTAAATACACAGACACACGTGCGTGCACACATCATCCTCCAATCTAACGAACCATGCAGTAGATATTTTAATACATGCAAATAGTTTCAAGGTTTTTGTTACGGGTGGTATTGAAGAGTGAAGGCAAATTTACCAGACCTCATATTGCAATTTTCTGGCATTCCTTATTACTGGTTCCCATATTGTATTCATTTCTATGCTTGTGCACGTGGAACTAGAACAGTCTACCCCACGAGCAAAATAAAGGGTTCAGTTCGAACCACCTGAAGAAGGCTGGAGCGTACAACGCTCGAAACGTTATCTTCATTAGTTATTTCAATAAAATGAAAAAGCGATTGTTAATCTTTATTTTTTAAATAATTGATTGAAACAGTCTCAAATATGCTATAAATCCTTTCTGCTTCGATATAGCATAGGTAAATTAAGGTATTGTAGTATCTTACTAAACAGTACCTTGGGGATATAAAAACAAATGGACCCTTAAAGTAACTCTCTCTTCCGGATTGTTCTCTTTCGAATTATGTGACATGAACTTTTCATGCTGAAGCTAAAAGGGCTGTGGACGTTTTACACTAAAACTAAAACACTAACACATCATACTCAAATATATTCATTAATATTTCGTTGTGTATGCAATTTACTTTAGGAAAAGAAACTCTTGTCTTGAACTTTCTTTTTGTTAATTTTATTTGCAAATCAATTGATCTGTTATTTTGTGCATGTACCCTTTTTCACCACTATTATTTCATGTATTGTAAAATATTCTTGTAAGAAACCTTACACATTAATTATCGAAGTATCTAACACATTAAAGTATGATTAACATATGAGAAGCAACGTTTGTCATCGCTCTCTCATGTGGTTAAAACCTGTTGATCAATCAGAGTCTATGAGACGGAAGTACAGGATTACATGCCCCCACCCCCGGGGATCTAATTTGTTTGTTCATTGCTTCTAATTGGTGGAAAGGGCTTCAACTTACTTTTGTCACGTATTTATATACAATTACACGAAGAGAAATCGACTCACCACAGGATTCATCAGTATTGCGAAATTGGTTAGATGATCACAGCTACAAATAGTATAAGTTGAATTCGAAGACGCCACTGTACATCCCCTGCCTGACCAAGAACCACCAAGATTGGGACTGATGAAAGAGAAAGAAACAAGACGAAGTCGATAGAAATATTCCAAATATAATAACTAAAATAGATGGCATGTAAAAAATTAGAGACATGTAAAAAAGCCAGGAAAAAGAGAATTAATATATATATATATATATATATATATATATATATATATATATATATATATATGCACATTTCATTGAATACGACAGACAACTGTCCGAATGTTCTTTTTTTCCGAGCGCTTTCGGCTATACATTTATTATTTTCAAGGTTGAAATATTTTAACTGTTAAATAAGAAACTTCTTATTTAACAGTTTAAATATTTCATCCTTGAAAATGGCTAAATGTATAGCCGAAAGCGCTCGTAAAAAAAAGAACATTTGGACAGTTTTTATATAATTTATCATCTGAAAAGAAAAAAATATTAGATCTCATGAGAAATTGTATAAAAAACTAAATCAAAGCATCTTGTCTGTCGTTTTCAATGAAATGTGCATGAAAGAAGGATTGCTACCTATTTAAGAAAAAAATCGTCATTACAACCAAAAACGTTTGCGGTTTCTCTCTTCTTTTTTATACACACTTTTCTCTCGTTGAACTACTATAACCTCTTATATATATATATATATATATATATATATATATATATATATATATATATATATATCGCACATGGTGTGTTGGTGTTAACAGAACAGTGCTGGATGTAATAAAACAGAGCTATTAAGTATATATTAATAAATATGCATATTATCCCTCCTCACCGGTAGCACAACTCGGTATTTCATGCACAATGCAATCTTCAGGTGCTGGGTAGAGACTGACCGTTACATAATTTAAATTTTAATAAAAATATCTGGTTATGCAGTGCGTTCACAGTTCATATATTATATGGGGATTACAGTCTTTTTTTATTTTAAAAATATATATTGCATTTAAAATAGAAGGGATTTTTATTTTATATTAATGTAGTCATCGCTTTTATTTTCTGAAAATGTCGTGTATATACGTCCGTATTTAAATAAAAATCGGCACGTTTATACACACACACACACATACACACAAAATTCAAAATTCTTTTAAAAATATTGGGGCTTGATCAACTGTGCTAAGCTTTTCCATTTATGATTGGTAAATAAGTTTTTAATTAATAACTATATCGTCTAACCTGCAAATTACGACAGAATTGAAATTGTTATTAAAGTTTAGAAATAATTATAATTCATATTAAAAAAAAGAAAACAATTCTTGTGAACATTCATTATATTTTTCTTCAGACAATAGTGTCTATATGTGTTATTCATATAAACAATTAAAAGCTTTTCTAATTAAATAATGTTTTCAGTTTATTGAATTTTTTATTTTACGATTCAGAGTAAATTTTCAGTAAATTGTGTTCCTGTTTTACAAAAATAAATTGACGATTTAAATTCTCTAAATAGTTCTACTTTTAACTAATATAAATTTTAAGCTCTGCAATTTGAATTACCTGAAATTTCATAAAATTAAATAAGTGGGTTACATTTTTAAAATAATTTAATTGATTTGTGAATAAGCCCTGAAAGTTTAATCAAGATCGGACAATTATTTGATTTTTGAAAGCATTTACAAATCAGTGTTTTTCACCGAAAAAAAAAAACAGCCCTCCTCACAAAAAAAAACAAAACAAAACAAAAAAAAAAACGCTGAAATTTCCTATACTAATTTTCCTCCCACCCCACTGATTTTTAAATAAAATTTCAAATGTTCTAAAAAGGATCAAAAAATATAATTTAATAATAAAAAATTCTTTGGTCTTTTCCTCTTAATAATATTAATGATTTTAATGATAAAACTTTATTTTTATTAAGATTGGGAATTTTTTGCATCATGGTATGCTAATTTTTTAGTGAATCCGAAGAGGTACCTATTAAAAATCATTAAAACCACAAAACATAATCCTGTGAAGATAATGTATTTATCGCTCTTGGAATCACCCAGTATCTCAGCTCGTGTTTATATATTTTTCTCCTTAAACGATGATACTGTGAAGAAATACTCACTTCTTACTGAAATCCCAGAAGTTACAAGAAGATTCTTGGTATAGCTGTCAATAAAAGAAAAAAAACGAAACATTTTCAGTTTTTAATGAGTTCTTTTTTTAATCCAAGAATTATATTTTATTACTGTAGCGTTATATTTTAGCGTGTACACATGTTAGAGCAGCCATCCCTATTTTTTAAAATAATAAGATTAATGTCTAGCAGTCTAGAGACTGAAAGTCTTAATAAAATAAATATTATTTCTCAACCAGCGTGCACATAGTGTAAAATACGACGTTTTGTGACGTATTTTTATTATATTGTGTATTGGAGGCTTGTTTAGTTTAGTTCTTACAGCAGAGAAGAATCCAATCAAAATTAAAATGGCAGATGTTTATATCCCGTAAATAGTAGTTTCCTATTTTCTTCCAAAACAAACAAGCACAGCCATGCAACAATGCTATAAAAATGCTCTGCAGTGAAAGTGTTGGTAAATTAATGTTTCTATGATGCCGTCAGTTTAGAAATGTTTGACGAACAAGTTTCTTCAATCAAGTGTCCCCAACAAGAAAACAGAGAATATGGTGCGAGTGAGACATAATCACAGGTTTTTCTACAGAGAAACCTTTTTTTAACATAAGCAACAAAACATTAGAGAAAAATAATATATCGAAAGGGATACGAGTTGAATGTTCTTACAACCATTGATACTTTGTGGTTTTAATTTCTTACTCGTTACTTTAATATGTTGAAGTTAAATTGTATCTCACTTGATGCGTGATATTTGTATGTTTGGATAGAAATAAGTCACCACCATGTTGTGGGAATATAAGTGTGTGTACCTTGTATAATAAATATCTATGGGGGCTCCTGGAACATTTATCCCTCAAACGATATTGGCGGACTCAGTGTGAGTCCGGGTAAAAATAAGTAGAGCAAAACAATGAATATAAAACAAACAACAATGCATGTTATTAACAAAAGAAATCACATGTGTACACAATGTAAATGAAAGGAAAAACTAGCTATAGGAATAATGTGCTTATGTGTTAGTTTAAAAGTCAACGGAGGACCAAGGAAGCGAAAGAGAGAGTGAGAGAGAGTGAGAGAGAGAGAGAGAGAGAGAGAGAGAGAGAGAGAGAGAGAGTATGACAACATTTTAAATTATTCTTTTGGAAAAACAGTGAATCCGTTTAAGATGCCATAACGTAAAATCGATCTTACCTGAGATAAATGTGAAAAAGTTAGGGATATGTTTTCAGAGAGATTTTCCAAAGTTTTTCCTAGGGAAATAGCCAAAATATAGGAATTTACAATGTTGTTCGTTTCGCTGTAAAAGAAAAAGTAAAATATTAAGGAGTCAAAAAATCAGAAAAATAAATTGGAAGAAGTGTGTTCAGAAAATGCGTAGCCATTTTGAACATGTCAAGAACAAGTGATGTAAACTTACAACCAATCAGAGACGGACATTATTTTGCTTCTGTTAAGAGTCGGCAATGAAAAGACATAGTATGAAAAGACGTGGTATATGTTTGTCTCATAGACTAAATTCACTCGTTTAGCGGATTTGTTTTCAGTTTTCGGACATCTGCTGTAGTCTTATGCTATACAAAGCTAAGTTTTGTAATGCATAAGGTGCTAAACAAAAAGTTCATACACACATACACAAACGCACACGCACATACACACATGCAATAACGCAAGATCATATGGAGGCACACACGTACATGCATACATATACACGTGGCACATGCACAAGCGCAAACACGCACGCAAATTCCTGCACATTCATACAAACATATACACACACAAACACATACACACAAGCACATTCACAAACATAGACGCTCGTATATTGACACACGAACATGCACATAAACGCCTGCACACGCACATAAAGACTATTGATTTAAAAGAAATACTTTAAATACTGAATTTTTAAAATAAATTTTATTATAATTCTACTTGTTCTTCCGTTAGTTGACATGCGCGTTACGCCCAGCCATTAACCGAGATCATTTAATTTTCATTGCGAAGAAAGTCGGAAGAAAAAGACATAATGTGAGAGAGAGAGAGAGAGAGAGAGAGAGAGAGAGAGAGAGAGAGAGAGAGAGAGATATTTAACGTGTTTTAGTTAAATGAAAAACCTTCTTTAAATTATGTCTATCGATGTAATGGGGGAATTTTCACGTGTAATGAGCTTATTTATTCATCAAATAGTATGATAAGAAAGAAAGAAAGAAAGAAAGAAAGAAAGGGAAGATAGAGGAGGCGATAATGTTCTCATGTGTTTAAAAGCGTCTGCTTCAGTGATACAAAAAACCTTGTGAGTTTCAAATCTTTTCATTTGTATCCTCTTACTTCTTTAAATAATGACCTGCATATGATTATTATTGTCATATTTTGTGAAAGTTGTCAAGTTAAAATATTTCACGATTCAAGAAGTAGCATGTCCACGGATATTTTATAGTCGTGGTATTCGCCATGAAATTATCCAATCATTAACTTAAGAATTAGGATCCCTCAGGAAATTAAAATCAGAAAATCGTGAATTTTCCACGTGGCACTTCTATTTATCCATATTTTATAAACTACTCCGATTAGAAATTATTCAATCTTTTCAATTTTCCCGGCAGTAGCTATAAAAGGGTTGAATATTTTCTGGACAGACTCCGCGTGTATACTTATGTCGAGACGTGTCGAAACGAAATCTAATGTGAATTTCGCCTTTGATTTTCTTTTTTGCAATAATGGTTAATTATAATTAAATATTAGTGTTAACTAACAAAAAAGAAAACCATAGTTGGTTTTGATCAAAGAAATTGTTCATACTTGGATTTTGGCAACAGGTCCTTCATGTTTCTGAATATAACTGCATTCATCGACACGCTGTCGTTAACTGGAAAAGAAAGGAATTTCTTGCATGAAACTTATTTTAAAAAAATCAATTCACCATAATGCCAATTTAGAGGAAAGAGGCTATTGAGAATGTGTAGACTTTAGAACGAACCGAAAACCTAGTCATTAACAGGGAACAAAGGATAAACATCTACTCCCATTCAAAAGACTGGGGAGGAATGTGAACCAAACGATAGGTGAACCTATCTACTACCAGTGAGAATAAAAAAGAAACTGATAAATAAAATTTTAGTATTTAGTCGGAGACTTAAGAAGTAGAGAGTTACTTGACCCCCCCCCCACACACACTGAGTCAGGTTGTGACACAAGGTCAAAAACTTCAGAAGTATAGTGTTAAAGTAGCCTTTAGAAGGAACCGGAAATTCAATCCTAAACAGGAAACAAAAACAAAAATTCCTGTTCAATCTACTTCTATTGAAGATAAAAATCATAATAATAAAAAAATAAATAAATAGTAAATAAATTTTCAGAGTTTAAGCGGAGACGTTAGTATCGAGTTAAAGTAGACTTTAGAAGGAACCGGAAACAGGAAACAAAGGATAATCCTCTACTGTTCAAAAGATCGAGGAGGCGTATGAACCGGACGATAGGCGAACCTACGTTATACATAGAATTATATTCGAAAAGCAAGACTTAAAATGCTATATTTATTAGAAAATATATTCGGTTTAAATATCAATTAATGATTTCAATGGGGCGCGCATTTCGGTTTGTAATCTTTTCTGCTTATACAGGACTTGTTGTCAGAGAGAAATGGAAATTAGCATTTATGATACAGATACAAGCACTAGTGACACATTTCAATTTCATTCAAATTCTGTTTAAATGTACTTTTGCGTGTGTGCACATGTATATTTTAATTCAATGGTTGATCTAAAAGTATTTCTACAAAATAAAAATAATTAATATAAAACTTTAAATAGAAAAGCAATTTAGATACGGAACTATTTATTAAATACTATTTATTAATTTATTAAAATACTAGCTTACAAGCCGCACTCTGGGTCAGCTTATGATAATTTTGAAGAAATAACTTTGCATTCCTCAATTCACTCGATGGAACTTCAAAACCTCACTTTAACTTTGATTCGGGGTATAAGACCAATTCCGGCCAAAATACCGATTTAGGCCGAAAATTCGATTTGGGGTGAGTTAGACCAAAATACAGACCGAAAATTGAGTTCTTCAAATGGAACTTCAGTTGAGTTGAGTCCAACAAATCACAAACTCTGTGGAACTTCAAAAACCTAATGTCAGGAAACCTTTCACTTTAATTCCTTGGCATTTTGGAAAAATAAAGTTGATTTCTTTAATTCACAAAGTTTTTTGAGATATTTTAAACTGAATTTAAAACAAAGATTTTGTAATTCATTTAAGTTTTTGTGTTACTTTACGCCCAGTAAAAAAATGAAAAACCTTTAAAATCACTAATTTTTTTCAGTTATTTTAAAATATGAATTTTTAACTGTTCCTTCCTCATCTTGACATAAATTCCAATGCTGAATGTCCAAGCACCAGATGAAGGGCAGATTTTCAATTTCGGTATTATCCTGATTCCAAAAAAGTATACTATGTCTATGTAGAGCAAATGTGATTCAAGTTAGAGTTGGTTTCGGGCACGGACGGACGCACAGATAGAATTTGCCGTTTATTTCTTGAGATAGTACTAAACCTAATTTACTGACCCCTGACAATGTATATGTCATATAAGAACATGTTAAAAGCAATTTAAAAAACAATAACATGATTCGCGCGTAGTTTGTTACTTAATCACTATTACGTAATTTATAATTAAGATTACTTTATTCATTAAAATGGAATATATTAGGTTTATTCTTTGAGACAAGTGAACTTAAAAACATTTTTTTCATCGTATGTGAGGTAGAAAAGCTACTAAGACACAAGGGGTTACTGAATGTGAAAGAATAAGAAAAAAAAAACATTATTAATAAGAGTAAACAATAGAAGATAACGATTGAGATTGCATTAAAGTTTTGAAGATCAAAATTGGCTGGAAATCATGGTGTCGGAAGAGAGTTCGACAAGCGAGAAGTACGAGAAAAGAAACTTTTTGCATAGTACTGTGAATTTATAAGATCTTTCTGCTAATTTAATATGACATTTAAATTCAATTCTATGTACCATAGCGAAGAGTTTATCTGATCAATTACCATGAAAGTATTTATAGAAAAAAAAACACAGGGAATCTCTATTACGGTGGTGAGAAAGTAATTGAAGCCGAGACACCAGGTCAGGACCGATAATATTGCTGATTCTTCTTTGAATTTTATTAAGAATCTCTAGATATACAGCAGGAGCCCCGGACCATATGTGACAGCAATATTCAAAGCATGGACGAATGGTAGACATATAAATATGTAAAATAGATTCCGGAGGGAAAAATTGTCTAGCACGACACAGTGAACCGACTTTCCTAGCAGCAGACCTAGGAATTGATTCTGTATAATCTTTCCACTTCATGTCAACCGAGAATGTTAGCCGGAGGACACAACAAGTTACTCTCATGGAGGTTAGTAGCAGCCATGTTGATGAAAGGTTGAAAGTGATATATATAAAGAAACAATTAGTAAACTATGCGAAAGTCGTTGTACAGAAAGTGCAGTCACTTATATAGACTAGCAACCATATTGTTGTGGGAGCCATAGTATTATGAAAGCAGCTAATGCATTAAAGGTCTCCGTTTTTGAAAACCTCTTTTTGCCATTATCATTTGTTTAACAATTTTCTAAACCTAATATCCAAGGTGCTAAACCTCTACAACGATAACTATATTCTGCAGTTAGTGAATTTTGATGTGGTTTAATGGTTAGCAAGCTTGTCTAGCTAGGTCAGTTACAGCTGAGTAGTGAGTTTGAATCTCACTGGGAGCTTCCTACTTTCGTCCTTGGGTCCTGTCTAAGTCATGCTTAGTAAATCACTATATTTCGTGGCTTAATGAGAAAAGCTTACCATTAAATTTGTCTTTTAAAATACTTGAAGGAACAAACACTTCAGACTTGCTTTCTTCAACCCATTTTGGTCGAGTTTTATTTGGAGTTGGAAACTGGATATTTTTGGTCACCGCAACTTTCTCGATTTCAATCACTGAAAAAGAAAAAATAAACTTGTTTCCACAATTTGTTCGTCTTACTGAGATCATTTACCGTAAATTGCGGTGAACAAATCTTTTGGGGTCGAGTTTTGAAGCCTAATAAACTCTTTTGGGGTTGGGTTTTAAAGTCTAATAAACTCTTTTTTGGGTCGAGTTTTCAAGCCTAAAAAATCTTTTTAGGTTACAGCTTTGGGTTACTGGTAGCCTACCGTATGTTTGGGGGTCGACCTATGGAGCAAGTATAGACCTAAATCAGAATTTTGAACCGAAAAGCTAGAGATTTGTACGTCACAATTTACGGTAATTCAGTCTGCTAATTCACTCTTACCTTTGAAAAAAGTAAGAAAGAAAAATAGTTTCAAATCGGACCAATCTTTTATGACAGTTGATATTCATCATGCAAAGAATTCCATACTTTAAACGTAGCTTGCTCGCCAATTCTTTTCTTTTTAAAAAAAAAAGAACACCCTCCACTGGCTTTACATTGATAAAGAGAATCTTTTGGTTTGTATATGTCTGTGGTTAGCGCAATTGGTATAGGTGTAGATCAATCCTCTTATATAGAAGTGAATGCTGGATAATCTCCTCACAAAGAAACTTGAAACCAACAGAAATGTGGTTCTACAGAAGGATGATAAGAATATCATGTGGGCGATGTCAAAGTTTTAGAGAAAATAGAAACAAAAAGCACGTTTATACTTAGCAACAGAAAGAGGCGGTTGAAATTTCTAGGGTACATATTGAGGAAAGAGGGCTTGGAAAATTTGACACTAACAGGATATTTTGAAGCCTAGATAGACAGAGTCAAACAGAGCTTGTGTGAATGGTTGGCAAAACAGAGATTAGGAGAGATAACAAAAATATAATACTCCTATTCTTCGTAGCATTATCCTAATCTCCATGTCTCTCCACAACTTCCTCACTTCTGTTGACTCTTTCAGTTAAGTGCCATACAGGATACACACTTAGGTGAACATATCTCTTTCGATCCATGACTGACTAAGCAGAAAATTTTCCAGCAGTAGGTTACTATTTCTTTTTGCTGTAGACTGGTGGCCAACCAAGGCTACAGAAACCAGTCTTCCCTACTGGAGGAGGAAGGAGATGGGTTCATGTCTTTCCAAAGTTTATTTGCGCATTATTGAATGTAACGATTTCGAGCGGTATTCGAACTCGTCTCTCCGATTTCACATTCCGAACCGTTACACCCCAACACACACCCGTACATACTTTTATTGTTAATGATTAAATATAAGTATTCTTTTTACTGCCATTTTCTCTACAACTTCATCATTGCTTACACATTCAGTTCATCAGCTTCCTTTTGTAGAACCACATTTCTGTTGACGCTACTCTCGTCTTCATCTATGAAGAGATTGATCAGCATTCACTTCCATATAGTTGGACTGATATTACATAACAGTAAAGTACTCTTTTCTTTGTTTCTTACGAAATTTTCCTGTTTCTTAATACTTTGCTTAACTTTTGGAAGGCATCTTTCACTATCCCAATGCGCCTTCAGATTTCAGTGTTGCTTTTTTCTGTATTAGAATCATATGACAACTTTATTGTTAGCATGCAGTAATTCTATTTGATTTTTTGTTTGAATGTGTGCAACTCCATCTCTCGACAATAGAAATTAAGTTTTGCTGAAGAAAGAGGACATTTCCACTTACCAAGATTTTTTGTTTGAATGTGTGCAACTCCATCTCTCGACAATAGAAATTAAGTTTTGCTGAAGAAAGAGGACATTTCCACTTACCAAGATTTTTTGTTTGAATGTGTGCAACTCCATCTCTCGACAATAGAAATTAAGTTTTGCTGAAGAAAGAGGACATTTCCACTTACCAAGATTTTTTGTTTGAATGTGTGCAACTCCATCTCTCGACAATAGAAATTAAGTTTTGCTGAAGAAAGAGGACATTTCCACTTACCAAGATTTTTTGTTTGAATGTGTGCAACTCCATCTCTCGACAATAGAAATTAAGTTTTGCTGAAGAAAGAGGACATTTCCACTTACCAAGATTTTTTGTAGAGACCGTAACAGTTTCGTTGATCTTCTGCGAAGCAATATTACCAAAATCTTCCACTTTCTTCAAAATAGAAGACGCTGTTAGCTGATTCTGATTTAAAAAGAAAAAAAAATCAATGTTTTTAAAAGTTCTAAAATAATGTGCTGTATTTTTATATTTCAGATCATTCGTATTACTATTACTGTATTATGGAGGCACGGATTGAGTAATCGGAGAGCCGAGTTCGAATTCCAGTTGAGTTCATTACTAATGCGATGTGGTGTTTGGCAGGACACAACACTTAACTCGCCAGAGTCAGTCCTAATAGTAGTATTCAATACTCATTTCGACAAATCCCTGCAATAGTATTATATGCTTTTTTTCCTTATAGACAATTACCCAGGGCTACTTATCATGAATGGATTGATGATATCATGGAGGATTAACTAGTTCTTACCGCAACAGTTACATTCATGTACGTATTAATAGCCTTGCGGAAAGACATGAATCCATCTACCCCCACCCCACCCAGCTATGAGTAAAATGGCAATGCAAATAGGGTTCTATAGCCTTGGTTGGCAACCTCTCTAAAAGACGGAAAACCCTGGAGAGGGTTGGGCTCTGTTAGGCTGTCTTGCCCAGGAAACACCCCTGCTGCTATGGTCTCAGTGGATTTGGTGACCCTACAACCTTTATGGTATTAACAATTTTTTGAGAATAATAAGGATTATATCTGATACAAATCCTACTATTTAATGGGGAAGGTACGAATCCATCTCTTCTCCCCCAGCTATGGGTAAAATAGTACAAAGGACTGGATACTATCTTTAGATGGCCACCAGTCTAGGAAAAGTAAAAGAAGGAAATCCGCCTCTGAGAGGATGGACGGGGTAAAAGTAATCGGTAAGCTGTTGCTCGATTTTGTCTTGAATGTCACCATGAACCACCAAGATGGAGGGGGAGTAGTGACCACATCAGCGCAAAATGCGCTAACTGAATGAATGAATTATTGTATTTGTTGTTTCTTAAATTTTATTATTCTTAAATCGTTTTACCTGTACATTTGTCTTTTTGAAGTGCTAAGAACTATTGCTATATTTCTGTCAATTATTCGAACGTGTACCGAGCACAGTGTTTTAGTTGATGTGTTTCATGTTTTTTCTATAAGTGTATTTTACATCATTGAATTCTTACTCTTGTTTAAAAAAAGTAGAACAGGTCATAGTTTATACGTGACAAGATTGAAAAGTCCGATGCATCGTTAAGTAGACTCATTTTCTTTCAGCAATCTAGGGATATCATAATATGTGTATCCGTTTTACGTTCAAACATCATGTATAGATCGCTAAGACAAATAATTCCAACATGTCTTATTGTTAAGTGATCGCAATATTTTCTTTAATTTCTGATAATTTGGCAAATAAGTACAATGCTGTATAGAATTGCGTCATTCTTCCAAACAGGGAAAGTCTGCCTGTTTCGAAAATCAAAATGTGGAAAGCCTGGATTTTATATGGAATTAAAAACTGATCACCTATTGATATTACGTATCTGTTTAAGATAGAAAGCAGGGAGAAACGGAGGTCTGGTGTTGCGTTAATCTTCCAAATTGGCGAGGTCTGCTTTTTGGTGCCATATAAGGAGCCGACCATTTTCCCCCCATTATCTTTAGCGAGGGATTATATATCTGAGTTCCTCTGGGCTGAACCTGACTCACACTCGACGTTCCTAGCTTGATGCATAGATACTGTTCAAATCAAAGACTCAGCGTTGGTCCAGTAGGCAGGGAAGAGCTGTCGATGATGTCACATGCAGAATTCTTCTAAGGTCTTTTCAGATGTCCTTCTTGTTGAGCAGGCGGGGCTATATTCCTTATCATGTTGTTCAGCTACACAAAAACTAATTCACCATATAGGAAACCGATCGAATTCGTCTAAACGACGAAGACAAAGGAAAAAAAGGATTGTCAGAATTTCGAAAACGGTTACTGCTTAAGCTTACTTTGCTTTTCACTCATACCATAAGGCATGGAACAATTTTTTTCCTGTGTTGCTGGATAACTTGAAAACTATCTCGTCACTAGCATGTCATAAGAGATGACTAGGAAAAAGAGTGGGTGAACGCTAAAACAAACCATTCTCCCATAACTATCTTACATGTCCACGCAGTAGCAGTAAGTAGTTGTAATTCCAATTATTAATCATGAAGAGACCTAATGGTACGTTTTACAAGGGTGAATCAGTAACTTGTAATTTGACACGGAACTGTATAATATTGGTCCATGCAATTAATATTCACCATAGAATCAGGTGCACTGAAAGAAAGGAGGTAACGTTTAGAATATATTCATGTCAATTAAATGTTTTGTTTATCACCATTCTGAAAACAGCTGTAATTAATTAAAAGATAAAAGTTCATGACTGGAGGAAAAAGGTTAATAGGACGCGCAGTTAGGCATTAACTTGGAAACCATGACTAGTTTGTTGTTCGACAGGTGTCCTATCTTGTAAGCCTAGGATAATTAGGAAACTAGTGTAATATATTCATCAACTTGGCTTGACCTCAGAAATTTGTATATGTTGAGGGATGAGAGTCGAGTATGTAATCAGGTCAAGTGATTAAAGTATAAGTATGATTACATTGTTTTAATTATAAAAACGTATGTCCGAAGATCTTTTGGTTTTAATTTGCTTTATTAGTAAACTTGAATCAACATCTATTTTATTATACCGACTGTAGGAATAACATTAAAATATCAACTCTTCAGTCGACTTTGGTGGAAGGAAGGAAGGAATGAGCAAGAAGCACAAAATCATGAATATGAATTGTTTAGCATTGTTACGATTTTCTTTTACAGAAAGCGTAATCAGTAAATCTTTTTAAATCTGAAACAAACTGTGTGAACAGTACGTACTTTTTCTTCTAACTTTGTCCATGCGGTTTTTGTGTCGTCTTTTACCAGATTGTTGACTACGTTAACGAAATTCTGAAAGAGAAAATAGAGTATAAATTTTTTGATAATTTTATGACCAATAGCTGATGCAAAATTTTCGAAACGTCATTTTTTCATTACTTTAGAGATCTTTAATTTTCATAGTCACACTTCCATATTTATCCACTTGAGTTCCCACACTTCCGCAGTATCTTCCCAAATTTTGAATTTTACTTTGGTTCTTCTGAAAATCTTTGGAAATTTCGTTTCTACCATCATCGAATGACTTTAAGCAATGTAAGATACATAAACAGTACCGATCTCTCCAGACATGATGGTAATACAACCATTATTTTCGTGGGATATTGTAGCAAAAACCTAATCTTATGATGAATTACATGTAAGCATGAAAATAAATATGTTAAAATATATAAAAGACATTAGTTCCATTTTATCCTCAAGCGAATTTGTCTTTAATTCAATTACAAAATTAAATTCGAAACTTTTAGCTTCCATTTTTGAAACATGGTTTGAACTGTGTAGCGAAAAAAAACATATTTTAAATCAATTAATCTATAATATACATATATGTTGTTGGCTTGACGATCGTATCCGAATATGACTGTCTATTAGCCAATCCCTGTTGCAAAAGCCTTGCTCGAGCACATTTGTGTTTGTTCAACACCCACAGAGCTCACATGTGATTTATACCTTTTGTTTTCTTTACAGTTTCTTGGAGAGAACAAATTATATGGCGTGGTCAACAGTCTGAACAAAGCAAGTATACTCAAATCTTCGGTGAGAATGACTTATGACTTCGTTCTAGCACAACAACAGCTCTTAAATAGTTCCGTCTACTCAATTTCCCTCACAATTTGAGGCGTGTTTTTCAGGCACTTTCTGGATCGCTTCTCCCACAAGAAGTCACTTTCCAGACAAATCAGCTATGGGGAGATTCGAACCAGGATCTTATGGTCGGAAAGCGAACGTTCCTATATATCAGATAGCTGAAGTTTTAGAGAAAACAAAAACAAAAAGGAAACATATTTCACACCAGGAATAGGCAGTTGTAATTTCTATAGCACATAATGAAGAAAGAAGGCTTGGAAAATCTGATACTCACAGGACAGACTGAAAGCAAGTAGGACGGAGGGAAACAACGCATAACCTATTTAGCTTAAATAAATGAATGGAGGAACAGCGTTTCGGAGAAATAACAAAAAGATAAAATTTATTATGAGCTACGAAGGAAGTTATGGAGAGCAACGATCGCCTACATCCTGAAGGGAAGCAGCAAATAGAGAAGAATGATGCTTTTTTTATCTTCTTTCACACTCAGTAACACCTTGCTTTGTTGCTTTGTTTGGGGTGAAATGATTAAAAAATGATAAGGATATTAGTCTGAATGTAAATAATTAAAACAGTATCTCGCCAGTTTTGCTGTTTTCATCCAAACATTTCTATTTCTAATCTCTCTGGCTATTTTTCCTGGTCAAGTGATAAATTTTTGCAGTTTCAAGCGAATCTTGTTCGCATGAAGAATTAATAATTGAAAATGAAGGAAGGAAATGACGATTATAAGATGCAAATGTTGATAATGTTGATAAAATTAATATAAAAATTGTGGAGCGAGTAGCCATGGTCAAATGCGAAATAACTAACAGAACTGTCCAACAAACAGAATTGACAAAGTCTGCAATAACATGAAAAAAGAAAAAAAAAGAACAGGGCAAAAGATAATCTAAAGCAAGCAAACGACATATGCAAGGCAAATTAAAAGTAATAAGGCAAAGCAACAAGGCAAAAAGTTCATAAACTAAGAATTGCTTTTGACAACATAAAAGCAAGTTGAGACAAGCGAACGTATCGTTCTGACTTCAAGACAACATAGACTGGGACTGAGTCAGATGAAACCGAGAATCGGCCTATTTTATTTGCTAAGAAAAATCCCAGCATGCATTTGTATGCTTCTGACTATAGATTTGGGAGGGACAAGTGTTTTGTTGTTATTCCCAGTGAAGATTGGAATCAACAAAATAATAAGATTCAATAATATGGACAGATGAAATAATGATGATACTTTGTCTCAGAGGTTCAAACAATACTCGAGAGACAAAACCCAAGCACATCAACATATAACTATTATACAATGATTCGCACAAGCGACTTTTTTTGTTTTTCTTTGTGTCTGTATCTTTATTCCGGTCTCTTTACTCTCCAGCCTTCCTCAGCAGAAAGAAAAAAAAAAAGGAATCAATTTATAATGGTCGAAACAACTCATAAATTCAGACAAAACTGTTAGAAGGTTATCAAAATGACAAATACGAGGATACTCGCCCAGTTAATTCATTAAATGATGAAAATAGTTTATTTCAAAGCTAGTATCCGCGCTGGTCGAAATGTTATGAAAACAACTACGATAGGGATACTAGTTAGAATTCTTACGTAACACAGCTTTCACCCCATTGGTGCTAATATTAAGTATAATCTGCTTGAACTCAAGGTTCCCGTTCTCACAGGCAGCATTTCAAAGCTAGGGTTAATCAATGCACCCCCTTAAAGATGTCCCGAAAAAGGGAAAATGCTTGGAGACTTAAGCAGTTTTTTCCCCTTAGTCCCTTAGTCCGGGTGGGATTCCCGTTTTAAACTTGGCTTGATGCCACATTCTGTTCTAATTAGTCTACGCATAGAGATCTACCAGGGAGAATATTTGATGGAATAACGACTATAGCAGGGGTGGTCAAACCGCGGTTCGTGAACCACATACGGCTCGTGAGCCATATGAGGCTCTTTGACTTTTATATGCGGCTCGTGGCTGAACTCTTTTTTTTTTTTTTAGCTACAGTTAATATAAAAGGTAAATAAGAAAAAATTCAAGCTTTATAATTATTGACTGAGATTTATAATTATTATAATTGAGATAACATTGGATTAAAATCTAAGTTTAATATTAATGTATATGTAATAAAAACGTATGTGTAAATTTTGTTCGTCTCATGTGGTTCTCAAGTATCTGAACTTTATCGTATGTGACTCTTACATTAAGCAAATTTAGCCACCCCCGGAACTTTAGAATAACTCCAACAATACTTATGAAACTGAAAATATAGACCGTAAAGTGTTATCAAGACAATTACAATGAGGATAATAGTTAGACAAACACATATCCCAAAATTCTCTTTTGTCTTGTGGAATGAAGCAATCAAACAAATAAGAAATTAACAATGCAAGTTCAAAGTAGCATACCTTTACTTCTTTTTTGCTCACTTCTTTTGACTTGTTTGTGATGATAGAAGCAATATCCAGGGCATTTATTGTTTCACTTATGTCTTCTGCTTCTATGGGTCCTTTCGTCGCGTTGGCAAGGTTTTCCACAGCCTCATCAAAGTTTCCGCCGATTCCAATTGAAATTCTACCAAGCTTAAAAAAAGATGAAAATATAGCGTATTTAACTCGGGGTCTTGTAGCAAAAATCAAAGTCGTGAGGCAGAGTGATTAATCATTCTGGGTATGACGATAAACTACATCCAGCAGCGAGGTCTCTGATCGGGAGATTCAAGCTTTTGAGGAGCGTGGAACCACCTCTTAATTGCTGTAGTCGATACGGAGTGGTAGCATCCGTTGGGTCCCAGATACGGGTAAATAATGAAATCCCCCAAACAATACACTATGAAAGTATAAAAATACATTTTTATAGTAAAAATACCAGCAATAGATTTTTATATAAAAAAAGACAATTTCATAGTAAATTAACCGGTAACACATTTTTATCTGTAATTGAAGGAATACAATTGCGTTCAGAATTTCTTTAGTTGAATCCATAAAATTGTGTTCAAAATATTTAGATATTAGGTATTAAATAACCCATAGAGGTCTTGATATGCCGTTAAAGAAAATCAAGCAAATCAACTGTAGTTATTAAGTTAATAGCTTCAATGAAAGTACTGTATTAAGTCGAAATTTTAAGATTAGGTTTCGACTAAATTAAATCCATGCTAGATGCTATCATTGAAATTGGATAAAACAGGCTATTCACGTCTTAACATTGTTAGTTCTGTGGAATTGTTGGCTTTGAAGTTTTTTGGTGTGTGTACTTTTATTTATCGTTTCGCCTTAAGCAAAGTGACAATGCCACTAAGGGGGGGGGTACAATGAGTGAATGTGAATGAGAAGAATTTAGTGACGAGAAATTTGGAAGAGGGCAATAAAGAAACAGGAACAGAAAATGGCGATTGATGTTGTATTAAAAGTTTTGAAGATTGTAGTTGACAGGGAAGCATGGAATCTAAAGGACGATAACAGGTGATAAGTTCAAGAAAATAAACTATTAGAATAGAACTGACGGTTGCATCTAGTTAGTTCAACGAGACCTAATTGACACTCTAGTATCGCGCTTTATTTATGCAGACCATACACTCAGGAGAATTGCTCATCAGAACAACTTCCATGAAAATATATAGAAAGTAATGACATAGTCACGATATTGATCTTCCACACTACTTCAACCAAAAGGTTAGGAAGGAAACTTCCATCAATACTGGAAAGAGCAATAACGGTTACTGGACTTGAGAAACCTATTTTCCTTAAGAATGTTTTAAGAAGAGAAATATTTTAAAAATTTCAACCAACATCATTTGTGGTTGCTTGTTCAATAAATGTCAATTGTTTCCTTATACGGAAATTGCTGATATTACCATTACCATTTTTATATTTTGTTAGGACGCCTTCCTTTTGGGAGATAAAAAGTTTGTTTTTCCCAATTCTTCAGAGTCAACTTTATTTTTTTTTATCATAAATCTTTGGGTAATAATGTTTTCGACAGCAGATACTACGAAGGCAACGCAAGATATGTTTGATGACCCGTCAGTCGTTTCACATCAAAAGAGTGATTACTCACCGTAGATTTTGCATCCAAGATGGACTTCTTCACACAACTGGAATTGTTTGGCACTCCCCAGATTCCATTTTTCGAGCACAGTCTGCTGACAGTTCCTTTTAGGGAAGAGAAATTTTGAAAACATCTGTGAACAAGTGTACAGAATTATAATAAAAGTAATGTTACACAAGTAGGAGAAAATAGTCATGGCAGTCAGACAATTTCTGCAACCACATTACCTCTTCCATCTCACCACCTAAGTCCCCAGACTGCACCCTCCCTTGACTATTATGTGTGGGGCGCAGTTGAGTGAGAAACCAACAAAACTCCTTGTAATACCAAAGATGAACTGAACATAAAGATTATGGCAGCATTTATCAACTTAAACAAGGAAACATCCCAGAAGAATTGCAGGAGATTCTAAAGTCGTCTGGAGGCCGTGGTTAAAGCTAATGGCGATTTTATTGACTAAATGTACTCTTTAGTCTTTCAAGATATTTTCGTGTCATTTTGTTAAATATATCTTAAAATGAGATATCAGTGTTATTTTTATTTTTTGTGTAATTTAGACTACAATTTATCCATAGCATATTATATATATATATATATATATATATATATATATATATATATATATATATATATATATGGGCAGTAATCTTTCTTTTGTTCGAAGATGTTTCGTTGAATATGACAGACAAAAGAAATTTGATGATTTTCTTTTTAAATTTGAGTTTTTATTGACTTTTACTAGTATTCTTAAAGTTTTCACTTTGGAAATTGTTTTTAAACCACCGTGAAAAGAAATTAACAACAAACCCCTTGAAAATGGCTAAAGAAATCGCCGAAACAGCTTGGAACTATAGGCACTAGGGACAATTTTGACACTCCTTTAACCCCGCCAAATGGAATAAATTAAGAAGACTACAAAAACTGATTAAATTTTACTTGTTTGTCATATTCAACGATATATATATATATATATTAAAGACATTTTTATGTTCTTTTTTATAGATACAAATATTTAAGTAAATGCTCTGTTTATAATAAACAGTATTAAATAACATTTACCATAGAATGTCCGAGAAATTTTCATAGAAAATATTCGTCCTTTGACAGGATTCGAACCTGCATCCTATACGGAACCGTCATTTACGCTGACGTGCCTAACCTCTCGGCCACAAAGGAGCCTTCGGCAGGCAAGGTCGAATTTACTGCTTATAAACTTCAATCTTCCGTATAGGATGCAGGTTCGAATCCTGTCAAAGGACGAATATTTTCTATGAAAATTTCTCGGACATTCAGGCCGGTAAATGTTATTTAATACTGTTTATTATAAACAGAGCATTTACTTAAATACTTGTATCTATAAAAACGAAAAAATTAAACATAAAATGTCTTTAATAAATAAATTGTCGGACTTTGTCCATTTATATATATATATATATATATATATATATATATATATATATATATATGCTTCGTTAAAGATGACAAGGTACTGTGATTAAGATTTTTATTTAATTTTTCTTGTGTTCGAACAAGTGTTTTTTTTTTCTGGACCCAGCGCGTATGTAGAAACTGTGCAAATGTTCTGCAATTCCTGGTGCTTTCGGCTATACTTTTAGCCATTATCAAGGATGATTTCACTTTAACTTTTAACTGAATTTATGGGTTGTGTTATGTCTGTATCTAGAGTTATAGAAATGTTGCAAACACGGTCAGCACATTGTGGCCGTGTTCCTAGTTAATATTATAGAGTGTTGGCTTTTAAAAAAATCAATATTAGGGTTACCATTATTTTAATCTTTTTACATGTGGATGAGGTTATTTTGCTTGTATTTTCTACTATTATGTTTTGGGTGAAGTTTGATAGGATTTTGTGTGTGTTTAAATGATTCCTAATGGAGTAATGATCGGATAGGTGTAATGTAAGTCGTATGCATAGGCGTGTGACCGATGGAATTATTTATGAGTTTAGTTTGCTAAAGAACACAGTTTTTTTAAGAGGCATTTGAACTCGTAAACAATGTTGCTTCTTTGTAGTTTTGATTTTGCAGGTGTGTTATTTTAATGATAAGATTAGCTGTTTTAAATTGTTTGTAATAGATAATATTAATTTCATTTTCTTCTCCGGGTTCACTAAGTTTGTGTATTTCTTTATGATGTTTATCTGTGGCTAGTCTGTCTTCAACGTTTAACGTGTGTAGTAGTGTGTTAACTGACAAGCATTCCATTTAACAATGACAGGATATTCATATTCTGACCAGGTAGATTTGATTTTTACGTACGGCTGCGCGAATGGTATTGGACCCGAGGCTGCATAGCTTTATTGTTTTGCTAGACCAAAGGCAGCCGAGTCATCCAACCTTTGCTGCTGTTTATCGCCGCATTGCTGAGTCTGTGGCACCACAAACTATGGATCGAGAAAGAGCCTGATTCGATCGTACGCCTGGCCACGAAGAACACATCAGTAGAGCATAATGGGTTTTATATAAAATTTGGTTTATTTTCTTTTGGAAAATAACATTTGAATTTACCGGAATATTCCTTGATGCATGTAGCATTGGCGGTGCTGCCTGCAACAGTCTTTGGCCAGTCTATACCTCCGTATGTACCGGCTGGGCAAAGTTTTTTTCCTGAAGAGAGAAAACATTCTATTACAAACGAGCTTACCCAAATTTTCAAAATATATTTAAGTAATTATTCAATTGTATCGTTTATTTTTTTGCGTGATTAATCTAGGTTTATGTATATATTTAACTGTATAAATATTGTGGTAGGATCCACCTAATTTGCATAGTGGAGTACCGACCATATAAATATGGTTGGTACCGGGAAGAGAGGGAGGAATCAAGAGATTCAACCAGAGACTCTGCCAGACTGCGACTAAGTCAACACATTCTCCAGTAACAGTCTTCCCAGGAATATACAAAAGACTATATGTAAATATTGTGTACACTTTCTTGTTTCAATAGATTTTGTTCTAAGTACATTTTGTGTTGCATTATTATTCCATGCATTAGTCAAGTTTCAACAATAATTAACCGTGAAAATAATTGTGGCAGGTAAGAATTTAAGCATGTAATCCCAATAGAGAACGTACTCTACATGATCCATTGAACGCTTTATATGATGAAATATTTCTCTGCTTCCTTAATGATGTTTTCCAGGCAAGTATTTTACAATTAACGGTATTTCGTTTCAGTTACATCTCTTTTTAGTTTCCAGATGGTTAACGTTATGAATGTGTTGTGGATTATTCAAGCATAATAGATCAGCTGGCACCGACGAAAGTCGCCGGTACATTGTTACGGTAATTCCTTTTTCTGTAGTAATAGTAAATTATATCAGGATGGGATCAGACTAGGTACACGACGGTAGCGAGCGTTGAAAACACCCCTACATTGCAGAGAAAAGGCATGGTGTTTTAAAGCCATTGTTTGATAAACTCTGCGTATTATATACCGTCAAATACGGTATTTCCCAGATCAATAAATGCAGTAATTTTTAAGTAGACTAAAATATTGCTTCGTGAATTTGGTGCAATAATTGTGAGTTTAATCCTTGATCCGAGTAGTAAAGATTTAGATTCAGGAGAAACAGCGCACAATAACTGATCAGTACTAAAAAAAAAAAAAAAAAAAAAGATCAGATGTCCGCAGACATGAATGTGTAACAATAACCCACCCTTAGTTTAAATATATGATTCAGTTCGAAATTTCCTGTTAGTTACCAGGGTCGACATATACCAGGAGGAAGCCAAAGGGCACACCACTGGAACGTTGTGATAACAGCAGCAAAGATGACATTATTTCGAATATTTTAAACAGTTTTTTCTTCATTTTTTTTCAGCATTACTTCCCGAACAACCTAATATAAACGTAGAAAGAAAAAAAAATCCTTCCAGGCTTCTAACATTTCTTTTAACAAAATAATCTTAAACTTACCGACCGCCATAAAAATTTGTAACGTTTTAACTTCTCCTTGTCCAACAGCACTGACACCATAACATGAAACTGTTGATTCTTTGAATAAGGTCACTAAAAAAAAAAAAAAGAAAAAAAGAAAAAAAAAGAAAGAAATCATTATTATATTAATATTATGCTGGTAAGAATTACCTCGGAACATAATTAATATCAGGAGTTCAAATTTTTCGGTTATATATTTTGGAATTATCCACCATATTTAACACTTCCGTTTCCGTGGACGTAATTATACATCCGTACGAAATATACATTGCCTGCTGTCGGTGTATATATACACCGTGAAATTCGTTCTCAGTGTCTGTTTTATGAACTAACTAGCAATTAGTGCTATTTCCAAATCAGCGTAGACATATAATATCGTTCAATACGACCTATTTCATGACGGATTTGTATTGTGCCTAGGGGATGTCGTTTAGCTTATTCTGTATTGCAGATTAGCCTATCGAAACCAAATTGGTGGGGCTTGTGAGAAGTCACCGTCAGTTTCTTTATAGTCATTTATTTCCAGTAAAATGGTTATTTTCTCACAATGGGTCAGCACAGCCAGGTAACATTCATCAATGTAGTGATGACAGGCCCTTGGCAAGATTGATATTGTGCATAATAGACATTTTTGGTTGTTACTGCTGCCTCAGATTGGATTTCGCAAGTTATTGTCTGTGAACCACTGTGACATGTAAGTGATGAGACACTTTGTCAAGATAGTTGAAGTCATACTTTTTTTCAAGTGCTAAATGGACATGAGAAATTTTAAATGTAGTTTGAACTCTCTTTGATTTCACATCCAAGTCACTTAGACAGTTTTTCACGAACTAGTCAACTTCTGCTACACACAGTGGTTCTGTTCGCTTTTATGATGGTGTGAACAAAACTGGGCAAAACTCTGAAAGTTCAACAAAGAAACTGAAGGCGGAATATCCTACGGGAGGGGCGGGAATGTCTCCAATATAACCTGTTGGCTCCGATAAACAGGTTTCATTTTTCATAAATCATTTTCCCTGACACTGGCTGTGGGGTAAGTAAATGACACTTAGGACAAACTAACGGACTAGATCTTCTCTTAGGCCAGCGAGAACGCCTTTTTTCCGACACTATATCTCTTCTTACTCTAACCGTGGCTTTACTCCGCACTGCTCCTTATATAAAATGCGATTTGACTATACAAGCCCATGGCCGGAATCCCCTATCTTCCGACCGAGTGGCACATGATCCAGAAAGTTTTTCTTTATTTATTTATACATTTTATTTCTTTTTTTTTATTACTTCGTGAAAGAGAGTGGTTGCTTTGAGACTATCATATTTCGACTGTATTGGCGACTCAGTCATTTGTCATAAAACCCATCGATCACTCCAGGCCCAGATAAAATCATTTACAATTTACTTCACTATATGGGTGTCTTAAACAATCGAGTGGGGGCCCATTGTGTCACACTGATAACCGTAACTTGATGCACCCTTTTCATTTAGTAAATCAGAATTCAATAATGCAAAATTTACCCATCCAACTAGGCACCAATGTCTGCCAATAAGTTTCGGAAAAAGATGATTGGTGTTTCTTGTATTTGTTGACCCAAGAAGTTATTATTTCTTATTCATCAACGAATTCCGAGCTTCTGTCTAAAACCTATTTATCCTTTAAGGACATAATTTTTCTTTGTTTTTTTTTCTTTTTAAGAGGATGAAGATACGATTTCTCACACATCCTTAGGAGATGAAGAGATATATTCCTTTTACTTTAAAGTCATTTTAATGACTAGGGTTTCTCAGGAATCTTGTCCCCAGCCCATCTTAAAGTAAGTTTAATAACCAGGATTTTTCAGGAATCCTGTCTTCAGCTCACATTTGAATTTGACAAACAAAATTTTGTTTATGATTTTAGATAGACGCAAAAGTAGGGTCCTTTGAAGAAACTGACCACTCAAAAGCCGTCTGAGTGGTCCCTTTTTCTGGTTGGTGGAACACAAGTGTTACAGAAAAGGGTGGTGGGTTTCCCCAAGCAGTATCCATATAATGAGTGGTCAGTGAAAGGACCGGCCGTCAGTTAGGGAAACGGCCAGTTAATGAAACAGTCAGCATTCATGAGATGGTCATGCAGTGAGTGCTTAGGGGTACTTTATCCGTGACCGGAAGTAATTGAGATATCAAAAGTCGCTTTCTCTAAGTAGAAGAAAGACATTGCCGATTAAGTGAGAAAGTGTTAAGCATTTGTCGTTATTTGTTGAATTCGATAACGGCCCTAATATTAAGACAACCCTGTGAACATAGTTTCGATGGTGTGTATTTGCATACAGCCGACTTGGATGTCATTACAGCTTGTACAATGACCTGCAGAATCACATTCGACATTCATTGACCAAATAGCGTTTCTATCGATTGAAATTCATAAAATTTTTTTTCTTAAAATAGTTTTTAAGGGAATTAAATTTATCGAGATCACTGTTATCGCTTTTTCAAATAAGGATGGAAGATTACTTTCAAACTTTTGTTTAGGGGTATGTGGAAATACAACATCTTGATTCTATCATTTTTTTCCATTTTAGTTAGTTACTACCCATTTTTGTTGTTGCTACTGTTGGAAGTTTTAAAGTGATGTAGTTAATGTTATTTGTTACACTTCTTTGTTTGTGATTGTGTAGCGCCATTCTTTAAAATCTGATGAAGAAGACATTCTTTAAGACCAAAAGGATTCATAAACTTGATGCCATTTTTAACCACTGATCTGAGAAATCGGTTGCAGAGAGATGATAGTTTAGACATTCTTGAGCGAGTTGGACCTCATGCATGACATCCATATGAAAGTTTAGATCTGACGAAGCTATTTAAAAATATGATAGTATGTCAGATTTTTATTATTTACATTGATATTAATTGTATTATTGAACGAGGCTAGACACAAGTGCCATAGTCGACGGCGTAAACCGAATACTTCAAATTCACACATAAGGTTCGGGAGATGGTGTTTTAGATATTTTTTTCTTTTTTTGGTATAAAATTGAGGTTACAGTCTAATATAACCTAAAATACAGTACATTGTTTTTTGAGACATATTTATTATAATTCATTAGAACCGAATCTCTATTGAACTTACCTTTCCTCTTTTCCTGTTGTTGATTGTTGACTTTAAAAACAAGTTTGGATGAATTGTATGCCTGGAATAAATTGCAGGCAACAGTGACTGGCTTGTCCGTTTGGATGATACGGGAAGATGCATTCAGTTCCACCAAAGGGAAATCTTTCATTTTGACAGATTTCGTAAGGGTATATGGGATGAAGTTTTTCCCTTTTACATGACAGGTTACGTTTCCTGGAGAGAGATGCATAGAAATAAAATATAGAATTGTATTTATGAAACAGGCAGACATTTTGAAAACTCGCACAATACAATGTTTCTATCCTCGTTTCACTTAATGCTGCATGTAGTTATGCCTCATAAATATAGATGAATTAAAAAAAACACACATTTTTATTTAGGCAGCATATCGTCACGTGTCCCGTAGAATGGTAGGCGCAACATATATGCATAACATCCATAGCAGTAGAGTAGGTGTGTCTAGGACAAGATAACCTGATGGAGTTCATCTCTTTTCAGGTTGGTTTTGAATTCAGGTAGATTGTTATCGTTCTGCTGTTGATAGAAAATAGCCTAGTGAATTAAAACGCTGGTTCGAGAGTTTGGTGACATACTACTTGTGTTTTCAAGTGTTAGGCGAGAACAGAGAGAGCAATAACTGGTAAATACTAAAAAAAAACATCAAAACAACTATATGATCCTTGACATGGACAGCAGAATGAGAACAATCAACTCCCATAGAATAAAGAAAAGGTTTAGTTCGAACTGCCAAGAATGTTACCCGGATTGAAAGATATCTGAAAAAGGCTAAAGGGTCAGGGGCCTAAATGTTGTGTTAATAACAAGAATGAAAACATTAATCTGTAAATAATGCTCTTTCGAAGTACGCCATTTCAGCTTACGAAAAGTTTTATAGGAACAGACGGTACAACGGCCAAAATATTGTGATAATAACAACAAGGATGAGGAAATTAATCTGAATGTAAAAAATGCAACTTCAATGTACATCGTTTTGGCTTGCGAAAGGTTTTTAGGATCCCAAATCGCTTGTTGCTATCTCAAGTAATTATTTATAAAGCCATTATATATTTCAGTCTATACCTTTTCAACTTCAAAATGATAATAATCAACATGGACTTATTTTCAGGTAAAAAAAATTAATCAACTTCAAAATGGATCAATCAACTTCAAAATGGATTAATCAACTTCAAAATGGATTAATCAACTTCAAAATGGATTAATCAACTTTGAAATGGACTTATTTTCAGGTAAAAAAAATGAATCAATTTCAAAATGGATTAATCAACTTCAAAATGGATTAATCAACTTCAAATTGGAAAACAACTTCAAAATGAGAAATAATCAACTTCAAATTGGATTAATCAACTTCAAATTGAGAATTAATATAATACTAATAAATTTAATATTTATTCTTTTATTTTTACTTAAAAGGAATATAAAAAAATATAAACGTTCCTAAGAAGTTTATTTAAAATATTACATCATCTAAGTTAATTACAGAGGGAAGTAATCTCTGTATTCCAGATACGAAGTTAGTGCAAGTCTCAGGGGAAATATTATTAATTACCTCGGAGATCATCGCTTCTAACTTGCTGAGGCGGAATTCTTTAGTATATAGTTGTTAGATAAGATAGATAAGACATAACTTCAGCAAAACAAAAGCACTAGAAGAATCACATGTACAACAAGAGCTGCGAATGTCTAAAATAAAATGACTCACCTGAATCTTTTACGTTTAATTCAGAAAACACGATGGTTCCTATAGAATTACCATTTTGCATCGATGAAGACAATCCTCTTAATACTTGCTCATCATTCCAATACCATTCATACGTTAGGTCTTTTAAAGTACTGTTTGTATGGCATGTGAAGGTATAGCGATTTTTGTTATCTTGAACCGCAGTTAGTTTTGTTATAAAAAGCTGGCCAACTGAAAAAAAGAAAAGACAGAAGACAATAAAACAGTGTTATACAATCTTATTTATCTTTGTTTTACAAGATAAGTGTAAAAATCCTCTTTTTGTTGTGCCAATGAAAACCTTATTGCGCCTTTTGACCAACTGGAAATGAAATTGCCTAAAAGGACAAAGAACATAGGACACAATATATTTGAGCACAGCTTTCCAGAGAGTGAAGAAACGAAGAGAAACAGTTACATTTATTTGATATAAGGTGGTAAAATCTATGTACCATCTTAATGTTCGCCGCAACTATCATTCTGAGTATTAAAAATAAGGTCTCCTTTGCATCTACTGATAGAGAAAAAGAGAAGAAATGAGAGATTTCTTTCTTTACATGGCATTTGCTTTCTTCTAGTGACGTTAGAAAACTGGTTATATCGGCAGTTTAATCACATGCATTTTCGTTTACGACTCTTCGCTGGAAGTTGCTTTCTGAAGACGTGACCTAATAATCAATCGGGATAGCCCAAATGATGTAGTAATAGGTTCAATTGCTTCCATTAGAAACGATTTTTATTTTCGATATATAACACGTAGAATATAATTTAGGATTGTCTGTTTCAGAAAACAGGTGTGACACCAGTTGTCTTAACCAGGTGGTCTACCCCAAACAATGTGATATAATGAGCAGGGTTCATTTAAAAAAAAAATATGAAAAAATACGTCCCTTATACAATGGGAAAGGGGACTAATGTTACTTTTTTGTTACACAGTTATCAATGATGCAGGAACAATTTGACATTTGCAAATGAAAACAAGGTAAAAATAACTCTTTAAAAATCAGGGTTCGATATAATACTGTATTTATATGATAAACAGAACCCCAGTGGCCTTTAAAATGATAAAAATTGGTATTTTTCGGTTCTGACAGCAGTTGTACCTAGAGGAAGGTCTAACGAAAACTAAGCAGAAATTAGTTACAAAAAGACTTTCCCTCGTGTTACGAAGGTACTACTTTTCCTTAGTTGTGTTCATTTTTCTTTTGCACTAACTATTCCATTAGTACTCGATTTTTCAAGGAGCAACTACTTTTTGGAACCGACTTCAAACACTACAAACAAGTCTAGGGTAAACCGTTATCTTCCACACATATACCCAAAATTTGTGGCTCTTACTCTGCAACCCTCTGATTCAAGTGGCCCTTGAGCCTTGTACAGGGTGAACATCATTGTAAAAATAATTTGCAGATATGAATTGGCGATGAAGCAATCAATTTTGCAATTGTTGAACAAAAATGTATTAAATAAATCTATATCTTGCATATTTAAAATGAGGAAGAAATTCATTTTCATTGGTCAAGAATTAATAAATATATCGAACCGAACTATTATATGTATGATAAATAAAGATTTATTGTAAAAAAAGGAAAGAAAAAACGAAGAAAAGGGGATTATCAGTTGGCAGAAATTAACAGAAGATAGAGTACGAGAACAGAATTATTATATACACAGAGTACGGTATTTATACTGTTAGAAAAGAGAAAGCTTGTAACTCCCGGAAAATTGATTACATTAGCAGACAATTTTTATCACAGAGGAATAAGCATTAATCTGTTTAACACCAGAAAATCTCATTCGATATGGTTCCCTTTAACCTCCACCAAACGTCGAAGTCTTTCGCGAAAGTCATTGATGGCCTCACGGACAATTTCCATGAGTATTTTGTCCCCTTCTTCAATATTGCTTTCGGAGCTTCAATATTGTGGTGCAAAGTAGAACAGGCCACACTCTCAATAATTACCCACAAACAATTGTCAAAAGCGTTGATATATGATGACGAGAGATACCATTCGTCCTTGTTTATGAAGTCAGGACATTTGTCTCTATACCACTGCAGTGTTACACAAGCAGTATGGGTCATCGCTTTGTCTTGTTGAAGTGTCCAATGTTCATCAGCATAAGTGGCATTGCACTATGGTTTCAATGTACCTTCCAAGATGTCTTCTATCTACAATTTCTTGTTGATCTTTACTCCATTGAGGCACGAAAACAAAAGGAGACATTCCGTTTTCCTGAAATGGCTGCCCAAACCATATGTGTGTGTGTGTGTGTGTGTAATAGCTAAATATTATAGAAGGTTCTTTTATCCTAAACAAGTTAATAACAGCCACTAGGATGCAAGACAATACAAGAACGGGTTCATAGAGATAGACAAATTTGGTAGATATCTTATAGCCTGTCTCAAGTTTGGTCGTCAAAATTACTGATGGCTCTGTAATATTGTGTTGAACAAGAATAATTACTTAATTCTTCCTCTTTTCAATCAGTTTGCAGGATTCTCATTTATTGGTGATAAAGCAGAATGCTTTGCTCGGAACTTCCCTTCCTACTCTCAACTTTTCTGGAATATCTTTGCATGATTTTCGCCCTACAACGGAATTCGGAGTTGATTTGATCCTGTAGGGATTTGTCAACGAGAAATAAAAAATTATTAGGTCGATAATTCACAGGATCAGAAGATTCACCTGAGTTCTTAAAAACAGGAACTGCTAAAGAGGATTTCTAACAATCTGGAAAAGAAAAGTCGGCAAATCATCTATTTTATAAATCTTTGAGAAAACATGGAATAGTTCGGGGGCACATTTCTTAAGAACAATTGCAGGGATACCATTAATTTCATATACTTTATGGGGATCAAGTTTAGAGTAAATAGAGGAAATCATAGACAGGGTCATATGCAAATCACACAGTAGATGCTCAATTCTCAGTGAAAAGTCAAGCAAAGATACTCCAAATTAGTCAAATTATTCTACTTTATCGGCAGAGGATGTTTCAAGCTGTTTGAAGAGAGAAGGTAGTTGAGGATATACACATTCTTACAGAGCCACGAGTATACAGTACCTCTCTCTATTAGCGAACAATGACTTAGCCACCTTGAGGTCAAGTTTGTATATTACGGGGCGTCTGTTGTGATCAAAGCTCTCACGTTGGTATAGTTGGGGAAAAGTGACATTGATAGGCTCTATCAGTTTACAAACAAATTTGAACCGAGGAGATTTTTTTTAATCGATATAACCCCATATAAGGCAATAAAGCCACTAAAGCTCAAGGGGTTACAGGGTGTGGGAGAATAGAAAACAGGAAAGGAATAGAAACATTAATAATGAACGAGAAGAGAAAAGAGTAATCAGGAGGACAGTAGATACTGATTGACATTGCATTTAAATTTTTGAAGCCGGAAGGGTGTTCCACAAGCGATAAGTGCGAGAAAAGAAACTATTAACATAGAACATACAGCTACACCTACAATGTAAATTGACGAGATCTTGACACCTGTCTACTACTGCGCTTAAATTCAATAAATCTAGATACCATAGGGAATAATTACCGTGAAAGTATTTATAGAAAAACCTTAGGCAATCCAACCATAGAGAAAAAATTAGTGAGTGACTTAGTAATCTTCCCGACGGAAATGCTTCAGGAAACCGGGTTGAGGCACACATGATAGTTAATAAGTATTGGTTTCCGTGCTTGGTTTTGGGGAGGAGACCAACACAATCGACGAGGACTCGGCAGAAGGGTTCCTCAAAGGCGGAAATCGGGTGTAAAGGGTCAGCAGGGATTTGTTGATTTGGTTTGCCTATCATCTGGCAGGTCTGGCAATACTTCGATACATCCCCACGGATTCTGGGCCAGTAGAAGCTTCTACCGATTCGCTCGTGTATCTTACGGATGCCTAAGTGACCTCCCATAGGTGTTTCGTGAGTTGTCCGAAGCACTTTCTCTCTGTATCTCCTTGGAAATACTAACTGATGTACACTTGACCAATCTTCCTGGGCGGGTGTGTGTGTGGGCCCCCACTTCCGCATTAAGATGTCATTCTCGAGGCTTTGCTTCTCCCATGTCTAGATGTGTCCTCTGATTTATTCCTGCCTCGCTTATGCGTTACTGCATATTCGCCCGCGAGAGTAGCCATCTCATAGGCTGTGTCGACCTGTCTTTCGTTGAGGAGTGTCTTGAGGTTATCGTGTACGCACCATTTGAATTCTTCTATTAGAATCAACTGTCTTAACTTATCGTAACCCGCTCCTATTTCTTTCGCCGAAATCCATCGGTCGAAATACGTTTCTTTCTGCCTGAAGAACTCTACATATGTTTGCTGTTCGTCTATTCTGTGATCTCTAAATCTATGTCTATACGCTTCTGGTACCATATCGTAGTTTCTCAGGATCGATGTTTTTACGATGTTGTAGTCGGCGCTGTCCGCAATTGAAAGGGGTGCATATGTTTCTTGTGCTTTGCCTTTCCGAGCTGTCTATAGTAATGTCGGCCAGGCTTCGGTGGGCCATTCCAGGTTTGAAGCAATTTTCTCGAAGTGTTGGAAATACTTGTCCACATCTTCTTCGTTAAATGTAGGTACAAGTCGGATTAGTTTCGTGAGGTCAAAGTTATTCCGTTCCCCCTCGTGTCGTATTCGTTCTTCTATTTCCCTGACACGGGTTTCCTGACTAATTCTCGCTAGCTTAATCTGGGTCTCTGCTTCGATCTTAAGCCTCTTTGTTTCGGCTTCGACCTTAAGCTTCTCTATTTCGGCTTCGACCTTAAATTTCTCCAGTTCAATCTGGGCTTCTGGGAGTTCGGGTGCTCCTGACACAAGGTTGTCAAGAACACTCCTGTCGAAAAAATTATTATCGACCATATCTTCTGAGACAACTCTCACCAACTGCGCCTTTCGCATAGACCGTCAACTCCAGTTTCAACCCTATCTCTAAAATATGGTCCTTTTTCAGCTTTAATAGAACGTCGAAGGTGGGAGAGTTTAGAATGGATTTTGAAGATGGAAACTAGAATATGAATGATCTTTTTCCTCTCACCATTGGTCATTTGGGAAGACAATGAGGCTGACACAGAACGATTTTAACCTGTTCTCTTTCTAGCTGAATAAGGGTTTTTCAGTGATTCTTACGACAAATTATATTAGAATGGCTAAACTTTTTATCTGAAAACCTGGAAAAAAGAAATTCAATTAGTCTAGTGTTTTTTTTATTTTTAGATATTAAGCATTTTATGGTATTACACGATTTGGACAATCATGCTGTTACACCCAATATATATATATATATATATATATATATATATATATATATATATATATATATAAATGTAATAAAAGACAGAAGTTGCCGATCACCTGGTGTGAAATATTCCAAAATTTTAAATCCCGTTATCTTGTTTTCAAGAGTTGTTTTTACGCTTTTAATGTGTGTTGTTTTGATGAGAGCCTCCATTATTTTTCCAGGCCTGGAATATAAACGAAATACAAGTGAGTATAAAGGCATGTTAGAAGTCACTACACTTGTGTTATATGAATATGTCTACATACGCAGTTTCACAGCATTTCCATAGCATTCATGACACCTCAATCACTTAAGCAGCTTTAAGGCATCCTTGACAACTCATAAACAGTTAAGTATTTGATGTTGACTCATTTACGTCTAATATAGATATTCCCATTATCCCCTTGAGCAATCCATTTCGGTCGTTTCACAGACCGCTGGTGTTGCATTAACGGCCAACCAACACTATCTTCCCGTTGAAGGTCAATCTATTGCTACCTAAAATATCGGCGTCGGATATCGGATCATGACTACTCAATATCCCCCCTCCCAGCCCTAGAGCAGTTGCTTAATACCTTCTTGCTGGCCCGTTCACGGCTACCTCAGCCATCACTGCTAACACGAACACGAGTGCTTGAACCATTCCTGCCGGTCCTATGACAGTTGCTTAATACACTGACCCGATCACAGCGAACTTTGCCAACTCGATCATGATAACCTCAGCTGATCATCTATAACACAAGTGACAGTTCACTGATCAATACTCGTCAATGTTCATTGAAGCTGTAGCTACCAAGCTGTGTTATACCGACCCCCCCCCCCAAAAAAAAAAGATGAAAAATGTTGGATCACAAATATCATTCTAAAAGATAAATGAAACGGTTGTTTTTAACTTGCAGGTTTGATTATTAAATTGAGTATTTATTCAAGATGATATGTCTCATTCAAATGTTCAAGATTGATGTGTGTCCATTCTAAAGCTAGCTGCTTATGTAAACATAATGGCGACTCTGATATTGGCAAGAAGAAACCGGTCTCTTCCTCCCGGGACAGCCATTCTGGTGATGATTCTTCTTCGATAGAATTCGCTCGAATCTCTTAACAATAATATCTGTCAATATATAATGATTTTCTCCTAGCCATTCATTTTGGGGTCCCTAATAATTTGAACCACTGTCTGACATAAGATTTTCTGCTAGCACTAAAGTAATGTTTTAATTTCTTTGGATGGACTGTAAAAGAAGTACGGGTGGTAAAATTCTTATCTCTAAATCATTTAATTTGGACAAGCAAACCAAGAGAAAGTCCACAACGCCTGATCATCAGTAGCAAAATTTTCCTGTTCATCTAAATTAACATGGTTGAATTTGTGAACATCCCATAGTGTACTCAAATATGTCTTACAAGCAGCTTGAAAAATTAAATTTCTTTCAGAAGAAGAGAGATTAAAACTAAAAACATCATTATTATTATTTTCTTATATCGTTTTCCTTTTAACTCCTTCACCTGGGTATGACGATATAAAGCAACCGGCACTAAAGACTGATGGATATTTACAATTTTTATTTTCTTTATTTTTTTCATTTTTTTTCAAAAAAATATAAAAATGATGTATGGTGAAATGAGGGGGTGGGATGAGTTAGGGTTAGGATGATCGTAATAACGAAAATAAAAAAAACAAAAACCAAATATTCAAACTAAAGCAATAGTCCAAACTACAAACAACAGAGTGACCTCTGTATTTTATCGATGGGCATAATCAAGATAATTCATTCATTAAAGGTGAGTGAAGGAGAAAATAAATTGTGGCGTGGGGAAAAAACAGTCAAGATTAAAAGGAGATAAAATCAAACTGGGAAGATTGGAAATCTTGACAAGACAAAACCATGTGGACTTGATATATTTTCTCATTGACATAGACGTGAAAGAAAATCTGCTGAAAACTGTGCAAACGATTCGGTGATCTGGCCATACAAACAAACAATATGTGCACAATGTTGTCTAGAATGATAAAATTCGAAAGGCAACTCCTAATCTAGGTCAGTCCTTATAAACGAGAAGATAATCTTATCAGATTGTGAACCCTGTGATTTGGAACGGCCTTGAAGGTCATTGTAAGAGAATTGGAAATGCGAGGAATAGTTAAAACGATTGCAGTATTACTAAAATCAGCTCGGATATTGATCTTATTGATTTCATTTCTTCTCAAGTGAAAATCGCCAGTAAGTAACCTCTTCTTCGATGTACTAATTTCCTGTAGGATCTGGGTGATCATGACTCTCCATTCCTTTCCTGTTTTTTATTTATTTATGACCGCTTACCAGCCATCTTTATCTATGTTCTGCCATCCATTCACACAAAATCGTCAATTTGATTACTCACTGTTTTCTATTGTTTCTTTTTTCTTCTATTTTTTTCCTGTGAGTGTTACATTTTCTAGGCTCGTTATCCTTATTATGTAACCCAGAAATTCGATCTAGTCTTATTCTGATTGTAAGTAGAAGTTTCCTTGTTCCTATTTTTCTTAAGACTTCTTCACTGGCCACATGTTCTATTCATGTTATTATTTTTTGCATTCGTCAGTAGCATCAAATTTCGGTCACTTCAAATCTCTTAATGTCCGAGGAATTTACCCAGCATTCACAGTCATATAGGAGATTAGGTATTACATAGCTTTTCGAAATCTTAGTTTCAAGGGACATCTTTATATCTCTTAATACTTTGCTTAATTCTTACAATTCTCCAAGCCATCTTTCGTCATTAAGTGACCCCAACATTTCAGATGTCTCTTTCTGATTGTATACAATTCCTTTAGTTCCTATTTTCCTTAAGATTCTCTCTTTGTTCGCATACATTTCTCATTGTATTCTAGGCATATGTCGGTATGACAATATCTCTGCCGCTTCAAGTCCCTTCATCATTAACTGTGAAAGACGATATTAGATATTAACGGTACAACACACTTTTCATTTACTATCTAATCTAAGATTTCTTTTAGTACTCTGCTGCCAACACAGTATAATCTGCGTATCGCATGTTGTTACCATTACGGTCACATATGATGAATACCTGTTAGGTATTCTAGATTACGGCCACCGAATATAAATCCTTGCAAGTCTTCTAGTTTCCTTAAGAATGTCCCAATTTAAGATTACGACGCCGATTATAAAGCTTTACAGGTATTCTAGTTCAGTTAGGTCAGTCTCGATTTATGATTACGACGCTGATGATCAATCATACTAGATCATCTAGTTCCCTAAGGATTTTTCGTTTTAAGATTACTGCCGACGATTATAATACTTGCAGATCTTCTATTTCTTTTAGATCAGTCTCGATTTAAGATTACGGCCGCCAATGAAAAATCCTGGTAGTTTTCCAAGTTCCCTTAGATCTGTCTCTGGTAGGTGTTCTAGTTCAGTTTGGTCCGTCTCGCTTTAAGATTACGACGCCGAATATAAATCCTGACAGGTCTTCCATTCCCCTAAGGATAGTCCTGCTTTACGGCTGTCAATTATAAATCCTTGCAAGTTTTCTAGTTCAGATAGGTCTGTCTCGATTTAAGATTAGGATACCGATGATAAATAATGGTAGGTCTTCTCGTTCACATCGGACTGTCTCGCTTTAAGATTAGGACGTCGATGATAAATCCTAGTTCCCTAAGGACAGTCCTCGTAGGTATTCTAGTTCCTTTAGGACTAAGATTACCGATAATAAATGCCGATGATTAAATGGAAGGTCTCCTAGGTTGTCTTTAAGATTACGACGCTGAATATAAATCATGTTAGGTCTTCTAGTTTTCTAAGGATTGTCTGGCTTTAAGATTACGACCGTCGATGATAAATCCTCGTAGGTCTTTTAGTTCCCTTAGGACAGTCTCGCTTAATATTACGACGCCGATGATAAATGCTGGCAGGTCTTCTAGGTCCCTAAGTATTGTTTCGCTTTAAGATTATAAATCCTTGCAGGTTTTCGAGTTTAGTAAGGTCTGTCTCGATTTATGATTACGACCCCGATGATAAGTCCTGGTAGGTCTTCTAGATCACATCGGACTGTCTCGCTTTAGGATTAGGACGCCGATGATAAATCCTGGTAGGTCTTCTAGTTCTCATAGGACTGTCTCGCTTTAAGTTTACGGCCGCCGATTATAAATTCTTGTAGGTCTTTCAGTTCCCTTTAAACTGTCTCATTTTAAGATTACAACTCCGATCATGAATCATGGCATGTCTTCTTGTTCCCTAAGGATTGTCACACTTTAAGATTACGATCGCCGATGATAATTCCTAGTAGATATTTTAATTCCATAAAGATTGTCTCGCTTTAAGTTTACTGCAGTAGAATATAAATCCTGGTAGGTCTTCTCATTCCCTTATGATTATCGCGCTTTAAGATTACGACGCCGATGATAAATTATGGTAGATCTACTAGTTCACATAGGACTGTCTCGCTTTAAGATTACGACGCCGAATATAAATCATGTTAGGTCTTCTAGTTCCCTAAGGATTGTCTGGCTTTAAAATTACGGCCGTCGATGATAAATCCTTGCAGGTCTTCTATATCCTTAAGGATTTTTCGCTTTAAGTTTACGGCCGCCAATTATAAATCCTTGTAGGTCTTTCAGTCCTCTTTAGACTGTCTCGCTTTAAGATTTTGATGCCGATAATAAATCATGGTAGGTCTTCTCGTTCCTTAAGGATTGTCTCCCTTTAAGATTACGGCCACCGATTATAAATCCTGATAGGTCTTATATTTCCCTAAAGATTCTTGCTTTAATTTACGGTCACCTAATATAAATCCTGGTAGGTCTTCTCGTTCCCTTAAACCCTAAACCTTGCAGGCTGTATAAAAAGCTACTTGAATTGTCTGTAGCTGCATTAATATCTCACAGAAATAGTATATATGTCGCCATGAAAGCTTAGCACTCAGAATATATTGGGAACCCTGCAAGATATATGGCCTCGTGTGCACAGAGATGTGATAGGAACAGTCATCAGTTTCAGCAAACATGAATTAGCAAGTGAAGCGTATGTGGCAAATGATCATCTAGACTGGCAAGCGTTTTGTAGAGCAATCGCCCTTATGTCATACTTGTGCACCAGAGCTACCACAAATGGTTTTCAGTAGACGTTGCGGTAACTTGAGATTACTTTAGATGTTGTTTCCAATATAGTAGAATGATCGAAAAAAAAAAAAACAAAAAAAACAAAAAACAAAAAAAACTACCACTTCAAATTTATAGTTAAATCGTACAGATGCATGCTGGGATTTCTTCCTAACTAATAAAGTGAAACTCTTCTCGGTCTCACCCTTCACGTTTTTGTTCAGCTTTGTCTTGAAGTCAGAACGCTACAATCACTTGACTGTATCCCTTTTCCGTGTGATCACCATTCTTTGTGAACTTTTTTCCTTATTACTGTTGCTTTGCTTAGTTTTGTCTTGCATATATATTATTTGCTTAGTATTACTTTGCACGGTTCTTTTTATTTCTTCTGTTATTTTTTTTTTTTATTGGAAACAATTCCGTTTGTTGCCAACTATACTTAACTATGGCAAATTACAGATAAGAACTCCGTGAATCCAGAACAGGCGAAAATAATGTACCAAGACTTAACTGGAGAAATTAGAGAAATATATGAAGTAACAGCTCAAGTGTTCTCCATTTTCTGGTGGACATGGGGAATATTAGCAGAGGAAAATTTTTACCTTTCACTATGACTTAGGGATACGTAATATCGTTGGGGGTACACAGATGGCAGCATTTCTTGGAACAGCCCATGTGTTAATGAAATCTGCGATTAGGAGCTGAGTTATGATAATCCTCATTTACTTCAAATATCTAAGAGTCGGGGTGGGTATCAAATAAAATTAATAATAATAGCAACAACAAAAATAATAATTACCTGTATGATAATTTTTCTACATTTGTCTGAAATGAAAGAAAAACAGAAAATATTATTCATTTGAAATATTAAAATCTGAAACAGCCTCAAATACTCATATTCTTATGAATTATAAATGATTATATTAGGTTTCTTATGAATTATAAACTGATATATTAGGTTTTCACAAAAGTTACCAGAGTTTGTTTTCTAATTAAAGTTGGTTAATTAGAATTTCTGGGATGAGGAAATATCATTATTTTTATTATTTACATGTAGACTATTCTCCACATCTTTTTTTATCATAATGATTCGGGCGTTGTGATCTGCTTCATCAGGTGGAAGTCTTATGGCTGCATCACATTGAAACACACATTAAAAATATTTAAATATCACAAGCCACAATCGTATAGAAAGAATCGTTGAAACGTGTCCCCTTTCTAAAGATGTATACACGTATGTCATAAATTCATAAGTGTGAAACGAAATCTTGTGTTTAAACACCACCTATTACATATGTAAGGAACATTTGTTCCACCAAATAAAATTAAATCCCTGTATTCATATGACTTCTCATCTTCGGATTATCCCAATAACCATGGATTATCTTCAGATTATCCCATTAGAAGAAACGATTTCAGTTCTATTTATATGTCATATCACCGGTTCCTGTGGGATCACAAAAGTCAAGCAACGTCGAGCCTGGTCAGTACCTAGATGGGTGACCGCTTGGAAATACCAGGTGCTATAACCATAGATATGCAGGTGGGGTAATGGATAATGGCTCAGAATTGTTAACCTGAGAGTCGAGTTCCAATATCCGTTGGTTTCTTTATATTAACTTACGTTCGAATATCCTTAGGAAAGGTAAGAATTCACTCCTTCTCCCCCAGCTATGGATTAATTAGTAAGAATTGTATTATTAAACCATTATTATCTGCTCCTGCTCAAAAATATTTTACAATCAAAAAAATTTTCTGGCTTTAAATAACATACAAAGGGTTGATAATCTGTAGAAAACTAATCTTATCAATCATCAGGTTGCTATCGATCCAGGTAAGCTGCAGGGAATTTCGAATTGAACACTTTATTTAATCTACAGGATACTCTCGTTCTGTGGTAAAATACTATAGTAGATTAAAGTGTTGATTTATGAATTTGGTGATATAGTCACTGTGAATTCAATTCTTGAGCCGGGGGTAGAGTACTTAGACTCAGTGAGAATAAGAAATAACTGAATAGTACTAAAAAAAAAAAAAACTAGACGAGACATCGTTAATCATGGAACAGTCTACCCCAGTAGATTAAATAAAGTGTTCAGTTCAAAATTCCCTCAAGACTAACCGGATCGATATTCACCTGATGAAGGAGTAACCAAAGGCCAAAACGTTGGGATCACAACAACAAATATAAGGAGAATAGTACACTTGTAAATAATATAAATAATTGATTCTTAGATAGGGGCCACATTGCCACAAGTCGGTGTGTGTGGGGGGGGGGTCCATAGTAAACTTTATGGGGGCTACAGAAAAGTTTGGGATTGAGGGGCACAAATTCAGTGAAAGGGGCCACAGTGCTACAACTCTGTTGCCCTTTATATTTTAGTTCTAATAAACTTAAATCATGCAATAAAATAATTTCTTTTAGATTACTAGCGTGCATTTATGTAAAACCTTTTTGCCGAAATAAAAGTTTATTTCATTTAACTGGTTTATTTTTTAAAACAAGCCGTTTTCAAGTTTATATGGAGAAATATCAATGTTTATTTGTTCCGGAAATTGCAGAACTGCAAACAGAAATGGGGGTACAAAGTACAGTTGGCTTTACTCCGATGCGTAGTTTAGTAAAATAAATTTTCATTAATTATTTTGGGAAAAATTAAAATTTTTATTATTTAACATGCAAAATACTCCCACCATTTTAAAAACAATTTTATGATTAAAATAACTAACACGTATTTAATAAAAATGCAATATTGTTTTTTGCATATCTTTTCTTTAAGTTTTTAGAATCCAATTTCCAGTTCGCTCGGCGTTTCGAGAACCATAAATAAATCACAAGGCTAAATGCTTCAAAAAGTTGGGGTTTGACCCCAGAAAGAAATATTTACACATGGCCAGTTGTATGTTGCATGCTCAAGAGTAAGAAATCCTAAGAATTTATTCTTCGATGTTAGAAAAGAAAAAAAAAAGTTACTCTGTTAAAAACTATTGTTTACCATGAAGTCCTAGAAAATTGAACTAAAGAAATTATTAAACCACGAAGTAGAGTTTTTGTCAAAGCATTTTCCAAACAAATCAGCTTATTCAAATTACATCGATTGGTTAGCAAATCTCGACCAAAAATGTTAGCGATAACTTTGCCAATACTAAATACTGTAAGGATTTCAACACGCGTCAGCGTATTGCAAAAAATGAAGTATAGAAAATAGCCAACATTTTGTCACCTGATACATGCATACTATTTTGGGTCTTTGTTCTTTAAATATCACTAACTGATAACGTTCGCAATTTTAAAGTACGGAAGCCTAAAATGAAATAGAATAATATTAATAAAAAAGAACTAAAAGATTCAGTTGTCATTTTTTTCTAAGAAAATGACGTAATATGTTTTTCAATAATTCTCACCACGAAAAATGAAATTCTTGACCTTTAATCGTGGGTGGAGAAATGTATAAATTAACACTGGACCTGAAAATCGTATACTGGTGAGTAATAACAACAAAAAAATTTCCTTAAATTTATATTCTATATTACTGTTTTTCCAATTGCAAACTTTTGATAATACTCGTCTATTCTACGAGCAAATCTGCAGAAATGTGACAACATTAAAGATCTGAAAACCAATTAAAAAGATATGCAAGCCTGACCGTTCTTGATTCTCCAATGTTAAATTATTAACATTTGACACCAAACTAGAACCTATGGAGGTTAACAACTTTCATGTGTGCGTGTATTTTATGCGCGTGCGTGTTTAATATTCAAACAAAGAAGATAGAAGAAACATATAAAAACTTGCGTTTCTATCACAGACCGTTTATTCTTTTTATGGTGACTGTAGTGAAACAAAATTCTCAATGCCTCTTGTATATGTCTGTTTTCTTGTTTTTTCCTACTTCAGAACTAAATCAGGTTAATAATGGTTAAAATTTGTGAGATCAGGTCAGCATTGCGCTGAGTTGGAACAACCAATTCAATTGCTTCATGAGTTGGGATGCCGAAATACGTCCGAATGGAGTTCCAGTTCTTTTACTCTAAGCGCCATTGGAAATGTATTTCTTTTTCTTTTTTTTTATAGTCATTATTATTTTTATTTATCGATTTTGTTTAAGTTTCTTGCGCTGAAGGAAGAGAAGATTATTTTGTTAGGCTTCCATAAGTTAAAATTACGAACGTTAACTTTTAATGGAGCCTATTGAAAAATGATTGCACATAAATTATTTTTAAATGAGAAAAAAGAAGCGGACTTACCATGTTATGCAAGACAAACAGACTTACTTTGTCATACATATTTCCATAATAGCTCATAGAGATGAAATATTCTGAAATAAAAATAAGGTTGGTCATTAACATGCAGCCTCAAGAATATTTCTTTGGCATAATTATTTTTCTTTATTATTAATTAAATGTTCCTCAAGTCAACATTTCCCCCCCCCCCCCAAAAAAAAAACTTAAAATATTTAAGATGAAGTAGAAGGGTTCTGTTCCCCAAAATACAAAGTACATCCCAAGCGGTCTCTGTTGATGGTAAACATCATCATACAAAAGGAGAGTTACGAGTTATCGTCGCTACAAACTGATTTTCGTATTACGAGTGAGAGACCTTATGTCTATCTAATGAAGAGAGTGTGTCGCTAAAATAGTAACAAAAGATTTGAATCGTCATTAATTAATAATTTTCTACTCCAGTATTTCGTCATATATTATATATATATATATATAATAAAAAGGTTCAATTTTTTTTTCTGATTTCTTTTTGAATTTGTAGGTCTGATGAATTGGATCGTGATTACGATTCCAATGTGATAAATTATAACCATGGAATATTAGTGTTTGAGCCATTTTATTATATTCTTACTCTCTCCTGGACATTGAGTTCTACCTGGATTCTATCCTCTTGAAATTTTAAATATATATATATATATATATATGTATGTAAATTTATATATATATATATATATATATATATATATATATATATATATATATTAACCACTAATATTATCAATATATATATATATATATATATATATATATATATATATATGTATGTATGCATATATATAATTATTTATTCGAAAATTATAACATAAATATGTTATAAAATCACTACAAAAATAGCCATTTTGTTTCAACATTTCTGGTGTCTTATCAAGTGATGGTGTTGATATATATATATATATATGTATATATATATATATATATATGCGTATATTTTGGCAGCATGTTTTCATTGAGACATGTTTCATTAAATAATTTAGACAAGTTTTGTGTATTATTTTAAATTGGATCCTTTCGTTTGCTATCTATATTAAAAAACTGAAACCAAACCATAATAGAATTAATTACGAATACTGAATAAATGTATTAAAATGTATACAATAGATACTTTAAAATCTCAAGGTTTGCACTAAGTTTTTACTAATTATTTCGTAAAAACTCTCCACAACAATACTTAATTACCTCTACTGAAGCGGGGTCAAGCGATCCCGCACTAACTCGGTTTTCACTCCCCATGTAAGAAATTTAACTTACAGATGAACACAACAATTTTGTCTTTGATAATAATGAACACTACAATATTTGTCTTGCAATAAACTACACCCTGATTATGACATTGTGCTATGCCGAAAGTAATCGGGATAAATAAATAATATCTGGCAAACTAAACAAATAAGATAACAAAGCCCAAGAAAATTAAAATAAACTAAAAATTAAAATAAACAAATAATCAAACAAATTAATTAAATGATAAACAAATAAACAAAGTGCTAATACATGCATAAACATAAGTAAATGTAATAATAATAATAATAATAATCAATAACAACAAATAATTAGGTAACCAATAACAAATAATGAGTAAACAGACAACACTATAAAATAACTACAAATAACTGCATTTGTACCTACAATTATTCCTACTCTATAATTTGAAACATAACCTAACGTAAACATAACAGCATATATAAATAGTCGAGCCAAAATATGGCCTGAAGATTCTATTTAAGCATGAAACTCTCTGACGCCACTTGGTGTGGACCTCAATGTTCAATTTTATATTTACATACGCTCTATCATTGGTATTGGGAACATTTACCTCTATATATAGTACTATTAAAACGATATATATATATATATATATATATATATATATATATATATATATATATATATATGTGTGTGTGTGTGTGTGTGTGTGTGTGTGTGTTTGTTCAACGTTCTCGTTCTCACGTTTGCAATACAGGATGTACTTCTGCATTCGGTGGACAGTACTTAGGGCCCACGATTTTCCGTTTCAAATTTTCCTTGATTCCTTTTCCATTTTTAGTAAATTGCGTTTTTTTTTTCCTGTTTTTACTTTTGGGAAATTTCATTTTTTTCCATTTTTATAGTATTTTATGAGAAAATTGCAATACAGTATACTATAATTATTATTAAAACTGAAAACAAAACCACAATTCAAAGTTTTATTGCATATAAAGAAATAGCAAATATCTGCAAAGTCCAAAAATAAATATGTAAAAATAAAAAAAATGTAACATGACTAGACAATAAAACAATGGAATATTACAGTGTATAATTATCTTTGGTGATAGAACTTTAATCAGAGCTTCCTTCTTTAAGAACACATTCAAAACACATTTAAATTGTTTTTGTTTTTTAAGTAAAGTATTTAGACGGATTTAGAATTATTGATTTATAATATAAAAATCACATTTAAAGTATCAACCGCAAATAACTTGAATCTCAATAATAAATATCTAAACAAACATCTTGACTAAAATTTTACAAAACAGTAATTAAACCATAATAACTAGTTCTTTAAAATAAAATATCAAAAAACGAATTATCTCATTGACAAAAATGTGCTGAATCCATTTTTTCTTTTATTTCGAACCAGAAAGTTTATTTTGAAGAGAAATCTTAAAACTGATGAAACTGTTTAACTCGAATACCCGCTCTACCGACAGAGAAAAGTAAATTGTAAGACAGGTTCTCTTAATATTTTCATTAATAATAAAAATTAATTAAAAACAGACGGTATTTACCGATTTAAATATTTTTATTATCTAAAGTAATAAGAATTAATTCAATAACAAAATAGTTCCACCCATTTTATTAATTTTAATAAAATAATTAAAAAAATGATTTCAACAACAGATTAGTTTCAATTACTGAAATATTTTTTTTTCAATTGAACATAAAAATTCAATTTATTTAAATCTTTTTTCAATTAGATCCAATTAAGTTGAAATTAAAAATCGGTATATTTAAATAATGCTGTAACGTCTTTATTAATAATAATTCAAAATACTGCTTTTATTAAATAACAGAAATAGTATTTAATTCATCAAACTTGCTATTTTGTTATTTGATAAGGTTTCTAATCAAACAGAATATTTTGACTTAGATAATTCCGTAATTTTGTTCCGGTTCCACTCAACTTATATGAAATGCCAGACGAACACAAAAGGTAATAAAATCATTACTAACATTGTAAAATTCAACATTTTAAAAAAATTATTTACTATTTTGGCCCTGGTCTGGGTGCACGCCCTCGAGTACCCACTTTAAACGGGACCATGTGTTAGATCCCATCACCATTGGGAGGCCAATAAATATATAGTACTTGTACTGTTGTCGGTGATACGAACATTGTCTTGTGTCACTAGCAGTTAGAGGAGTTCGTTTCTCAGTCGAGAATATCGCACAAGGCAGTATTTCTCCTTCGGAAAGTTTAGGGTTGATTGCCTGGCGTTTCCAAAAGAGGAATCGCCGAGGGGACTTGACAATTGTTCTACAGTACTGCCACATTAAACCCACCTTGTGTCATATTACGGTTCGGCGTGCATCTAAATACCTAATGGTATTTGTACTGTTGACGAGCATCGTTTACTATCACTGGCTAACAGAGGAGCTTTCTCATCTGTCGATAATATTGCTCAAATATGAGAGGGCCATACCTTTGGAAGGAGGCTAGGTTCATTGCAGGGCGCCCGAGGTGTTTCCAAAATAGGGAATTGCCGAAGGAGTTTCAGAATATTTCTACGGTACTGACGATAAAGCCATATTAATCCCGACCTTGTGTCGCATTTCGTCTCACGTGGTTAAATACCATGATACAGACTGCTTTGTTCCTGTTGTGTCTGTCACGCAGAAGCCACTCTCTCTTACTGAGTAACGATTGACTTATTCAGTCGCCGCTGGGCTCTATGCAAAATAGGGCAAGTCCATTTTGCCTATGTTACTACAGTTCTATAACAAAATTTAGCCTTACACAACTTGGTTTGGCTTATTTATTTTACACTATATCAACCTCAATAAGTTATTTAATGTTACCAAGATTTTTAGGCTGTTCGTATGAATAAACTATGTATAATTTATAAGAAATCAATTTGTAGATCAGGTTTCATTGATGTATTTTTGTAAAGAGTTTTATGTCGAGAGTCAAATGTATTGCTGGTAATATTTTTTGCTCAAAAATTTATTGCTATTTTTATATTTTCATGGTGTTTTTTGCCCCCTGTTTGGGGGTTAACTATTTCCTTATAGCTAGGATTCTAACAGGTGCTACCACCCCGGGTCAGGGTGGACCTGGTAACAATAACAATTAAGAGGGTGGTTCGACGCTCATCAAAACCTCCCGGTCAGAATCCTTGTCGCCGGATGTAGTTTATCGTCATACCCAGGAAGACACAACTTGGCAAAAGTAAACATCGGAACGAATTTTAACTTACTTTAATTTTGTAAATGAAATTTAAAAAATGGAGATAAAAGGAGAATAATTATGAACCTTTTTTGTTATCGACAAAAAGGTGAAAATAGATTTCAGAAGACACATTTTTGTTTATATTTTGTTAATAGCATTTAGAATTGGTATTGTATGACGAAGTTGTATGTCATTGTATCATAGCAAATATCGGATGTTTGAAGCATATCCTAAACTATTTGTAAATATCTCAATAGAATTCGTTAACTTTTTTATTTTCAATTAAGTAACCAATATTTACTTACGTTTTAGTGTAAATTTCACTGGATACGTCGAGACACTTTCATTTAATGTGTTATACATAACACTAACGATGACAGTCGTGTTTATTAAGGGAGGTAATTTCATATATAATGTGGTGTCCATCATATAAAACCTGCCTGAAAGAAAAAAAATATATATTAAATTGGACAGCATAAAATTAACGACTTTTTAAAGTTGGATGTTTTTAGTCATATTTGAAGTATAAATACAATTCTAGCCATCATTTAGCAAAGTAAGAAACAATTAAGAAAAACATATATCCAGTTAGTATGAAATGAAAAATATTTTTATTTACGTTTTATTTTAATATTGTTTGTTGGTTTTCAAGAATTCAATAATTTTTGGTCGAATATAGAAACGTTTGGCGTGATTTTCATATATTGCACTTGACTTGCTGAACAGCGAGGAAGCTAGAGTTTCGTGTGATATAAATCCTTCATTTGAATAAAATACTGTGAAGGAAAGCCAAAAATACTAAAAAAACTGTAAGAGTAACAGTAACAGTATTTTTAATCGGATCCAGTAAAGCCTCTAAGACACAAGGGATTACTTCGTGAGAGAATTAGAAAACAGAAGCATTATTGCGGAGCGACTACAATAGAAGAGTAATAGGAAAGACAGTAGATAACGACTTGTATTGCATTAAAATTTTTCAAGATCAAATTTATCTAGAAAGCAAGAAACCGGAAGAGAGTTTCACAACCGGAAGTGACAAGAAAAAGAAATTGTTACCATAAAACTTACCGTTACATCTAGCCAATTCAATTGTAAACCAACAGGACTTTGTTGTTATGCAGCACTAAAACTCATAAAGTCTAGGTACCATAGCAAAGAACTCATCCGAACAATTACCATGAAAATATTTATAGAAAAGGCACAGAGAGGCAACTTTACCATCTCGGGAAAGTCTTTGGATTTTATAAAGAATCTCTAAATATAAATCAGGAGCTCCGGGCCATATGTGGCAGCAAGGATGCATGGACGAATGGTAGACTTATAGATATCTAAGATAGATTCATGATAGAAAAAATGTCTAACATTCTTAGTAGCAGACCTAACAAAGTATTCAATATAATCCTTCCACTTAATGTCAGCCGAGAATGTTATCCGGAGCAGGCGCAACGAATCACTCTCCTGGAGGTTAGCATCAGCCATAATGGTAGAAGACAGAAAGAGGCCTACCACATGATTAAAAGAGGACGGTTTACTTTTTGAGGAGTTAAAATTAACACGCCATCCGTTGTCCCAGTTTTTCGGGATCAGCCACCAATTTGACCTTATCGATCTGATCAGACATACTATTGAGATAGGAATAAATGGTTGTATCATTAGCATAGATACCAATTTGAGAGTTGATGCCATTTTGCAAGTAGAGCTTTAATTAAAAAACAACAACAAAAAACTCAAAAGAGAAATTAGTTAAAAGCATTAGTCAATAACGTAGATTTAAAAATTGTAGTTTAAAATGATCTAAAGACATGAACTAGGGAATTAGTGAAAATGTATCAATGTTTTTATGCTAAAAAAGAATAGCCAGACACGAAAAAATGGGCTGATAACATCACTGAGTGAATTGGAAGATCATTTAGAGAGACTCAAGCATTGGCACACAACCGATCCATATGGAGGGAGCTGGTCAGTTGCTTATTTGCACAATAACCATACGACCACACTCGGTCATGAGATTGATGATGAATCAGATGCACAAAAGCTGCAAATACCAGCAGGTGCCTGATATAAATTAAGAGAGGATGATGAAATATTTTACAAGAACATTCTTTTTTCTGGTTGTGAATCGGGGAGGGATTTAAGACAATTTATAGATAACAATTTTCCTTAAAACCTTTTTTAAAGGAAAATTGAAAATGGAAAAAAATTACTAAAAAAGTTGAAATTACTGGGATACATAATGAGAAGATATGGCCTAGAAAATTTGACCCTCACAAGATATATCGAAGGCAACAGGGAAAGAGGGAACCAGAGACTAACCTACCAAACAAGCTTGAGTAAATAGCGAATAGGAGGCATAGTAAAAAAGAGAAGCATTACTAAGAGCAAAAAATGATAAAATGTTGTGGAGAGACCTGATCGTTCACGTTCTAAAGAAACAAAGAAGAAGAAGAAGAAGAAGAAGAAGAAGAAGAAGAAGAAGATAGGTGACAATAAAAGCAACGATTATCTTATTATCTTATCTGTAATGAGATATTTCACTGATATCACAGTTCTTAATCGTTAAGACTGTTACAAGATCACTCAATGAAGTCTAGTGAATTGGCCTATATTGTGGATTTACTAATTGACATACTTCAGTAGGCACTCTCAAAACATATATATATACGAGTGCTATAAAACCTCAACATAAGTGTTCCCAACAAGACTTGTAGTTATATAACCATTAATGAATTGATCCGTATAACGTGTATCCTATGCTGGGCGATATTTCTTTTTCTTGGGGAGGTTTTACGTACGGAGATTCCAGACAATTTATAAACGACAATGAAAAGTTCACTGATATGACGTTCCAAATCTGGTCATGGTCTGATGACGAACTTGATTAGCATCTCACTATAGTAGCGGCTTTTTCAAAGAACGATTTTACGTGCTGAGTATATGTTTGCTCAATCATGCTAAAACGTTTATTTTGTTTGTTGAGAACTTACTCTCTCAAATATTAAATTTATTTGACGATGTTATTTCATGTGTTTTCTAAGATTTTAAAATATTTATAAGGTAATAAAACAGTTTAGAATAAAAATAAATAGATACTTACTATTGTCTACTGTAGTGTTTAGCTTAACATTTAAGGCGTTGATACAGTTGAACTTGCGTACTGCTAAGGGAAACATTTTCCCATTGTCACCAAGTTTCACAACAGAGCAACGGACGTGTTTGAAGGCGTAGACATGGTAATCCACTAAATTCTATAAAATAAAAACAGACCCTATTAATTATGGCAAGCTTCATTCGGCACAGAGACATAGAAAGGTTATGGTGATTTTTTAAGATCATTGCAAAACTTCCTGTCTGATTTTCATTGTTAATATAAAATGGCTGCAACTTGACACTGGCATTTGTTTTGGTTCCGATTTCTGGTGTGTTCGAGATTCAAACCTTGTATCGTTCAGTTGCGACACCGACTTTGTTGAATGCTAAAATTTTGTCAACGAATGAATGTCTTAAATATGGAGGATGAAAAGCTGCACTTTCGATATATGCTTATATTCTATGAATTTCGAAAAGGTGTAAGTATCAAAACTGCGACAAAAAACATTCAGAAGGTTTATCTGGATAATGCTCAAGTTCTTCCGATGATCAAAAAGTGGTTTGGCAGATTTCGTCAGGGTGATTTTAACCTAAACGATTAACGATGCTCCGAGCGACCTTCTGATCTTGATGAAGACGCTCTGCTTGCTGATGAGAATAATCCGAAGATTTTGATGGAAGAGATTGCTAAGGGTTTGAAAATCAATATCTCAACTGACTTTCGCCATTTGATGAGGCTTGGGCTCAAAAACAATTTTGGTAAATCGAAAAGGTGTGATTTTTCATTACGACAATGCAAGACTACATGGGTGCAAAACAGATCTTGCAGAAGGAAATACTTGAAATAGAAAATTCCTCAAAACTCATCATATTCTCCTGGATTGGCTCCTTCGGATTTTCATTTATTCCGGTTCTCTACAGAACAATTTAAATGACAAAAAAATTCACTCTATACAGTCGGTCGAAAACTACCTCACAACTTTCAGAAAGAAGTTTCTCCGAAAATGGCATCAACCAGCTTGCAGAAAGCGATGTCAAACAGTTGTTAAAAGCAATAGTGACTTGTCTAATAAATGTCTTTTGTGACTATGTAAGATTTTGTTTTTTAATTTTTCAGATCGGGCGCGAACTTTTGAAATGATATAATAGTTTTCTTGTTTGTATTTACACCAGCTATACTACATTCGAATCTTAATAGTAATTAAGATTTGAATAGCTGTCCGTTCCCTGGCTTCTTCTCAATTGTAATCAGTTATGTTTTCTGATAAGCTTAGATAATAATATTAAAAAAAGGAAGCGATTGAGAATAGCAAGGGAAACGTGGAGGATGTGAAGGAGGAAATGTAAGAACATGGCGTTCTTTACTTCAGCCAACTCATGGTGTAAATGACGGCCAAAACTGGAGGCCTGTTTCATGTCACATCATTCTACTTGGAGCAAAGATTTGGTTTGAGTTTGCGGAATTTAATATTTTTCACTTAAAGTTAATTTAATATTCTTCTCTGTGAGATTTTTATTCATAAAAGCAAATAATGATCAGCATCATTTATGTAAAAAATAAAAAAAAACAAAGAAGTATGTTGAATTTTTGCCAAACTTCTTATACCGAAATGTACCATTTCAATTTGACTTGCTTCAAATAAATAATTTAATGAAACAATTTTTTCTCGTATTTCCTCTTAAAAATATTACAAAGAAATTTAATTTTAACTATATTTTAACCCGTGAAAATTTCATGCTTTTTCTATTTTGATATTCTGATGAATCATAATTCTTAAGCTAATTATTGATATACGTTTCGACTCATGACTGATTAGGCAGATTTTTTTCTTGCATTAGAATAACTATAGCTTATTTAATTGAATATAAGATTTAGTTATTTTATTTCCTTCAGCAAGTTCTACGATAATAAAATAACCATAGAAATTCTTTAAATGAAGTATTTGAGCTTAACAACTTTAACGAAATATTGCAATAAAATTCATAAATATGAATGCTAGTCGTTATTTTAAGAATTAAGTGGATACAAATAATAAGATTTGAAATTGACAACATTTTCATCACACTTCTTTCTTTCTTTCTTTCTTTCTTCCACTTATAACATGTAGTGTCTTTTCCCTTCTTTCCACGAGAAAAAAATGAATAATCCATTATTATGAAGTATTGGCAGGGCATAACGATCGTGTGAACTAACGACAGGGACCAATAAGAATTATAACAGGGTGTTGTGTTAGTTTAATTTTTAACAAACTTTTGTTCCGAATTGTTTTTTTTTTTTTTGATTCTGTGAAATTTATTTAAAAAAGCTATTATTTTTCATATAAAGTTAATTATTTTAATTTATTGGTATTCTTAACAACAAATGTATTAATGATAAAATTTATTTTTATGGGTAATTTGTCTTTTTTTTCTTTGTAAAAGGTATTTACAATTGTTGAATTTTAGTTTAGCATACTATTAAAAAAACATAAAATAGGAACAAACGTGATATTTTATACTACAAAATTAATGAAAAATCATTTATTAAGAATGATTTTAGTTAAAGTTAATATAATATAATTAAATTCAATTAATTTATTATGATGTTGTAAACGTTGTAAACGAGAAGTAAAAAAGGTTAACTTTAGCATTGCTGCTAAACTACGCCTTTTGAAGAGTCATTTTTTTTCTAGTTACTTCTCTCATCATTAAAAAGTATATAAATATAGAAGTACTAAATTACTGTCATGTATATTTTGATTAATGTCATATATTTATTCCAGAATTCATAGCGTCATATAGTTTTCGTTTCATTAAAGCAATTTTAAGGTGGATAATTAATTCAAATTTAAAATTATATATTAATTGCAATATGACCTAAGAAAATGAAAATATACCAAAATAAAGAGGATGTCGTAGGGGCAGCGGCATCACTTGTACTGAGTCTGTTTAGCGCAACATAGTTTAATGAACCCTCTCCTCGGGTTAGATTTGAATTAAGAATTGTCCTTCTCCTACACTGGCTACCAACCAAGACCACAGAGATTAGTGACCTCTTCTGTTGGGTTGTCCGAAAAATTCGTTTGTTATATTAAGTAAAAATTCTACTTTAATAAGCGAACTAACATTTTGGCCAACACAGTATTTAACTATAATTGGAGCAAGGAAATTACGAAAAGGGAACAAAACAGTTTTGGACAGAATTTAAACTCGCTCCGCTGGTTTCATTATCCGAGTCGATAACCGTTAAGCATGCCCACCCACAAAGGAAAATGAATTGTACGATAAAGCGTGTAAAAAATAATACTCACTAGAGATATTTGTCCAAATGTGAAATTCCCCTGTTATTAAAACAAAATACAATGGAACAGTGAAAGAAAAAGGCAATCAATTGGCATAGTTTTAATTATTCTTTCTAATATGGAAAATGGAAAAAGTAATAATCGACAATTTCCAAATATATCATTGAAAATTTTCATCCAATATATAATTAAAAATTTACATCCAACATATCACTGAAAATTACATTCAACATATCACTGAATATTTACATCCAAGACATATTTGAAAATTTACATCCAGCATGTCAAGAAATTTAAAGTTTTGTGTTGTTTATTGTTGTGGCCTTTTTAGGACCAGAAATAAAGACACAAAGAAGGAGACTCTCCCAGCTATAAATAGGAGCAGGTACTGCATTTTGGAGAGGGAAGTTTCCAGAAGTCATCTCTGACAGTCGGGCCGAACATCGTTGCTGTAACACTCGTTTGTATATGTTTTTATTACTGTTTCTGTTAATATGTTTGTTTAACTCAATTTCTCTCTTTATGTCTTTATTTCTGGCCTTAATAAGGCCACAAATAAATACAGGTTTATCCCTTGTTTTCTGTTTAGGATTGGGTTTCTGGTTCCTTCTATAAAAGTCTTCTCATTCTCCTTCACCTCCAGCAGCCCTTACGGTTTAGTGACAATATCGTTTTGCTTGGAGTAAAACGATTAAAAAAATAACAGTGTTGGGATAATGTATTTTCCATGCCGCTGAATAGCGAGGGTTCGTCGTTATTGAACCCACTCAAATAAAATGAAACAACAAACGTTTCCAGATAAAAACAGTTCTTGCTTATTATATAAATGCAGTTTTAATTAAAAGATAAAGGCCGAAAATGTATTGAAAATGTACTAATCTCTGAGACTTTCACGGTAAATTTACATCCGGGATATCTTTGAAATTGTCCATCCAACATATCTTTGAAAATGTACATCGAGCATACCATTCAAAACTGATATCCACAATATCAGTGAAATTTACATCCAACATATCATTGAAAATTTACATTTATTTATATATCAATCATTTACATGCATTTATATATCAATAAAAACTTAGTCCCAACCTATAGAAAATTTACATCCAATTAAAGTAAAATTTACATCCAACATTAAAGAAAATAATCATGATGCAAATTTTCGTCTAACATACAATACCGGATGTTGGGACTTTTTTTTTTTATTTAATTGAATATAAAGGTTATTTTGTTGCGAGCGATGCTGGTGGTTGTGCTTAGGTAGAAAACACGTGTCTAATGGTATATTTTTAGCCCACAACAAGAATAAAATTATATATAAAGATAAGTATGTATTAACAAAGCAAGGACAGAATATTATTGCGTCTTACTAAACAATGAATATGAATGAAGACAACATTTAAAGACAAAAGAATGTGTTTGTGTGTGTGTGTGTGTAGTTTGGTGTGGGAGAAAGTCCTAGAAAAAATGAAGTGAAAGGTGCGTGATCGCGTGTGTGCATCCCCAGTGGGAAAGCGTTTTCTCGTTGAACCTACATCTTACCGTTCCTGAGTGAAAAGGGAAAAAAAGGATGACAGAGAATGTCACTGCTTATTTATGGGGTTAGGGAGCATCTCCTAGCGGCATTTTTTTTTAAAGTAAGTGAGGTAACTCACAGTACTTCCTTCCCTCCATGCGAGGAGAAGTTTATTCTCCCCGTATGTCCATAAGGTTTGTCCCTCATAGGCTGAAAAAAAAAGTCGAATAGTGTGGTTGTTATGTGTATTGAAACATGTCGACGAAAATTTAATTATCTGTGGTACTCTGTCGTCATTGTGTTTCATAATTCCCTACTGAGTTAATGTCGCAGCAAACCCTAGAGGATATGTCGACAATGTAGAAAGAAAGGTATCGGCGGCTGGTATTAAAATTTTGTTATTTTCAATGCTCTACTTCGAATTGATTTTTGTTTCGAAGGCCACGCTTTTTGTTGTGCGTGGATGATGTTGGCGCAGAAAAGTTAAATAGAAGCAGCGTCGATTTGTAAAGTTGTTGAGGTAAAATTGCTACTGCGAGTTGAATACATGTTTGCGAGAACATTTGAAGATATCTGATATTATTGTCGATATTTCTCGGCGACGCAGCTATCTCTGTGTATTGATAAATCGTACTTGCAGATTTCTTAGTTTGTTCGCATCTCCTAGCGGAGTATTTTTTAAGGAAATTAAGTGGGTTAACTCCACAATTTCTACAATTATTTGAGTTTATATATATGTTTTTCTTATTATTTTCTTAAATAGAGGAATCAATAAAAACAGACCTAAACTGATAATTTGTTATTAATTTCACTATTTAAAATAACAGGGATGGCAACTCAGATACGTGTATCACTAAAAATAACGTATATAGCAATAAAGAAATAATGTCGGTTAAAAAATCAATTAATATATATATATATATATATATATATATATATATAAGCCTTCTTTGTGTAAACAACGTGAGTGTTTGTTGGGGCTCGCTGTGATTTGTCTCTAGTTCCTTTTGCTATTTTCCCCTCACAACATTTTTTTATTGTACATTTTTCTGTGTTAATTTTAAATTAAATCTCCCGTTGAAGCCTGAAGAGCAGGAGGGAAACCGTTTGCTTCTCCTGTTTTTAATATGTCACGTAATATTAAGATTTATACTTTTATTCCGATCATTAAATTCTGTACCTACAAAAATATATTTATATATATATATATATATATATATATATATATATATATATATATATGAATCTTGTTAAAAAAAGTAAAGCGATTAAGTCTTTTATTTAATTTTTCTAGTGCTCGTGGAAGTGTTTCCGTTAAGCTCAATATGCTCACCCACAAAGGAAAATGAATTGTACGATAAAGTGTGTAAAAAATAATACGTACCCACACTGGAGACATTTGTCCAAATGTGAAATTCCCCTGTTATTAAAACAAAAAATACAATGGAACAGTGAAAGGAAAAGGCAATCAATTGGCATAGTTTTAAATATTCTTTCTAATATGGAAAATGGAAAAATAATAATCGACAATTTCCAAATATATCATTGAAAATTCTCATCCAATATATAATTAAAAATTTACATCCAACATATCACTGAAAATTACATTCAACATATCAGTGAAAATTTACATCCAAGACATATTTGAAAATTTACATCCAGCATGTCAAGAAATTTAAAGTTTTGTGTTGTTTATTGTTTTGGCCTTTTTAGGACCAGAAATAAAGACACAAAGAAGGAGACTCTCCCAGCTATAAATAGGAGCAGGTACTGCATTTTGAGAGGGAAGTTTCAGAAGTCATCTCTGACAGTCGGGCCGAACATCGTTGCTGTAACACTCGTTTGTATATATTTTTATTACTGTTTCTGTTAATATGTTTGTTTAACTCAATTTCTCTCTTTATGTCTTTATTTCTGGCCTTAATAAGGCCACAACAAATACAGGTTTATCCCTTGTTTTCTGTTTAGGATTGGGTTTCTGGTTCCTTCTATAAAAGTCTTCTCATTCTCCTTCACCTCCAGCAGCCCTTACGGTTTAGTGACAATATCGTTTTGCTTGGAGTAAAACGATTAAAAAAATAACAGTGTTGGGATAATGTATTTTCCATGCCGCTGAATAGCGAGGGGTTCGTCGTTATTGAACCCACTCAAATAAAATGAAACAACAAACGTTTCCAGATAAAAACAGTTCTTGCTTATTATATAAATGCAGTTTTAATTAAAAGATAAAGGCCGAAAATGTATTGAAAATGTACTAATCTCTGAGACTTTCACGGTAAATTTACATCCGGGATATCTTTGAAATTGTCCATCCAACATATCTTTGAAAATGTACATCGAGCATACCATTCAAAACTGATATCCACAATATCAGTGAAATTTACATCCAACATATCATTGAAAATTTACATTTATTTATATATCAATCATTTACATGCATTTATATATCAACGAAAACTTAGTCCCAACCTATAGAAAATTTACATCCAACATTAAAGAAAAATTTACATCCAACATTAAAGAAAATAATCATGATGCAAATTTTCGTCTAACATACAATACCGGATGTTGGGTCTTTTTTTTTTATTTAATTGAATATAAAGGTTATTTTGTTGCGAGTGATGCTGGTGGTTGTGCTTAGGTAGAAAACACGTGTCTAATGGTATATTTTTAGCCCACAACAATAAAAATATATATAAAGATAAGTATGTATTAACAAAGCAAGGACAGAATATCATTGCGTCTTACTAAACAATGAATATGAATGAAGACAACATTTAAAGACTAAAGAATGTGTTTATGTGTAGTTTGGTGTGGGAGAAAGTCCTAGAAAAAATGAAGTGAAAGGTGCGTGATCGCGTGTGTGCATCCCCAGTGGGAAAGCGTTTTTTCGTTCGACCTACATCTTACCGTTCCTGAGTGAAAAGGGAAAAAAAGGATGACAGAGAATGTCACTGCTTATTTATGGGGTTAGGGAGCATCTCCTAGCGGCATTTTTTTTTAAAGTAAGTGAGGTAACTCACAGTACTTCCTTCCCTCCATGCGAGGAGAAGTTTATTCTCCCCGTATGTCCATAAGGTTTGTCCCTCATAGGCTGAAAAAAAAAGTCGAATAGTGTGGTTGTTATGTGTATTGAAACATGTCGACGAAAATTTAATTATCTGTGGTACTCTGTCGTCATTGTGTTTCATAATTCCCTACTGAGTTAATGTCGCAGCAAACCCTAGAGGATATGTCGACAATGTAGAAAGAAAGGTATCGGCGGCTGGTATTAAAATTTTGTTATTTTCAATGCTCTACTTCGAATTGATTTTGTTTCGAAGGCCACGCTTTTTTGTTGTGCGTGGATGATGTTGGCGCAGAAAAGTTAAATAGAAGCAGCGTCGATTTGTAAAGTTGTTGAGGTAAAATTGCTACTGCGAGTTGAATACATGTTTGCGAGAACATTTGAAGATATCTGATATTATTGTCGATATTTCTCGGCGACGCAGCTATCTCTGTGTATTGATAAATCGTACTTGCAGATTTCTTAGTTTGTTCGCATCTCCTAGCGGAGTATTTTTTAAGGAAATTAAGTGGGTTAACTCCACAATTTCTACAATTATTTGAGTTTATATATATGTTTTTCTTATTATTTTCTTAAATAGAGGAATCAATAAAAACAGACCTAAACTGATAATTTGTTATTAATTTCACTATTTAAAATAACAGGGATGGCAACTCAGATACGTGTATCACTAAAAATAACGTATATAGCAATAAAGAAATAATGTCGGTTAAAAATCAATTAATATATATATATATATATATATATATATATATATATATAAAGCCTTCTTTATTGTAAACAACGTGAGTGTTTGTTGGGGCTCTGTGATTTGTCTCTAGTTCCTTTTGCTATTTTCCCCTCACAACATTTTTTTATTGTACATTTTTCTGTGTTAATTTTAAATTAAATCTCCCGTTGAAGCCTGAAGAGCAGGAGGGAAACCGTTTGCTTCTCCCGTTTTTAATATGTCACGTAATATTAAGATTTATACTTTTATTCCGATCATTAAATTCTGTACCTACAAAATATATTTTTATATATATATATATATATATATATATATATATATATATATATATATATATATATATGAATCTTGTTAAAAAAGTAAAGCGATTAAGTCTTTTATTTAATTTTTCTAGTGCTCGTGGAAGTGTTTCCGTTAAGCTCAATATGCTCACCCACAAAGGAAAATGAATTGTACGATAAAGTGTGTAAAAAATAATACGTACCCACACTGGAGACATTTGTCCAAATGTGAAATTCCCCTGTTATTAAAACAAAATACAATGGAACAGTGAAAGGAAAAGGCAATCAATTGGCATAGTTTTAAATATTCTTTCTAATATGGAAAATGGAAAAAATAATAATCGACAATTTCCAAATATATCATTGAAAATTCTCATCCAATATATAATTAAAAATTTACATCCAACATATCACTGAAAATTACATTCAACATATCAGTGAAAATTTACATCCAAGACATATTTGAAAATTTACATCCAGCATGTCAAGAAATTTAAAGTTTTGTGTTGTTTATTGTTTTGGCCTTTTTAGGACCAGAAATAAAGACACAAAGAAGGAGACTCTCCCAGCTATAAATAGGAGCAGGTACTGCATTTTGGAGAGGGAAGTTTCCAGAAGTCATCTCTGACAGTCGGGCCGAACATCGTTGCTGTAACACTCGTTTGTATATATTTTTATTACTGTTTCTGTTAATATGTTTGTTTAACTCAATTTCTCTCTTTATGTCTTTATTTCTGGCCTTAATAAGGCCACAACAAATACAGGTTTATCCCTTGTTTTCTGTTTAGGATTGGGTTTCTGGTTCCTTCTATAAAAGTCTTCTCATTCTCCTTCACCTCCAGCAGCCCTTACGGTTTAGTGACAATATCGTTTTGCTTGGAGTAAAACGATTAAAAAATAACAGTGTTGGGATAATGTATTTTCCATGCCGCTGAATAGCGAGGGGTTCGTCGTTATTGAACCCACTCAAATAAAATGAAACAACAAACGTTTCCAGATAAAAACAGTTCTTGCTTATTATATAAATGCAGTTTTAATTAAAAGATAAAGGCCGAAAATGTATTGAAAATGTACTAATCTCTGAGACTTTCACGGTAAATTTACATCCGGGATATCTTTGAAATTGTCCATCCAACATATCTTTGAAAATGTACATCGAGCATACCATTCAAAAACTGATATCCACAATATCAGTGAAATTTACATCCAACATATCATTGAAAATTTACATTTATTTATATATCAATCATTTACATGCATTTATATATCAACGAAAACTTAGTCCCAACCTATAGAAAATTTACATCCAACATTAAAGAAAAATTTACATCCAACATTAAAGAAAATAATCATGATGCAAATTTTCGTCTAACATACAATACCGGATGTTGGGTCTTTTTTTTATTTAATTGAATATAAAGGTTATTTTGTTGCGAGTGATGCTGGTGGTTGTGCTTAGGTAGAAAACACGTGTCTAATGGTATATTTTTAGCCCACAACAATAAAAATATATATAAAGATAAGTATGTATTAACAAAGCAAGGACAGAATATCATTGCGTCTTACTAAACAATGAATATGAATGAAGACAACATTTAAAGACTAAAGAATGTGTTTATGTGTAGTTTGGTGTGGGAGAAAGTCCTAGAAAAAATGAAGTGAAAGGTGCGTGATCGCGTGTGTGCATCCCCAGTGGGAAAGCGTTTTTTCGTTCGACCTACATCTTACCGTTCCTGAGTGAAAAGGGAAAAAAAGGATGACAGAGAATGTCACTGCTTATTTATGGGGTTAGGGAGCATCTCCTAGCGGCATTTTTTTTTAAAGTAAGTGAGGTAACTCACAGTACTTCTTCCCATGCGAGGAGAAGTTTATTCTCCCCATACGTCCATAAGATTTGTCCCTCGTAGGCTGAAAAAAAAAGTCGAATAGTGTGGTTGTCATGTGTATTGAAACATTTCGACGAAAATTTAATTATCTGTGGTACTCTGTCGTCATTGTGTTTCATAATTCCTCACTGGGTTAATGTCGCAGCAAACCCTAGAGGATATGTCGACAATGTAGAAAGAAAGGTATCGGCGGCTGGTATTAAAATTTTGTTATTTTCAATGCTCTACTTCGAATTGATTTTGTTTAGAAGGCCTCGCTCGTTTGTTGTGCGTCGATGATGTTGGCGCAGAAAAGTTAAATAGAAGCAGCGTCGATTTGTAAAGTTGTTGAGGTAAAATTGCTACTGCGAGTTGAATACATTTTTGCGAGAACATTTGAAGATATCTGATATTATTGTCGATATTTCTCGGCGACGCAGCTATCTCTGTGTATTGATAAATCGTACTTGCAGATTTCTTAGTTTGTTCGCGTCTCCTAGCGGAGTATTTTTTAAGGAAATTAAGTGGGTTAACTCCACAATTTCTACAATTATTTGAGTTTATATCTGTTTTTCTTATTATTTTCTTAAATAGAGGAATTAATAAAAACAGGCCTAAACTGATAATTTGTTATTATTTTCACTATCTAAAATAACAGGGATGGCAACTCAGATACGTGTATCACTAAAAATAACGTATATAGCAATAAAGAAATAATGTCGGTTAAAAAATCAATTAATATATATATATATATATATATATATATAGATAGATAAGCCTTTTTTGTGTAAACAACGTGAGTGTTTGTTGGGGCTCGCTGTGATTTGTCTCTAGTTCCTTTTGCTATTTTTCCTCCCACAGCTTTTTTTATTGTACATTTTTCTGTGTTAATTTTAAAATAGATCTTCGGTTGAAGCCTGAAGAGCGGGAGCGAAACCGTTTGCTTCGCCCGTTTTTAATATGTCTCGTAATATTAAGAATTATACTTTTATTCCGATCATTAAATTTTGTACCTACAAAAATATCTTTGTATATATATATATATATATATATATATATATATATATATATACGAATCTAGTTAAAAAAAGTAAAGCGATTAAGTCTTTTATTTAATTTTTCTAGTGCTCGTGCAAATGTTTCCGTTAAGGTTAATATGCCCACCCACAAAGGAAAATGAATTGTACGATAAAGTGTGTAAAAAATAATACGTACCCACACTAGAGGCATTTGGACAAATGTGAAATTTCCCTGTTATTAAAACAAAATACAATGGAACAGTGAAAGAAAAAGGCAATCAATTGGCATAGTTTTAAATATTCTTTCTAACATGGAAAATGGAAAAAGTAATAATCGACAATTTCCAAATATATCATTGAAAATTTTCATCCAATATATAATTAAAAATTTACATCCAATATATCACTGAAAATTACATTCAAAATATCACTGAAAATTTACATCCAAGACATATTTGAAAATTTACATCCAGCATGTCAAGAAATTTAAAGTTTTGTGTTGTTTATTGTTGTGGCCTTTTTAGGGCCAGAAATAAAGACACAAAGAGAGAGACTCTCCCAGCTATAAATAGGAGCAGGTACTGCATTTTGGAGAGGGAAGTTTCCAGAAGTCATCTCTGACAGTCGGGCCGAACATCGTTGCTGTAACTCGTTTGTATATGTTTTTATTACTGTTTCTGTTAATATGTTTGTTTAACTCAATTTCTCTCTTTATGTCTTTATTTCTGGCCTTAATAAGGCCACAACAAATACAGGTTTATCCCTTGTTTTCTGTTTAGGATTGGGTTTCTGGTTCCTTCTATAAAAGTCTTCTCATTCTCCTTCACCTCCAGCAGCCCTTACGGTTTAGTGACAATATCGTTTTGCTTGGAGTAAAACGCTTAAAAAAAATAACAGTGTTGGGATAATGTATTTTCCATGCCGCTGAATAGCGAGGGGTTCGTCATTATTGAATCCACTCAAATAAAATGAAATAACAAACGTTTCCAGATAAAAACAGTTCTTGCTTATTATATAAATGCAGTTTTAATTAAAAGATAAAGCCGAAAATGTATTGAAAATGTACTAATCTCTGAGACTTTCACGGTAAATTTACATCCGGGATATCTTTGAAATTGTCCATCCAACATATCTTTGAAAATGTACATCGAGCATACCATTCAAAACTGATATCCACAATATCAGTGAAATTTACATCCAACATATCATTGAAAATTTACATTTATTTATATATCAATCATTTACATGCATTTATATATCAATAAAAACTTAGTCCCAACCTATAGAAAATTTACATCCAATTAAAGTAAAATTTACATCCAACATTAAAGAAAATAATCATGATGCAAATTTTCGTCTAACATACAATACCGGATGTTGGGACTTTTTTTTTTTTATTTAATTGAATATAAAGGTTATTTTGTTGCGAGTGATGCTGGTGGTTGTGCTTAGGTAGAAAACACGTGTCTAATGGTATATTTTTAGCCCACAATAAGAATAAAATTATATATAAAGATAAGTATGTATTAACAAAGCAAGGACAGAATATTATTGCGTCTTACTAAACAATGAATATGAATGAAGACAACATTTAAAGACAAAAGAATGTGTTTGTGTGTGTGTGTGTGTAGTTTGGTATGGGAGAAAGTCCTAGAAAAAATGAAGTGAAAGGTGCGTGATCGCGTGTGTGCATCCCCAGTGGGAAAGCGTTTTCTCGTTAGACCTACATCTTACCGTTCCTGAGTGAAAAGGGAAAAAAAGGATGACAGAGAATGTCACTGCTTATTTATGGGGTTAGGGAGCATCTCCTAGCGGCATTTTTTTTTAAAGTAAGTGAGGTAACTCACAGTACTTCTCTCCATGCGAGGAGAAGTTTATTCTCCCCATACGTCCATAAGATTTGTCCCTCGCAGGCTGAAAAAAAAAGTCGAATAGTGTGGTTGTCATGTGTATTGAAACATGTTGACGAAAATTTAATTATCTGTGGTACTCTGTCGTCATTGTGTTTCATAATTCCTCACTGGGTTAATGTCGCAGCAAACCCTAGAGGATATGTCGACAATGTAGAAAGAAAGGTATCGGCGGCTGGTATTAAAATTTTGTTATTTTCAATGCTCTACTTCGAATTGATTTTGTTTGGAAGGCCTCGCTCGTTTGTTGTGCGAGGATGATGTTGGCGCAGAAAAGTTAAATAGAAGCAGCGTCGATTTGTAAAGTTGTTGAGGTAAAATTGCTACTGCGAGTTGAATACATGTTTGCGAGAACATTTGAAGATATCTGATATTATTGTCGATATTTCTCGGCGACGCAGCTATCTCTGTGTATTGATAAATCGTACTTGCAGATTTCTTAGTTTGTTCGCGTCTCCTAGCGGAGTATTTTTTAAGAAAATTAAGTGGGTTAACTCCACAATTTCTACAATTATTTGAGTTTATATCTATGTTTTTCTTATTATTTTCTTAAATAGAGGAATCAATAAAAACAGACCTAAACTGATAATTTGTTATTAATTTGACTATTTAAAATAACAGGGATGGCAACTCTGATACGTGTATCACTAAAAATAACGTATATAGCAATAAAGAAATAATGTCGGACAAAAAAATCAATTAATATATATATATATATATATAAGCCTTCTTTGTGTAAACAACGTGAGTGTTTGTTGGGGCTCGCTGTGATTTGTCTCTAGTTCCTTTTGCTATCTTTCCCCCCACAACTTTTTTTATTGTACATTTTTCTGTGTTAATTTTAAATTAAATCTCCCGTTGAAGCCTGAAGAGCAGGAGGGAAACCGTTTGCTTCTCCCGTTTTTAATATGTCGCGTAATATTAAGATTTATACTTTTATTCCGATCATTAAATTCTGTACCTACAAAAATATCTTTATATATATATATATATATATATATACGAATCTGGTTAAAAAAGTAAAGCGATTAAGTCTTTTATTTAATTTTTCTAGTGCTCGTACAAGTGTTTCCTTTCTGGAAACAAATTGTATAAAACACGCGCGCGCACACCCAGACACACACACACACATATATATCCCTTTTGTTATTTAAAATCATCGAACATACTTGATACAAAATTTTTATACGTACCAAAGATACAGTGAAATTAAAGCTTCCTTCCGGTGGAGAGGGCTGGTTTGGCAATAGAAATAGGTAGCCATCGGAAGATATGTTGAAGTATGGGTTATATTTCTTTGACCAAATTTTACCTGAAAATTAATTTCAATCACATAATTTTAACATTATCAGCAACAGAAAGAATTTTATTTTAACGCTACTTCTCATTTCACGGGACTGAACGACGTTTAAGAAAGTATTTGATTTAGGTTAATTTATTAAAAAATAACAATTAAAAAGTGAATTATCTAATGAAGAGAGAGATAAAGTGAAAGAGGGAGAGAGTAGTACAAATGCAGAAGGACATACACCTATGTTTCATAGACTACTCAAAAGCATTGGATAAGTTAAGACGCAGTGATCTTTATGAACTGTTAGGAAATCTTGACCTACTTGGGAAAGACATTAGAATAATCCAGAATATATACTGTAAAAAACAAGTAAACCAAAACAAAATCAAACAAAACAAAGCAAAACAAAACAAAACAAAAAAAAACAAACAAAAAAACAGCTGCATACGGAATGGAGAAAGTATACAAAAACAGAGACAAGCATAAGACAAGAATACGTCTTCTCGCCGGATTTATTTAGTCTATGGAGCAAGGTAATCATAACATAACTAGAAATCCTGGTAGGATTTATTTTTGGTGGGCGCAGTCTTAACAACATAAGATACACAAATGACACCGTATTGATACCAAATGCAGAAAAAAAACCCTGCAAGAATCCGTAAATAAAGAAAAAAAAAGCCTATCAGTTTTAAGAAGAAAGAATGATGGCTGTTAGCAAGTGGGACAACCCAAGATGCGAGTTACGAATTGGAGACGACCAAATCCAACAAGTACAGATGTTCAAATATCTCGGAAGTGTTTGAACTGAAGACGGAAAATATGACATTGAGATCAGAAAGCGCAATCAGTGTAGCAAAAGATACCTTCTAAAAACACATCAAAGTATCAGGAAATAGAAAAGTGTCGTTAGGAACAAAAAAAAAAAAAAAAAAAAGCGATGAACTGCTATGTAATACCAATCCCCCTATATGACAGTGAATGCTGGACAATTTCCTCACAGATAAAGAAGAGACTTAAAGATAAAAAATGTGCGTCAACAAAAAGATGCTGAGAATACAATGGGCATAATACGCGAACAACGTGGAAGTTATTGAAAGGAAAGAGCCTCCTGAATCTGATAATTTGAAACAAGGAAAAGAAGATCCATTGTCGATGTACTGTATCAGTAGAATAAAGGATAGAAAAGGAAGAAAGTGAAAGATTTTGGTGGGGTGGGATATAATGACCTTGCTGAGAAAGCTGAAACGTATAGGTTCGGTCGTGCCAATAGTAACTGGAACACTTGGAACAGTGTCAATAACATCAGAATATTTGGATTAGAAATGTATGAAGTGTTCCAGTTATGGCTGCAATACTGGAGATTTTAGGAACAGTTTTTCTCGCACGCTCTCCAGTGACAACCACCACGCGTCTGGTAGGAATATTCAAATGCACCACCACCACCACCACCACCACCACCAATAATAATAATAATAATAATAATGACAATAATAATAATAATAATGATAACGAGCAACGCGAAAACAAGGTGAATAACCGTTATATAAAAAGCCACGCGAATAAAATACTAATAGTTGCAGACTGACAGTTTATATATTTCCGGTGTAAAGCAACTGAAATTAAGATGAAAGCTGTTATGGGGCCCACCTCTTTTTCATACAAGTGGACTCGCCCGGTGTGTACTTGTACTACTGCCGGTGACTACCCGGAGGTGTAAGAGTGATAGAGAGATACACTGATAGAGTGATACAGTGAACAGTGAGAGAGTAAGAGTGTGAGGTAACTGCTTTGTAGGAGTCACAGTTGCGAGCACGTAGACTCAGAAGGAAGTCCTACTTCGATACTGAATTTCCCAGACTATATATATATATATTATTATTATTGCTACTAACCGCATTTCTGGATCTACTAACCGTATTACCAATTGTATTATTACGTCAATACATTTATTTGCTATATTTCATTCCTGCGTTTGTCATTCATTTGAGACCGGATTTCATTTCGGAATCCACTACAAAAGCAATACTAGTAAAAGTGAATAATGATTGACAATGCTTCATCTAATAATGATAATGTTGTAGAATACATAAGGACGATAATGGGTATGTCCCCATTCACATAAATACAGTAGTAAATACTGTATGTTGGTCTGGAGTTGGAGATTCGTCTCAAGCTGTGCTGGTTAGACTCTCTGCCACCGGACAGAGATGGTCCCCAGACGAGGCTATGTCAAAGAGCAGAGTCTCGTTTCGGGAAACAGTTACTCGACCCCGTTTTATAAGGGGTCTACGGGGAATTTTTGGCCGAGCCTAAGGGCTCGGATACTCCACATTAAATTAGGCCTTGTGCCACATCTGATGGCGTGGGGCGGTTGGTAGATATCCTATAGTTAAAGATTCCTTGCGAAATTCACTTGACTCATTTCTAGCAGTTGACTACTTCTTCTAGGCGCCGCTGGCGAATCTTATATGCGTTGTTTTTGTCCTAAGTATTATCGTTCATTACCAATCTTCGTTTGATTATTCTATTCAATAAACTTCCCTAGGTTACAACAAACACAATTCAAGATAATATTTATACTGTAGTATGATGACAGAATAGACGTTGCAGGACATCAAAGAGGCAAGTTGCAGCAGAGAGTTTACCTTGGATCACTCCCGGCCGCTGAATTGGAGAAAGATTCGTGATGTACGAAGTGATATTAATAACCATCAGAGACAAGAAGGGAGAGTCTTTCATATATTGCAGACAAATGTAAGTTCTACTTGAAGGGTGAGGGTCGCTGGGCCTCACACTAATACTGGCCAAGAGTAATTGACGAAGACAGAAGCTGAATAAAATATAATGTTAAATAGAAAAAAGTCTCGTGTTATCCTTTTGTTGGTACACACACTTCATTACCCTACTAATAGCAACAGACTGGCAGGCACAACATATGCGATGTAAAACAGAAATTCAGATGAAAGAAATACTAATAAAAATCAATAATGGCTGACAATGATTCATCTAATAATAATAATAAAATGCAAGATATTATGAACACTTGCGATGAAAAGCAACTAAAGATGAAATACAATTAAAAAATTAATAACGGTTGATAATGATTCATCCGATAATAAAACTTTAATATTGTTTCTTCTTGTGATTTTTCTGTTTGATAAAATCGCGCACTAGTGCACTGGAATGCCGAGTAAAATAAAAAGTTTACAAACAAAACAATTTTTTTTCAGCGATCAGACTTTAGGGCTAAATACTTTAGAATTTCATAGCAAGTAACTTACTATTTTTAATTGATGGTAACATCAACGGTGTTTTTTGCCATTCAAGAAGGAATTGAACAGTTTCATTTCTTCTACTTGTAGCAGGCATTTTAACGATGTAAAACAGTTTGGTTGTTTTCAGTGGTACATTCATCTAAAAAGAAAGAACAAGAGATACAATCTGAGCTATTAGTAGAATAACTATTTTAATGTTTCACTCAAACAGAATTTCCCAAAAATTATTCATATCATAATATTGGGCTGAATCAAAGTTCGTAGCATTTTTAAGTGAACTTCAGAGACAATATTTATATATTTGTAGATAGATTTATTCAACCACATATGTTGTCCCATTATCTTTCGCCATCTTTGAGGCAATTCATGATTCCATCCCCCGAGAAGAACTTAACATTTTTCTAGGTGATAAACTGGCCTAAATTTTTTATAAGTTTCCAGAGAATCAAAATTCTCATTAAGAAAATTTTCTAGGAAGCTAACTAGATGATAGTAGTCTGAAGGTGCAAGGTGAGTTGAATATGGTGGGTGCAATAATAAACAAGCCGTGCCAATTTCTGTCGGGTGTGCGAAGAGACGACAGATCTGACGTTCTCCTGATGGCAAACAACACCCTTACGAATGACCAATTTCTGACGCTTGTCATCGAGTTCTACTTTAATCGGTCTAATCTATTCAACACTACTTGTCAGAATCCGATATCTGATTTTATGGAAGGAGCTCATAATGTACAATATCCTCCCAGTCTCACCAGATACGTAGCATCACCTTTGGATGCAGACAGGGTTTTGGAGCAGTTAATGGCGGTTCATTTTGTTTCTCGAGCCGTTATACATTTTACCACTCGCTCATCTAAACTTACAGCGCCTATTAGTCTCAAGCGGACATCCATCTAGATATTGACCAGACTCGACATTGTTTAACTTTTGTGATCATACCAGAACCCGTGTTTCAATTGAATTTGGCTGTAAATCTTGTCTGAATTCAGCATTCAATGTTGCAGAAGGAATTCGTAATAGCCAATGCCCTTGCAGCCACACCAGATACACAACATCATCTTCATGTGAATCTTTCGTTTCCGTTCCTGACCTTTTTCTCTTTCCATTGTTGTACACAGTCAATTTTTCATTGACTTTGTGTAAAGCAATGTTTCTTAAACCTTTTTTTAAACTTCAGGACGCACTTGCAGAATAACTAAAACTTTGGGGCATACTTTAAATTTTAATAAGGTTTTTTTTTTTTTTTTTTTTTAGCTAAACGTTCCATCATCCAAGTCTACCAGCTCTCCCCAATCATTACAGTTCATGTTTAGTTCATTGTTATTTCAGACATTATCCAAAACTTTAGGGAGGAGATTTAAGATTACAGACGAGATTAAATGAAACGCAATTATACATCTGATGGTGATCCCGATAGCGATGGTTTTGAAATGAGAAAAGGACGCTAGATGTGTGTGAGGCGACGAAAGGACTTTGCGGAAGTGGGCTCAGACTTCATCGCCTTAGGAAAGAGATTTTTACGTTAATATAAAATGGGTGAACAGTTTTAGGACAGATATCGGATTAAAAAAAGTCGTACTCACGGCAAAGTTCTTGGCAGCTCCACCTCGGTAGCAGTAAACACTGGAACATTTTGTCGGGCCAGGAATCACAAAAAAGTTATGTGTTTCCGGGTAAATACCACTGCAGCTGTCATCACATTTTAGCCGTAGTGTGTAACAACTATATGCCTCGTGGTAAGTAATATTCTCAGAGCAACAATATTCTGTTAATCAGAAATAAAGAAAATAACGATATATATATATATATATATATATATATATATATATATGTATAAGAAAATAGTGTTTGATGTAATATATATATATATATATATATATATATATATATATATATATATATATATATATATATATATGCATGTTTCATTAAAAACGACAGACAAGGTACTATTATTTCCCAGATACCAACACCTATCTACGACCTATCAAAATTCCTTAACGACATCATCACTCCATACCTACCTACCAATTACAGCTTCACCTCCACCCACGAATTCCTACAAATTTTAAAAACTACAAAAGGAACAAATCAAGGTATAATAGCGTCACTGGACGTCGAAAACTTATTTACAAACGTCCCCGTCGACCAAACTATTGATATTATCCTCAACTCTGTATACAATAATAATTCCATCCCTCCGCCATCCATCAAACCACCCATCCTAAAAAAATTACTACACGCATGCACAACCAAAGTCCCCTTCTATGACCATAATGGCAATATTTATACCCAAACTAATGGTGTTAGTATGGGAAATCCACTGGGTCCATGCTTCTCCAACTATTATATGTCCTACGTAGAAAATACTATATTTACACAGGTCCACAAACCGAAAATCTATGTTCGCTACGTAGACGATATCTTCATTTTAGCTGATAACATTAAAGAAATAGAGACACTTAAGACCACATTTGAGAAAAACTCCATCCTTAATTTCACATATGAACTTAGCCAAAAAAACAAACTAACATTCTTAGATATCCTCGTTGAACACAACAATAACACTTTCATTACATCATTATACAAAAAACCCACCAGCAAAAACTCGTGCCACCTTAATTTCAAAAGCGAATGCCCACTTAGGTACAAAATAGCTGTAATAAAAAACTTTCTAAATAGAGCCCACCAGAACTCATCCTCTCGACTACTCTTTCTCAAAACCTAACAAAGTTAAACAAACACTAATTAACAACGGTTTCCCTAACTACCTTATAGACCAACAAATTAGACTATTCCTCCCCAAAGCAATTAATAACGATAGCGAACACACAACTAAAAATCACATACACATTTATTACAAAAACCAAATGCATATTAATTACAAACAAGATGAATCTTCTCTAAAACACATTATAAAGAAATATACTACTGATCCTAATAAAAAAATCAAACTTATTATCTATTATAAAAAATTTAAGACGGCCAACCTTATCCTCAAAAATAACAACACACCAACTAAGTCAAAATTACAAAGAACAAACATTATCTATGAGTTCAAATGCCCTTTAAGAAACTGCGTTCCTCACCAAACCGGACTCATAAATAATTACATCGGCTACACAACCACATGTTTATCCAGACGTCTTACATTACACCTATCTGATCACAGTTCCATCAGAACACATTTAAACACACACTCAGATTTACCCGACACTATTAGGAACATACTAGTAGAAAACACAAATATATTAACTGCATCCACTTGCAAAAAAAGACTAAAAATAATGGAAGCTCTAATAATAAAAAAGAAAAAGCCAACTCTTAACAATATTAACTATGAACAAAGCCACAATGTGCTAACCGTATTCGGAAACTAAAAACATCACTACCACACACTGAACATACACAGAACACACACACTCTACTAAGCTGATAATTGAACCATCCTTGATAATGGCTAAAGGTATAGCCGAAAGCGCTCGGAAATACAGAACATTCGGACAGTTCTTACACACTCTTTGTCCAGAAAAGAAAGCTCTTGTCAGAACACAAGAAAAATTAAATAAAAAGCTCAACCGTAGTACCTTGTCTGTCGTTTTTAATGAAACATGCATAAAGGAAGGATTGCTGCCTAAATATACAAACATATATATATATATATATATATATATATATATATATATATATATATATATATATATTTTTTGAAGCTATATATATTTATATATATATTTGAGAAGCTATTGTTTTTTAAACAATGACGGATTGGCTTTAAAAATATTGTAATAACTATAAGCCTCGTGTTAAGTAATATTATTATAGCAACAATATTCTATTAATCAGAAACAAAGAAAATAACGATATATATATATATATATATATATATATATATATATATATATATATATATATATATATATATATATATATATTTGGGAAGCTATTGTTTTTTTTAAACACTGACGCATTGGGTTTAAAAATATTCGTTGTCAAGAGACAAAGGTGACCCACCCAAAACTATAACGTTATTATTTAATTTTCATAACGAATAAATAATTTTTTTAAATGCATATGGACAAAAGGGTAAAATTAAAATCTTTGTGGAGAAAATGTGTATTTCGTAGTAATAACAATGTACATGTAGATGTACATGCTGGCAGTAGATACCAAATGTAAATGCAGAATTTTATAATTGAATTCTTTATTGATTTTTTTCTAATTTTAAGTAAATGGTTGATATTTTTAAATAGTTTTCTGCACAATTTACACATTAACAATTCAAAAGCACAATAATGCATTAGATGTCGTCCATTATATTAGGAACCATTGTTTATTTTCGCGAGATGACTGTGCAAATCTGCCAATAATTGCTTCTGCATCCAATTCTCCTAAGAACTTTATCACTGAATAGTACCATGTATGATTCCAAATTCTCCTCAAACGGCGAATTTCTTAACCTTGTCTTTATGATCTTTAGTTTTGAAAATGTCCTCTCACGTTGGACTTGAGTAACTGATAGTGTGCAGATGACTTTATAAAATTCTTATTATTACTAAAACAGTTGTCTGTGTTTGTTTCTTTCTTGCATTTTTATTTGATATAGAGGGTCCACTCTATGAAGGGCCTACTTGCTATCGGGTAAGCTGTGGCCAGTCTATTCATTCAGTTATGTGCTATTCGTGATAGACGCTTAGGTGATCATGTATCTTTCGATACATGACTGACGAAGCAGTAGGTTGCCATTTCTTTCTGCGGTAGATCAGTTGCAAACCGAGGCTATGGAACCCGGCCTCTCCTGCTATTTACCCATAGCTAGTGGGAGAAGAAGAGGAAGTGTATTAGCACGTAAGTGAATGTGATGGATTCGAATGGAATTCGAACTCGTCTCTTCGATTCCTTAATCGAGCCGCTATCCATTACCCCACCGTATCAGTCTACTACTGTTTTTAAATATATAGTTAAAACAATAGATATTTTGTGCCCATAAAATAATATCTCTCCACCCATTAATATAAGACTAATGAGTACATCTGACCAAGCAGAAAGCGTATCTCTGAAAATAATAAACACAATATATATCTTATAAACGTTGTTCTTAGTGGGTACATTTGTTTGAGTTGACATTGCTGTTATTTTTAAACAGCCAAGCGAAATTTAGACTCAGCTAAATCAAAAAATCGTATTAAATAATTTCACTGTTTAAGAAAATAAAGAAAAAACAGAGATGACAGATTTTATAGTATACGTGTTTATGTATACTTACGAAAACAGGAATATCAGTTCAAACACATGTAACCACTAAAAGTAGCATTTATAATAAAAAATGTTGAATTAAAAAGAGCCATTTAAAAATTACAATATCTTATATAGGTTATCCAACAACCAGGCAGAATCACATACTCAAGTTCCTCTTCACAACATATCAACAAAAACCACAAGAATTACTATATTAGATATCTCCTTTGTAATAATGCTAGAACGAGCAAAGATTATAGAAGCCGTTTACTTACAACTGAAGCAAGCATCTATGAATAAGAATAACTATAATCTGAGACTTCGCATTCATGAATGCATATTTAAGAAAATATTATTCCAAACACACTCTTTATTATTGCAAAAAAAAAACAAAAAAAAAAAACGTTGTTATACGCTGATGCCAAATGAATTGACACGTCAAGATGAATTCCGTGCAGATTATAAAAAAATAATAAAACATAAAAAACATACTATTTATTTCTTAAAACATAATTTTCTTTTCCTTTCCACTATTGATAATGGCTTAAGAGGAGTCAAAAGCTTGATACTACACAACATGAATTTTGACTAATTTATTAATTCACACACGCAAAAAACACATATGCAAAAGGTTATTCGTATATTACAAAGAAAAAAGCTCATAAATACGAAAAAATATCTATTTTTTGTAACTATATAATATATCAATTTTTCTCTGTAGAATTTGTCTTACATATCAATAAGTCTACCATTCGTTGTAGTTTTGAATATTACTGCTACATAGGGTCTGGTACTCCTGCTATACATTTAGATAATCTTGATAACATCTAAAGAGGAATCTGCAATGTTATTGGTCCTGACTTGGCATCTCGGCTTCTGTTACTTATCCATGACTATAATGAATCTTTCCTTTGCCATTTGTATAAATATTTTCATGGTAATTGTTCTGATGAACTTTCCGCCATGGTACCTAGACTTTATGGATTTAAGCAGAGGACTAGATTGGCGCCAATGTTGTATATTGCTGCTGGACTCAAATAAGGCGACGAACACTTATATATAAATAGATTTATTGTTCGAGTCGCGGCAATTGGGTACAATGAGGAAGAATCACAGAGGTTAGAATTGTGCACACATGAATTGACGGAGACAAAATCTTCTGTGAAACTCTAGCCAGCCACTCTCTCCCTTTCTTTCTTTCTTTCTCTCTCTCTCTCTCACAGGCTAAGAGTTGGACCATTTTTATAATATTTGGGTACGTACACAACTTCACGTGGCTACGCCTTCTTTTGGTATGTCGCCTATGCAATTTTGTGTGGCCACGCCTCTTCCGGCATGCACCCACGCAAGCACGTATTTTCTTCCGCTCAGGACGCCTTATCGCCCTATTTATTCAAGGCTCGGGCACCTGTGCTTCCTGTTTATTTTCGCCATTTCCTGTTTATGCTTTCACCCATTCCGATTTACACTCACTCTCTGATGCAGCGGAAGTGAGGTCAAAGTTCTTGTTCAACCGATATCCAACAGCAGTATCTCATCATTTTACTGTTGAAATGGCGAGATGCAACCGTTATTCTATGCTAACAGTTTTTTTTCTATCGTACTTCTCGCCTGTGAAATTCTCTTTCGGCTTCTTGTTTTCCATTCAAGCTTGGTTTAAATTTTTGTAGATCAAACTTGATCTACAAAATTTAAATGCAATGTCAGTCGTTATTTTCTGTTTCAATTTTTCTTCTTTTACTGTCCTCTCTCCTTAATAGTAATTTTCTCATATTCTCTAACACTCAGTAACCACTTGCATCCTAGTGGGCTTATTGAAATTATTAATATACTGGCTGTAACAGAAAAACTCTCTAAATCGTGTAACAGCATAATTGTCTATCTCACAAAATGTTTAATATCTATAGAAACACTAAACTAATTGAGATTTTTCCAGGTTTTCAGATAAGACATTTAGGCATCTTGATAGCATTTGTCATAAGAATAACTGAAAAACCCTTTAAGTTATTCAGCTAGAAAGAGAACAGGTTAAAATCGTTTTATTGCTAGCTCCACTGTATTCTCAAATGAGCAATGGTGAAAGGATCATTCTGGCCTTCAGTAATGGTAACAACATTCATACTCTGGCTCCTTCTTCAAGAACCATCAAGAGAATGCGGAATAAGTTCTAAAAAGAGGGAACAGTAGAGTGGAAAACTGGATCGGAAGGTCACAACAGGAAGAGGGATCATCATTTCAAATTAGAGCTAAAGAGATCGATTAGAAAACATCTAACTCAATCCATAAGACGTTTGGCATGTGAGAGAGGAGTTTCAGCTATGACAGTCCAAAAAGCACTGAAAAAAGACTTCGAAATGAAATCGTACGTGAAGTCACCTTCTTATTCCAGCACAGAAAGTTAGAAGGTTAGAGAGGTCTGGAATAAGCTGGAAAATGGACTTTATTTGAATCCTTCATGAACTTCCGATCCTTAGCTATGATTAATTAATGAAGAACTTGTCATTTTCGTTTATGATCGATTTCATCACGAATTAAGCTTGGAGAGTAATTATACATTCTTAATAAAGTAGAGTCCAATATTGTTACATAAACCACGGAGAATTCCAGTAAGATATATTTAATCCTTTTAAGATACAACGGTTCAATTTGGGAAATTTTGTTCTTACAGCCTTCACACACACACACACACACACACACACACACACACATATATATATATATATTCTGGCAGCAATTGTGCTTGCAAACAGATCAAGAAGAGATATTTTATGCCTGTTGAACTTATTAATCGTTTGTTTTAAATAGCGAATAACTTTTTTTTGCAAATGGATTTGGTATACATATAAAAATATAGGAAATTTATATTAGGTCCAAAGTTTCGACTCACGTGATTTATCTTCAAGGGTGAGAAAAGTAAAGAAAAGGAAAAAAGATCAAACGTATTTCAAACAGAACGCATTCTTTTAAAAGTACCAGTATATCTTTACTTGAAAATGTCATGATGTGTATTATTATTTTTTTTTAATTACGTTTCACATATTTTACTTATTTACATGTTTAAACGTATTTTAAAGATTGAGCTGCAATTGGCATATATATGTAAGGTGCAAAAACGTGCAAGACAAAGTCCAGCTGCTTCTATGGTTTAAGCCGATGACAGCAAGTTGGCTGGCTGTGCGAATTCTTACTTTCGGTGACAGATATAATGCAATAAAACATTCGCATTAATTATGTTTCTTTTACAAGTGTAAATATGGGCAAATGGAAAAATCCCGGAAAAAGATTTTAGATAGGAAAATGAAATTTATACTTACTCGGTGTTTTTGCTATGAATGTGAACGTCAGATTTTGGTTATCCAGATTTAAATAAAAGACAATCGTCTTGTTTCGAGGAAGATTAATTAAGTGAATGGCCTGAGAAGAGGACAAATATTTGTAGTATCCTAGTTCGGGGATAGAAACATTTAAGAATTGGTAATCGGAAAATGGGATGTTCGGCGATTTCCTTACAACTGCTTGGCACCCAAAGACTTGTAAAAAGGATAAACCTGAAAAAAAACAAAACAAAACACAATGACATAATTTTTAATAAATGAATAAAATATTATTGTTTCTCAGGTGATAGAGATATTAGTCATAATGAATACAAATGACAGAAAAATAATCGCTAGAATTTGACTCAACTGCAATCTGGACCAAATTCTAGCTTTTGATTCAAGTTCATGGATGGATGGAAGGTTTGCCACTCGTATTCGAGGATGCTTGTCTACTAGGGTGGCTAGCTAATCCCCCGTTCAGATGCATTTGTGCTTGTTCAAAACCCACATGGCCCATCTGCTGTTTATACTGCAACTATCCTGAGCGGACCTTAGTTACTGTTGTTAGGCACGTGGCCAAGTGAGTCACTTTCTGAACATGAGACCCGGGTTCGAATCCCACCATAGTCGATTTGTCAGGAAGGAGATTTCTTAATGTTATCGGTATGGTGGAGACAATCTCAGCGTGCGGCACCCTTGGAAAGTGCCTGAAAATCATACCGCCCAACACTTGTGAGTAAAATTGTGTAGACGAGACCTTTTTGAAGCCGTCGATGACTGTGCACGCCCGAAGTTACAAGTCATCCTCACCGGGGGTTTGAGTGTGCTGGCCTTGTTGATCCCGCTAGATAACGTGTGCTTTCTCCCAGATTCAAATTTATACATATACCTACCTTTTGACTCAAAAGTAAATCGGATCTACGCCAAGCTTTTGAATCATGGGTAAACCGTACCTACAAGAAACGGCTGAAAAGTTCATCGGCTGATTAAAATACTCTCATGGAATGTGGTAAAATGAGATTTATCTTCCTTGAGATCTACAAATTTCTTCCATCGACGTAGCAGATTTTGGATGCCATTGTTGATAGAGCTTTCATTCTGTTGGTAAAAATGGTCATCGACAGTAGATATGACATCATCATCAGTGCGATACTGGTTCCCAGCCAAAGGTCTTTTCATGTTGGGGAAAAAATGGGGTCAAATCAAGACAATAGGGAGGTTGCTCATCCAGTTCAAAGCTACAGTCATACACAGCAGCCATTAAATCAAAAGGACGTGTGTGATGGAGGATTGTCCTGATGAAACAAATCTCCTTTCATCAGTTTTCTTAGATGTTTGGTTTTAATAGCCTCTCGTAACTGTCTCAGCAAGTTGGCATAGTATTCTCCATTTATGGTATGGCCCTTTCTAAGCTTTGCAACCCGAAAAACTATGGTCATCATCTTCCATGCAGATGAAACGACCTTGACTTTCATTAGAGCAGGTGAGGAGAGGTGTTTCCACTGCATGGATTGTCTCTTTGTCTCTGGCTCAAAGTGATAAGCTCAACGCTCATCCTGGTTACGAAATATTTAAGGAAACCAGATGCATCTGCCTCAAATAATGTCAGATTTTCCGTCACATGATGCGCTATTAATCAGGTGTCAGAAGACGAGGAACTCACTTTCGCCATTCCAAATCCATTGTGCAGTATATTCTCAACTTTTTCACGGAAGATGCTAATAGGATTATGATGTTATGGAATAATCTGTCACCCCCATCAGTGACTAGGTAGTAACTGCCTGTAAGTATCTGTAAGTCAAAGGACTACGGAGACTAGCTGTTACTCAGCTCTTAGCTGTTGTCAAACACTCTGCTTTCGGGGAGAGAGGAACCCGGACGAGGCTATGCCGAAGGGCAGAGTCTCGTCCGGGGAGGTAGACAGACCCGAACCCGTTTATGCGGGGTTTACTAGGAACTTTTGGCCGATCCTACAGGCTCGGATTGCCCCATATTACATTCGGCCTTGTGCTACATCCTACCCCGTGGGGAGGTTGGTAAATATTGTCTAGCTGGGATCTGTTGAGTACGACTCAGACTTACGCGAGAACTACCGACCTTCCAATAGTAGCACTCATTACTGGATTAACTTGCGACGACCTTGTGCATAACTGTTACCTTTATTCTTATTGCACTGTTTTTTTTACAAGAAACCTTTACTTATTTCATCCACCTTGTTTTTCAAGTATATATTCCTATTGCTAATCAGTCATCACTATCATTGTTTTTCTTGGTGGTGGCAGTTGCAGGATGTCTCAACTTTGTGTCATCTTCAAGACTCCCTCCCCCGTCTCCTAAATTCAGCTACCCACTTTTGCACTGTTTTTCATGCTGGAACATCATTCCCTAATATAGTAACCATGTCAGCATGAATGTCCTTGAGAACTAAACTTTTTTTTCTGAAGGCGCTTATTAAAACTACCATCTAAAATGTTATCCCTTTTCAAGAGGAATTGTTACTAGTTGCTTTTGAATTATTCTTTGAACAGTCAGATGTCAGTTTACCTGGAAAGAAACAATGCACTTATTAATAAGACTAAATTAAAAATTAATGCATACAATGTTTTACAGCTTTAGAATCATAGTCATAGTCACCCTCGTCTGTCAACATGTTTGACTAAATTGCAAACTAGACGTATACCTAGCCCTTAACTCAAGTGGAAATAAGACACATGTCTAGCTTTTTACTCAAGTTCAATCCACACTTATGCCCAGCCTTTAACTCAAGTGCAAACGAGATTTATGCCTCACCTTCAACAAAATTACAAACCAGACTTATGCGTAGCCTTTTACTCAAAGTCTAGCCTTTTACTTAAGTGGAAACCGTTTGACTCAAGTATCAACCATAAGTTTAGATACAAATGCAAACGGGTCCTAGGTCTAATGTTTGATCCAATTGTATTTATTTGTATATTAATTCATGGTTTTCTTTAAGATTAACATTCGACGTTGTATAATAACGGCCTTAATTTTTTTGTTTTCCATTTTTAAATTGAAAAGACATGATGAAAAGGAATTTGAATGTCTGGCATAAGAACACAATCTAATAATATCTACCATTGTAAGTAAAGGTGATAGTTTTCAATTTCAAAATCTACTATGTTCATGAATCCAATTAAATGATACGTACGTCTAAGTGTAAAGTATTTCACTGTGAAAACATTTATATTTTACTTCTTAACTGGTTTGAAACGATCTCAAATGAATACACTATCCCAGAGCAAATTAATTGCACTAAACAACAACAGCAGCAATAACAAATAAAGTATCTCTTATATCAAAAGAGGTTATTCGCGAAAACTTGCATCGACCAAGTATTTTGCATATAGCAGGAAAGGTGAGTGTAATTTTCTATTGAGAAAGCGTCTGTCTAACATGCTACTAAATATCACAGCTGAAGTGAAATAATGAGGAATTACATCAAAGAAATTTGTGGTTAAGCAAAGAACAAAATCTGGATTAAATCTGCATTTCTCCAAAAGACAGAAATAGTGAGAGGAGAGAGAGAGAGAGAGAGGGGGAGAGAGAAATAGTGAGAGGAGAGAGAGAGGGGAGAGAGAAATAGTGAGAGGAGAGAGAGGGAGAGAAAGAGAGAGGGGGGAGAGAGAAATAGTGAGAGGAGAGAGAGAATGGGGAGAGAAAGAGAGAGAGAGAAAGAGAGAGAGAGAGAAAGAGAGAGAAAGAGAGAGAGAGGGGGGAGAGAGAGAAAGAGAGAGAGAGATAATGCAACTGTTGTTGCATTGGCGTTCAGACATTCATGTATTATAGAAACAGGAAAGTTAAAGGTTCGTCTTGTTTTCAAGTCTTAAAAGAAATTTTGTCTTACCGTTCAATGTAAGTGGAAAATTGATTGTTGTCACACTCTCAACCATGTCTTTATACATTGCCGTAATAGAGATGTTAAAGGTTCCATTTGCTGTAAGCTCCCTTAAGTAGACATAGTTGTCTATCATTTGAAATGTTTCTGGAAAAAAAAGAAGAAAACAAATATATCTCAAATAAAATTGAAATATGTTATTTCACAGCGTCCAGATCATTTATTTATCTTCCATTCTGTGAAAAAAGATATCTGATCTGTGACCATTTCTTTATCTGGCATTTAATTCTACAAGAGTTGTTTTCGTTTTTCTTCATCACTATCATTACTTGACGAATCCGTGGACGTTTCTTCATCACTTTCTTTTTTGTATTCGTCTCGTGATCTTATTTGATTTCTATTGCGGATTTGAATCAACCCACAACAAAGAAAGAGGCGATAAAGTTGTATGGATACAAACGGTGATTGTCTCCCTTTTGTTGAGATAGTCACGAGAATCACACGAGGGCCGATGAATGATTTTAGGAGATAGAGGGACGAAGGATAGTTGCGATGTAGAGCTCAGGGAAGAAAGACGCCTCTATCCCACAGCAGTAGGTCTTACTGGAAAAAACACATGGCCTAACCAAGTTCATAGAGAGACCGCCGTAACTCTAGTTTTCGTTTTGGGAAATATTACAAGTAAGGTTACCTTTTCTTACATACCGTTTGTTGTTGCATATATGTTATAATTTCTCTGCGTGGGACACGTGTATATATGTATATATCTAACTTTGTGTACAAAATGTCATTATAAAATTCTCTCTGAGAATCAAGCATGTTTGTCATTCATTTTCCTTTCAGACATTCCATTTCGTCAGTGATATATTGGTGTTATTATACCATGGATATGATATTAAAGTTTTTACAGTCCTTGTTTGTAGTTGTTTGTTAAGATGAAGAGAAATATGATTTTTTTTCGCGTGTATGTGTGAGAAAAATGAGGAATTGTGAAAGTGAGGAGAAAAGTGTAAATGTCACGTTGTTTGGTGAGGAAGACAGGTGAATGATTAAGGGAATCTCTTTCAAGTCGTTGTCGTAAACTGTTGTTGTATGTTGTCGTCTCTATCTCCTTGCTTTTCTGGTTTATAAAATTTGCTTCAAAGGGATCACGAAACATGTATTTTCTTGTCGGTGGAAACGCGACACGTGGTTGGAAAATGTTAAGTATTTATTAAGGATTCATTTATTAACCGGAAGGATACGCGGTTCCTTCAACTCAGAAACCATTTTTTGTCATTTGATTATTGACTGTATTGGTGTTTATTTACGTCTTCGCTCTACAGTCTTTTCACTCGGTAGATCTTTTAGTGGAGAAAGCCCAACAATTGATTTACAACGAGAGTCTTGTAAAAACTGACAAACTCGGCAGAAGACCAACGTTTAATAGTTAACCGGAAGAACAATATTTACGAACCGGGAGAATTCGTGTTTGCTATCAACACTGTGACATCTTTTTGTTAAGATTGTAACCGCCAATAATGAATCCTGGAAGGACTTCTAATTCTCTCAGAATCACCTCACTGTATAAGTTAAGTCCGGTAAGAAGACATGTCTTAGACCCCCTTCTACCTCTCGATGCCATGATGAAGGACACTGTTACAGCTGTCCCTCCGGAAATATAAACTAGGTTATTGATGCCTCCATCTCCTGTGGGTGTGTGACTGTCTCACTACAGACTCTTCTACCAAACACACTGCTATCTACAAATAGATAAAAACAGACCCTAGGTTCACCATCTCTTACATCAATGTGCGGGGTCTATGTTCCAATTTTCCCGAGCTGGAAATCCATCTTGATTTCAAAGCCGACCTCTTCTGCCTGTTTGAAACTGTTATTGATAACTCTATCCCACTGCAGGAGCTTGCAATCCCGTGCTATTCACCCCTAATGGATAATCATAACCACCAAAATCACTACGGCCACGGGATCGGTGTTTATATCAATGACGATTTCCCTGTGGCAGAAACGCAAAAAATGAGGACCCTAATCTCGTGTACATGTGCCTCCGCATAGAAATTATTCACAGTACCTTTTTCATTTGAATTCTTTCATCGTCCCCAGAACGAAGTAATTTTAGTGATCGATCGAATATCTGAGAGGATTGATAATAAAATCACTGAATTTCCCTCGGCTAACCTTCATATTTGTGGTGACTTCAATATTCACTACTCGAACAAAACTGATGAAGATGGGAGATACTGCTGAGACTTTTCCCATCGCTTAATACAGATAACTGAAGAACCCAACACCGTTTTTGATGCGACACGACAGGCAAGCCTCCTCACATCCTGCCCTGAAAAATGCTTCGCTGAAGCCCCCCCCACCACCACCACCACCACGTGCCACCTGCGCAAGTCAGACCATTTACTCGGCAGTGTAAAAGTTGATGCCAAACCGAAGGTATCCCTTGATATATTGTTCCATAGAACAATTTATCGCTACCCAAAATCAGGCTGGAACAGCTTCAGATCTTACATGGCATAAGCTCCTGCCTCAGCCTTCTTTAAACATACTGCGTTTAAAACTGGTGCCCTTGTCTCAGAATAGATCCTTTATGGAATAGAGAGTTTTATACCCACTGAAATCATTCCAGTAAAAACCGAACAGTCAATCCAATTCACACCTAAATGTGCTGCCATGCCATGCACATTATACTAAGCTCCTCTACCTCATTCTCTTCGTATTCTTTTGGTGAAATATATTGAATTCAAAGTCAGGAGATTATCATTGATAACTCTCTCCTCCAATTTGCAGAGCCTAGTTACTATATTCTTAATACTTGATATAATGCAAAAATATCACAATGATAAAAGCGGTCAATAATTATTTTTAAGTCATCTATAATATTTTAAATTTTAAAATAATATTTATTTTTGGCCTATGAATGTTTTGAATCTGTTTTTAAATTTTGATTGTCTTTCAATCAATCCGTCTCACTTGTTATCCTCTTCCACCGTTTTGAAACCACTGATATATATATATATTGATTTTTAATCAATGATGGAAACATTGTTGAAATTGTACCTAAGCATCTTAAATCTGAAGAGCATATACATTCAAATAGCAATAAAGATACATTGGTATTGAATCTGTTGGTCTCTGTCAAGCTTGTGTATTAAAGAATTTGCTGACAGAGTAGATTGGGAGAAAAGAGGCAAAAACAAGTGTGATTTAGAAGGAGAATAAAATCACTTACTGTTGTTTTTAAGATGGAATACAATCGGAATTTTAAGAGGATTTACACAATTCATCATTACCAGTGGGAAATTCGGATTTTTTCTTTTATAGAAATCAGGGATGCAGCTTACGGAAGAATACCACATAATATCATACTGAATCAAGGATTTTGTCTCCTGTAAAAACATAGAAATAAATAGGTGAAACATTTCAAAACATTTCTTAGATTATAATTTTTCTGAGGTTAGTGAAGGTGGATTTGAGTGGGATGAATTTCAGGAGCTTTGTTTAACATTGGAGGTGGTCAGAAGGAGGGGGTGAATGGCTAATAAAGAGAAAATATAGAAAGAAGAATTTCGGGAGAAATTTTTTTTTATCACTCAAGCAGACAATAAAGTAGTTACAGAATTACTTGGGCGGGGGAGGCGTGTTATATAAACAGACTCTCTCCAGTCCTACAGCTGGGGAATAAATTCCAGATTATTCTTTTCCTACCAGCCAAGGCAACATGGAGAAAGAACACTTATATAGAAGTTCACTAGACACAGCTATTAGAAAATAATTTTTTTTTAAATTTTAATATGAAATAAATGTATTTTTATGAAATACCTTTTAATTTCTTATAGCGGCAATTAATAAGTAACCAAATATTAGATTCTCGGTGAAAATACTGAAAAAAATATTATCACCGAACATTGATAATAAATCTTCTGTTCTTTTCATTGTGCGGTGATAACAGTGAAATCAGTGATATCATTGTGCGGTGATAATACACGCAACCATATTTAAAATAGAATATTCGAGTTATAAATAGAGACCGCTTTGTTCCATGATTTTACTATACAAGTAACAAAATGCAACAGGTTTATTTCCATTGGTATATAAGACGCTTGAAAATTAAAATTTATCCTTTGATTTTTTTAGTGGGCAAAACGTACGTGTTATAAACTGAAAATTATGGGATACTTTGTCATTTTGTACAATTTATTGCGTTTTTAGTGCATAAGACACATTTCTATAAAAATATTAGATTGTCACATATAAACTGACACACTTTATAGGAAATGAATAAAACGCTTCTGAAATGTTAAATAACTAATTTATTTGGTTGAAATAGCCAACATGTTGATGAATGACTGTTCTCCAATATAGCTCTAAATTTTTGATTCCATCTTTAAAAATATTCTCATCCTTTGATGTGATAAACAGTTCAAATGATCCAATTACCTCTTCCTTATTGGAGAATGTTTTATTGCTCATGAAAAGCTCAAATTGCTTAAATAAATGAAGGAGAGATATCAGGTGAATATGAAGGATGAGGAAAAACTTTTATAATTTAGGCGGTGTAGCTTTTGGACAGTAACAATATATTGAAAGGAAAAGAGTCAGGAATAAGTCAAGATTTTTTTATATACTAAGAAGGTTATTTCGTTAGACGATCGGATCAACAACCAACAAAAAATTGCGTCATTTCACACCGTAATCCGCAGTCTATCAACGAATGGAAATATTACGCGACAGGGTTTCAATTCTCGCTTGCGTCAGTATGCAGAAAAACAAAAAACAAAAACAAAAAACAAAACAAAAAAACAGGGAAAAGCCCGATGTACGTTCATGAGTGATCGAAAGATGAAAATATCACCTCGACGAGAAATGAAAAACGCGAAATTTTACCCTAATATATTTAGTTAATTATTCATGGATTAACATGACACAGCCTCGTAGTAGGTGCAATTCAATAAACTTTCAAAGTATGGTGTCTCATTGAGTGTGGAAGAGTTTATCATAGCTGGAGAAAATTCAGTCTGAACGCTAATGATGAAATGGTATAAGCTTCGTTTTTGAAATATTTAGTTACAAGCTAGTTTGCGACACGTAAAAGAGAACATTGTTTATGTTGCAATTTGTTTTTGGTTAACAAGAAAATTCATTGATTTACCTGTGTTTGAAGATATATTTGTTGATGTCCATCTCTTGGGAGAGTTTTGTTTGCCATTGGCTGAATTATAACCTCGGATTCTAAATTCTTGTAAACGGTGAAATGGCTATTCCAGGGAAGAGGAAGTATTTCTGCAAATGAAACAAAAATATGAGAAAAAAAGAAAAAGAAAAAAAGGAAATTAAAATCACAAAAGGTTAGGACCGGCATGGGAAGCCTTTTTTAAACAACGAGCCGCATGATATATAATTTATCATGAGGCAGGTCGCACGACTAAGTTTAAGGTAACTTTTCATTGATGGTACCGCAGCTATTTTCACTAAAGAAAAACCATACGTGTAAGCATCTGTATAGCGGATTATGTGTGATAAAGCGAAGAAATAAGCGAATCTTCAACACGGCTCTACAAATTTAAATATTTTTTTTTATTATTATTTGAGTAATATTTACTTTTTAAATTGAAAGAAATCAATTACAAAGGTTCTTTGTGAAATAACTTCTCACAAAATATTGTGTTTTCTTTTACTACAGTACAACTGAATGAATTACGTTAGTATAGAAGAAAATAGAATGAGTCTACATGGGGGAATCTGTGTGACACGGATGTACGTTGTTTTATATATGCGTATAAATTGTAGTAGTCGTTAGCATGAATAAGCAGTGAGCTGCCTTACTGTCGACGCTCGTAAACAAACTTTGGATGTTTTCCATGTATCAATATCGCTAAGCATTTTTGTAATATAATATACTCGAATAAAATGCAAAAATGTTTCTAATTAATTAAGTGTGAGAATTTCAGTGTTGTATAACAGACGAACGACCACTTTGGACAAACGTTAACTGAAAATCTAATTAGCGAACAAAAATGGATCATTTTTATACTGAAACATCAATCCCAGAAAAAAAATATATTTATTAATCTCAATTTTATTGGTTAATAAATGTTTTCCCAATTTTTAAATATCCATTTTAAGGAGGGAAAATATTTTGATCATATTCTGAAGTGAGCTTGCAAAGTTTCGTACCAAACAACAAACATTTATTGTTTGCAAATTAAAAGAATACCGTGCCTCTCAAATGACGTCGCTGATTGATTAATATATATGAATGCAGAAATTCAATTTTTGAAGCCGGTCTATGGACAAAAATGAGTTATTTTTTGAGTTTAAATAATACGGCTTAAATCTATTTCATTTTTCTGCAATTCAGTAACGAGGTTACACATCTGCCTTGGAAATGGGCAAACGTCCATTTTTTAGGAGGAAAGATTCTTTGTATAATTAAAAAAATGTTATAATCTCATCGCTGATGAAACCGCTGCTTGTGATTTCTTTTTAATTTATTTATTTGACTAGACGAAAATATTTAATAAAAGGTATATTTTAAACTTTTTTTGAAACAAAAGATATTTACACATATGATCTTCCTTAGTGAAAATCGCCAATGACTTAAAATGATGAAAACGTTAACACCAACAAAAAGCTACATAATACAATAAACATTGCTATTAATCATTCTTTCTGTATGTGGCTAAATGCAAGAAAGTGTGAGGGAACAAAATAAAAGGAATAATATTTTAGTAAAAGTTATTTTCCTGATGAAATTAGGCATACCATTAATAAAGCCAAACGGCCCACGTGTAGTTTACCCATGACTGGGTTTAGATAAGAAATTTTGGCCATTTGCGTTCTGAAAGTAATGCCTTCGGTTTATTTCTATGGAAACTTCACCAAATGGACAGAGTAAAATAACACCAATGGATAGAGGAAGTTCTCAGGCACAAAATTCTATTTTTCACATTGTGTATTCATTATTAGCAATGATGAACAAGAGCCTGTACATGGTCACGTGACTTGTCGCATACATCATTATATTCACTAATAAAATGCATTATCCAAGTCTAACTGTGCTTACATTTACCATATGCTCCTTGTAAGAATTCAGGAGGATTAATGAATATCCATGGATGCAAATATTTTCACATGGATACATTTCTGAAGCACTAGACCATTTTCCAGTCTCTTTAGCAATGGATTGTATATATTAGATCCACTTGAGATCTGGAGGGAAGTAGGGGCGTTATTGAAAGTAGAAGTCTTCATCATGACTGGAAAGAATTCGGGATCTGTTTGGTAATAATGAAACGATATTAGTTTGATTTTTAAGGAATTGAAAGTTACAAAACAATTATTTTCTCACTGAGCTGTTAGAAAAGAGATCACCTGTAAGGACCCGATCATCTATATTTTAAGAAATGTGTTCATAAACAATGGTATACTCGGCATAGGTGTTTGTCAATGGTATTCTCGGTGTTTGTCAATGGTATTCTCGGTGTTTGTCATTGGTATTCTCGGTGTTTGCCAATGGTATACTCGGTGTTTGTCATTGGTATTCTCGGTGTTTGCCAATGGTATACTCGGCACATGTGTTTGTCAGTGGTATCCTCGGCATTAGTCTTTGTCAATGGTATTCTCGGTGTTTGCCAATGGTATTCTCGGTGTTTGCCAATGGTATACTCGGCACATGTGTTTGCCAATGGTATACTCGGCCTAGGTGTTTGTCAGTGGTATCCTCGGCATTGGTGTTTGTCAATGGTATTCTCAGTGTTTGCCAATGGTATACTCGGCATAGGTGTTTGTCAATGGTATTCTCGGTATAGGTGTTTGTCAATGGTATTCTCGTTGTTTGCCAATGGTATACTCGGCATAGGTGTTTGTCAATGGTATTCTCGACATAGGTGTTTGCCATTGAATGCTCGACGGCGGATTGTTAATAAAGCGTCAAAGTGATTTGGACCGACGGGAGACTAGTATGTTACATACTTTTTTTTTTAACCATTTCACCGCGTGCAAGACGATGATGTCACTAAGACGCAAGGGTGTGAAATAGAATAAGATGTTAGAATTCAGGAGAAGGATCCGAAAACTCAATCTTAAACAAGAAATAAGGGATAAACTTCTACTCTTGTTTAAAAAACGAAGAAAGCGTGTGAACCTGACAATAAGTGAGCTTTTCTAATGCTATTGGAAAAAAAGAAGAAAAAAGAACACGACAAAAAAATGTAAGAGATGAAAAGGAAAAAATAATGAGTAAATACATTTTCGGAGTTTAGGCGGAGATGTTAGAAGTGTGGAGTTTAAATTTAATGCATTTTTTCGTTTTTATTGCGTGGAAAGGGGGAAAAGACATTACTTGTTTTCAGTGAGAAAATGAAAGAAAGAAAGAAAGAAAGAAAGAAAGAAAGAAGCATTTAACGGCTGTTTCAGTGAAATGGAAAAAGTTGTCAATTTCAAATCTTTTCATTTACTTCTTAAAATAACGACCAACATTCATATTTATGATTGTTATTGCAATATTTTGTTCAAGTTGTTTAACTCAAATGTTTAACGATGCAATAGAGTAATTACTACGGATGTTTTATTGTTGTAGAAATCGCTATGAGTTTGTTCAATCATTGACTTAAGAATTAAGATTCATCAGAATATTAAAATAGTTACACCGTGAAATTTTCACGGGTTAAAGCTAGTATATATGTAACGTCTACGATTCTTGACTAAAACGATAAAAAGGCACGAATATTTTCTCAGCATCTTTTGTAATGGGTTGATGTTCCACATGAAGTCGAAAGTGAACTTGAGACCTTATGGAAAAGCTGCTAGTGAAAGAATGTTAGCTTTGTTTTTGAGGGAGTGAAATTCACAAGCTATTTTATAAACTTATAAGTCATTTGGTAAAAAAAAAAAGAAAAAAGAAAAAGAGAAATTAACTTACCAAGCGAGGCTGCTAGCTTAAACCTTGTCCTGACACGATTCCACGGTATTTTTAATTTCCTTACTATCTTCTTCATCGGACCCGTGTAAAACGTCAGAAGGTATTTGGAAGACTTAAGTTGAAATTCCCACTAAAATGACAAATAATAAATGATTACCTGAAAATCTGACGAGGGACGATGAAAACCTTAACAAAAATGTGTTATTCTTTTTTCTTAAATTTTCATCAAATCCAAGGACAAATATGAAAGACCTCTCTCATCTTCTTCTCTCACTCAGTCAGTTATGTGCCATACGTGATACACACTTAGGCGATCATGTATCTTTTGATACACGACTGACGAGGCAGATTTTTTTCCGCAGTAGGTTGCCATTTCTTTCTGCGGTCGACCAGTTGCCATCCAAGATTATAGAACCCAATCTATTACTTTCTTTACATTTTTTATCCCGTTACCCGTAGGGTCGTAGGGCCATCATATGTACTGCAGCCCAACCCTCTCCAGGTCGGTTTTGAATTCATAGTTTTTTCTTCTTCTAGAATGGTTGCCACCCAAAGTTATAGAACCCAGTCTGACCTGCTATTTATCCATAGATGGGGAGAGAAGAGGATTCATATCTTTCCCAGGGAGATTAGCATGTAAGTGAATGTAATGGATTCCTCAATCCGAGCCGCTATCCATTGCTCCACCGTGCCTTCTCTCATTTTTATTTCATTCCCCAGAACCGCCATTTTCCCCTCAGGCTTACGGCTATATCATATTGAAATACTAGTTCCCGTACGATTACCGCAGTTAAGCAACTTCGAACCTAGATGGGTGACCGTTTTGGAATACCAGGTGCTGTTCTGTATTTTGAGTTATTGAAAGTAACAAGACCATTTCACATTTGAACTGTTACAGTAGATCAGATGTAAGGCTTCAACCATCTTGTTTTTTTTGTTGTTTTAAATATGTGTTCATAAACTAAAATAATATTGATATATGTGTACCAATGATGTGGGAATGTTTCTAGGTAAATTGGGCTTACGGCCATATCACGGTGAAACACTAGTTTTCGTACGACCATCGAAGTTAAGTAACATCGAGCCTGGTCAGTACGAACATGGGTGACTGCTTGGACGCAATGGATTGTTAGAGAATATAAGAAAATAGTATTAAGGAGAGAGAATAATAAAAGAACAAGAATTAAAAAGACAAAAGTTAACGATTGACATTGCATTTAAATTTTTGAAGATCAAAGTTGACTGGGAAACATAAAGCCGGAAATGAGTTCCATAAGCGAGAAGCACGGTAGAAGAAACTCTAGCATAGAACTTACGGTTGCATCTAGCCATTTCAATTATAGAAAGATGAGACCTTACCGCCTATCTAGTACTGCACCTAAATTCATAAAGTCTAGGTACCAAAGAGGAAAGAACAATTACCATAAAAGTATTTACAGAAAAGGCATAGGGGAGATGAGTTACAGTGGTCGAAAAGTGACTAAAGCTGAAATGCCAGGTCAGGAACAATAACACTGAAGATTCTTCTTTGAATTTTATCAAGAATCTCTAAATATATAGCAGAAGCACTGAACCATATGTGACAGTAATATTCAAATCATTGAACGAATAGTAGACATAAATATGTAAGATAGATTCTGGAGAGAAATTGTCTCGTACGTTACGGTAAACCAATTTTCTTAGCTGCAGACCTAGTAATCGTCTTTTTTAATTAATAAAGACTAGCTTGTAGAAATTAATAATGGCTTACCACGTGCTGCCAAGCCCAACTAGCGTTATAACAGTATTGGCACGAACATTGTCCACAATTGACAGTTTTATAAACATCCGGAAATACTGGCCAAGTCACCAAGGCACATGGTCCTTCACAAGGAAATTGAATTGTGTAGCAGATTCCTTGAGTGACTCTCGTAGTTTCGTTGCAACAAATTTCTGTCAATACAAAAATAAAGACACATTTAATGTTATAAGGATGAGATAAATAAACACTGAAATATAAATACCTCCATTAATTTGCTGAAAAATCAGCATAGGATGAGTAAAATAGGCCCCAGATTTAATAAAAACAAAGTTTTATCGTCAAAATGTTTATGCTATTATTAAGAGGAAAGACCGAGGTATTTTTTTATTAATTTTTTTCAATCCTTTTTAGCACGTTCGAAATTTTGGTTAAAAATCTTATTTTTTTTTTGCTTCAGCAGTCGACCGAAGATTTACTATTGGTATTTTAGCGCATTTTCCAGTAAAAAAAAAACAAACAAACACTGATTTGGAAAATCAAATAATTATCAGAATTGAATGAAACTTTCAGAATTTATTTACAAATGAATGGAATTATTTTGGGAAATTTCATTTTTTAGAAATTCTTGTTAAAAATATTTTTTTACATATATTGTCCCCTACCCACGAACTAAATTTCATGAAATTTCGAGAAATTAAATTTTGATTGCAAAATTTATTTTATTAATTAAAAGGAGGACTCCTTGAAGAATGTAAATCATTAATTTTCTTTTTCAAACTGCTACTCATTTTCCGGAAATTTGCTAAAAACTACAATAAAACTGATAGTATTTAATTAGAAAAACTTTTATATATAAGATATATAAAGGACACTAATGTCTTCTGAAGAAAAAACATTTTTCGATGAATAATAAATTTTTACAGGAAATCTTTTCATTTTTTTTATTATAGTAATTTATTATAATTTATATATAAATCTTTTAAAATTCTGCATTACTTTGATTGCGTTAGGTGATGTTGTTATTAAGTGAAAATTATATTTAATAATGAAAAAAAAAATGAAAAGCTTAATACAAATATCACGCACCAAGATTTTTAAAATAATTTTTAATTTTTTTATGCATATTATGTAACGTGCCCATTTTTGAAAGTATGGTTGACCATACACGACACTTAGAAAATAAAAGCGATGACACGTGGTGATATGTGTTTATTCCATAAGGATCAAAACCGGCTGGTAGAGTAGCGTGCTGACTACTGGATTTTAGAGAGATGAGAAAGAACATTGGTGTAATTCATTGAAGGGGTAAACTTAAGTAGATCGAAATTTATGTGCTTCTGCTGTTGAAAAACTGAGCAGCGGTCCAGAATTTATGCCTTTATCGTTTGATGGTTGAAATTGCTAAATAGTTTTCATGCCAGAGAAGTCTCTCTCATTTTTTATATCAGGCACTTCACCTGTTGAAAGCATTGCACAGATTTTTATTTGTTTATATCAGAGTGGGGGGGGGATCCCTCAGCGGGGAATTTCAGCGTTTATGTGGGGAGGAGGGGAAAATCTTACTTTTTCACAAGTTTCTCATTGGCTGTAATTTTCGTTAGAATAAAATCAATTTAAATAGCTTGACATTTTATTGAATATTTTGCTTATTAAACCCTGACATTCTATTGAACTTTTTATTTTATTTTATTGAAGTATGCTTTAATTTATCAATTTAATAATTAGTTATGAATTAAAACAAATAACTGTACTTGTATTTAAGTTTAAGAATCCATCAACTATTCTATCAACATTTCATCAACATTTTCTTTGCTATAAAGTTCTGTAAAATTCCTCTATGAAAAATAAACCATGTGATTTTTTTTTTTGTGATTCTGTAGCGCCAGGCCACAATGTTCAAAGAAGGGTGGTCTTTGCGAAAACCCTTATGCTTCATTCACTCAAAGCATTTTTCACCATTGATCTTAATAAGTGGTTGTATACAGATGACAGTTTAGATATATCTGAACGGGTTTGGGGCCATGCTTGACATCCATATTGAAAGCCTCGATCTGACGAGGCTATTTAAGAACATGACTCGAGTTTTCAGGTTGGTGTTTTGGTTTTGTGGCAATTTGCGGTATTGGGTGAAACTACCTCTGTTCAATTTCTTTTTCTTCTATACTAAATTTGTTATAGCTGATCCATACGCCAAGGTATTTGATGGATCCAGTTTTGGTACTATCAATACTTTCATTGTAATTCCATGGGTTAGTTTCCTCGTATCATCTAGGATACTCCCTAGTTTAGAAAATGATGTTTATTGCATAAAGTGTTTGGAAGACCCTCTGGAGCCATATTCTTACAATAAATATCCATATGTAAATGATAGAAATTATTTTGTCTCCATCATGCCCTGTACATATGCAATTAGATTCATGCTTGTCTCTGGAATGTTCTTGAAACCATCTGTAGACATCTTCAGTCTGCATTATCCTATTGAAATAATCCATCTTTATTGGGGTATATGGAATCAGTAAATGAATGTAGATGATCATGAAACATAGTGGTCATCTCTCAATTATATGTTTAGGCTGACAAGTAAATCGAATTCATGGCATAACCCACACGATTATGGAACCGCTACTAGACTTAACGAAACATTGTTGATATCAACTGGAGTCTGTTGCTTCATTGGGTCTGTGCTACACACTAACCTTACCATCAGCCTCAAATCAATTAGAACTGTGACTCATCGGGCCACATATTTCTAGTTCCTTTGAATCCAATTAGCAACGTATGAGACGCTCTATCCGATGCCGTATTGTTACTATCATGTTGAGATTTGTGGTCCCATATACAATGGAAGTTATGTTTGATTGATTTATTTTTCCAACTTATTAACCCTTTGAGGATTGTTTAAAGTAGAAACGCATTTTTGGATTACAAGAATAATAATTTTTTGCGAGTGAATATAGCATTAACAATCTTTTGAAGATAATGATTTTGTCCAGATAAAATTCCAACTATTTAATCCATAGGTGGGGAAAGAATAGGTGAATTCATACCTTTTCCAAATGCCTCTAAAACCAAATTAGTTACATTCCATCATCGCTGATCGAAGCTTGATCTACCACCAGTCAATGGATATTCCATCAGAGAAGCCTCGTGTCTTGCGTGACACTGGACCTTAAGTAGAACTAAATACGATCCATTGCTAAAGATGCAGGAAAAATGGTCAGTTCCCTGTATTGCTCTAGCAAGTACCCGTCTCCTCGTGTTATCCCCCCCTTTACAAGAGCCAGATCAAGCCTAAAATGAAATATTGCAATCATATTTGGGCAGGAGCTGCACAGTCCTCATTTTCCAGTCTCGATAGAGTCCAGAAACTTCTCCGCGTCCTTGAGGGTGACAAATTGTTTCCATCCTGTAACCCGTCCCTCACAGACAAGATTTAGCAAGCCTCTCGCTGCTCTGTAGCTATTTCCATGGAAAGTGCTCAGACGAACTACACTCCTTACTTCTACAAGTTCCAACCTTCACGGATAAGATCCCCCATGCTACGCATATTGTAGAGAACTCTTATTCTCTTCGTATTCCAGTGAGGAGAAAGAAGCTCTACTGAAGCAGATTATTTCCGCTAACCATTGCTCTGTGAAACCGACTTCCTAGTGATTTTCTCAATCACTGGTTTAAGTCTAGGGTTAACCGTTATTGTCCAACGTATCCGCATAAACCGTGCCACTTATTCTGTAACCCTCTACCTCGAGTTGCTCCCGGGCCTTTTACATGGAGAAACAAAAGAGGAGTATTTGCGTGTAGGTGAATATAACTGACTAGACTATAATTTTATTCTGATGGAACGCTGAAGTGACCTAATGAACATGAGAATGATGCCCTCCAGCATTGAACTTGAATGTGATTTGAGCCTGCGCTGCCAGTCAACCCCTGTCATGATCATTACAAGGCACTGACTGTCCACGGTGAGAAGTAATACTTTCTAGAACACACATGAAGCCATAGATAGAGGGTTGACAACTCATTTGACGTCTACTGCGTCGAAAGAAAGAAAGAAAAAATGTTCTTCCATTGATCCTGTTAATGGAAACTTTTACTTACTTAAACTATATATTTATATAATACGTAAAGTTTTACTTACCTGGGGATTTTGTCTTGAATGCAAGTTTCATATTTTGTTCCTTCCAGTATATATACCACATGTTTGTCTTATTTGGAGGGAATTCGATATAAGGCACGAAGCTTCCGTGGATACTTTGGTTACTGATTATATCATATTCTTGGCCGGGTTTAAGAAATGTCATATTGATTAGAGTTTTACACCCATAATCTTGAATTATAGATGAATTTTCTGGAAAACAATTAGGAAATGTAAAATTTATTAAACCAGAACGTTCCAAAAATAATTTGTGATATAAAAGTCTAGCTCGTCATCTTAGCTATTCAAATGTGGGAGACATAATATAAAATATATGTAAAAAGAGTATTTAAATTTCACTGTTCTCCGTGACTAAAAGTTTCATGAGGACGTAAAGGGGGTAAATGTCACGGTTACGCCGGCGATAAAACGTGATATAATACTCATAAAATATTATATTTTGTTATATAACATTTTTATCGCATTCAAAACCTCACACATTTTCGTAACGGAGAATTGAAGTGTCCCACTTGTCAAGTCATTTGAAAACAATTGTTTTAAAGGAATTTCGTCTTACCTTTCAATATAAATGAAACATTGAATGTTGCTGCACTATCATACAGGCCAGAAAACATTGCAGTAATGTAGAGATTAAAATATCCACTGGTTGTTAAGTTTTTTACATACACAACATTCTTTTTCATCCAAAAGTTTGCTGAAACGAAAAAAAGGATTATATGAAAACTAGATTCTTGAATAACATGAACTGTAATTAATTAGGATGAATACAAAATGAAAAGAAAAATAATGGCAAATTCAGCTTACGTCAACATAGAACATTATATATGTTTATACCAACGACATCCCATACTTGATACTTCTCGTTCTCACTCTCGCGTGGTCATGTGTGACATCACGAGCTGCGATGCGGTTTTCGCTTCTGTGTCTCGTATACACGAGTTTGTCGTTGTTTTGAAATTTTTCATGTAACAAAAACAGACTCATTATTGTTGATATATTCAAATGTAATTGTCATCTTTGATAATGGCTTACGTAAGACGAAATCTTAGATAGGATTAAAACATGTATCAATATGGTGATTTCCTTTCGTCTTTCAATGATAATGTTATTAAACTTATCAGACAATATGAAAGGAACTTACTTAAAATAAATAGACGAAACTTGTCTATATTATTTAATGAAACATGTATCAATATATATATATATATATATATATATATAGCCTGACGTGCTCTTAACCGATCGAGCCACAGAGGATCGCTCGATTAGCAAGGTCGAATTTACTGCAATTAAACTCCAATCTTCCATGAATCTCTCACGTACATTCATATCTGCTCAAAGCGTATCCAAATGTAAACAAATGACGTCACACATTATGAAATGGACGATGTCCGACAATTATTTTAAGACATTTTTATGTTTATACATTCTTTTTATAGACACAAATATTTAAGTAAATGCTCTGTTTTTATAATAATAATTAAGAGCAACTCATGGAAGATTGAAATTTAAAGGCATTAAATTCGACCTTGCTAATCGAACGATCCTCTGTGGCTCGATCTGTTAAGAGCACGTCAGGCTAAATGACGGTTCCGTATAGGATACAGGACCGAATCCTGTCGGAGGACGAATATTTTCCATGAAAATTTTTTGGACATTCAGACCGGTAAATGTTATAAATATTGTTTATTATAAAAACAGAGCATTTACGTAAATATTTGTATCTATAGAAAAAATGCATAAACATAAAAAAATGTCTTAAAATAATTGTCGGACTTTGTCCATTTCATAATGTGTGACGTCATATATATATATATATATATATATATATATATATATATTGTCGTGTTGTTGGTTTTTGATAAAACATTCTAGATTATGCTTAATGCCAAACAAAGCGAAAATGTTTAACCACTCCCCACCCACACCGACTGACTCCCTGCTCTGGCTTTAATATTACCTGCTGACTGTGATTAACTTGTCATTCTACAGAGGTTTTATGATCAAAGACATGAAATATTTACGTGTACGTAAGTCATATTTCTTGATTAGACGTTAAATTACACTAGTTACCCACTTCAAGACTGGTCATAACATTTTTAATCGTTATCACCCCAAACAAGCCAATAAATCCACTAAGACACAAAGGGTCACAGGGCATGGAAGAATTATTTAAAGGAAACATTAGTAAAGATTAGAAAGAGAAAAGAATAATCAGAAGGACAGTAGATAGCGATTGACGTTGCATTTTCATTTTTTCAGATTAAAGTTGGCCGGAGTGCATGGAGCCGGAAGGGAGATCTACGAGCGAGAAGTACGAGAAAAAAAAAACTATTAGCATAGAACTTACGCTTACAGAGAAAGGCGAATTTTTACGCATTTATTTTTTCGTAAACACACACCAGTCACTCAAAGAACTCAATCGCTAGGAGAGTCTTGTATTATCAGCAGCAATAGTGACTATTTACAAAGTCGCTACTCCCCACAGTGCTCGACTGATTAAATTATTTTATCGAGAGCTAATATGGATTAAACTGAATTATTTTATCGAGAGTTAATATATATATACGTGTGTTCATTATATATATATATATATATATATATATATATATATATATATATATATATTCAAGTATTGCCATATCGTGGGTTTGGTAATGCTTGTATAGGAATGATAAATTTATTCTCCATCAACCATTCTGATATCTTATTTCGTCATTTTCAGAGAACATGGCAAAATCTGGTTACAGAAACTTACTCAATCAAATGTTTAGTCAACCAATTCGCAAAATTTGTTGGCAAACATTTTTAAATATTACTTTTAATCATTTAGCTGTTTATGGTAACTTTATATCGTTTATATTCCTGTGAACGTCTTTCTTCTTATGAACCAATACTTACCAAAATAAACTTTTACCATCTGTCTTTGTTATGTAAATTGTAATATTAATTGTTTCCATATAAGGAAACATTTGATATTCATTAACCGAGCAGCCAGGTGGTTGACATTTATAAAATCTTTTCTCTTAAACCAATTAAATAGGTTTCTCAAGTCCAGTAGCTGTTATCGCTCTTTCAAGTATTGATCGGGTTAGGGGGGGGTACTTTTTTCTGAACGTTTTGTTTGAAGAGGTGGGGAATGTTAACTTCGAGTTACATGCGCTATTCATTTTAGTTGTTGCTGCTTTTGAAAATCTCCAAGTGATGTGGTTTCTGTTATCAGTCATTGGAGAGCTGAAATGTATGTTTTTCTAACCTCTAGTCATACTGATCAATTTAAAACAGTAACATAAGATTCTTCTAGAGTGTCCTATTCAGTGATACCGGACAGTGTCAAAATTAATTTACTATATATATATATATATATATATATATATATATATATATATAGAGAGAGAGAGAGAGAGAGAGAGAGAAATTAATTTAAATATTAGTAAATAAATTTAAATATATATGTGTGTGTGTGTAAAATGCGCGTATATATTATGCAATTTATATATATGTTATTCATATATTATATATGCGTGGTACTTATTGGAAAGCGCTCAATATCAATGATAGAGCTAACATATTTAGTTGGATTGATGTAAGTTTGTGACCCTGGGTTTCACGCTACTTGCGATCATCAGACAAAGTGATTAATTTTTAAATTTTGGATTTATTTATGATTGCGTATATCGGTATTTTATGGTACTGGGACGGAAAATCGTTGTCGGAACGCCACTCATACGTAAGCAGATATACATATACGCACGTTCACACATTGCAGCTAACACAAGCATAAGCATATATGAACAGTGTGGGACTGTGTGTATAAGCGAATCCATGTGTCGTTGCGTGCATGCGTACGGAATTGGTCGCTGTCTTCAATGTTGGATTTTGTAGCGAACATCTTTCGCAAAATATAAATGAATGGCAACCTTCTATCATAATTATGAAACAAATATAACTTGTTCAAATTTTTATAAGCTAAGGAGAGGGTAGATAGATAATCAAAAATATAGCTAATTGTAATATATATTTTGGAGTTGATAATAAAAAAGCCTCTGTAAGAAACCAGTACATGAAACTTGAGTGTTTAAAAAAATAATGAGTAACATTTATATAAGATGTTGATAATGCCGACTAATCAGCAATACATATGAAATTCAAATAAACAAATAAAATAATCATTCATAGAAGGTACACCGCTAATTATGACCATATGAAATAGTACTACCAAATTCAAAGTTTAACCATACTGTAAGGTGAAAAGTAAATTATTCCTACAATTTACAATTAATTCACTTCTTCAGTTTAATAGAGAATTTTTATCAACAAATCTAATAATTTTTAATTTCTCGTGTGAGCATAAGAAGCAAGGTTCATTTAATGATTTAGATGTTCGAGATGTTTTTTAAAACTTTCCATTTAATCGTGGGAGTTTTATTAACCTCTTTTAAATTCCAAAAGTATTTGGAAGGAGATATTCTATTTGAGAACTAATACAACTCGTTCCGCTAAGCTTACAAATGTTGAAATACATCACTGATGAATTGAAAGATTTTTTTTTTTTTTTCATTTTGCCTGAAGATTTTGTCCGTTGAATCCGAAGTCCGTTGATGAGAGGTTTATCTGTATATTTATTTTGTAGCCACACACACACACACACACACACACACACACACACACACACACACACACACACTCGAATAAAAGTAAAAACGAACGGTAATAATAATAATTGGGAATAAGCATTATTACCGTTCGTTTTTACTTTTAATTTTAAAATTTCAGATGGATTCTAATGTATTTTAATTTTAAAATATCTTCGTAAATACAAATCATACGATAATATTTTTTTACAAAAAGCTGGCTTAGATGATACTAAGTTTGTATATATATATATATATATATATATATATATATATATATATATTTACTTTGTCGTTTTTAATGCAGTTTTTTAGTATTAGCCGGACGAGCACGCGCACGCACGCACACACACACATACAGACAACTGCCTTTTATATATGTATAGATATATACATATTAAAGAGGCCTTTCCCTCTGAATTTTAACTTCTCACTCATTTAGTTACATTTTCTGAAGTGTATTGAAACAAGATCTTTTCATCACCCCCTCGTAACACTATATCTATATATAATAACACCAGTTGGGTATTTATGGCGGAGAATGCTTTTAAGGCAAGCAGTGTTTGTAATTAAAGTGTTCAATATTCAGGCGTAGATCATTAAGTGGAACCAAAAAAAAAAAATGAAATGAACTGCAACCGCTGTTTCTATTCTAGTAGTTTCTTTTTTCGCACATCTCGCCTGTGGAATTCCCTTCCCATTTCTTGCTATCCTTTCTCCTCGCTAAATTATTCCCATTCTTTTTCACTTCCAGTTACTCTCTTCGTCCTAGTAACATATTCGCCTTGCTTAGAGTGAAAAGATTAAAAAAAAAAGTTCAACTTATCTTTCGCAATTCGGAGTTTCGCGGATATGGTATCCACTCATCAAGGAGTCTGATAGTATAATTGAATTTAATTACACGAATCATATTAAAAATCATTTACTTTCTTTATATTCTAGTGTTTCTTTTCTTGCAGTTCTCGCCTGTGTAATTCCTTTCTGATTTCTTACTTCCCCGTCAACTACAATCTTCAAAATTTTAAATGCTATATAAATCACCATCTTCTGCCTTCATGGAACCTATTCTTTTGTTGCCTTTTCTCTTCACTTCTCTTCACTAAAGTCTTCTCATTATCTTCGCGTCTTAATGACATTATCGCCTTGTTTATGTTGTAATGATTAAAAGAAAATTGTTTCTATATTAATTCTGACCGTCCCCAATGCGCCCACTGAGCAACTTATCCCTCAAAACGAACATGGAAGAAAATCCTAATATCAAATACATTAGGAAATACAAGACTCATATAATAAGAGCGGAAGTTTCTAACTAGTAATGAAATCAAACTAGCCAGGTTCACACTCCTCCTTGGTCTTTTGAATAGGTATTGAGGTTTATCCCTTGTTTCCTGTTTAGGATTTGTTTTCCGGTTCATTCTAAAGTCTTTTCGTTTTATTCCATTCCCAGTAACTCCTTGCCGCTCAGTGGCATTGTCGCCTTGCTTGGTGATTAAAAAAAAAATGTCTCATGAAATTAAATCGATACAATTAAGAGAATATTTTTAAAAATATTAAAATACTCACAGTCAGAAATATTGTAAATAATCGGCCTTCGTATAGCATTGAAACAATTCAGATAAAACAAAGGGTCATTCAGATACACCCGGCGAGGAAAGATGGGGCGGCATTTGAGAGGATCATACCAAGTAATTTCGTACTCATCCAATGAAGTGTTGTTAACAAACTGAAAAACAAAAGAAAATATATTCTGAAGATACAAATATCAATATTCGCTATATTTTGTTTGTATAGCGATTTACTAAGCGTAGCTTAGATGTGACACAAGGTCGAAAGTATGACGCAATTAATGAGGATCGTACTTACTACTTAATTGTATTAACGAGACAAGCTTATTAATTATTATACCACGCGATCATAATTTATTTGCATATTTCTCTCATGTAACATATTTTGTGTAATTTGATTGTACATTTTCAATCATTTTTTAATGTAATATTTTATATAAGAATTTAGCATTTATTTGTGAATTTAAATAGTTTACTTTTCTATCTTATGATACATTCAGGTGTTCGGAAAATAGTTATGCGTTTTGCCACTATTAATTATGAGTTAAGGAATCAAGTTAGAGCCAAGGCTGAATGGTAAGAAACTGTATCTAGAATTAATCTACCATCGTTTCTCTTAGGGTGTTCAGAAAGCAATTACATATTTCAACACTATGAATTATGTGTCAACCCATTAAACCAGAATCAAAGCTGGATGGTAGGAAACTGCCTCTCGAATTAACCTATCATCGTTTCTGTTCAGCATTTTGTCGCTAAAAGAGTATTCTGGAGTTTAATTGAGAAAAATGAGAAAAACAGAAATCATGGTATCTGAACACAATATTTCACCATTTGTCGCTGCTAACCTTTCATTTTTTGCATCTCATTATTAAAGGTGATGACAAATGGGTTTTGCGTGTCAAGAGAAAGTGAAAAAGACAATGGTTATTACAAAATGAGAAACTAGTGCCAACCAAACCAAAACCAGGATTCCATCAGCAGAAGTCCATGATTTGTCTCTGGTGGGATATGAAAGGTATCATCTTTGTAACATGGAAGAACTATCATGATATACGTTTATTGCCAGTAATCGTGCAAAAAAGTATTACATCGAAAGTGTTCTGATTTGACAAACAGAAAAGATGTTATTCCCCATCAAGGGCACGTTATAGGCGCGTGGCCGAGTGGTTCGCTTTCTGACCACGAGACCCGGATTTGAATCTCACCATGGTCGATTTGTCGATGTTGATGTTATCGGTCTGGGGAGGCGATTCTGGCGTGCGGCAACTTTAGAAATTGCTTGAAAACCACACCATGGCTTGAGCCAATCCTTTAAGTGAAATGGTGTCGACGGAACTATCTGAGACCCGTCGATGGTTGTGCTAACACTAAGTCACAAGTCATCGTAACCGAAGGTTTGAGCGTACTGACCTTGATCACGCCAAATGAGCTCTTCTCTCCCAGAAGCTATAACTAAGGTTCGCTCAGCATAGTTGCAGTATAAACTACAGGTGACTGTTGAACTAACATAAGTGTGTCTGAGCAGGCGTCTGCAACAGGGATTGGATAGCCACCCTAGTAGACAGGCATCCTCGAATACGAGCGACCATTATTATTATTATTATTATTATTATTATTATACAAAGGCATACTCCGAAAAACAAACCCAAAGAAAAATAATAAGAGAGTCAGTTTCGGAATCTTCCACATCTTCCGTTCTCACCACATTAGGAAGTACAGATTTTTGTTTAGATCGCTAGAAAATTTCAGAAGTGGTACAACATTTGAAAACTTTTTCGAGGAAAAACCTTGATTTCTTTGCCGTGTCCTTTCAGGACTTTGGTGATCATTTCTTTTCCACATTTTCATTTGTAGCTTTTGCCATGTTTTGTCCTTATTTTTCATCTCTCGTAAACCCTGTTTTGCCAACAATTTACACAAACTTGTTAGCTAAAGTTATGTGCTACTTTCGTGTGTCCCCCTGGCATTCAGTATGTTATGTGGGTGTCAAATTTTTCAAGCCCTCTTTTTGTTCATTACAACTGTTTCTTTCTGATGTTAAGAATAAGTGACCTTTTTGTTCCCATTTTCTCTCAAACTTCGTCGTTACTCACATATTCGGTTCATGGCATTCTCAGCATCCTTCTGTAGAACCACATTCTGAAGGAGATTACTATTTAAAAATTAACTTACATTTGTTTTTATATCTTTTCTGGTAGAACGCAATTACTTTCCGATCATCATAGCATACATTTATCATTCTTTACAAACTTTATCATAATTTGTTTATATATATATATATATATATATATATATATATATATATATATATATATATATATATATATATATAATTTCTTTATCATTCATTTATTATTATGTGTGTGTGTGTGTGTTTGTATCAAAATTCTTTTTAAAGCTTTGGGGGGGTTCTTCGCATCAAAACAAGGTAAATGTCCATATAAACATATGTTCAGCAGACCGTCAATGTTCAAAATGCCCTCGCTTTCTTCTACACACGCATTTCACGGGCGGGATCATTGACTGGCGGACATTTTCAAATACTCCCACACGTTAATGAAGAGTCTCAGCATTAGCAATGTCTGCTGCAAGAACCAATTGTTTAGGCGGCCCCACAGATGAAAATCCAAAGGATTGAAGTCGGATGAACATGCAGGCCATGGAATCGGTCCTCCCTGCCTATCCATGGTAGATGTCAGCCAGTGCATCGCAAACAATGTGACTAAAATTTGCTGGATCCCCAATCATGCACGAACAACATGCGTCTTCTTATTAGCAATGGTACATCGTCTAGCATGCATGGAAGTGTATTCGAAATAAAGTCCTTGTAGACAGCTCCTGTAAGATGTTCTGAGAGAACATATGTACCAACCATACAGTCACCTACAATTACAACTCGCACATTAATCGTAAACTGAAGCTGCAGTCTAGCCTGTATTGTACCATGGGGGATTTTATCGCCTCTCAAATGTTGGTTGTTTAAATTTGTTATTCCATCTCTTCTAAATGTTGCCTTATCCGTTAACAAAACTGAAGAGACAAACAACGAATCGGCAGTTTGGGTGATAATCCATCGGCAAAAGCTATGCCATGGTGAGTGATCAGAGGGTGAAAGACCCTGCACAAGTTGCAAATGATACAGGTGCCACGGATCCTGTGTCAGCAACGCGTCGATAAACAGCAGCAAAGTTTGGATGACTCAGATATTTTATGTTTGGAAATGCAATCGGATACAGCCGCGTAGCCTCGCATCCATTACCATCCGCGGCGGTATGTAAAATCATATCAACTTGCTCACGATATGAATATCCTACCATTGTTAAACGGAACACTTCTCAGTTAATTCACTACTACACACGTTAAACGTTGAAAACAGACTAGCCACTGTACACGAATAACAAATGCAACCTAGATTAGATGGAAAGACAACACCATCTACCGTAAACTTTAAACTTAATAATTAGAAAATGAAGGATTTGCGGACATGTTTATATGGACTTTTGTCCTTATTTTGATTATATTGGATTAAATAATATTTATGTTGGTCACACCACAAACTCGCTTTCTACATTTGAATAATAACTCAAACATTTTAGACATTTAAAACAACAGGCCTGGCCGCATACACAATTCCAGAAAATCCTTGTGGAAAACACAACTCTACTTAAACATGAAAACAATAAACAAAAACTAAAAATTCTTGAAGCTATATACATAAAACAGTTGAAACCTAACCTGAACAAAATAAACTATGAAAACTCCACAAATATCCTTAAATGTCAATAATTGATAACAGAAGCCATTGGTTTATACCAACGGCTTTCCATACTTAACACTTCTCGTTTTCACTCTCGCGTAATCATGTATGATGTCATGAGCTGCGGTGCGATTTTCGCTTCCAGCGTCTCGTATGCACGATTTTGTCGTTGCTTGGAAATCTTACATGCACATAAAAACAGACTATAATTATTGCCATGTCCGTGTATTGTTTAATATATTGTAATGTTATTGTCATCTTTGATAATGGTTTATGTAAGCCGAAAGCTTAGATAGGATTAAAAAAACATGTATCAATATGGTGATTTTCTTTCGTCTTTCAATGTTATTAAGCTTACCACACGATATGAAAGGGAATTTGCATAAAATAGACAAAACTTGTCTATATTATTTAATGAAACATGCATTAATATATATATATATATATATATATATATATATATATATATATATATCTATATATATATTCTAGTCTATGTTCAGTTGTTTATTAATATCACACAACAATAGCAAAAATATGTAGAATGGACGCACATGTACATCATATTTAATTATATTAAATAATTATATATATATATATATATATATATATATATATATATATATATATATATATATATATATTCTATAATTCCATGCGATTCAGTTGTTTATTAATATCATAAAAATATATATATAGAATGAACGCATGTACATCACATTTAATATTTTCAAGTAATATTTTGAAATGTTCAATCTTTTTCTTTGTGAAAATGTAAACATATATATACCGTATTGTGAGTAAAATACAATTTGAATTGTCCATTCTCTGGAATTTTGATGCCTTGCTTTGAAGAAATGGTGGCGGCTGAATTATTATAACTCAATGTTAGGTGTTTTTCGAAAATGCTGCCCAAAGGAATTGGAAGAGGCGCTGTAAAAGAAAGAACGAATACTAAAAATGAATTTACAAATTGATGCTTGTTTACCTAAAAGAATATAAATAGCAATATTATTCGACTAATTCTTCGGATTAGTACTCCTATTATGTATCAGTAGCTGTAGTGTAATGTATATCGGTTCGGAATGGCAAATTGGAGAGCCGAGTTAAAATTTCAGTCGAGTTCGTTACATTCAGTTAAGCAACTGAAAAAGGTATGGTTCCATCTCTTCCTACCCCACCTATGGATTAAATAACATGACAGATTGGGTTCTATAGCCTTGGTTGGCAAACAGTCAACCGCCAAAAGAAAACCTACCGCGGGAAAATCTTCTGCCCGGTCAGTCATGAATCGAAAGAGACATGATCGCCTAAGCGTGTATCACGTAAGTGGACTTAACTGACGCACTGAGTGAATATTTCACGGTTTTCCTGATTGAATTTTGTTTTCTTTCTTGTTTTTCTCACTGAAACCAAACCAAAAGGTGTTCTCTGATATGTGTTTTCCGTCTTTACACGCGATCAAAACGGAATATTCCATTATTTACGAGGTATGGACAAGACGTAACGTGCGTCCGTACTAAGTAAGCAAGCAAAGGAGGAGCAAGAAGAATTACTATAAATCATATCACAGGAAGACTGAGAAAATCAATTGTAGACACACAGTAAAAAGCATTAAGATGTGCCATTACGGACTTCCGGTATGACAGGAATACAGGAACCCCTCAATTAGTTCAGCAAATGTGTACATTAAAAGATACGTACAAATAAAAAGCGCATTAATCGAATATAATAAATCATATGAAATGTAATTTGTACATCAAATTTTAGTCTCATTCCCAATTAATTTCTAATTTGCATACTTTTTAATTAAAATTTAGATATATATAAGAAGATACAATAAAAATGCTATGAATCTATTAATCTGATTTTTTATGAAAAACTTACAGTGGTTTGTTCTTCATATAATTAGCTTAGAAATTAAATTTTTATCGATGTTATTTCAAATATCTATAATTTCTTCTTTTCATTCATCAATATTTTGAAAGTCTTTGCCTTCGATTTTTCTTTTCATTAAATTCCATACATTTTCAATCGGATTTAAATGTGACACCTAAAATATAAGTTTTTTTAAAAATTTATTTTATTTTTAAATAAACCCTATATCATAGACATTTTCTATTTCTGGAAAATTTCCAAATATATCATAATCATTAGTATTTTAGCATGAAAATTTTATTTATAATCTTTCCATAGTAAAAACATACATCTTTTATATTTTGATATTTTTTAATAAATGTAAATTTCTGCACCTAATTAAATCGTCCATTTTTTTTTAATAAAAAATCAGAAATTTCTTTTTAAGACCTTCAAAATAAAAAGGAGAAGAAGAAAAAGATACTAAAATTCATTTTCAGTTTCTACCTTAAACCCAACTGAATCTGAATATAGACATAATGGTGACAAAATTCCAGCATCCTAAGATATGTCAACATTATAACCACCCCAGGCAAAAAAATGGTATGAATATAAACCATCACCAAAAGTGCTAAAAAGGTGAGAATGTTACAGTTTTTATGTAGTGACTGCACCATGCATACCAACTGCATTATACAAGACAATAGAACAGATGTAATAATAAAAGACTTTGACAATGATACGTGCTATCTTTTTTAAATGGCCATTTCGTCTGACAAAGACGTCTCAGCAAAAATATCTGACAAACCTTCCAAATATAAAGACCTAGAAATAGAAATTGTAAGAATGTAACATTTAAACGCAACTATTCCAATAATAATGAATGATCAAAAAGAATACTGATGCATAAATTAAGGAAATTACAGTCTCCCCCCCCCTATCTGAGATACAAAAGATTTTGGCTAAGAACACCCCTGACATACTCCGAAAAAAAAATCACCCAATGAAATATACTCAATATCTTTTACGAAAAACCCCCCTTTACCTGAAATCACAGGTAAAAATCCCTGAAAAGGATTCTATCAAACTGTAAATCGGAAAGACTGCTACTCCTAATACTACTACTACTAATAATAATAATAGCAATAATACACTATTCCCATTGTTCGGACTATCATCCTCATCTTTCTTGCCAAATAATGTACATAATACCTCATCTCAGAAATATAGACAGATAACAATAATAATATGTAAGAAGAATGAATTTGACGTCGATGTGAAATGGTACCGCCACAGGCAAGAGAAAGGGATCGAACACGACCAAGGCAAGATCTAGTGCGATTTTAACTTCTAAACAGACTGTATCCTTGAGACTACAAAGTAGATTACTATTGCCGAGAAGAAAATAAGAAAACACCTCCTCATAGGCGTAGTTGTTCTTGGTTTTATATCAAATAGAAAGAAATTGGCAAGCCTAAGAAATGCCACGACTTACGAATTGAATTTGCTAGAAATAGGAGTCGTTTCGGCCATTATTGTCCCAGTTATTATTGGGGCGTTAACAATTTTTACCCTTGAACACAGAACCTAACACCGCGAAAATTAAAATAAAACTGAGTATCCTATCGCTTCAGAAGTTTGTGTTGCTTGGCATTACAAAAACATTATATGAAACACTTTTTCTCTAAGATTGGACGACTTGTTCTAGAGAACACACGGCCATAATACAATATCTCGGTTTGAAAACTAATCAGAAAAAGAAGAAAAAACATGCGAAAGAAAATCATTTTGATAACACGGACGTAACGTAAATATAAATTATAAATGTCATATCATGAAATATTATTGATAAACATTTAATTTATAAAAATTATGAAGAATTCTTGTTTATGTGAAGATAATTGAAGAGTGTCTGTCTGCTGGTGTACTTGTTTGTTTTATCTATATTTGTGTTAGAGCCGTTTGATATTGTAGAATTTTAAACGGCTCTATTACCGGTAGAGATAAGACAAATAAGGACAGAGTCAGACAGTCACCCTCCAAATTTGGAAATTAGAAGGTGATAAGCTAGGGTAATTAATTACATTTATGATACCCACTAATCCTCAGAGATCCAAAGGTATCTTCCTCACACACAGTTTTGTATTTCTTTCATTTAAACTGAGGAAACCAATGAGAAAAACATACGCTTCTCCGGTGAAACGCGTCTTTCATAAAAAATTTTCCACTTTCTCTCATTCTCTTTACTTTCGTTTTGGGTAGTATTATACAGGAATCCCTCGATTAGTGCGGCTGATGTGTACATCAGGAACTATAAAACAATCAATTTTCAATTACTATGATTAACCCGAAAAATATTTTACCGCACTAATCAAGTATTATGCATACACTAATCGAATTTTGGTGTGTAAATGTTTTAGTGCATTAATCGAGATATGTCTATACTTTCCTACAAACATACACTGGTGTTCATATAATAATTCATTAATGTCATGTCGAACCGATGAAGTTTAAATCTAAATACTGCATATATAATAATTTGAATTATTTTTTAACTATATATATATATATATATATATATTAAAAAAAGAGATTAACCGAAAACGTTTTAGGTTATAATGTGGATTTGTTTTAGTGTATATATTATATTTTATTCTTCATATTTTTACTACACGGGTTTCCGGTCTTGTGACCTTCTTCCGGCAAATTAAAGGAATCAATTTTAAAGAACCTTATGTTCTTTTAATGCTTCATTGTTCATTTTCTGTATTTGTAGTGAGCATTCATCTCATTTGTGGACTGTTGGCAAAAGTGTATTTCTGTCTAAGTGGTAATAAAATCATTAGGTTTGGTCTCAGCGGTGGCGATGACAGATGTGTTGATGATAGATACCCCTATGGGGTTTCTCCTTTTTAATATATATATATATATATATATATATATATATATATATATATATATATATATATATATATATATATATAGTGTATTTAGGAAGAAAATGTACTTTAAGACGTTTTTTTGGTCTATTAATTTTAAGGAGATTCCAGTCATTTCAGTCAGTTTAAGAGATATTTACTTTGGATATGTCTTAAAAAGAACGAAGAGGAAGAATGTACATTTTAATTCAAATAAAAATTAAACAACAAATATAACGAGGAAATGTTTCCAAAATCTAAAATTTTTGCCAATCTTGAGCATGCATTTAAAATGTAAATTTTTCGAACCTAAGTTAGTTTCATCTTGAGGCCGTAAACCTTGGTAAAACACACAACGGTCGACACGGAATTTTATTAATAATTTTAATATATTAGATCATTACAAATGTTCGTGCAAAGTAAACGACCCTTAAAAATGATTGGTAATGTTTTAAAATTAGTGTTTAGTTTAGAATATAATTATATTTTTGTCCCATTATTGCTGTGTAGTTAAATTACTGATAGAAAAAGACAACAGTATCCAGTATTTTTATAATTTTCAGTAAAATTGATAAAAAGTATTTTAAATTTCATTAAGTTCCATCCACCTTGTAAAACTGTATGTTCGTAAAGTTTACTCACACGAAAATCTGGTAAAAAGTGGAAAAGTAAAATTTGAACGGAGCGCCCAGCGTCGTATTGTTTTGACAATTGTATTTTTAGTAATTTTGTTCTGAAAAATAGTCAATCGATATGGTGATGATTTCATGGGGATATACATCTGAAAAAAAGAGAGAAAAAAAAAACAAAATAATTTCCATCGTATTATCATTCGGCATGTTCCTTAGTAGCTTAGTTAGATAGCACGTATGTTACACTGTAAAAGAAGCTAATCACGTGAGAAGTAGTAAAACAAGTGGTTAAATGCAAGTGAATCACCAAAACAATACCCAAAACTTCTACTGCTCCCTAAAAAGATAATGGTTACTGTATGGTGGTCTTTCAAATTGGTTATTCATTATTCATTCTTGTGTCAAAGGAAAAGAAAATAACAGCAGAGCCTCGTATTGTGTAGAAATTGAGTATATACACGAAAAATTGAAAAAAAGAAACATCCTAGACTTGTGAATAGGGATGGCCCAATTTTTCTACACGACAACGTACGGCCGAACGCTTTTCAAATAACTGTCCAAAAGTTGCATAGCCTAAATTATTAAATTTTGCCTCATGCTCCATATTCACCTGATATCTCTTCTACTGATTATCACTTAATTAAGCATTTTGAGCATTTTATACGCAATAAAACATTCCCCAATAAGGAAGAATTAATCAAAGCATTTGAACTGTTTATCACATCAAAGGACGAGAATATTTTTAAAGATGGAATCAAAAATTTAGAGGTACGTTGGAGAAGTCATTTATCAGCATGGTGCCTATTTCAACTAAATAAATTAATTATTTAACATTCCAGAAGCGTTTTATTCATTTCCTATAAAGTGCGTCATTTTTTGTGTGACAACCTAATAATTAGGATGACACATTCGTCATTACATTTGGTTTCTCGAAATATGAATTATTTATGATTCAACCTCAAGCCTTGAAAAAGAATGCAATGGAAGGGCAAGTAATATCAATAATGCAGAGTCACCTGCATTCATATCAATGATAAATACTGCAATATTTTGTGAAAGTTTAAATATTTAATGATGTAATGGGGAATTTCCACTGGTATTTTATATTTGTAGAACTTGGAATAATTCAGCCATTAAGCTTTTAGGAGAAAATGCTACCGGCATATTCTAGATTCCACAGGCAAGACAGTCGGTACTTTATATATATATATATATATATATATATATATATATATATATATATATATAGTAGAGCAAGTATAATTATTTATTCGAAAATTATAACATAAATATGTTATAAAATCACTACAAAAATAGCCATTTGATTTCACACTTCTAGTGTCTTAACAAATGATGATGTTGAATTTAGAATGTACATTCAATAAATCATATTTAAGACACCAAAACGAATAAATAATATATATATATATATATATATATATATATATATATATATATATATAGAGAGAGAGAGAGAGAGAGAGAGAGAGAGAGACTGTTTGTTGTTTCATGGCTCATCAGTGTAGCAAGACATCCGATTTGCTTTAAGCCGAGATCAAAACCCGACCGATCTGGCATCACTCAGATATCCTACCTCTAAGCTATCGGCGCACGATAGAGAAAGGGAAAATGTAAAATATTATGTAAGGATGTGTACAAACGTCAGCATCCAGAGTGCTCAATTCATTAATGAAGAGCGATTCGTTCATAGCAGCGGATATATATATATATATATATATATATATATATATATAAACACACACACACGCGCGAGCGCACACACACACACACACACGCACACACACATACACACGCACACACACACATATTATGTGTATTTAAGCAACAAATGTTCCTTAAGACAAATATTATGACAAACAACAGATATTTTGTGTAGATTAATTTTAATGATCGACTTTTCCTAATTACGAATAATCCAGCTAAATGAGGAAATTCCGTCAGATATTGTCCACAAATCATTTTGCAAGAAAAGTTTGGATAGTTTCTGACAATATTTTCTCATTGTCTGAGAGGATTATTCGTAATTTGGAAAATTCAATCATTGAAATTAATCGAAACAAAATGCCTTTTTTTTCATATTTCCACACACACACACACTGCTTTTTTATTCCAATTGTAATAGATTTTCTTAATCGTTGGCGCTATGTATTCATTATATACTTTACATTTTAAGGATACTTAATCGCAGCTTTCATTATGTCCGATTTTATAGTAAAAATATTAGTAGGTAAGTAAATAAAATACGGCTTACTTCTTCATATCTTGGACTGCCTGTGAAACAATAAGAGCATTCACAGCCGCTACATTTAGAGAACTTGTAAAAGTATTTCGAATTCGGCCAAGCTGAAACTGCGCATGCATCGGGACATGTCAAATTCAATTTATAACAGAGATTTTGAAGATAAGTCTTTGAGGAGAAATCACAACAAACGTCTGAAAATAGAGAATAAATAAAAATCATGAATGCCATTCGTACAAAAGAATTTTAAATACGGAACAGGTAACACAGAAATTGGATGACGCATAGGGAAATAGTCAAGTAAATGATGAAAAAGAGAATTGACGCAATAGAGATGTGGTTCTACAGAAGGATGCTGAGAATACAAAGAAAAGAGTGCTTAACTACTATGTAATATCAATCTTCCTATATGGCACTGGATGCTGGACAATTTCCTCACAGATGAAGTGGAGACTGGAGGCTACAGAGATGTGATTCTACAGAAGGATGAGGGATTATCATTTCAACTTAGAGCTAGAGATTAACTAGAAAAGATCCAACTTAATTCATAAGACGTTTGGCATGTGAGAGAGGAGTGTCAGCTACGACTGTCCTAGGAGCAGCGGGAAAAAATCTTGAAAATGAAATCGTACGAGAAATCTGTGAAGTAACTTGTTACTCCAGGATAGAAAGTTAGAAGGTTAGAGAGAGTGAAGTTCATATTGAATAAGTTGAAAAAATGATTCTGGAATTATATATATATATATATATATATATATATATATATATATATATAAACTTTATTTCAGTACTTCATGAGCTTCCTATCCTTAGCTGCGATTAATTAATGAAGAACATATCATTTTCCTTTATGATCGATTTCATCACGATTCTTCTGTTAAGCTTAGAGAGTAATTATACATTGCTCAAAGTAAAGTCCAATAGTGTCATAAGAACCTCGGAGAATTTCAGTAAGATATATTTAATCATTTCTAAAATACAACGGTTCCGAGATTGATCTAATAATTGGACAATTTTGCTGTTTCGCCTGATACACACACACACACACACATATATATATATATATGTCTCAGCCAATATATATGGGTACGCCTTTATATATGTGTATGTATGTGTGAGAAAATGTGAGCTTCAGACGATCTGAAAAACGTCAATACCATCTCCACCCGTTCCTTGTTAAGAGAAAATTGCTTCATATGTAACGCTAAGGTTTCGATATCGAAATAGAATGATAATTGTGTATATATGTCCGCATGTATGTGTATCTACGCTTAACCTCAGATTATTTATATGGGTGTGTTTGTACGAACTAAAATGCATACACACGTATGTCTATGTGTGTGAGAGTGTCATCCCAAACAAATCAAACACAAATAGGCATAAATAGATCCGTTTAAAAAAACAAACAAAAAAACAGTTTGATGATCGTAAAAGCATGAAACCCAGGGTTACAAACTAATATCCATATAACTGAATATATATATATATATATATATACACAAACACATTTCATTGAATACGACAGACAAGGTGCTTTGATTTTTTTAATACAATTTCTCATGTAATCTAATAATTTTTTTCTTTTCTCAATTTCTCATGTAATCTAATACTTTTTTCTTTTCTCAATTTCTCATGTAATCTAATACTTTTTTTCTTTTCTCAATTTCTCATGTAATCTAATACTTTTTTTTTCTTTTCTTTTAAATTATATAAAAGTTGTTCAACTGTTCATTTTATCCAAGCGCTTTCGGATATACATTTAGCCATTTTCAAGGTTGAAATATATTAATTGTTAACAAGAAATAGATTGTTGTATGTATGTATTTATATGATTTTCATTTTTAAAACAGGATCAATGTCTCGGAAAGAAAGAAAAACAATTGGACAGTTTTTTATATAATTTATCTTCTGAAAAGAAAAAAATTATTAGATCACATGAGAAATTGTGTAAAAAACTAAATCAATGCACCTTGTCTATCGTATTCAATGAAATGTGCATGAAAAAAGATGGAAAAAATACAGGAAGGAACATTTTCATTATTAAGTTTTCTTGAGTACGCAGGCCAGGAAACAAAATATATACTAAAAATAAACGTGACATCTACTCAAATACGGGTATCACTAGAAATGCCGTTTGAGGTAATAAAAAGATGGCGGATTAAAAAATAAAATCTATTAATTTTGAGCAGATATGTGTTTCGGGAAATCTCAATGGATCTGTGTGTTTTAAAGGCAAAATAGAAGCTTGCTTTTTTGTGAAGCTCTTCGTGGCCGAGCAGTTAAAGCACGTCGGATCAGACGGTGATCCCTACTGGAGAAGGGAACCAATGTTCGTGTATCCTGTTTAATATGCACATTTTCTTTATTAGAAAGTTGAAAATACGTCATCTTAAACAATATGATAAATGAAAGATTATTTTGCATAACTCTTGGACTGGTAACGACGACTCTTGGACATTTTAGGAAATGCAGAAGGATATATTGACTAAAATATGGGACAAAAAGAAAATAAAAGAATTAGACTCAGCTTCAAATAAAACTCAAACGAAGAAAAGGGATACGAGCTGGGGTATCGACAGATTCTTGCCTATCCACCCCACCCCCGCTGATAAACAACGGGGACAGAAAAATTGTGCTCGATAAAAAAAAAAAAAAAAAAAAAACTGAAATTAAGATAAAAAAGAAAAGAGACTTACTTAACGACTTACGTTTTTTATAATCTCCGGAAGCTATGAAATTACATAAGATAAAGAATAAAAAATCGAACTTTTAGTTTTGTTTTGTCTTTCTTCAAAATGAATTAAAATAAATAAAATGAATTCTTCTTCTTTATGCAGTATTTCCTCAGTTTTTCATTCTGTTATCTCTCCTAAATGCTGTTCTGCCATCCATTTACACAAGTCCGCTATATGTTATTTTTCTTCTGTCCCTCAGAATGTCATATGAGTAGCAAATTTTCCAAGCCCTCTTTCCTCATTACTTGCCCCAGAAATTTCAACTGTCTCTTTCTGGTGCTAAGAATAAAGATCATTTTTCTTTTATTTTCCCTAAAATTTCATAGACGATCCTTTGTATTCTCCAGATCCTTCTGAAGAACAATATTTTTCTTGCTTCAAGTCTCTTCTTCATTTGAGGTGATTGTCCAGCATTCATTGCCATATCGGATGACCGATTTTACGTAACAGTTCAGTACTATTTTCTATGGTTTTAAAGATATTTTTCTCTTGATACTTTGCTTAGCTTTTGGAAGGTATCTTTAACTATCCCAATGCGTCTTCGAATATATTTGCCTCACTTTCCGTCCTCTGTTAAAACACTTCCGAGGTATTTAAATTGTTGTACTAGTTTGATTGCGTTATCTCCAATAATGGGTTGTTCCTTTTGCTAAAAGCCGCGCATTCTACCATAAGTTAAAAATAAATTAAAATTTACTTGTACCGTATATACCTTATGCAAACCGAATAATTTACTTAATATGGAACTGATTTTCGAATATGTTTATTACATTTACTGTTCAGTATACTACTGTACTGTATAAATATTTAGAAATAAATTATGAATGTTACAAATAGTCCAGAAGTGACGTTAAAGCAATCTGAAGCTAGTTGACACAAACCTATCACACGTGAAATAGGCTTGAAGTAGTGGCCAGATACAACTCAGTGAGCAGCTCATTGAAACGTGACCAGGACGTTAAATGGCAAATGTCTGTAATAAGTAACATTGTTTCATCTAAGACATTTTTTAAAATATTCATGGAAGAACAAGAATGACTTCTCTTAGAATTTAAGATAGTACTCGCTGTCGTAACACATTCTTCATTACTAGGCTTCTGTCACTTTCCCACCGTCGTAAAATAGTTTCCCTGTGCCCTTTCTATAAATACTTTCATGGTAATTGTTCGGATGAGCTTTTCGCTATGGTACCTTGATTTTATCATTGCAACTGCAGTATTAGAATATTAACAATGGCCTCGTCAATTTACAGTTGAATTGGTTAGTTGCAACCGTAAGTTCTATGATAACAGTCTCTTTTTTCGACCTTCTCGTTTTTGGGACACTCTTCCAATCCCATGCTTTCCAGTCTCTTTGATAATATTACTGTTTTCTAATTCTTTCGCACCCAGTAAATCCTTTAAATATTTACAAAACATGGATGCAAAGATAATTTATATAAACAGCCACGCTAGCAGATATGTAAAAGAGAAGTGAATTAATGTTTTACTTGGGAGTTGATTTGGTCACCTCGAGGTGGTGTGATGGTTAGCAAGCTTGTCTCGCTAGAACTATTACGACTGAATTGTGAGTTCGATCCTCACTGGGTGCCCCATACTTTCGGCCTTGTGTCCCATATGAGTTACGCTTGAAAAATCAGTACTTGGGAGTTGATTTGGTCTTCCTTTACGTCAGTGATTTTGCCTTGTCCCGATCAAGAGTAAGACAAAGGAGGTTTACACGTGCTGATATTCTAAGAAGCTGTTACCAAATGTCGCCTGACGTATTTCTTACTTTCTGGCATTTGTGTAAATATAGCAAAATCAAAGGTAGATAATCAAGTGTCACACACCCAAAGTGAAAATTATTTACTTGAAAAACTCTTAGAATAAAATTTAAAAAAATACATAGGCTTTTATTTCGATCAATTTCTGTCAACTATGGTGTTTATTATTTATATTTTGTCACTTCTTTCTGTCAGTTAATACACAGAATCGCTTTCTCGTATTATTTTTCATACGCGTTTTTATGCTGCTGAATTATGTGAGCGCGGCGTAACGTTTAGCGATTCAGAATAGGGAAATCAGCGTCCGAATTCTATCCCACTTCGCTACGTCCATATTTGCACAATTATTCCTGAGAAAGATATGAACCCGTCTTTTCTCTTCACCTTCCAGATATTGGTTAAATAGCAGATCCGGTTGGACTCTCTTACCTTGAGATAGCAACTAGTCTACAAAACTCTGAATGTAAAAGCAGCTTCAAAGATAGACATGCAGTAGATGAGGTGTCATTATAATCCAATGACTTACGGAACTTCTTACGTGACCCAGATCTGTTACATGGCATAGCAAGTTCCTTTCGTATAGAATTTATCTTCAAATATTCGTCTTTCTTGTTAGTAATTTACGTTATTTAATTTTAAGTATGGATAAACAGACAAGCACTTATGATTCAATTGAAGAAAAGGAAAATCTGAAATACAGGCAAAAATCTATGAGCGTTGACTAGAATCATAGTACTTACTTAATATTAATAATTGCAAAACAACATAGTTTATTTAAAAAAAACACTCAAGGTACCTCATAATTGTTGGATACTTTTTATTTTTATTTTTATTAAGCATTTCACTCGAAGCAAGGCAGTAGAGTGCTTGTAGAGGAACTTCTATGGAAACTGTATTCTTTATATATGCTTATTTAATCCTTTTTAATCCGAGAATCTATTTTAAAAATGTATTTCAACTCGGACATTCGGCTTTCTTATTGAAATTTAAATTTTAGCGTCTTAAATTTCCAAAAAATTCCAACGTGCTCTGGCCAAAGAGATACGGTTTTTCGTATTCAGACAATTAACGCCACTGAGTTTGAAATTTAGAGCAAACCAAGCAGATTTAATTTTTTTTATATTTGATTTATCTCTATTAGTGTGTGGTTTTCTCTCTATTTAGCACGTAAAAGGTTACAGAGAGTGAAAGTAAGAACAAAGAGGGAGGGGTTACAGAGAGTGAAAGCAAGAACAAAGAGGGAGGGGTTACAGAGAGTGAAAGTAAGAACAAAGAGGAGTGTTTAAGGAAAGGATAAAGAGAAGGACGGGGTGATCAGGAACAAGACATCTGAAGATGTCGCTTGACATTACATTTAAAGTTTTGAAGATTATAGTTATCAGGGAAGCAAGTAAGATGAAGGGAAATCCACTGTTGGGAAGGACGAGCGAAGAAGCTGTTGTAGTAGAAGAGGCGGTTACATTGAACTGTTTGGATAATAAAAATGTGGGACCGAGTTGCCAACCTAGTAACAGGCTTAAGTTCATGCTGTTGGGGCACTAGTGAAAATAGCTCATTAGAGCAGTTGCCATGAAAATATTTGTAGAAAAGACAGAGGGAAGCCACATTAAGTCCGTGAGAAAGTGACTGGAGTCGAGATGCCCGGTCAGGACCTATCAAACTGCATATCCATCTTTGGATTTTGTCGAGTATCTCGAGATGAAGAGCGGGGCACTAGAGCATATATGGCAACAGTATTCAATGCAAGGACGAATGGTAGATTTGTAGATTTGAAAGATAGACTCAGACGAGAAAAAAACTTCTGGTGCGACACAGAGTACAAACTTTCCTTGTGGTAGATATAGCTATTGATTCAATAAAGTTGTTCCATCTCAGGTCAGTGGGAAACATGAGACCACGCAGGCGCAGAGAGACACACTCGTGAAGTTGAGCATCAGCTCTCATTTATCCACTATAGAGAAACCTCTCAATGATGAGTAAATTTGAGCAGTTTCGATTTGGAGGCATTAAAGTTCACAAGCCATTTCCTACCCCAGTCAACCACAGATTGGAGATTCTTATCGAGACCAACAGCAAGGTTAGCTTTGTTAGGCAATGCCGTATTTACTATTGAGACAGGAGTAAATGGTAGCGTCGTCTGCGTAGATGTTCACTTGAGAACTGGTGACATCAGGAAGATCGTTGATGAAGATCAGAAACAGTGTAGGACCCAGGATGGAGCCATAGGGAACACCAGCGTTCTTATGAAAGGAACTGGAAGAGAACCCGTTTAGGGACGAACTTCATTTCATTTTATGTTGTCTTGACTTGTTGGGGTATTATCTAGGGATAGATCGCAGGTCAAGCGGCTTATTGTAAGGGCTGGTATCTCGTATCCGAATATGCCTGTCCAATCCCTATTGTAGACGTCCGCTCAGGCACACTTGTTCAACACCCACAGAGCTCACCTGTGTTTTCTGTTGAAACTATGCTGAGCCAACCTTAGTCAGTTTTGGGGGAGAGAGCGCATTATCTAGCGCGATCGACAGTTTGAACGATGCCAGGATGCTTCAATACCCGGTCACGATGACTTACTCAACTATCAACGGCTCCCTAAATAGTTTCATCTACACAATTTAACTCACAAGGCTTGGGTTAAGCCGTGGTATGGTTTTCAGAAACTTTCTGGACGCTGAGGATCGACTCTACAGTCCCATAACATGAAGAAGTCACTTCCCTGAAAAATGGACCCTAGTTAGATTCGAATGTGGTAAGCCAACGTTCTAACTATTTGGCCACGTGCCAAGTGGTCTACCTAAATTTTGGTATGTTATGGGTATGGAAACTATTCTGAGTGTCAATTGAAAAGCATTGAATGCTTTCTCTTAAGGTGATCCGAGATATTCTTGCGGGTGAAATTTATTTATTTTTTCTTCCGGCATGCAATGTGTCTTTGGTTATTGGTGAGATGCATTAGAATGGTCAGCTTGTTGTCAGGATGATTAACGAAATATCATCTCTTTTTGATATCAAATGAAAGTGTTATCGGATAAAAATTACAATGAATTAGAAAATATCACTACTTCGTTTTGAAAAAAAGACTTGAACGTTTGTCAACAACGCCATCTTGGTTAAATGAATTCACTTTTAAATATTAGGTTGGTGCAAAATAATGTCGTTTTTGACGTTCAACTTAACATCAAAAACGACATTATTTTTGCACCAACCTAATAAATAAAAAAAATATAGTTTTTATTTTTAGAATAGTAAAAAACAATCGTGATAAACGTTTTATTTACCCGGAGATACTTCTGTCAGCGTGTACACTGTGTCGTCGTTGACTTGAAGTACAAATTCAATCGTTTCATTTGGTGGAAGGTAGAATTTCTCAGGCGAGTTTGGTGTGATGCTAATATTTAATCCGAGTTGTTGGCTAGAAAAAATTAGTTTACTGTAATTTAGATACCGGAACTGAAACACTAATTCGCATCCATAGAAGAATAAGAAGGGGTATTCAAAAGCTTGATCTGAAAGAAAAGAAAAGAAACTTATATAGTGAAAACTCGTTAATAAATATATTTTATTTACATTCGTATTATTCGTCTTATTTTTGTTCTTATTGTCACACCATTTCGCCCTCCGTTGTACTAACCATCACCTTTGCCTGCTGATTAACCTCTGAAGAAATTTTAAATTCAGCAAGCATCCTTAAAGAACCTTCGGAGAATTTGTAACTGAACCCTTTATCTAATAAGATAGATTGTTTTCGTTCCGCTGTCTATGGCACTGGATATATTGTCTGTCTATGAATATATTGTCTTCTTTCCTATCTTGTCCATGTCTTGTTATTATTTTAGTACGGCTCAGTTACTGCTTGTCTTGTTTCCACTAAGTGTAAATATCTATTTAAACGCAGGGATTGAACTATCGACTATTATGTTATCACAATTATTGTTATCATAGGTGCCTTCATGAGATCGCTAAAAAGGGTATAGCATGACGAAAAACTTGACGAAAACAAAATTTTATCATCTAAATTTATGTTATTATTAATTTTAATGTTATTATTAATTTATGTTATTATTAAGAGGAAAGATCAAAGTATTTTTGAGGTATTTTTTTTACATTTTTTAATCGTTCCTAGCACGTCCAAAAATTTCATTAAAAATCTTGTTTTTTTTTTGTCATCAAAATTGACAGATAATTAATCATGTCAGCCATTTTTTCCATTTTATAAAAATAATGAAAATCTCAGTTTGAAATTCTTTTAAATATCAATTATATTATTTTAAGAAAATCAGAAATTATAATGTTTATTTAAAATATTTTGAAACAAGCTTAACTTAGTTTCTGCGCCGAAAAGATGTAGTTTGAAAATAAAACAAAGCAGGTCATAACATTTCGCGTCACTTGACAGTTGACGAAAGACATTTTCATGACGTTTTGATAGCTTACGTGAGGATAATTCCTTCTATGGAAGAAGAGAAGTGAAGTTATTTAGATTTAAGTGAACAAATTATTTAGCTCGTTATTTTTAAGGAAAACTTTCAGCGCTCTAATATTTTTTGTACTTAGCTTTCACTTTTACGTTTACGTTTATGTATCTAATTAATTTATAGGTACCTTTCTTATTAAATTTTATCAGAAGTGTACATAAAATACAAATTTAAATTTCATATGATGATACTGATGCTTGTAGGTAGCCTTCTCAGTTGAAATTAACTTCTCCACACGTGTTTTGCAAAACTAGATCTATCTCAAAAGGACATTTAGGAAACTGAATACGGCTTTTAACTAATTTTGTAATATTTTAACAACTTAAATGTAAAAATCTATTATAATTAAAGAAACAACAAATAATTGTACTAAAAATTCAGTATTTAAGCTAAATACTAGACAGAAACTCAATCCACGTGACATTTTTTTTTATTGCAAGCATGATACTTCCGGTCTTCCGTAAATTTCATTTACAATGTTATTACTTTTTTATATTCTCTTGTTCGTTAGTTTGTAAGAAGCTTTGGAAATTATAATCTGTAAATATATATCTACTTAATAACAACATTCGTTAAATTTTACAAAGTTTTCCCTAATTTTAGAAGAATTAACAACATAATGTAAAAATAATAAAATACTTCAGAAATAACAAATAATTGTTTTAAAAATTCATTTTTCATCGAAATATCTTTTTGCATTCAGACAATATTTTCCATGTTCATTAAATAAAATAAAAGCAATTAAAAGGTTTTGAAATTAAATAATATTTTTGTTTTATTGAGTTTTGTATGTTACAATTCAGAGATGATTTTCAGGTAGAGGTGTTCAAACTAAAATAAAAAAAAACATGATTTGGTTTCCTCAAAGCCTTGTTCTTTTAAGTTATATAATCACTAATCTTCCCAAAATTGAAATTATAGAGTTTTCGTATAATTAGTTATGGAGGAGGGGGGTAATACATATGAAAAAAAAAATTGCCATGACATTTAAAAAGGAAAACATATTTATAAGTTCAAACATTTGTGAACAGTTTCTGAAAATTTCATTAAAATCTGACAATTATTTTTATTTTTGCAAGATTTTCAAAATAAATGTCTGTCATACAGAAAAACGCACTAAAATTTTATGTTATTTTACTAGTTCTGGTGATAAAAAGAGAAACAAGGTTTTTATTTGTTCAAAATTTAGAATGTTCTAAAAAGGAAAACTTTTAAAAATAATTAAAAAATACTTTGACTTTCCTCTTAATAATAACATAAACATTTAGACGTTAAATTTTGTTTTCGTCAAGTTTGGCGTCTTTTTCATCATCTAATGCTCTGCTTTTAGCGATTTCATGAAGGTACCTATGTTATCACAATTATTATGGTATCAAATACATGAACCAAGTTTTTAATCCACGAGACTATTGAAAAATAAACAAGAACAGGAAGACTATTTTGTTGCAAAATCTAGAACGTCTTTAAATTGTTCTGTTTTTTTTTTTGCATAAACTTTTCTATTTGCAAGTTCATTCCAGATGTCAATGATTCGCTCAGAGAAGTAATGCCATTGCTGTCCTTCTTGCGATGTTTGATTAAAGTTTTACACTGAAAGATATACTATTGTCTCTATGCCTAAAGAAGCTTCTTGATTTAAGATTTGTAAATGCATTCAAAATCTTGAATAATCTTCCATTCTAATATCCATAACGTTCTTGGCATGATATGCCAAATATTGAATTTCATCATTTGTCTAATTTTTTTTACCTTGCTTCATATTATAGTTATGAGGAAAGTCCAGTTTTGAAATGTTGATTTCAAAAGATACAAATCTATTAAGCACCAGTAATAAAAGAGAAATGTAGGATATTTTTTCTGTGTAAAAGACGCATCTTTGATGCTAGCACTGTTCTTCAAACAATAATATATTGCATTAATAGTGAAGATGAAGGTTTCACTTGTGAAATCTTTTAATGAATTGTCTTAAAGGACTTGTATCTTACCTTCCAATGTAAGCGAAACGTTGATTGTTGTCGCACTTTCACTCATGCCCTCATACATTGCAGTAATGGAAAAGTAAAAAGATCCACTGACTCTCAAATCTTTTAAGTAAATAGAGTTGCCCCTCACTTGAAATATTGCTGAAACAAAAATATAGAAAAAAATATTATTCAATAAGGATTATTATAATATAAGCATTACGGTAAATTGCATCATACAAATCGATTGGTTTTGGTTAGCGGTATATGAACATTCGCTTCCGTGCTAATACCATTTGGAAAAGGTATGAATCTTCTTTTCCCCCGCATCAGCTATGGGTAAATAGCAGGACAGGCTGGCTTCTATAGCCTTGGGTGTCAACCAGTCTAGGAAAAAGTAACTGAATTCAAACCGGCTTGGAGAGGGTTGGGCTGTGTCAGGTTATCTTGCCCAAGGCACGCCCACTTCCACTGCGGCTACAATGGTGACCCTACGACTCTGATAGATCACAGAATAAAAAATATCAACATCTTTATGGATTATTTAATGCCGAAATTTAACTATTTTGGACGCAATTTCATTTATTTTTAGACAATAATGGTTTTAGTGATACAATTCTTACTAATTAACCTATAGCTGGGGGCGAGGTAAAGAGACAGAAGAAACAGTCATGTAACATAATGAGCTTGTTTGGTTTGGCTTGTTTTGTTTAAGGTATATTAACCTCAATGTATTAATTCATACGGACAAGATTTTTTGGATAGGTTCATATGAATAAAATATGTATTCTTTGTAAGAAATCAGTCTGTAGATCAGGTTTCATTGACATATTTTTGTAAAGAGGGTTGCATTAGTTTGTTGATTTTGTTTAACGGCATATCAACCTCTATGGGTTATTTAATGCCGAAATCTATATATTTTTAATGCAATTTTATGGCTTCTACATATATTTATATATTTTGAGTAAAGTTATGTTTATATATATATATATATATATATATATATATATATATATATATATATATATATATATATATAGTTTGCAGATCATAAAATGCATTGTTAGCAGTTTTACTACAAAAATGTATTTTTATATGTTTTAATGTTGTATTGATTGTCATTTTTCTATAAACGTATTTATGGTGATTTTATTATAAAAATGACCCCTATTGATTTTTGTTTGGGGGTTCCCTATTTACTCATAACTGGGACCCTGGGTCAGAGTGGACATGGGAACAGCCACAATTAAGAGGTGTTTCCACGCTCCTCAAAAGCATCTGACCAGTGGCCTTGCTGCTGAATGTAGCTTATCTTCATACCCAGGACAATATCAAGTTTGTCAAAAATAGTTCCAGAAGATAAACAGGGTGTGATAGTAAAGCGCCAAACATTGCCTAGTATTACAAGAGATAGGAATTAGTGGAGGGCCATGATTTTCCACGTCCTAAAGGGACATGGCATATAAAAGAAGATGTACAATGACTTTGTGGATAACAGTGGCTGATTTTCCTGGTTGGGAAAAGTCATATATGAATATATTTTATAATAAAAAAAAGAAATGCTTTTTTGCCCAATACATACGAAGTAAAGCAGTATCAAGCGCTGGAAATGAGTTCAATAAACGAATTAGCGCAATAAAATTAGTTCTTTTTACAGGCATGGCAAAGGATTTTCTAGAGAGGCAGACCGACTGTCTCTTCTAGGGCAAAAGAGTTATATATAAATCAATGGTATTACTATTAAGCAAATGATATTGCTAATGATCTGAGAATGTTCTTAGGCACATTGTTAATATGTAGCAGAAAAAGAGTAGAACTTCCCGGACGCGCCTATATTGATGTCATTGGCTTCAGAGGACTGGTCATTAACTATCTGATAAGAAAGACTTGATAACCGAGAAAACACTTCCAGAAATGCCAAAGTTAGGGATTTTATATGGTAACTTCACCATGAAAAACTCTGTTGTGAAAGCGATGTTGAAACTTGGTCTTTGAGATAGATACGTCGCTAGGAAAAGGGTTTTATACTAAAGAATTTATCTGAATTCTGAAACTTTCGAGTGACAGTGATTACTTCCCAGATTGGAAAAAGGCAACAAGTAAGATTTTTTTTAATGAATTGTATTAAAAGATTTTTCTTGACCGATATGTATGTTGAAAGGTGAAATAGTATCAAACGCTGGTAAGGTGTTCAATAGATGATTTATATTGTAAGAATTAGTGCATTAAAATTAGCTCATATCACTTTCAGGGAGCATCAAATGATGTTCTAATGGGAAAGTATAATTCCCTAGGCGACTTCCTCGTGATGTACATATAAAAAAATATCTAATATATTGAGTTCAATGCTATCCGCCGTTTTAATCATTCACTGGGTGTCTTGGAGCAAAATCTCCACTGATGTAGATTTTATTATGTTCAGTCTTAAATAATTTCCATTTAATTTTATCATTTTTTTCTTCAAATAATAAAGTACAATAACATTCTATTCAATTATGTACCCACCATTATTTGCAATGATTTGTTGCCAAATATCTAGCAGCTCCTATGTATGTACCTTTTGAGTAAAATACCGCAGGTTTTGAAGCGAAAAGATTTTCGAAAGAATTCTTAAATCTGGTTTTCATTAGAGAAAATCTATCAAAGCATTGTGCAGTGATCGAAAAATGTAATAATCTAATGGTGTAAGATCAAGGCGAGTGGAACAGTCTAAGCGAATTCCAAAACATTTTCTTGTCTCATTCTTGCAGTATGGAATCTTGTGTTGTCATGGAGAAGAAACTATTTCTTTAAATCCGCTGTGTAATCTTCCACTATCGAATAATGTGCGTAAGTGTACTCCTACTTTATTGTTAACTGCTATGTTTGATTAATGGTTAGGCGGTGTTCCCTTACGATCACCGAAGTTAAGCAACGTCGAGACTGGTCAGTTCATAGATGTGTGAGAGCTTGGAAATACTAGGTGCTGTAAGCTTGGATGTACAGATGGTGTAATGGATAACGGCTAGGAATTGTTATTCGGAGAGACATATTCGAATTCTAGTTGGTTTCGTTCTATTCACTTAAGTGAAAATACCCTTAGGAATCCACCTATTCTCACCCCCATCTATAGGTTAATTAGTAAGATTTGTATCACTTAACCATTATTATCTCCAAAAATAAAATAAAATTGTGTACAAGATATTTTGGTATTAAATAACGCATAAAGGTTGATATTCCGTTAAATAACAACGTAACTCATATTATGCTGCAACATATGAAATGACGCATTGTTTAGTTGGTTATTGATCCAGTAGTCTAACGAAGTAACGTCCTTAGTAGATAAAAAAATTGACTTATTCCTGACTCTTTTCTTTCCTGATAATTTTTCTATCAAGATATTGTTACTTATATGCCCAAATGAAAATGATTACAATGAAACAATGTCGAGTAATCTTACTGTAAGACTAAAAATTGAGAAAAAGAACTATTTTTGCATCGAATCATTACATGCGATGAGAAATGGATACTCTTTGACAACAGTAAAAAAGTAGGCCAGTAGTTAAATGCAGTTGAATCATACAAAACAATACCCAAAACTTTCACTGCACCTTAAAAAGTTAATGGTTACTGTATGGTGGTCTTCCAAAGGGGTTATTCATTATTCATTCCTGCCGCAAGGGAAAACAATAACAGCAGAGCCTCGTATTTTGTAGAAATTGAGTGTATGCACGAAAAATTGAAAAAGATATATCCTAGACTTGTGAATAGGGATGGCCCAATTTTGTAACACGACAACGCACGGCCGAACGCTTCTCAATTAACTGTCCAAGTGTTGCATAGCCAAAATTATTAAATTTTGCCTCATGCTCCATATTCACCTGATATCTCTTCTACTGATTATCACTTTATTATCACTTATTATTTAAGCATTTTCTTTAATAAGGAAGAGGTAATCGAAGCATTTGAAGAGTTTATTATTTGAAAGGATGAGAAGTTTTTTTTAATATGGGATCAAAAGTTTAGAGGTACGTTGTAGAAAAGTCATTCATCAACATGTTGCCCATTTCAACTAAATAAATTAGTTATTTAACATTTCAGAAGCGTTTTATTCATTTTCTATAAAGTGCGTCATTTCATGTTGTTGTGATGTCCTATTTCTCAAGAGTCTATGTTAGACTCTTCCACCTACTATAAGATTAGCAGGAGAGAAGGTTTCACGGAATTATTCGTTACTGTCGAACTCTCTGCCTTGAGCAGAGAGGAACACGGGAGAGGTTTTGCCGAAGGGTGAAGTTTCGTCCGGGGAATTTATGCGGGTTCTAAGAGAATTTTTTGGCCGAACCCACGATAAACTCAGCCTTGTGCCACATATATTCTTCTTGGGTGGGTTCTGTTAAATATTAACAGTGAATAGATTTAGCGCTAGTTCATACGATACACTCTCACTAGTGTAATACTCTTCTGGTTTACTTACTGTTTAATATACAATATATCTGCAAACCTGGTTTTTGTTATTGCTTAAACATTTAATTGGTTACAACACATGTGTGTCAACCTAATAGTTAGGATGACACATTCGACATTACATTTGGTTCCATGAAATAGAAATTATTTATGATTTAACCCCATAGAAATACAAGGATACTTACAGTTGGAGATGTTGTACATAATCGTCTTTTGAAGGGTATTTTTACAATTTAGATGTAACAATGGATCGTTCCGATATTTGGCATCAACCTTGGTGACATTGCAGTTGATGGGGGAAAACCAAGTTACGTCGTATGATATTATCTTGACGTATTTGGATTTATACTGTTGAAAAAAAAAAAAGAACGAACAAGAAATATTTACATGGTTTGATTTTTAACTGGCTTTCCTTCTCTCGTAAAAAGACAAACGCGAAACGACACACATACAATATGCTTCGGTTTAAATACTTGGAAACGGCTAACGGGATAACTCTTTTTTATGTGCCATGTCCTTTCAGGACGTAGGCGATCATGGCTCTCCACCTCCCTCTATCCCTTGCAGCATTCAGTAAGTTCCTCAGCTCTGCTTCCTCCCCTAGACCACATTCTGTCTTCCACCTGCACAATCACAGAACATATTGAAGGTAAGAGGGATGGTGAAAACAACGAATAACTTACCTAATGAGCTTGTGCGAATGGTTGGCAGAAAAGGGTTTAGGAGAGATAACAATAAGATAAAATTTATTAAGAGCTACAAAGGACAAGATATTGTGAAGAGCCATGATCGCCAAAGCCCTGAAGAAAAGAAGAATTTGCTCGTTAATCGAGTAAAACTATTTCCAACGCATTATAAACATATAAATTAAGACAAATATAGAATTGGCAATTTACAATAACTCAATACTAGGTTGCATTTGCCCAGGCTCCACTTTCCAGCCTTTATAGAGTTCAAAATCTTCTACGCGGCCGTAAGGGTGATTAATTATTTATCATACTATAGTTCCTTTTCCATAATGAAATAACGCAAGATTCTCGTTACTTTTTTTTACTATTTCCATGGCAAATGTTTAGACGAGTTATCACGTATACAGGGTGACCTTCTAACATTCCCTACCCAACAAGCCTCTCAGTAATCTGTCGCTATTTCCATTGTAAATATTCAGACGAGGTACATTAATCAGTTCCACCAGCTCAAATCTTTACAGCTAAGACCACGTATACAGGGCGACATGCTAACATCCCCTACTCAGCAAGCCTCTCACTAATCTATCGCTATTTCCATGGCAAATGTTCTGACCAGCTACATTCATTAGTTCCACCAGTTCAGACCTTTACAGCTAAGACCATGTATTCAGAGCGACGTGCAACATTGCCTACACACTAATCTATTTCCATGGCAAATGTTCAAACGAGGTACATTCATCAGTTCTACCAGTTCAAACCCTTACAGCTAAGACCCACCATGCCATGCATAATGAGACGAGTCATGGCCATTCCCTGCGTATTTCATTAGTAAGAAGCAAGTTCCGTTCGGACAGCGTCTTCCCAAGAACCGCTACTTTATAGAACGGACTCCCAAGATGATGCTTCCCTGATCACTACAATCTTAGCCCTTTTACCCAGAGAGAACTCATGCCTGGGTCCTGCCGGAGAGAAAGTCCCTTTACCCAGGGAGATCTCAGGTCTGGGTCCTGCCGGAGAGAAAGTCCCTTTACCCAGGGAGAACGCAGTTTGGGGTCCTGCCGGAGAGCGCGTATGTTTCTTTAATAAGATCTCTCAAATGTCCAACCCAGTAGACGAAAATAAATGAATATACTGTTTAGTAAACAAAAAGAACGTCTACTCAAATACGAGTATCCACCAAAAATAACGTTTAAAGTGATAAAAATCTGTTTTAATAAATAAAAATGCAATGCTTCTTTAGAAAAGTGCTCGATTGATGTCTTTAAACATTTTAGCTAGGAACAAAAATTGTCTGAATACAAATTCTGAGTTTGCGGAAGAAGCTCGTAATACATAACGATTTTCCAATGTAGAGGTCAAGGTTCAATGTAACACCGTCGGGTGAAGGTCAGCATTTCGAGCGGTCAACAACAGATTGTTTCCTTTTCCCCATGACATTTTTCGATTTGACAATCGTCAGCAACTGTACCTCTGTTGGTCTTACAAATAGTACGTAGCTTAGATGGAGGACAAGTCCGATATTACGTGACACCAAGTGGGGATCGAACTCACTACTACTCTGTCATATTTGTTCTAGCGAGACAAACTTGCTAACCATTACAAATGTCCATGATTTTCTATGCGTAGCTTTGATGTGGCACAAGGTCGAAAGTTTGGAGTACTCAGTGAGAACCGAACTTACTACTCAGTCGTAATTGATCTAGCAAGACGAGCTTGCTCGCAATTAGACTATGTCGAAAGGCCCCAGTCTCTTTTGTTATGATCCAGTTCAAGATTCCAAACCTTCCCAGTTTGCTTTTTGTCCCCCTTTTTTTTATATTGACTAAATCAGCCTTTGACTTTCCCATTCAGTAGTTTATTTTGTTCCTCCCACCTTACGTCTAACGAGTGAGAGTCTTTATTCTGCTTAGCGGCATAATACAGTAGCCTCTCTTATTTTTATGTGACTAACATATATTATTATTTTTTAGTTTGAATGTTTGGTTGGATTTAATTTTCGTTATTGGGTTCATTCCCCCACCCCTAACTTCATGCCATATATTTTTTTATATATTTTTGTTAAAAAAAAGGATTTGTATATTATCAATTTCTTGTGTCTTGGGTATTTTAGTAGGATCCCAGTGGATATGAGGTATTAGGGTATATCTTTGATCGAATAGTGATGGATGGGTTTTGCGTTGATAGAGTAAATTATAATGAATGAATGGACCGCGAATCAGATTAATTAGCCTCACCCTACTTCCCCTTAGAAAAATTGCAATTATATTGCAATATGTAAGCATAAATATACATCTGAATCCTGTGGAAAGACCGATGTCATAAATGTCAGTGATGTGGGAAAGGAAACCACGTGTTCAAACGCCACCTATTGACAAAACGCTACGAATTTTACATTTTTCCAATGCCATATTGAAATCAATAATTTATCATCTATTGACTAGTTTGAAAAATCCTTGTAAATTTTATTTCAATTTAGAAGGTGAATATGATCATTAATCTTAATTACTATTGTATAAAAAATATGTTTGCTCTTTTTAATTAAAATATGTTGCTCTGTTTAATTAAAATATGCTGCTCAATGTATGAATCAGTTTTAATATTAAATATTTAATATTTTAGTAATAGGATTCATTTGAATTATATACCAACGGATTATTACACACACACACACACACACACACACATATATATATAATTTCCTGTTTATTTTAAATATAGAATAAAATACTTATCCCTGTTTATTTTATATCTATAAAATAAAAATCTCATCTATTTTGAATCCGACATATATATACAGCATGGCGTAATGGTTAGCAAGCTTGTTTTACTAGAATATTTACGTCTGTGTAGTGAGTTCGAGCCTCATTGTGTGTCCTCCTTCGGACAAGTACCACATCTAAGCTACGCTTTGAAAATCAATATATACTCAGGAAAATTTTATTTAAAGAAATGTAAAATATTAATAAAATGAGAAGACATGTTTTCAATAACTTCAGTGATAAAATATTATGATGTATTGATATTTAGTATAATATACGTCTGATGACAAAACAGACGATAATTTTTGTTGCCGCTCTTTTTCATGGAATTGGAAGCTGCAGACGACTCCTTTTTTATCAGAGGAATTGATCCTCAGTCAGAAAATTTCTCTTGATGAGTAAAGACTCTCAAATTCTGGCTCCGTGATAAACTGACTTAGTTATCACGTAAAATAGCATGCTACTTTGAACCTTCGACTTAACAGTGTCGAAGCACTTTATTTTTAGATAGATTTAACATTAATGATGCCCAACTTTATTTAGATTTGCGGGATATGGAGTTTTTCGTTTCGGACGACTCTGTAGAAAATTTTATTAGCTTCGGTAGAATTCTGAAGCAAAGATATATTTTTTGAGAAACTTTGAAGAGAAAATTTTATTAGCTTCGGTAGAATTCTGAAGCAAAGATATGTTTTTTGAGAAACTTTGAAGAAAAGATTTTGTTAGCTTTTGTAGAATTCAGAAGCTAAAAGAAGTAATTTAATTCCCTAGAAGGGGAATTATTGCATTTGATTTGTTGACTCGGAGAGTCAATTTTTTTGTAAGAGTCGTTCGCTGCGGGAAGACGACCCCTACCTCGTTCACTATTTTAAAGTGGGATTTTAAAAATTATTTCAAAAAGATATACATTTTAAATTTATAGCTTAGACTAGGTTAGGCATAGGGTTTTTCTATTTAAACTTTCAGCTCCAGAGGAAGTGAAAAAGAGTGTCAGAAGAAGAAAAGAATTTGAAGAAAGAAGAAAATGAAAAGAAAAGTGTTCGAAAGAAGATAAAAAACATAATAGAATTTGAAGAGATTGAATTGACTGTTAAAAGATATTGTATCAAGATTTGTTATTGTAACGAAAAGGTTCAAATGAAAGAAAATGTTGTCTGCTTGTAGAATGATACATTCTATAGACAGACTTTATTCATGTAAATATATCTGTTTTATTTTTGTTTATTCTTTTCGTTACTACTCCGCATATGGAACAATATGCATGTAATTTATTTATTTTAAAGAATAAAAATTTATCTGTGAACTTTGCATTATGGTTGTTATGCAATAATTTTAAGATCGTCTGCTTCTTTGAGTAGTTTGGTTATTGCTTTTTTTACGAAGAAGCCGAGAACAAAATCGGCAGTGTTAGTTTTCTTGTGTATTAATGTTATAATATATTTAATGGTAATTTAAATATATATCTATAAGATCATATATGGGTAAAACTTAAATTTGATTGAGAATTAAATTTTTCATTTAAATTCGAGTTTTTAAACATCACCCACCAACACCGACATACAGGAAATATACTATTATATACCATCTTTTTTTTTCTTCAATACAGGGTGATGGAAAAGTAACTTTTTATGTATGATGAACTTTCGCGTCTAGCTACAATTTTTGCAAGACGGAAGAGTCCATCATACATAAATATGGAGTTACTTTTCAATCATCCTGTATATTTTTAAAATAATAAAAAAAAAATCCCTGCACCAGCATTGCGTTAACCACATATTTTTATCAAAATTTAAATTATGTAACAGTCAGTATCTACCCAACACCTGAAGACTGCGTTGTGCATGAAACTCCGAGTCGTTCTACCGGTGAGGGATAATATTTATTAATATATACTTAATAGCTTTGTTTTATCTGTTCTATTAAAACCAGCACACTATGTGCGATATATATATATATATATATATATATATATATATATATATATATATATAATATATATATATATATAACATGGCTGTATTATTGGGTCCCCTGTGAAAAAGCGATATTCTGGTGAATGTTCGAACCGAATGGTGATTTCTCATGATACTTGTGTCAATTGTTAGAATGGGTGACCCGCCCTAACCCCATTCTAATAATTGAAACAAGCGAATCGAACTAGCTCGGAGGAGTTATTGATGACCAACCTGTCTCTTCGACCTTGTATCAAATGAACTGTATTTTGCTAAATCAACAGAATATCTTAAGACTTTTCTTAAAATACAATTCACAATTGACGTTATTTTGATGTTAAGTACTTTCAAATAATTAATTTTGATTACCGAGATTGGCTGAAAATAAATCTGAATATGTCCATTTGGTGGTAGAGTCAAATTGCTCTTTGGCTGCAAGAAGTGATATCCACTTGATTGTATAAGGAAATAACGTTCCAACAGGCCATGGCGAGGAAAGGGACTTAGATCTGGTAAAAGACAAACGGATCATTAATTAACACAAATAATAATAATAATAATAATATTTTTTCAAAACTGCTCAGTGGAAAATGTCATGTTGCCATTTCTGACCTTAGGTGTCTGGTTGAGATACGGCAAGAAATGAGGATACAATGGGAAAAATAAAGAATTAGTAAATAAATTTTCAGAGTTCAGGCGGGGACGTTAGAAGTATAGAGTTGAAACAGACTTTAAAAGGAATCGGAAACCTAATACTAAATAGGAAACAAAAGATAACCTACTACAACTGTTCAAATTGTTGTTATGTTTAATGTTAAGAGAATAAAATATGGAAACATCTAGAAAAATATGTCGCGTTTATTGTCAAGGAATCATAACTGTCCGACAAGTATTATATTGGTTTACAAATATTTGTTATAGTGATTATTATTATGCTGTTATTATTATGTCATGTTGGTTATTATTATGTTATTTTGTTGTTATTTGTTATATATTTGTAATGGTTGACTATTATTACTTAATTTAGAGTTTGATCCTCAATGGGTTCCCCACAACAGTGGCCTTGTGGCAAACTAAGCCGAGCTTAATAAATCATCTCTACTCGGATATTTTGGTCTCAAGTCAGAAATTCCAGCACCCAACAGGTCGTACTTGCTTCAGTGAAGAAAAAAGATTAGGGTTAGGATTAAAGTTAACACCTGATGATTGGGGTGTCCAAAAATTGGAAGTACGCAGGAAAATGGGTTTTCATGTACGTGTGCGTGGCTCCATGTTGTGGCACTGGGTCAAAACAACATCTCTGGATGGTAGGTGGGTAAATAGCCGCGAACAGAAGCTTTCATCGGACTTTAAGGATAAAGCTCCAGTCATTCATGAAAAGTAATCGAGGACAAAGAACTCGGGAATTAGAAAACATATTAAACACTTTACAATCTTCCATTTGACGACGTTTAGAAAAAATAGAGAACGACATCAAGATAAAAAAAAACAAAACAAAAAAAAACGGAAATTATTTTACACCACTTAATATGCCTTGGCATACCAAGTTGTTTACCCCACCTATCAGCGTTGTGCCAGATTGCAGCTTAATATTTACATCATTTGCATTTGAACGAATGTCCTTACCTTTGTTGCTATTATGATAACGTTTCGAATGTTTCAGAAAAATAAGACAGGAGGACATAGTTTTATCCAGAATCCCATTAGGATACACACATCTGATACACTCATATCTACTTAAAAATAAAACCCGAACAGATGTGCAGTACCTCTCCCAGTCGAATATAGACTCATAAGTTTCCATTATCTCAGTCAAATAAGAACAAAATCATATGAAGCAAACAACACAAAAGAACTCTTTCAAAGCACTAAACCAAATAATATTCTTAACTTCTTAAAGGAAATCAAAGTTTTTGCCAAAATATAAAACTGTAAAGACTTCCAACAGAACTTTAATCATTTTACCCCAGGCAAGGCAATAAAGCCACTAAGGCACAAGGGGGCTCTTGAGTGTTTGAGAATATGAATAAAAAAGAGAGAGAGAGAGGACAATAAAAGTATAAGAATTAAAAAGAATCTGTGAATTAGATTGTTCAATAGTCGTAGTCATATAAGGGATTATATAGTTCTTTCTTTTCTTAGGTGCATTTTCCATGTGTTAATACTTGGCTTAGATTCTGGAAAACATCTTTCACTATCCCTTTGTGTCTTTGGATTTCTGTCACAATTTCCGTCGTCTATTATCACACTACCCAGATAGTTCTGCTATATTGACATTCTTGATAAAATACAAAGAAGAATCTGCAATGTTATTGGTCCTGATCTGACATTTCGGCTTACCTGTGCCTTTTCTATAAACATTTTTATGGCAATGTTTCTAACGAGTTGTTTCAATGTTTCTTTGAAGAGTCAAATTTACGATTTAAGCAGTAGTAGATTTTACAGTTGAAATGGCGAGAGATATAATACCTTATTTCTTATTCTAACAGAAGTTTCTTCTCGCTTGTACAACTCTCGTCCGGACTCTTGCTTTCCAGTCAACTTTGATCTTTTAAAATCTAAATACAATGTCAATCGTTATCTTCTGTATTTTTGTTCGTTTATTGTTCTCTCTCCTTAGTAATGCTTTCTTTTTCTCTTATTATCACGCATTCAGTAACCCCGTTGCGTCATTGTGGCTTTATTGCCTTGATTTGGATGGAATGATAAAAAAATTCAATTTTCGCATCTGCTTGATTTTGAGGTCCACAAAACGTTGTTCCGTATTTTTTATACGCCATGTCACTTTAGGACATAGACGATTATGGCACTCTTCGGATTCTTTTTTCTTTATTGACATGTCAAGAAAGATAAGCCGAGTGGCCTTCCGTTGCCTTCTCTATGGTTTCCAAATCAGAATCGACTTTCTTCTAGACTAGAGAGGCCAGTTTACCCTGATATTTAAGCCCTAGTTTTGAGAAGAGATGAGTTCACTTAGTCAAAAGTGAATGTAAGCAAACGGTCGGAATTTGAACGCAGACTGCTGATTCCACTTTCAGCACTGATAACAGTTGCGGCACCTCCATATTAGAAAAATGTTATTAGTTTAGTCTTATAGGCATTTCAGGTGAGTTTAGACTTCACTCGGATTTCCTATTAGGGACTCGTTGCCAAAAATAACACTAATATGAGATTTGATGATGGTTGTTTGTCAGACTTAAAAGCCTTTTTTCCATGCTTTTCAGTTCGCCTTTGAAATTTTAAATTTAGATTCTCTTTCATGCTCATGTGTAATCACATCAACATCAAGGAACGAACGGAAGAAACATCTTTTCCACTTTGTCATAAATCTTCTTAAAGTTGTTTCCTATTATATATATATATATATATATATATATATATATATATATATATATATATATATATATATATATATAGTTAAAGAAAAGTGGAATTGTTGGAATAGTCAGTACGAAAAATTGTTGTATAGAGAAAATAAGATGTGTGTGTGTGTGTGTGTTTTTGTAAAATAAAAATATTAGTAAGAACACCGGATTATATATCTTACTGTTCTTTCTCTTTTTATTATAATATATATATATATATATATATATATATATAATAATAATAATAATAATGGACTCTCCGTCGGTTTCGACGCATGAGGATCTGACAGCTTATTTGATTCAGATATGAAATTTTGTGCGATAATCTTAAGTAGCATTGAAGACCCGTTAGTGATTTACAAAGGAGGCTACATATGGAGCAATATATATATATATATATATATATATATATATATATATATATATATATATATATATATATATATATATATATGATTTTCTCAACCATCTTATTTACTAATGTTTGTTTGTGCCAAAACAATAATTCAAATTTACTTTCATAGAATTTGATGTTTCATTTTTTTCTGCCTTTAGTTTTTGTTGTCTTTCCGCTTCTTTATGTTCCATGTTCATTCCGACTGTGCGCAGTTATGGTCCTTCACAACTTCCTATCCTTTGTATTTCTCACAATTTTTGTCTTTACGACCCTTCACTGTTCATATTCTGCTGTCTATTTACAAAATCTCGTTAGGTAGATAACTCACCGTTTCCCATTGCTCCCATTGCTTGTGTGTGCTAAATTCGCCAAGCCCTCATTCTATGTTCCAGATATATCTACTGTTTCCTGATTCTAAATATAAAACACATTTCCTTAGAACTTTCATGTTGGCGATTTGGAGATTAGAAATTAAAAAAAAAAAACGAATAAAAGAATTAACATCAAGTAAATTGACGTTTTTCTTTTGGTTGGCCTTGCATAGATTTTATGAAAAGATTTATTGAAAAGTTTAGTGGTATAAAATGTAAACAATATAACACTTACTTAGAAATGTCGAATTAGGTAGTTGAAAAAGCTTTAAAAATTCTCTTCTCGGTCGTATGACTTTAATTGACGTTTGCTCAATACGTTCAGCATAAAATTGAATTAAGTGAATAGACCATTTCATCGGCAGCATGAACTGAAATGGAAAAAAATATATCGTTAATTTTTTTTTTAAATCGGAATCACCCCATGCAAAGCAGTAAAGCCAGTAAGACACAAAGGGATTACAGGGTGTGGAAGAATTAGGAACAGAAACATTAATGATGAGCAGGAAGAGAAGAGTGTAATCAGGTGGTCAGTAGATAGCGATTGACATTGCATTTAAATTATTGCAGATTAAAGTTGGCCGAAAAGCACGGAGCCAGAAGGGAGTTCCACAATCGAGAAGTGCGAGAAAAGAAAGTGTTAGATAACATTTACGGTTGAATCTAGCCAGCTCAAATGTAAATTGACGAGATCTCGACGTCAGTCTAGTGCTGCGCTTAAATTTAAAAAAAAAACCTCTAGGTACTTTCGAACAAATATCATGAAAGTATTTATAGAAAATATACAAAGAGACAACCTTAGGGCGGTGGGAAACTGAGCCGCCAGATCAGGACCAATAATATTGCAGATTCTTCTTTGGATCTTATCAAGGAGCTCAAGGCAAATATCAGAGGTATGTGGCAGCAATAGTCTAATCATCGACGAATGGTAGTCTTATAGATATGTAAGATAGATTTTGGAGAGAAAAATTGTCTCATCCAAATTTTAAGAGCCTTTCAAAACTTAACACCAAAAATACGAAATTGTTATCTCTAACAGCAAGATTTCTGTTGGTATGTCGGGGCTCAAAAACTTTGTAATAAACAAATCAGGTCGTATAGAAGATCTCAGGATAAGAACTAAAAAAATGAGCAATGAAAAATAAACTTTCTTGAATAAAACTGTAACGCCTTCTTTAAAGAGAATACAGGAAATGACCAATCCAGAGGCTTTTTTCAGAGCATTGTTGTAGCCACATGTAACGAGTCCTGTGATTGGTCAATAGATGAGCCAATGACATCCCATCCTCGTTTCTACTTTGGTAGACAATTTAGAAACTCTCTCTTTCTTTTGACAACTGACCCTCGAGCAATAAAAATGTACCGATTTGTTTTCAGACCAAAAACAACACACAAAAGCCATATATGAATCACCTGAATAAATATCTCGAATTATTATACAACGTGCGATGAGTAAATTGTCGCTATTTTATATTTCTTATTATGCGCATGCGTGTTGTTTCTTTTTATTTTGTCGACTGCAAGTATAGTAGGGTCAGTTGGACACCGACTGTGAGAAAAAGAGCACAATGACGCAATTCACTCCGCCAGAAATTTGGAAATGGTATGTGGTACTGCTTAGCATTACCTCCGGAAGCTCCAATGCGAACATTTCAGAGTATTTTTCAGATGATTGGAAAAGAGTTGGATGAGTCTAATGGTGATTACGAAGGCACGGCAGTTCGAAAAACTCACTCTGACCGTTCTGATGAGAAAAGAACTCCTGAATTTGTTGGTGAGGGCACCAGACTCAACATGGAGGCCTACATCAAGTGCCTTGAGGAGGTAGCGTAGACCTGAGTTAAGAGAGTGGCTGCTGGAAGACCGTATAAGATAGTTTTATTTAATTTTGGTAAATATATCTGTTAAAATGAGATGTCAGTGTTATTTTCATTTTTGCGTCATTTAGACGACAATTTATCCATCGCACTATAATATATATATATATATATATATATATATATATATATGACCTCACAGGAAAAATAAATAAATCTAACCTATACGTCATCTTTTGTTTTTTGTCTTTGATTTGACAGCATTAGGAGCAGTAGCAACACTATTATTTTTATTCTATGTTTCATGAAATACTATCAATCACTATTTACCACATCGATCTTATAATATTTGATAATGCTTCATCTAATAAAATTAAAGATGAAAGTAAATATCAAACAACAAAAAAGATGGTAATATTTCATCTAATAAAAGTGATAATGAAAGTAATTTTTTAATTATTTAACACCAGTGGCGGACTGGCCCACCTGGATACTGGAAAATTTCCCCGTGGATCTCAAAGTGATGATCCATCACTTTAGAAATAACCAAAAATATTGCCTAGATGCTGGGAGGATTTGAGTAAGGCGTCGTTGATGATATAATAGATATCCTTAGTTCCTTGTTTGATGAAGTGTTTTGGGATTAAGTGGTTTCTTTTGACTGGGCGCTTTTACAAGTTTCCAGTAGAAATTTTCGATCCAGTTCGCCAGTTTCCCACTAAGCATGTCAATAATGTCACTAAGACTCAAGTCCTTACTGAAGGTGGGGAAAATGTGAAAGCTTTAGAAGAAACAGGAAACCTTATCCTAAACAGGAAGCAAGGTTTAAACCTCTACCCCTGCTCAAAAGGAAGGAGTGTGATCCAGGAGATAGGCGAACCTGTCCACTCCTATTGAATACTTGCCAAAATTAATAGCAATATCTAAAGATATTAGAAACCTTCTTAAGGAGCGAGAAAAATAAAGGAAGACATTGCATTTAAATTTTTGAAGATCAAAATTAATATAGGAAAATTAGCAACTCCCAATATGAATCGTAAACAGTAGAACGAAGGACACGACAAATGAAAAGTTTAAAAACATACTTTATATATAAGTAATACATTTATGCAAGGAGAAATAGAAGCTGGAAATTACTATGTTTATTTGTCAGTTAATCTCAGTTCATCAGGGACGAAATCAAATACATGAATCTGTTTGAACTGGATAGAAACACTTATCTGAAGTTGATCATATCTCTTCTTCTGATGTCTGCTCGTTGTGGTATTAACACATCTATTACGTTTTGCTCGTGGCCAGCATCACTTGTACTTTTGAGTTGGCTAAAACGCGTCCTTTCGCCTCGTTGGTCTTCAGGCCTCTCAGATTTGGTGCTCAAATCCATATAGCTCCTAAATTTGGGTCTTACCCATTATTATCAGATAAATGGACTCATCACTCCCTACCAGTGATATTATCAACCATATTAACTAGAAAGCATAGAGCCCGAAGAGAGTACTACAAACAAGAAGTGCATTTTCTTTAACAGCATAGAGCTTATGTTTACATCAATTACATCAATTCGGTTGTAAATTGATGAGTCCTTACAGCCTAGTACTGCACTTAGATTCAGTGTGGCTACCATAGCAAAGATCTCAGCCAAACAATTACCATGGAAGTATTTACAGAAAAGTCAAAAGAGACAAATTTAAGGTGGTGGGAAAGTGACTGAAGCCGAGACGCCAGATCAGGACCAAAAATATTACTGATAATTATGGATCTTTTTTATTCGACCTGTTCTTACACAACGTAGGAGATAATAGTTCTTAAAAGATATCTTTTCTTGATTATTCTTGAATTACAATGAATATTTCTCTCTTATTATGTTTCTCAGTCAGAAACTGAAACTAATTAAAGTCATTATAACTCATATTATGTTAAGTTGCCTGAAATTCTTAGAAGAAGCATTGTCATTATTATTAATACTAGTTTTAAGCCATGAAAATGTCACACTTTTCCTATTTAAATTTTGTGACGAATCTTAATTCTTAAGCTGATGATTGAGTAAGCTCATGGCGAGTTCTCGGGCAATAAAATACGCGTAGAAATTTACTTATCGTATCGTCAATATTTGAGTTTAACTACTTTTAACAAAATATCGTAATAACAATCATGTCGTTATTTTAAGGAGTGGGTGTGAAAAGATTTGAAACTGACAACATTCCCTATTTCACTGAAACAGCCGTTAAACAGTTCTATATTTTCTTTTTCCTCTTCTCTTCTCTTTCTTTCTTTCTTTCTTTCTTTCTTTCTTTCTCACTGATCCAAAGTAGCGTCTCTGATGAGTTTTTTTTTTTTTTAAATCAAAACAGAATAGTCCATTGTTTATGAGGTGACATTAAACATTTCTATCTTCCCGTCTTTCTTACTTTCTTTCTTTCTTTCATTTTCCTACTTAAACAAGTAATATCTTTTCCCCTCTTTCCACGTGATCAAAACGCGGAGTAGTCCATTATTTATGGGGTATTGGTAGAGTGGAACATAGCGCCAACTAACGAAGGGAGGGACAAGTACACACACACATAATAGAAGTTGACTTGCATTTCTTTTATATCTCTCTTGCTTTTTATCCCAACTGTCGGATCGTTATTCAAGAACTATGAAATGACTCTGAGAATGAACCCCCCCCCAAAAAAAAACCCCAATTTGTCTGCAAGACAAACAAATTATGCTTCAAAGAAAGTGAAACTTACCTGATAAAAAGTCGATACATTTCCAACATAGCAGTACTGACATATACAACTGTTACAATCTGATGCCTTGTAAAAATTTCGGTATATTGGCCAATTGGAGACTGTGCAGTTATTTGGACAAGTCAAAGTGAACGTGAAGCAATTTTCTAATTTAACTTTGGTGTCGTTGCAACATACTCCTGTAAATACATAACAAAAAACAATTATCAAAACTATCTCACTTGTTGGCTATTGTGGCGATTCAGCAGCAGAGATAATAGCAGAAGAAATAATCACCAGGGTACAACCGGAAGTCAGTGAGGTTATAAAAGCCTTGACTTAGCCCTGTTCGGCTTCTTTTCCATCACTTTCAGCGGTCTTTCCCTTCGAGACACCTACCGAATGACTACGCTCAACTTTTGCTGCAGAAGACGAAGCCTGTCTTGGCAGCTTGATGTTAGATTTCTCGTTCCTCCCGCATGAACTGAAATCTTCCTTCGAGACACCTACCAAAGAAAAACTAAACATAACCCTCGCTGCAAAAGATGAGCAGTTTCACACTTGGATTTATTTTTCCTCCCGTGGGAACTGACGGATAAAACTCTCTGAACAAAGACAACTACTATACTCAAAAACTTGGTTAACTGGGCAAACTCCGTCATTTCCCTGCAAATTACTACTATGTTGAACTTCCTTCTTCAACTAGAAATAAAAGCTGTTGAACAGTTATTTTCAAGCTTTGGGTTTTTTTGTTCATTCCACTCACGTTGCTGAGCACAATCACAAACGCGACCGGGGCAAATCCCAACACAATATGAAAGAAAAAGTGTTTACAGAAAACGATGAACTGTTTGCGTGATTCAAAATATAACAAATCGTTATGGTATTTGTTATATGAAATATCTAAGTTAAGAGAGATTAGTACTTTTTATTTTCCTTACAACATGAGTCAAGTAGTACCAGTTATGATAGCAATACTTGATTGGTTCCATGATCTGCAAGAATTTCGAGTTTCCATCCTGTGTCCTATATGGCATCTGTAGAACGAAGGAAATTACTGTTTTTACATTAAGGTTCACCCTGTACATGGCCCGGGGTCACTCGTGGTAGAGGTTTACGTTAAGGGGTAGTTTGTATGTATTGAATATGGAGGGGATATGGATGATTTGCTACAATGTGAGTGGCATGGCGGGTCCTACCCGCGAGGAATGTATTAACTTTCTCTTTATTTTAATATATATATATATATATATATATATATATATATATATATAAATTAAAATAAAGAAAAACAATAAAGATTTATAATCCGCTGTTCTTATTAATTATTTTTATTTAAAAAAAAACAGTGCTCAATAGAATTCTGCAGAGTATAAATATTATAAATTTACTAATTTAAAAATATGGTTCCGTCGCTACGCAAGAATTACCATGTTTCAAACACAAAAACTAAAAACTTAAAATTTAATTATAGAATTATATTAAAATCCCTAATACTATTTCATTTTCAAGCGAATTTTGGAATAACTTATTTTGAAATTTACTGAGTTTTATAAGCACATACATTCTTAATATTAGTTTTTAAGGATACGGGGAAATTCAATCATTTTGACAAGGGGTGGCAGGGTATTCATTTTGATACGATAGCTGTCAGTGAAAATGAATACCCTACCACCCACCGTTTTATATATATATATATATATATATATATATATATATATATATATATTCTACTAACCAAAAATATAATATACATTCCATCAACACAGAATATATCTGCCACCGGCTTCGATTGGTAATGTGTCTAACCGAATTAAATGTCTGTCAGCTATTACTTTTAAAATTGTCAGGGGAAGCTAATTTCCTTCTCCTATAAAGGACGATAGCTAAAAATACAATTGAGTTACTTCCCTTGTCTGTGAAGATGAGCGTGATACTTTTGAATTGAACATGGCAACACTGACGCACACATTGCTTCCATTGTTTCAATCCATGCAATCATTTGTGCTCTCAAACAGAGAATAAATAAAGTTGTTTATTTATTTAACGAAAGACATGACTTACCTCGGAATTCGAAACGAGCGCGAAAGTGTCTTGCCTGTAAAATGATGACAAAAAAGAAATATGGCCGCTATTGAAGACACAATTTATGCGCGCCTATCTCGTCCAAAACGAGACGATATTTGCACACATGCAAATTTTGGCCGTCCTGGAATAGCATAAAAAGCGGGGTGCCAGCAGCACCAAAAGTGACAAGTCATTCGGCAGACTGCGTGTGTTAGAGTTAGACGTACGGATTGACGGACAGACAAAGTGGAAGTTGAAGTAGGCGCGGCTGAGTTGGTGCCTGTTTCACAACTGCCCAGTGTAACGGCCTAGAAAAGGAGCCACACAATCCATTTCCTTGAGGCGACCGAAGAAGAAAAAAAATGGCTGGCCTGCTGG